TACTTTTATTTTCTTGTTTTTTTGTTTTTCGTTGTTTTTTCATGGATTTTAATGAAATTTGTTGATTTTTGATACAAAAACTGCTGCTAAAAAGCAATTTTTCATGAAAAAATGTACTTTTCTTACTTTTGGTTGACTTTATATCGATTTTTTGCTGATTTCTACTTACATTACAGGAAAATTCTGCATTTCGAGGAGGAAAACTGAAGGAAATGTGAGTTTTTTTGGGTTTTTGAATAAAAATACTGAAAATTCACGATTTCGGGTTGAAAAACGTGGAAACGTATAAAAATAGAAAAAAACTACGATACTCCGGTTGTTTACGCTGCGATTTTTGGCGCGAGAATTTTGAAATTTGAATTTTTCCATTTTTACCTCAAATTTCACCTAAAAATCATCCGGAAAGTGTCCCCCTTTTCAAAATTTGTCCAAAAATCGACGATTTCCCGAAAATGTAACCTTGTTGTCACATCACATCAACTTCTGTATGTACTTTTTTCCCATTATGTGTCTTTTTTAGGCTTCTCTTATCAGAAAAGAAGAACAAAACATGATGATTCAATTCAATGTCCTCTCTTATCTTAACTATTCCCCCTACATTTTTTTCGAAACACTGTGTACTTTTTTGCGGCGCGTATCGTACGGTGTTCGAATATCGCCGATAGAACAGTTTGATAGCGGATTTTCTCGCAACGGTGTGTGAAAAATTTGGGCCATCAAGCATTTTTCATCTAGAAAAATGACTGTTCAAAAAAAAAAAAAATTCAGCGCGCACGCGGACTCGAACCCCCGACCCTTCCAACAAAAAGCGCGCGCCTACCCGGCTGCGCTAAGCCATCATTTTTGAAACATGGGTGATTTTCATAGAAAAGCTAGCTGTTTTTCCCCCCTCAAAGTGTTTATTGTTCCTTTGTTGCGCGGAACATATAAAACTGGCTAGTTTCAAGGTAAATCAAGAGGGGTTTTTATCAAATTAACCTTTTCTACTGTGTTTGTCTCGTTCCCGTTGACACTATTTTGTACTAATTTTTGAGAGAAATTCGTGATGATTGGTTAGATTTTTGGGCGTGGCGGGAGGGGGTACGGTATGCGCCTTTGAAATTATTTGAAACTCTGGAATTCGCTTAGTTTCTAGAAAAAAAAATGGAAACGAAAAAAATATTTTTTGAAAAAAACAATTATATACCGTAGTTGTTTCGTCGCGACGAGACCCTGTGTGTGTTTCAGCTGTTGCGCCTTAAAAAAACTACGGTATTTTTTGGATTTTCGAGGTTTTTGCATGAAAAAAGGCAGAAATCAAGCAAGAAACACTGAAAAAACGTGTTTTATCGAGGAAAAACCGATTTTTCAGGTGAAAATCACGAAAATTGAGCAAAATTAGTTCTAATTCACTTTTCTCAAGTTGAATTCCTCAGGAATAGCCACCAAAAACGCCATTTTTTGTTGTGAATCAAAGGCGCATCGATTTTTGAAAGATGCGGGTCTCGTAGCGACGAAAATAATGTAGAAACATCAAAAACCTCAAAAAAAAAAATATATAATACCGTAGTTTTTGAAAGACGCAACAGCTGAAACACACAGAGGGTCTCGTCGCGACGAAAGAATTACGGTATATAAATATTTTCAAAAATATTTTTTTTCACGTTTCCTTAATATTTCATCTGATCCCCCTGTATATAAATACAAATACGACCAAAAAACTATGGTTGTCCTATATGTATGTCAATCGTCTTCAGAATAGTGCAGTAGCCATCTAAAGATGACCTCGAAAAAGGCGCCGGCGCCTGTCCTTTTTCTCTCCCAATGTTTTCTATATGGAAGTTTATTTTATTATGTAAGTATATGTGTTGTTGTTGTTTTGTTGCTAAACATTTTTTCGATGTGATGACCTTCTAGAGGACAAATTTGCGGGGCGAATTTCGTGTCGGGAGGTACTGTAGAAGGTGACATGAACTTTTTTTGGAGATTATTTTTTTGAATTTTGCGTGCTGACACATGGATTTTTGGCCATCAAAATTTGAAATCTCAAACTTCCCTCTCACAAATTTGATTTTAAAAAATGTCAAAAATATTTTTGCCTCACTCAAAAATTATTATTTTGTTATCTAATCACGCGACTCTCCAAATAGTTAGTTCGTTCCAAACTATTCCCTATTTCCTTATTTTTTCTAAATTTTTCAACTTTCCTATATTCAAATACACATCAATAAAAAATCATTAGCCCCCCCCCCCTTGCCAAAAAAAATTTAGAGCCCCCCCTGTGCTCATCATAAATGCTTGCCCCATAAAATCATTTGATTTCTAGTTCACCGTGAACTTTTTTTTCGCAACATATATATGGGCTTTTTGATAAAAAGCAGCAGCCCGGGTTATCAGTGTAACATATATATTATATTTTTTTGAAGATGATACATTCTGTTGCCATATTGAATATTATCCAGATATCTAGATGTTTTTTTTTCCAATTTAGATGATATGACGTCATATAGTTTAATGTGTCTAGCCAAAAAAAAAAAAAATAAAAAAAAACTTCGCCGGCACCCGGTGTCGAACCCGAGCCTCTCGACCAAAAGACCCGCGCTCTAACCACTCGGCCATCGCGCTGTTTTTGGACGCATCGAGAATTGTCGCATATAAAATGCCTGCTGTTTTTTTTCCTCACACGCCTCGTCAACCCGGAGTGTCGTAGTATTGAGTGAGCAATTTCTAAAGAGCATCGTGATCAGGTTGCGGTGAACTTTTGGGGGTAATTTTTATGCCTCCATCATCGCGTGATAAAAATTGTGTGTGCGATAACAGGAATTATAGTTAACTGACTTTTTTTTTTAAAATATACAGTGGAATCTCTGGAATCCACGTGGCTCCCTGGCTCAGGGGGGTCATCTTTTGAGCCCTAAAACACACACACACAGAAGTGTTCATAAAAAAGTGACACCTTGTGTTTCACTTCTTTAATATTTATGACCCCTAATAAGCCGCTAGCAACATACATTTTGGGTTCCAAAATGTGCACTTTTGAGCACTGCACAGCATGTCAATCACACTGTGAACGAAATAGAGAAAAAATGAAATCGTAATGAATACATAACTAATTTGGTGCGCGCACCTTTGATTTTTATTCGAATTCGACCTATGCATTTATTATTTGCACCTTTGGAGAGGTTTTCTATGCATTTTGCGGGGTCTTAACGTGAATTAACGTAAATTTTAAATACCGTAGTTCTTTCGTCGCTACGAGACCCAAATCTTTCAAAAAATCAATGCGCCTTTGATTCACAACAAAAAATAGCTGTTTTGGTGGCTATTCCTGAGGAATTCAACTTGAGAAAAGTGAATTAGAACTAATTTTGCTCAATTTTCGTATTTTTCACCTCAAAAATCGGGTTTTCCTCAATAAAACACGGTTTTTATAGTGTTTCTTGCTTTAATTTCTGCCTTTTTTCATGCAAAAACCTCGAAAATCCAAAAAATACCGTAGTTTTTTAAAGGCGCAACAGCTGAAACACACATAGGGTCTCGTCGCGACGAAAAATTTTCAAAAAAAAAAAAATTTTTTTTTCAAAAATTTTTTTTTCTATTTTCAATATGATATCGTCATATTTTCACATCTCCTGATACTGAGAAAAAAAATTTCAAAATAGTTTTTCTCGAAATAATCGACAAACGTCAGTTGTCGTAATTCCCAAAGTAGTCAAGAACATCATCTCATAAATATATATATCATAAATATAGTATAACTCTGACATACATTTATAAGTAATCCAGGGTTTTTTTGGTAAAATAAACATTTTTGGGACTAAAAATGCGGAAATTTGAATATTTTAAGACCAAATATGATTAGGGAAATATTTTTTTCAATTTTTTATGTTTCCCATTAGCCATAACACGCGAAAAGCTATAGTTTTCCACTAAAAATATTAACATCTACAATTTTTCTTGTTGAAAAACTTTTTTTGTACCCTATACATATATATTTTTTTTCCTGGCTCACAATGTTATTATAATGATAAAAGTTTGGTGCGTTCTTTCGATTAAATTTGACTTTTTGCTTATCGAAAATTATTTTTTTTTTTTGTTGAAAATTGATTTTGGCGCTCAAATTCTATTTGAAATTCATAATCATAATCCACGTGGCAAATTCAGAGCTTCTGAATTTTTTGAATTCGAAATTTCAGCGCCAAAATATGGAAGATCACAATTTTGGCGGCACAACTTTTTCTTTTAGAATTTGAATTTCAAAATTTTGCGCTTAAAATTTTCAGTGAGCCTATAATCCACGTAGCAAATCTCTAATCTGAAATTTTCAACTTCCAACCCTATACAGTACCCTCCCCCCCCAAAGTCAAATTTGTGGGCGGAGCCTCCCCCCCCCCCCCCCGAAATAGCCTAACTTATTTATTATGTATTATTCTCTCATTTTCTCTATTTACCTTTGCACTTTTTTCTAGGAAGCTCCGCCTTCCCAATTTTTTCGGCTGTTCGCGGAAAAAAGTCGCGAAAATCGAGGCGCCGCCCACTTTTTCGAATCTCCCCCAGAAGAAAATGAGAATTTCTTCTCTCGATCTTGTGTTTATTTTTTTTCTTTTGGGGTTCGGGAATAAACTAGAGTATAGTCTAGTTAAGGGTAAGGGTCTTGAGTTCTTGTAGATACCTTTCAGGCTCTCAAACTAAACTAGACTCTAGTTTTTTTCCCCCAATTTTTTCGAATTTCGAAACTTTTTCTATTAGCTAAAAAAAAATGAATAAATAAATAAACATGTATACATTTTTTATCACCCAGCCAAAAAAAAAAACAACAAAAACATAATAATTTTTATTTATTTTTCTCGATGGCAAGCAAAATAATACTATATTACTATTTTTTTGTTGACTTTTTGATTTGATAACCAACTTTTTTTTCTGTTTATATATTCAAATTTTGCCATGCTTTTCGGCACTTTTTTGGGCCTTACAGTACTTTTTTACCGATCTACCGTACCAAAAAAAAAATTTGCAGCAAAATGTTGTTCACTGTCGAACAGTTGGAATTAATACGGAGGCTCAGAACGACCGGAATTTCACCTGATCAGATTTCGAAGGTATGCTCCTTTAAAGTGTAGGGGTACTGTAGGCTTTAGATGTGTTCCTTTAAACTACAGTATTCATTACTGCAGTTAAGAAGACAGTTTTTCATGTTCCTTTAAAACCTAGGGGTACTGTACGGTATTCTATTTACTTACCGTAGTCATTTTTTCAACCCTAGAAAATTATATGATCCTTTAAACTACAGTATTCATTACTGTGGGTTAAGAAGAAAAATTTTCATGTTCCTTTAAAATGTATAGGTACTGTAGTTTAACTGATCCACAGTAGTCATTTTTTCATCTTTAGAAATTCATATGATCCTTTAAACTAGAGTAGGATTACTGTAGTTCACAAAATCCTTGTCATTCATGTTCCTTTAAAATCTAGGGGTACTGTAAGGTATTCTATTTAGATGTATAGGTACTGTAGTTTAACTGATCTACAGTATTCATTTTTTCAACTCTAGAAATTCATATGATCCTTTAAACTACAGTATTCATTACTGTAGTTCAAGAAAAAATTTTCATGTTCCTTTAAAATGTATAGGTACTGTAAGGTTCTATGTAGATCTCGTGATCCTTTAAGCTACAGTATCTGTGGTTTAAAGGATCATGGGGTACTGTAAGGGGGTCTAGCTCCAAAAAATCCCCAATTTTTTTCCAGGCGTTCAATGAGTTGGAAAAAGTGGAGCCCGAACCATCCAACAATAACGAGGAGCCTGCGGAACCGACCCCAGCTCCCGAACCCATCGTGACACCTCGCGCAATCTACGCCCCAATCCTCGTCCAACATCTCACCTCAACATCCACACCCACACCATCAACATCACCCAAACCACCACAGCTCACACTACAGACAGTCCCAGAGCCGTCGAGCTCAACAACCTATGAGCACCCGATTTGTAGTAGTGCACCACGGCCTATCAGATCCCAGCGGACGCCGATGAAAGAGATCACAACTTTGGACAATCCAGCGGAACTCGAAGAATTCATGCGGCAAGGCGAAGAGGCTTGTATATTGGACATGAAAACGTTCATCACCCAATACAGCCTACGACAAACTACAGTAGCCATGATGACAGGCGTGAGTCAACCGTACATCTCGAAACTGCTCAACGGAAATCATCGCGAACTTTCGTTGCGTTGTCGCAAGAACATCTATTGTTGGTATTTGAATTGTCGACGACATCCGGAAAAATTGGCGGCATTTCTGGCGGATCCGGCGACACGGTTGGAGACGAATTGCGATGGGGAGTTGGTGCCGCAGAGACGCGAGAGATATGTGTTCAGACCGATTTTGATTCGGATGTTGGAGAACTTTTTTGCGCAGACACCATTTCCGGATTTGGCGAGACGCGTGGAAATTGCGACCGCTTGTAATCATGTGCTGCAGTTGGATAAGAAAGGTTCGTGGTGGGACCCTTTATGTGCCTTTAAAAAATTATGGGCGGTTTTTCCAAATTAAAATGTTCTACAGTAGCTTTTCTCATTAGCTACGAGACCATTCATGCGCCTTTAAAATCCACGTGGCATAATTTTTTTTTTACAAAAAAAAATTTGGAACTCTGAGTTTTCCACAGTAGTTTTTCAGTCGCGGCGAGACCCTTGAAAATCCACGTGACAAAAAATTTGTACATTATTTTATAATCGCACGTGGCAAAAATGTATACAGTATTTTATACACGTGGTTAAAAGTTTGTACAGTATTTTATAATCGCTTCGAGACCCTTCATGCGCCTTGAAAATCCACGTGGCTAAAAACGTGTACAGTATTTTATACACGTGGCTAAAAATTTGTACAGTATTTTATAATCGTATCTTCTTCATTTTCCACAGTAGTTTTTTTCAGTCGCGACGAGACCCTAGAAAATCCACGTGGCAAAAAATTTATACAGTATTTTATAATCGCATCAAGACCCTTCATGCGCCTTGAAAATCCACGTTTTTTTCCAGGAATTGGCCTTATGCCAAAAGAAATCGTCTCGCCACAAGTGGTCTCCAATTGGTTTGCCAACAAGCGCAAGGAACTGCGCAGGCGATCCGCGGAAAACGCGTCAACCGCAACTGGAAGCGGAAGCGGAAGCGGAAGCTCAACACTCAACGACAATGTCAGTGTTGCCAGTATGAGTCCGGAATCGAGGGATGAGATGACGATGTCACGCGCAACCACTCCGGAAACGCTTCTCCCAGCCTCTTCCGCAAGTCTGCCCTCACCCTGTCCAATGCCGTTCGATCTTTCCGCAACGCAACCGCTTGCGCAACCCATTTTGCCGCCAACAAATCTTGATATTTTCCAAATGGCCCAACGCCTTGGCATCACTTTGCCGCCTCCGCAAACCCTTACGCTTCCGGATGGTGGCGTAAATCTGTTTTTCAACCCCAACAATCCATTTTTACAATTTCCGCTTATGCCACAGTTACAGTAACTCATATAGCTTTTCATAATATTTTCTGTTTTTTTTTTTGAAAAACCCATGACCCGTTGAATATAATAGTATATAATTTTTGAATTTTACGAGTTCCCACCCAAAATCCCATGCAAAACATCGATTGCTTGCCAAATTTATGTATCGATTTTTTTTTCGACATTAATAAATAAATTTTTCACTTTTTTTTCACAAGCGCGATTTAATATTATTAATTTCGACAATAAACAAAAATGGTTGCGTGGCCGAGTGGTATGCACGCGTGTCTTTTGTTCACGAAGCCTGGGTTCGACACCGGGTGCTGGCAGAATTTTTTTTGTTTTTTTTTTTTCTTTTTTCCATAAAGCGAAGCAGAAAAAAAGAATAAAAATGACAAAACCAAAAAAAAATTCCAATTTTCAATTTTCAAATTCAATTTTCTCGCCCCATTTTTCTTTTTTTCCTTTGTCTTTCTTTCTTTTTTTTGAAAAAAAAAATAAATCCGAGGTTCAAAACGCAAATTTCTTGCGCGCCGGAAACTATTTTCTCCAGGAATTTTTTTTTTCAAAAAAAAAAAAAATTTGGAATGCATATTTTTTCGTGACTTTTCTGGATTTTCTTCCCCAGGATCGCTGAATTATTTATTTTTTTTAGAGAAGAAGCTAAAAGAAGTCTCAAGATTCCCCCACTTTTCATCAGAATTTTTTTTTGCAGCTCAAGAAAATTTTGCCACGTGGATTTTCACTCTCAAAATTTTGAATTTCAAATTTTGCCACGTGGATTTTCGCTCTCAAAATTTTCGAATTTCAAATTTTGCCACGTGGAATTTCAGAGCTGAAATTTGAAGCTTGAAATTAGACACGTGGATTTTCGCTCTCAAAATTTTGAATTTCAAATTTTGCCACGTGAAATTTCGGCACGAAAATTTTGCCACGTGGATTTTCACTCTCAAAATTTTGAATTTCAAAATTTTGCCACGTGGATTTCTAGCGCTCAAATTTTTGAATTTCAAATTTTGCCACGTGGATTTTCGCTCTCAAAATTTTCAAATTTCAAATTTTGCCACGTGGATTTTCGGCTCTAAATTTTCAGGACCCAAATTTTTAAGATAAATTTCCAGCTTCAAATTTTTTTAGCAACGAAAATCCACGTGGAAAAAATTTGGATCCCAAATTTCTAATTCAAAATTTTTTAATTCAAATCTAGAAAAAAAATTTGGCGCGAAAATTTCAATTTCAAAATTTTCAGCAAAAATTTCTAGAAACCTCCCAAAAACTATATAATATTTTTTTATCCAAAAAAAAAATTTTTTTTTTTTTTTTGCACAAAAAGGTGCTCTTCTCATCCATCAATTAGGTTCTCCTTTTTTCCCATTTTTTTTCTCCGCGCGCGAAAAAAAAACAAAAAAAAAATCTGAAATCGGTTCACAAAGGTCCCCGGGGACCACATTGAACCCCTTTTATTTTTCATTTTTCCACTTTTTTTTTGAAAAATCTAGCGCGCTTTGAAAAAAGTGTCAAAGAGTCCATCAAAAAATCCCGCTTTTTTTCTAGAGTTAGGCTATATCAAAAATATTTTTTTTCAGCACAAATTTTCAGCCATCAACAAAAATGCCACATGGCTTTGCTGAAAGTCAGAGATGAGTGTACAAAATTGATTGGACATCGGTGAGATTTTTTGAATTTCAAAATTTCGCGCCAAAAATGCCAATCAATGAAATTTGCAGATTTTTGAATTCGCACATCTGCCTCGTGATTTCATTAGTTCAGTTGGGAGTTTGTTTCTGGGCCGTTGCCCAGCACGTTTTCTCATATCTTAATTATCAAAAGGTAAGTTCTAATGAAAAAAAAAACGTTTCTTAACGTTAACTTTAACGTTTAACGTTAAAAAACCAAAAAAGTGATTCACGATCGGTATTTTTATTCATTTTTTCACAATTTTTATGAAATTTTATAAAATCCCCCAAAAAAACTCACATTTTCTCCAGTTTTCCTCGAAATACAGAATTATTTGACCAAAAACCATTTTTCTGACGATTTTCCTGAAAAACATAATATAAAGTAAACGAAAAGCAAGAAAAGTACATTTTTCCATGAAAAATAGCTTTTTAGCATCAGTTTTTGAATAAAACTATCAAAAATCAACTAAAATTATGTTAGCTGTACCAAGTTTCATTCAAATTCATGAAAAAACAACAAAAAAACGCGAAAGAAACATTTTCGAAAAACAAAAAAACAAGAAAATAAAAGTAGAAATGGAAGTGCGCTCCATTGATAAAAATTGCATGTTGCGCGCTCGTTCAAAAATGTGTTTTTTTTTTTTGCTTTTTTTTTTCATTTTTTGGGAGATTAGGCTGATTAAAAAGTCTTTAAATAGCATTTCTGGACACTAAAATGTGTTTTAGCTTAACTTAAGGTTAAACTTAACGTTAAAAACGTTTTTTTAACGTTTTAACGTTTGTGAATCACTTTTTTGGCTTTTTAACGTTAATTTCGTTTTTTCAGATTCTCAAATGTGATTTTCTCAACGGCAGTCTTCCATTGGAAGCTGTAGACGCCGTGATTTTCGACATTCGATTATTTCATTACCTCTGGGGAATTCGAGGATGTGTCGCGGAATATTTAGATGGAGGTGAGTGTTTTTTGGCTACCCTAAACGTTTTTTTGAATTTTTCAACAAATTGGGCAGTTCTCAGTGGAGCACATTTGCCTCAAAATTCAAATTTTCCCTCACAGGTTTCGGCCGTCTTGCCTGGTGTGTTTCTCACACCACAGCTCTGCTCTTCTCGCTACCCGTCACATTTTTGTCGCATCCGAAACCCTGCTATTTTTGGCCGCTGCTATTTCAGGTGAGTTGGATTTTAAGCGCGCGAAAACTTAGATTTTGAAAATTTTCGAAATGTTCAAACTTTTTTTCGCCCCGCGATGTTTGATGTGTTGAAAATGTGACATTTCTCAAATCTCCAGAGATTTTTTTTACCAAAAAAAAATTTTTTTCTGCGATTTCGAAATTCTTCCGCGCTATAAAACTACAGTACCCCGGGGGGACCACCCGAAGAACAAATCGTAAAGCTATAAAAAATTTTACACAAAAAATTTGGAAGCCGGCAAAAAAAAACAGCTAACGAACACATGTCAAATCACCCCCAGGCGCTTGTTGTTGTCTGCGTCTCTCACAATCCCTGTGCTCTCTCTCTCTCTCTCCCTGGTCGCGCCTTGAAAAAGTGCAAATGAATTAGGACCGGATTCTTCTTCGCTTTTGTGTGTCTGCGTCTCTCGTGTTTCGAGATAGTTTAACTATATGAACAGATACCACCCTGAGAGAAGAGGAATTTCATAAAATTTGGGGGCTTGCAGTTTGAGACTACAGTACTTCTTGCAGTCTGGAAACTGTAGATTTTCCAATTTGATCTACATACAGTATGCCTTGCAGTTTGAGGCTACAGTACTTTTTTGCAGTCTGGAAACTATAGGTTTTTCAGTGTGATCTACATACAGTGCTTCTTGCAGTTTGAGGGTACAGTACTTCTTGCAGTTTCAGGCTACAGTATTTCTTGCAGTCTGAAAACTGTCGATTTTCTAGTTTGATCTACATACAGTATACCTTGCAGTCTGGGTGGGGGTTTCAGAAAAAACTCGATTTTTGCAGCCCAACAAATTTCATAAAATCAACCTACAGTACCCTTTGTAGTCCAGAGAGTACTGTAGCTTTATTAGGCTACAAAAATTCTATTTTTTAACATTTCATATAATGACTACTACAGTACTCTTTGCAGTCCGGAAAATACAGAATCCTTCATGTTTGGAAATTCCACCAAACCTACTGTACTCTTTGCAGTTTTAAGAATCTGACGGAAAACCCGACTACAGTACTCCTTGTAGTTTGAGCTACAGTGTAATTTGCAGTTCGAAACTATACGTCTTCTGCAGTTCGTAAAACAAATACAGTACCCCTTGTAGTTTGATCTACAGTACCCCTAAATTAGTGCAAAATTGATGAAATGACTACAGTACTCCTTGTAGTTTGATCTACAGTATTACATATTGTATTTTGCAGTTTGAAAAAATAGTACAGTACTGCTTGCAGTTCAGAAACAAATACAGTACTCCTTGTAGTTTGAGCTACAGTACCCTTATAACTACAGTACCTCTAAATTAGTGCAAAATGTTGCTTGTTTTCGGCAAAACCGTCATTTGTTGTTTCATTTCGCAAAGCCCTGAAAAGAAAAAAACTATTTGTCTTGATCTTCTCTGCGTCTCTCAAAATGCCGTACTCTCTCTCTCATTTCTGCGTCGTCCCCCAGGTAAACACTGAACAAAAACGAACGGGAAGAGAAAGAAAAAAAAACTTGAAAAGTGCAAAAGCGAGAGATTAGGGGAAATGGAGAGACGCAGACATATTGAGATTGACGGAGAGAAGAACACTTTTATACGTATAGTTTGGGGGAAATGAGAAAATTGAGAAAAGGGGTCGGTTTTTTTCCGCAAGCTTCCGCGTGTGCGGAAAAGTTAAAGTTACCTCAACAGAAGGGTTTCAGAAAATATTTCCACGTGGCAAAATTTTGCGCCAAAAATCACGTTTTCAAAATATTTATCACGAAAAATTCAGGTAGATCAAATTTAGCGCCAAAAACTCTTGCCATTCAGAAAAAAAATTTTTCAAAAAAAACAAATTTTTTTTCAAAAATTGTTAAACTCAAATTTTTGCCACGTGGATTTTTGGGTCCCCAACAATTTTGCTTAAAATTTGTTTTTTTTTTTTGATTTTTAGACGCCAAAAACATGCCACGTGGATTTGTGGTTCAAAAATTGTTGAAACTCAAAATTTTTACGCGAAAATGAGTCCACGTGGCAAAATTTCGCGCCAAAAATCACGTTATCAAAATTTAAAAAAATCACGAAAAATTCAGGTAGATCAAATTTAGCGCCAAAAACTCTTGCCATAAAAAAAAATTTTCAAAAAAAAAATTTAAAAAAAAAATTTCAAAACAAAAAAATTTTTTTTTTAACTCAAATTTTTGCCACATGGATTTTTGGGGTCCCCAACAATTTTGCTAAAAATTAAAAAAATCACGAAAAATGCAGGTAGATCAAATTTAGCGCCAAAAACTCTTGCCATTCGGAAAAAAAAAATTTCAAAAAAAAAAATTGTGGTTCAAAAATTGTCAAACTCAAACTTTTGCCACGTGGATTTTTGGGGCCCCAACAATTTTGCTAAACATTTGTTTTTTTTTGGTTTCTGGACGTCAAAAACATGCCACGTGGATTTGTGAATTTTCAACAAAAAAAAATGTAAAAAAAACTTTAAAAAAAATTTTTAAAAAAAATTAAAAAAAAAAAAATTGTTAAACTCAAATTTTTCCCACGTGGATTTTTGGGGCCCCAACAATTTTGCTAAACATTTGTTTTTTTTTGGTTTCTGGACGTCAAAAATATGCCACGTGGATTTGTGAATTTCCAAAAAAAAAAAATTTCAAAAAAAAAAAAAAAAAATTCAAAAAAAAAAAAATTTTTTTTTCAAAAATTGTTAATGGTGCTATTCATGTTATTTTTCAACGCTGAGAAAACGGGAGAAAAGCGGAGAAAACCTATTCAGGTAGGCTGAGAAAATACGAAAAAAGCGGAGAAAATGTATTTCCTCCGCATTTCTCCTGTTTTCTCAACATGCTGAGAAAATACATGAATAGCCCCATAAACTCAAATTTTTGCCACGTGGATTTTTGGGTCCCCAACAATTTTGCCTAAAATTTGTTTTTTTTTTGGTTTCTGGACGTCAAAAACCTGCCACGTGGATTTGTGAATTTTCAAAAAAAAAAAATTTCAAAAAAAAATTTCAAAAAAAAAAAAATTTAAAAAAAAAAATTTAAAAAAAAATTGTTAAACTCAAATTTTTGCCACGTGGATTCTTGTGGCCCCCCAACAATTTTGCTTCCAGCAATCCGCCTATGGTATCTGCCTACTCGTTCTCCTTTTGGCTGCACTTCCACGAATTGTCATGGTGATGGCTGCACCACAAGCTGCACCATTGGCACCGATTTTGTTCTATCTAATTGGCACGGGTCTCAACTTTTTTCATGTGAGCCGAAAATTTCACGATTTTCACCATAACCTAAAAAAAAATTCTGAAAAAAATTTCTTTTCCAGCTTTACGTATACTGGCATTGGTATTGGCATGTTCAAGCAATGTGGAATTCTGCTGTTCGAATTAAGGTAACTTAAGGAATTAAGGTAATTAAGGTACCAAAAAAATGTGTTTAGTTTGGTAGTCGTCTTGAGAATGCGAACAATCGAAGTCGGAGGGATCGACCGATGAGACCAGCGGAAGAAATCGATGAGGATGTGTTGAATTATGTGCCGGCTGTTTCGGAGAGTGTCGAATTTGCGGCGGTGAAGGTGAGCTTCTCGAGCGCAGCGAGTGTAGACCACAAGCTTCCGCGCAGCGGCCACGCGGATTACTACACGTTATAGTAATCCACGTGGCCGCTACGCGGAAGCTTGCGGTTTAAAGACTTATTTTGTTCGAGCGGAGCGAGTGTAGACCGCAAGCTTCCGCGTCAGCGGCACTATATTCCGCGCAGCGGCCACGCGGATTACTACACATTATAGTAATCCACGTGGTCGCTACGCGGAAGCTTGCGGTTTAAAGACTATTATTTTGTTCGAGCGAAGCGAGTGTAGACCGCAAGCTTCCGCGTTAGCGGCATTATCTTCCGCGAAGCGGCAAAGTTATCATAACTTTTTCTGGCTGATCTAGAAAGTTATGGTAACTTTGCCTTTCAAGTCGAAAAAAAAAATTTTAAATTTCGATTCAGAAAATGTCAAAAATTTGTATTTTTTCCTATTTTTCGAAATTTTTGTTTATTTTTGTGTGGAAAAAAATGTCGAAAAATAGGAAAAATTATAGTTTTTTAATCGAAATTTTTTAAAAATATTTTTAAAAATTTTTTTTTCGCCTCAAATTACCCTATAACTTTTGCTGAAAAACGACTGTGATAACATTTTTAGGCTAACATTTTTGACACGTGGAATCTTAAAGTCAAATTTTTTTTTGTGAAAAATTCAGGGACCAAAATCTCTGGAATTTCAAGGCTCATATGGGTCTCGTAGCGATAGAGCATGACTACTACAACATTTTTTTGCCACGTGGAATGTTTTGGGTCAAAATTTTTTTTGCAAAGTTACCCTAACTTTCCAGATTAACCTAAGCTTGTGGAAAAGCCTATAGGTCTAGATAAGCCCCTGATTCAAAATCCAAAAAGCCCGATCTATTTTTGCAGATAATCCTCCCACCCGACACTTCCTCTTCTTCAGCTGCTCCCCTTCTCAACGGCCATATCCCAGGACCAAAACCCATCTCGAACCACCTTCCGCAAATCAAAAATCCCGAGAATTCCATCGACATCTATTCGGGCGATGAGGCAGATCTTGACGAATTCGCCACTCCACCCCCACCAATCTATGCGACGCGACTCGATTGGCGCGCTCCGGAAAATCATCCGCATGCTGCGCGGAAGCCGCGCCGCTTGCTACCGGCTACGCCTGATCTTCCGCGACACGGAGAAGTTGCGCCAGAGCGACGGATGCGATCGGATGTTTTCTATTTGCCAGAGTATTCACTTTAGGATCAAATTTTTTGTAATTGCGATACGGTTTTTGATTATGCAGTGATTTTTTTCGAAAAAAAGTTTTTTTTTGAAATTTTTCTTTAACGTTAAAAAACGTTAAGAAACGTTTTTTATTTCGTGAATCAATGAATTTTGAGAACTTTTTATTCTAACAATTTTCTCCAGCTTCAGCTTCCCTCTTCGACTTAAGATAAATCAAATCGCGATTCGAAATCACATCTGAAAGTCGGAGATTCGAAGAGTTCAGCTTCTTCCGCGCCACAATTGTATTATTGTGTGCCGCGCGGCGATAGATTTCCGGAAGCGAAGATAGGAGAAGCTGAAAACAAAATTTAAATTCAAACGCGCTCCATTGAGAAACCCACTTACATCAATATCATTTTCAGATGTTTCGACAGGTGTTAATTGACATATGAATTTTGAGGCCGCCATCAATTTCCAGGCTGAATTTCCGAGCTGAAAATATTGATTTTTTTTATTTTCAGCAATTTCAGAGGCTCACATTTATCGGCTCCTTTAATTCTCGATTCATTTGAAAATCCAGTCCACAAGAAGCCAGAAATTCCGAATGATTCTGGAATTTGATTGTCGTCAGATTAAAAAAAAAAAAAAAAAAATTTTTTGCGCGCCAAAACCCACCATATAGGTCGTATTCAAAGGCGCAAACTCAATTTCCACACAATTCGTCACAACAGGCCGTGTAGGCAGCATACAGTACACTTCCAAATGTTGACAATCGATAAGGTGCAAGCGGCTACAGGCGACAGTAACCCGTAGGAATTTGCAGTTTGATAGAACGACAGTACCCCGAACTGCACCGAGTACTGTAGTTCGGCAAAATTCCAGGGAGTCGAGGATGACGGATTCGAGGCTGGAATTTATTAGGTTGGGCTTGGGTTAGGCTTAGGTTAGGCTTAGGCTAGGCTTAGGCCGGGCTTAGGTAAGTTACCTTAAAAGTGCAAAAATAAACGAGGCTTTCGGTTTATCGTGACAAATTCTCAAATGAACATTGGCAAAATCGTCTTTCCGAAAAAGCTGCAAAAAAAAATTTAAAAATTTTTTTTTTTTTTTTTTTTTTTTTTTTAAATTACAGCTCCTACCTCAAACTTGTTTACATTGTGTAGATGTACAACACGTCGTGTGTTATGAGCCAAAGTTGTTCGGCGGAACGATGCGGAAGCGGAAGCGGAAGCGGAATGTCGCGCGAACATCGGAATTTCGTCAATGTGATAGGGATCGAGGATGAGGGAGGAGATGATTTTTTGAGCGAGGTTGGGCTGGAAATTGAATCTGGGGCTTGGGTTAGGCCAGGGTTAGGCTTAGGCTAGGCTTGGGTTAGGCTAAGCTCAGGCTTGGTTTAGGGTTAGATAAGGGTAAGCTTAGGCTAGGCTAAGGTCGGGCATAAGCTAGGCTTAGGTAAGGCTTAGGCTAAGGTCGGGCATAAGCTAGGCTTAGACTAAGCTTAGGCTTAGGTTGTGCACGACCATACAAGGCGCCCGTTGAGTCAGACGCGAGACGACGAGAGTATTTTGCAAAAATATCTCGAAAATGAATTTCGCTTCGAGATATTTTCAATAAAACATGTGTTCCTTGAAACAAAATACAGTATTTTTTCAAAGGGACACATACATTTTCTCAAAAATATCTCGAAGCGATGTCTTTCTCTGTCTCAGATGACGTCTGACCCGAGGGGCAATTTTCTATTGGAGTAAATGGTCGTGTGGGCTTAGCTTAGGCTTAGGCTAAGCTTAGGTAAGACTTGGGTTAGGCTTAGGCTAAGCCTAGGCCTGTCCACTAAAGCGGAAGCTTACAGTTTACACTCGCGCCAGAGGCGCTCGAGCCTTAGGTCGGGCTTAGGTTAGGCCTAGGCCTGTTAGGTTAGACCTACACCAGAATTCTCGCCTACCTCATCAGCCTCATCAAAAACCGTCAAAATCTCCGAAGCTGGCCGAACACAATTCCTAGTCCCTCTCGATTTCACGGTCCCCTCCAAAATCTCGTCCAAAACATCCGAATTCCGCCTCAAAAATCCCAAAAATTCTCCACCTCCGCTGAAGAAGCTTTTGAGATTTTCGAGAATATTTTCAGCGCGCGATCCATTTTGTCTGGAATTATTTTGAAGAGCCGCGAAAATTAGAGCAACTATCAGAGGAGTACTGTAGGAGGCTCCGGGAGCATTTTGAAAAATTGCCTCGAGAATTTGCTCGGGCATTTTTGAGCCACAAATGCTGGAGAATTTGGGGAATCTGCAAAAAAATTGATTTTTTTTGAAAATCCGAAAAAGAAAAAAAACTCACAAAATTTTCCCCTCACATTTCTGCAGCTCGCGACAAATTCGAAAAACATTTTCGAATTCGAAAAATTGCGCGGCAGAATCAGCAAAAAATAGGCAATTTTGAAGTGATCGAATCGAACGAACCCATAGATAAATACACGTGGCTGGGGATGCGGAAGCGGAAGACATTTTCCGCGCGCGCGGAAAAAATGAGGCAGACACAATGGGGGGAGAAGTAACACAATATAATGAGCGGTTGTCATGGCAACGAGCTAAAAAGCGGAGCGAGTTACCCTAACTCTCCGGATTTTTTTTCTAGACCAGAATTTTGTACTGAAAATCGATAGATTATCTGAAAAATCACGAATTTCTTGATTTTCAGCACAAAATTTCAGTCTAGAAACTTGTTTTTAGGAGCGAGGGACTAGAATTTGAATTTTTCACGAATTTCGTTTTCTAGACCAGAATTTTGTGCTGAAAATGATAGGATAATCTGAAAATCACAAATTTCTTGATTTTCAGCATAAAATTTCAGTCTAGAAACCTATTTTTATCTAAGCTGAGGGACTAGAATTTGAATTTTTTCACAATTTATTTTTCTAGATCAGAATTTTGTGCTGAAAATGATAGGATAATCTGAAAAATCACGAATTTCTTGATTTTCAGCACAAAATTTCAGCCAAGAAACTTATTTTTAAGGCTAAAAATTCAACTAGAATTTGATTTTTTCACGAATTTTGTTGTCTAGATCAGAATTTTGTGCTGAAAATGATGGATAATCTGAAAAATCACAAATTTCATGATTTTCAGCATAAAATTTCAGTCTAGAAACCTATTTTTATCTAAGCTGAGGGACTAGAATTTGAATTTTTTCACAATTTATTTTTCTAGATCAGAATTTTGTGCTGAAAATGATAGGATAATCTGAAAAATCACGAATTTCTTGATTTTCAGCACAAAATTTCAGCCAAGAAACTTATTTTTAAGGCTAAAAATTCAACTAGAATTTGATTTTTTCACGAATTTTGTTGTCTAGATCAGAATTTTGTGCTGAAAATGATGGATTATCTGAAAAATCACAAATTTCATGATTTTCAGCACAAAATTTCAGTCTAGAAACCTATTTTTATCTAAGCTGAGGGACTAGAATTTGAATTTTTTCACAATTTATTTTTCTAGATCAGAATTTTGTGCTGAAAATGATAGGATAATCTGAAAAATCACGAATTTCTTGATTTTCAGCACAAAATTTCAGCCAAGAAACTTATTTTTAAGGCTAAAAATTCAACTAGAATTTGATTTTTTCACGAATTTTGTTGTCTAGATCAGAATTTTGTGCTGAAAATGATGGATTATCTGAAAAATCACAAATTTCATGATTTTCAGCACAAAATTTCAGTCTAGAAACCTATTTTTATCTAAGCTGAGGGACTAGAATTTGAATTTTTTCACAATTTATTTTTCTAGATCAGAATTTTGTGCTGAAAATGATAGGATAATCTGAAAAATCACGAATTTCTTGATTTTCAGCACAAAATTTCAGCCAAGAAACTTATTTTTAAGGCTAAAAATTCAACTAGAATTTGATTTTTTCACGAATTTTGTTGTCTAGATCAGAATTTTGTGCTGAAAATGATGGATTATTTGAAAAATCACAAATTTCTTGATTTTCAGCATAAAATTTCAGTCTAGAAACCTATTTTTATCTAAGCTGAGGGACTAGAATTTGAATTTTTTCACAATTTATTTTTCTAGATCAGAATTTTGTGCTGAAAATGATAGGATAATCTGAAAAATCACGAATTTCTTGATTTTCAGCACAAAATTTCAGTCTAGAAACTTATTTTTAAGCTGGGGGACTAGAATTTGAATTTTCCCCCTTTTTTTCACGAATTTTATTTTCTAGACCAGAATTTTGTGCTGAAAATGATAGAAAATCTGAAAAATCACGAATTTCTTGATTTTCAGCACAAAATTTCAGTCTAGAAACCTATTTTTTTTATCTAAGCTGAGGGACTAGAATTTGAATTTTTTTCACAAACTATTTTTCTAGATCAGAATTTTGTGCTGAAAATGATAGAAAATCACGAATTTCTAGATTTTCTGCACAAAATTTCAGTCTAAAAACTTATTTTCATCTAAGCTGGGGGACTAGAATTTGAATTTTCCCCTTTTTTTTCACGAATTTTGTTTTCTAGCTCAGAATTTTGTGCTGAAAATGATAGAAAATCTGAAAAATCACGAATTTCTTGATTTTCAGCACAAAATTTCAGTCTAGAAACTTATTTTTAGGAGCGAGGGACTAGAACTTGAATTTTGCAAAACCTAGTCCCCCGTTTTTTCACGAATTTTATTTTCTAGACCAGAATTTTGTGCTGAAAATGATGGATTATCTGAAAAATCGATAAAAATCACAAATTTCTTGATTTTCAGCACAAAATTTCAGTCTAGAAACTTATTTTTATCTAAGCTGAGGGACTAGAATTTGAATTTTTCACGAATTTTATTTTCTAGATCAGAATTTTGTGCTGAAAATGATAGAAAATCTGAAAATCGATGAATTTCTCGATTTTCAGCACAAAATTTCAGTCTAGAAACTTATTTTTCCCATTTTTCACGAATTTTATTGTCTAGATCAGAATTTTGTGCTGAAAACGATAGATTATCTGAAATTGCATGAATTTCTTGATTTTCAGCACAAAATTTCAGTCTAGAAACTTATTTTTCCCATTTTTCACGAATTTTATTGTCTAGATCAGAATTTTGTGCTGAAAATGATAGAAAATCTGAAATTCCAGCCAAAAAGGTTGGCCGAAGACTAGTCTGAATTGTGTTGATATGGCGATCGCACTCAGAATCATTTCCAGAAGAAATTGCTTGCCGAGACCGTTTCCCAATCTCTCTGTGAAATAGAGAGAAACCTTTCTTCTACAGTCTCATTTCTATCAAGAAATATTATCTAAATACTTCCTAAGTATCACTTATTTGGACATTCTCTCAGACCTTCCCGGGATTCGAATTAGACCACACACAAAGAGGGCCTTTGAGTCACTCCCATTCGCCTTCTTTCGGCCAACCTTTCAAAAGAAAAGAGAAAAATGGGAGAGATAAAAATAGTGGTGAGAAGGAGCGACCGACGGTTGACGGGTTGTGCGAGGCGACATGTTTTGTGTGCGGAGTGGGCGGAGCTTCGCTTTTTTTGTTTGTTTTATTTTCAAAAAAAAAGAGAAAAAAAAATTTTTTTTGGAGGAATAGAAGCGTTTTTACTTAAGGGGTGATTCAAGTCAAAAAAAAATAAAAAAACAAATTTTTTAACGAAAAATTTCAATGTCAAAAAACCATATTTTTTCATTTTTGTGTGATTTTCTGTGCCTTTAAAATACTGTGCCTTTTTGCCACGTGGATTTTTGAGTTATTTTTTTTTCAGATTCCAGATTTTAAGCCTGAAATTCAAGAATTCCTGTAAAAATTTAAAAATATCACATTTTTTGCGCGAAAAATCACGAATTTCTCTTTTTTTTCAAGCTGATCGTGAGGGACTAGAATTTGAATTTTTCAAAAAACCTAGTCCCCCGTTTTTTTCACGAATTTTGTTGTCTAGACCAGAATTTTGTGCTGAAAATCAAGAAATTCGTGATTTTTCAGATTATCTATCATTTTCAGCACAAAATTCTGGTCTAGAAAACGAAATTCGTTTAAAAAAATGGGGGACTAGGTTTTGCAAAATTCAAATTCTAGTCCCTCTGCTTAGATAAAAAAATAGGTTTCTGGACTGAAATTTTGTGCTGAAAATCAAGAAATTCGTGATTTTTGTCGATTTTCAAATAGATTTGCATTTTTTGGTCCCAAAATCCGGGGAAAAACTAAGCCTAAGCCTAATTTGACTTAAAAACTGGAAATCTTCAATTTCAGCTTCAAAATCTGTGAAAAACGCCAAGAATTCGGTGATTTTTCATCTGAAATTATCGATTTTCTCATAGACACCAGAATTATCAAAACAATCTTCTTCAACAAAAAAAAAATCTTAAATCCCTCCTGTCGAAATTCCAAAATACATGGATGCCAACACGCTCAAAAATCGATGAGTTCTTCGATTCGATTCAGCCAGGATCATGCTTCCCGGTATATTTTTATTTGCAGCAAGTGAACTGGCTCCAGCATACTGTAATTTTGGTTGATTTTTGATTTTTTAAAGGCGCAGAGACTTAGGGTAACTTACAAGTGTGTTAAGTGATTTGGTCATTCGATTTTCGTAATAAATTTGGCTGAGCATTTCGATGGCATTTGTGTCGATGATAAAATCGGCACAATTTGCTCCAACATCTCGTGTTAAATTGTTGCGAAGAAGCTGGAAATTCCGGAGATTTTCAGTCAATTTTTGAAAAATTCCCAAAAATTTCATATGAAATTTTTGAAACGTAAAAAATCTAGGATTTTTGGACCCATTTTTTGGCTGAAAATTATGAATTTTCAATATTTTCCATCAAATTTCAAGCATTTTCAGCTCAAAAATTCAAAATTTCAAAATTTTCTTAGCTAGGTTAAGAAATGTGCATTTTCTATTGATTTTTGTTAGCCAAATTTCAATTTTCAAAAATTTTGAAACGTAAAAAATCTAGGGATATTTTTTGGCTGAAAATTATGAATTTTCATCATTTTTCATCAAATTTTCAGCATTTTCAGCATTTTCAGCTCAAAAACCCAAATTTTCAGCATTTTCAGCTAAAAAAACCCAAATTTCCAGCATTTTCAGCTCAAAAACCCAAATTTTCAGCATTTTCAGCTCAAAAAATCCAAATTTTCAGCATTTCCCCCCTCACCATCAAAGCTTTTCCATATTCCACCGATTTTTGCGACTTCATAAATTGGCAAATCAAAAATGACATTGTCAAATATCCAGAATGCGCAAGGCAAAGTCGAAGACGATGGAGAAGCTGCAAAAATTGGGATTACTGTAACATTCCAGGGTTACTGTAGATAAAACCTACCGTATCATTGAATATAGTTTGATCATTGGCAGCTGGTTTGAGATGCACAGATTGAGCCGCAAAATATTCCATGTATTTTTGAGCGGCTGATTGATAATCAGCTTGCACTGGAAGATTAAGGTTTTAGGGTTTATTAGTGCCCAAAATAGGGTCATTTTAGGGCCCAAAATAGGGTAATTTTAGGGGCTTTTAAGGCCCAAAATAGGGTCATTTTAGGGTTTATTAGGGCCCAAAATAGGGTCATTTTAGGGGGTTTTAAGGCCCAAAATAGGGTAATTTTAGGGGCTTTTAAGGCGCAAAATAGGGTCATTTTAGGGGGTTTCAAGGGCCCAAAATAGGGTCATTTTAGGGGCTTTAAGGCCTTTCTTTTTTGGCCTAAAATAGAGAATTTTCAGGCCCAAAATAGGGTCATTTTAGGGGCTTTTAAGAGCCAAAATAGGGTCATTTTAGGGGCTTTTAAGGCCCAAAATAGGGTCATTTTAGGGGCTTTTTAAGGCCCAAAATTGGGTCATTTTAGGGGCTTTAAGGCCTTTCTTTTTTGGCCTAAAATAGAGAATTTTCAGGCCCAAAATAGGGTCATTTTAGGGGTTTTTAGGGCACAAAATAGGGTAATTTTAGGGGCTTTTCAGGCCCAAAATAGGGTCATTTTAGGGGTTTTTAAGGCCCAAAATAGGGTCATTTTTGGGGCTTTTAGGCCCAAATCTAGACCCAAAAAACCCGTCACTTACCATACAAAAAATCGGCATAGGTTCTGATTGTGTCGGGATCGGTTCGCATTATTGAATACGCATTTTCACACATCATTTTCAGACATTGTCGAATGTCGTCCAGATTTTGAATGTCGATTCTGAAATATTTATTCAAGACTAGAATGTAGTTTCGAAAATCTTCAGCCAAGTCTTCTAGACTAACTAGACTCTAGTTTTGGCGGTGTAAAAAACCAGAAATTTGAAATTTTTGAACAATTCGAGCTTAGTTTAAAGGTGCATACAGTAACCTTGAATCAATTCGTTCCAAACTAGACTCTAGTTTTGGAACGAACTGCAAATATTAAAGGAACATACAGTAATCTTGAATTTATTCAAGACTAGACTGTAGTTTAGGAGGTGCACAAAACCAGAAATTTCCAAATTTTTGATTATTTTGAGGTTAGTTTAAAGGTGCATACAGTAACCTTTATTTGAATTCTTCTAAACTAGACTATAGTTTTGGAACGAACTGCAAATCTTTGAAGGAACATACAGTTAACTAGAATCTAGTTTCTTCTAAACTAGACTGTAGTTTTCAAGATGCAAAAAACCAGAAATTTGAAATTTTTTGGAAAAATCTGAGCTTAGTTTAAAGGAACATACAGTAATCTTCAATCAATTTATTCAAGACTAGACTGTAGTTTTAAAGAAAGCAAACTAGACTATAGTTTTGGAGGTAAAAAAACCATTGTATTCTGATTTTTTGATAAAATCTTCAAGACTAGACTATAGTTTCGCACCCCGCAAACTCACGGTGTATTCTCATTTCCAAACACAAATTTGGCATGAATTCTCAAATGCGCCCTCTTCTGACTTATCACAACTCGATTGTGTAAACTGACGATGAAACCGAGGAGAAATGTGACTAATTGTGGTTGGCGAATGGCTTCGAAGAGTTGAATTGTGTGGAGGAGTTCACGGCGTTGGGGGCTTCGGGGGAGGCTGAAAATTTCAGATTTTTTGACACCGAATAAGCCTAGGATTACTGTAGAACTCAGAATTCCACGTTTTTTGACACCAAACAAGGCCAGGATTACTGTAGTTCAATTTTGGCGCGAAAAAATCCAAATTTTTTTCTAATTGGAATTTTTGGCGCCAAAATTGATCTACAGTAACCCTGAGCTTATTTAGTGTCAAAAAACGTGGAATTTTGATTTCTACAGTAATCCTAGGTTTAAAAAATCGAATTTTTTGTCTGAAAATTTTTTTAATCGACTTTTTTCACACCAAACAAACCTAGGACTACTGTAGATCAATTTTGGCGCGAAAAATCCATTTTCTTCTAAATTTCTAGATTTTTAGCCCTAATCGATCGAAATTTCAAAATTTCAAATTTTTTTGAAACCTAATTTTTCCCGGTAAAATTTTAGAGTCAAAATTTGGGGATTTTTTCTAATCTACAGTAATCCTAGGCTTATTTAGTGTCAAAAAAACGTGAAATTTCGAGTTCTACAGTAACCCTGGGGTTATCTGGTGTCAAAAAACGTGGAATTTCGTGTTCTACAGTAATCCTAGGCTTATTTTTTCCAGGCTAAAAATTGGAGCTTTAATTTGATACTAAATAAGCCCTGGGTTACTGAAGATCGATTTTTGGCGCAAAAATCATTCTACAGTAATCCTGGGCTTATTTAGTGTCAAAAAACGTGAAATTTCGAGTTCTACAGTAATCCTAGCCAAAAAAACCCACCAATTTTGTGCGGCCACAAATTTGGGCGCCGTATTCTGCGAGAATCCATCCGCACATTTTCGTACCATATTTGGATCGGCCGAATTTTGCGCATAGGCTCCAAGTAATCTGGCGACCGGTACACATGGGAACATTTCTATGGGAATGCTGAAAATTTTGAGATTTGGCTGAAAATTCTGGAAAAATCTTGAAGAAAAACCTACTTTCCACCTTTTTCCAGCACTACTTTGAATTCTCCAGCGTTCAACAACAAAGCCAAGCACTGAAATGACAAAATATTGATTTTTTTTGAAAATTTAAATTTTTAACTTGAGAAATTCACGTGAAATTGCAGATTTTTCGTATTTTACATCAAACTTTACGTGAAAATGCAGATTTACATCAAATTTGACGGAAAATTGCAGTTTTGCATCAAAATTCACGTGAAATTGCAGATTTACATCAAATTTGACGAAAAAATGCAGATTTTTCAAATCTTACATCAAAATTTACGTGAAATTGCAGAATTTCCGAATTTTTGACGTGAAATTGCAGACTTATATCAAATTTGACGGGAAATTGCAGAATTTTCAAATTTTTGACGAGAAAATGCAGAATTTTCGTATTTTTGAAAAAATTTGCTGTTTACATCAAAATTCACGTGAAATTGCAGAATTTTCGTATTTTTAACGAGAAAATGCAGATTTACATCAAAATTTACGTGAAAATGCAGATTTTCCGAATTTTTGACGTAAAATTGCAGAATTTCTGAATTTTCGACGAGAAAATGCAGAATTACATCAAAATTCACGTGAAATTGCAGATTTTTCGAATTTTACATCAAACTTGACGGAAAATTGCAGAACTTCCGAATTTTTAACGTAAAATTGCAGATTTACATCAAATTTGACGTAAAATTGCAGATTTACATCAAATTTGACGAAAAATTGCAGAATTTTCGTATTTCACATCAAATTTGACGAAAAAATGCAGAATTTCTGAATTTTTGACGAAAAAATTGCAAATTTACATTAAAATTTACGTGAAGTTGCAGATTTTTCAAATTTTTCCCCCAGAAAAAGTAACCTACATGATTAATAAGTGTTGTACTATTTTCCGACGGTCGAAATTCGGGTTTGAAAATGATTCCGGCTCTTTCGAGTTGCGGTGCAATTTTTCGCTCGTTGGGAAAATTGTAAGAGGCGTTGGTGATGGAGGATTGCACGTGGATTACCTGGAAAAATTTGAAAATTCAAAATTTTTTGGCGCCAAAACGCCTACAGTACCCCCATAGGCTTATTTACTATCAAAATTCATCAAATTTTCGCGCCAAAATTTTTTAAATTCAAATTTTTTGCCGTCAAAACGTCTACAGTACCCTATAGACGTGTTTACTATCAAAATGCGTCAAATTTTCGCGCCAAAAATTTTCAAATTCAAATTTTTTGGCGCCAAAACGTCTACAGTACTCCATAGGCGTGTTTACTATCAAAATTTGTGAAATTTTCGCGCCAAAAATTTTCAAATTCAAATTTTTTGGCGCCAAAACGTCTACAGTACTCCATAGGCGTGTTTACTATCAAAATGCGTCAAATTTTCGCGCCAAAAATTTTCAGATTCAAATTTTTTGCCGCCTAAACGTCTACAGTACCCCTAGGCGTGTTTACTATCAAAAAACGTGGAATTTTCGCGCCAAAAATTTTCAAATTCAAATTTTTTGGCGCCAAAACGTCTACAGTACCCCTAGGCGTGTTTACTATCAAAAAATTGGAAATTTTCGCGCCAAAAATTTTCAAATTCAAATTTTTTGGCGCCAAAACGTCTACAGTACCCCATAGGCGTGTTTACTATCAAAATGCGTCAAATTTTCGCGCCAAAAATTTTCAAATTCAAATTTTTTCGCGCCAAAACCACCTACAGTACCCCATAGGCGTGTTTACTATCAAAATTCATCAAATTTTCGCGCCAAAAACGACCTACAGTACCCCTAGGCGTGTTTACTATCAAAAAATTGGAAATTTTCGCGCCAAAAAACCACCTACAGTACCTCAATCGTCGCCCTTATCAACGATTCGGACGTGGCATTCATTTCTCCCAAATATTCCTGCAATCTCGTGTTGAATCCCTCAATATTTTTAGTCTTCGCGAGTTGCTCCAACTTGGAGAGCAACAATTTTTGTAGGGCAAAATTGGGCGCATTTTTGTTGGTCAAAAATAGTTCGGCCAAATTTTCGGCGGGTTTCATTGTGTGGAAATTGGTGGAGGTGGTGGTGTGGAATTGAATGGCGTCTCGTAAAGTGGAGAGATTGAAGCGAGTGAGGAGTGCCCAGATGGGACTGGAACCTTGGAGGAGAGCTGAAACAAATTTTTGGGGATTTTTTTAACGGATATCAGATACGTCTAGGGTTACTGTAGATTAATTTTGGAGCATTTTGACAGTAAATAAGGCTAGGGATACTGTAGATCGGCGCTTTTTGGTATCAAAAATGCAGATTTTTGGCGCCAAAATTTATCTACAGTAACCCTGGGCTCTTTAAGTTTGAAGCATTGCTCATGTTATAAAAACTTGAAAAAAGAGATTCGAGTTTCTAAAATTCATTGCTCATTTTATTTTTTTGAAACCTAAAAAAACGAGAAAAATGAAAAATTGCTCATATTAGAATCATTTTCGAAAACCTTTTCCTAAAAAATATTCAAATTCCTACCTGAAAATAACACATTGCTCATGTTAGTAAAATTAAAATTTGACTAGAAAAAAATTATCAATAGAAATTGTTTTTGCAAAATTTTCAAAATTTTTTGAAACCTATTTTTTCGGGGAGGAAAAATTCGGGATTTTTCGCGCCAAAAAATGCTCTATAGTAACCCTGGGCTTATTTGATGTCAAAAAATGAGGGATTTTCGCCTACAGTAACTTTCTGGCACCAAAATCATCCTACAGTACTCCAGAGCTTATTTCGTATCGAAAAATGATGGATTTTCGCGCCAAAAAAAGCTCTACAGTAACCCTGGGCTTATTTGGTATCAAAATTCATCAAATTTTCGCTCATACAGTACCTCAGCTCCTAATTGTTGTTTCAAAATTTCTACAGTAATTTTTCGAATTTTGAGGGAATCATCTATCAATTTTCAAATAAATTTTCAAAAATTCGACAATTTTTTGAAACCTATTTTTTCGGAGTCAAAAATTGAAGATTTTTTGAATTTCAGATTTTTTGACACCAAATAAGGCCAGGGTTACTGTAGATCAATTTTAATTCAAAATTTCAAAATTCTACAGTACCCCTAGGCTTATTTGGTGTCAAAAAATCAGAATTTTCGCCACAAAATCAGTCTACAGTACCCCTAGGCTTGTTTGGTGTCAAAATTCGGCAAATTTCGACCCTACAGTACTCCCAAAAACCCTCACCATCCATCATTTGACTATTAGGAAGTGGCTGTGATGCGTTGGACCCCGACGGCTTGGCAACATCCCTAAATTCTCCCTCAACTCCACACTTCTTCAACATCGCCTTCAAATCGAACACTGTGGCACACAGAAATTGCAAATACGCTCTGATCGCAATTCGCTCGCGGCGTTTTTTGTCGCCGCGCGGCGACGTCATTCCATCCATATGTTTTTTGAGCACTTTGACGAATCGCTCGAGCACCGCAGCATTTGTCGCGCCGATTTTCTCGCGGACGCATTCCGGATGTGAATCCGCGAGCGATTTTGCCGCGTTTTCCGCTTGGTAGACTTGTTTGAGTTGACCGGTGGTTTCGTGGATGGCGCGGTTGCGGAAGAGTTCGCTGCGGCGGAGGGGAGATGTGTCGTCGGCGAGGATCTGGAAGAGAGATTTTTTTGGGTGGAAATTTGAGGAGCCTAGATTTTCGAGAAGCCTAAAGCAAGCCTGGAATTTAGACAAGCCTGAACTTTTCAGGCCTGAAATTTTGAGAAGCCAAAAACCAGCCTGGAATTTAAACAAGCCTTTCGAGGAGCCTAAAACAAGCCTAGAATTTAGACAAGCCTAGAATTCCGAGAAGCCTAGATTTTTGATAAGCCTAGATATTTGAGAAGCCTGGAATTTATGTGAGGCCTAAAAATTTAGAGGAGCCTAAAATGTAGTAGAGCCTAGATTTTTGACAAGCCTGAAAATTTGAGAAGCCTGGAATTTAGACAAGCCTAGATTTTTATAAGCCTAAAACAAGCCTGGAATTTTGACAAGCCTAGAATTCAGTTAGGCCTGACCTTTGAGCAGCCTAGAAATTTGCAGAGCCTGAAAGTTCAGAGGAGCCTAGATTTTTGAGAAGCCTAAAACAAGCCTGGAATTTATGTCAGGCCTAGATTTTTGAGAAGCCTAAAGCAAGCTTAGAAATTCTGTCAAGCCTAAATTTTTCTGTAAGCCTAAAAATTTGAGAAGCCTAGAGAGCCTAGAATTTTAGACAAGCCTGAATTTAGACCGGCCTAAAATTTGAGAAGCCTGAAACAAGCCTGGAATTTATGTCAGGCCTAAAAGTTTAGAGGAGCCTAGATTTTTGAGAAGCCTAAAAACAAGCCTGAATTTAGACAAGCCTGGAATTTACGTCAGGCCTGAAAGTTTAGAGAAGCCTAAAGCAAGCCTGAGATCAGGCAGCTAAAAATTTAGATCGGCCTAAAACAAGCCTGAATTTTTTCAAGCCTAAAAATTTGAGGAGCCTAAAACCAGCCTGAAATTAGGAAGTTAAAAATTTAGACCGGCCTAAAACCAGCCTAGACTTAGGCTTGGCCTTAAATTAGAGAAACCTGAGATCAAGCCTAAGTTTTTTGAAGCCTAAAGGCCTAAAAAATTTGATGAGCCTAGAGAGCCTAGAAATTTGTGTCAGGCCTAAAAATTGATATAAGCCAGACTAAAAATTTCTGAATTGTCAATATTTTTTCGCGAGACGGCCTAGTTTTCTCAAAACTTCGGCCACCACCAAATTTCAAGGCGGGAAATTTTGAATTTTCAAATTCAAATTTTCCGTAAGCGGAAGCGGAAAACCGCGTGGCATTTGATTTTAAAAAAATAGCAAACTAGTTCAATTTTCCCGCCAAAATTCAAATTTTAAAAACAATAATGTTTGGCGCCAAAAATCCCCTCAAAATCCTCACCTTCTGATCAAACACCGTGCTTTTAATAGCCACATTCCCTCCTGTCGCAAACGCTCCCTTCACATTCAAAACCATCGAATACGCGCCAAAAGTCTTGTCATCAATATTGACCATAGGATGAGCAATGCCAGCAGGCCGCACCAATTTCGCCATCATTTTGCGCGCCTCCGCAAATTCACCGCATGTAAAATGCAGTGCGACGAGCTCTGCGCAACACTTATTTGCCACGTCCGCCGCGGGAAGTTTGAATTTTTGCACATCGAAATCGCTGGTCGGAAGTTCGATGAGCACATCACGATCTCCCAGAAGAGCAGCATTCAATGCTCGTGGAGCCAATTTAGCAAATGGCACGAGGAAACAATCAACACCCGGTGCTATGACGTCACGCGGTTCATCGGCAAGTTCGCTGATAAATGCACGAGCTTTTGGAACATGCTCTCGTAGATCGGCGATCATTCGTTGAACTTTGTCGTGACGGATGAAAGAGAGATCGTTGGCTGTGATTTGATTGTATCTGAAAATCAGAAAGATTTGCCACGTCATAAAAAAATTGGCGATAGATTTTCCTGCGCGAGAACCCCGAAATTTCAACCAAAAATCGATTTTTGGCTGAAATTTCAAGGTTCAGGCATATTTTTTTTTGAATTTTGTTGAAAAAAAATTGGCGATAGATTTGCCTGCGCGAGAACCCGAAAATTTCAGCCAAAAATCGATTTTTGACTGAAATTTCAAGGTTCAGGCATTATTTTAATGAATTTTGTTGAAAAAAAATTGACGATAGATTCCCCTGCGCGAGAACCCCGAAATTTCAACCAAAAATCGATTTTTGGCTGAAATTTCAAGGTTCAGGCATCATTTTCTTGAATTTTGTTGAAAAAAAATTGACGATAGATTTGCCTGCGCGAGAACCCCGAAATTTCAACCAAAAATCGATTTTTGGCTGAAATTTCAAGGTTCAGGCATATTTTTTTTTGAATTTTGTTGAAAAAAAATTGGCGATAGATTTGCCTGCGCGAGAACCCGAAAATTTCAGCCAAAAATCGATTTTTGACTGAAATTTCAAGGTTCAGGCATTATTTTAATGAATTTTGTTGAAAAAAAATTGACGATAGATTCCCCTGCGCGAGAACCCCGAAATTTCAACCAAAAATCGATTTTTTGGCTGAAATTTCAAGGTTCAGGCATCATTTTATTGAATTTTGTTGAAAAAAAAATTGACGATAGATTTGCCTGCGCGAGAACCCGGAAATTTCAGCCAAAAATCGATTTTTGGCTGAAATTTCAAGGTTCAGGCATACTTTTATTGAATTTTGTTGAAAAAAAATTGACGATAGATTTTCCTGCGCGAGAACCCCGAAATTTCAACCAAAAATCGATTTTTGGCTGAAATTTCAAGGTTCAGGCATATTTTTATTTGAATTTTACGCTATTATAACGTTTTCTAATAGATTTCGATCCGCTGCTCACAATTCCGCCTACAAAAATCGCTTAGCTCAACTCTGAACACGTGGCAACGATGGCTTCACAAAGCTATCACTAGCTTCAAGCTAGTTATAGCCTTGTGAAGCCATCGCCACGTCATAACTCATATTCAAAGTTGATCTAAGCGATTTTTGTAGGCGGAATTGTGAGCAGCGTGTCGAAATCTATTAGAAAATTCACTATTTCCCCATTTTTCGACGTTTATTTTCAAAATCTTACAAAGTTGGAATAGTTGCTTTTGGTGCAGGTGGCGGAAGTCTATTCCTTCTATCAATTGACAAAACAAATCTATAAAACAACCAATTTCCAAAAGTGGCATCCAAATTCTTCTCATTATAAATTTTATAAGTATGATCAGCTAGAACTCGCAAAGTCAATAGCTCATATCTGCTAATATTATCAATAATATAATCGATATCCCAATCCAACGCGGCAAATGCGGCCATTGCGCAAAGCCGCATACTCGCCGCTTTGCGCTCGAATAAACTCGCGGTTTCCACGCCGAGCTTCGCTTTATCTCTCTCTTTCTCCGCGAGAAATCCTTTTTCGGTGAATTGTATGCATAATCTTGGAAGATGCTTCTTCATCTTCGGATCCGCCAAAATCTCGCGCGCTTTTTTCGGATCGATGAAAAATTCGAACCATGAATGGTCGGATGTGTCCATTATGTCCATTTTCGCATCGTATTGCATCATTTTTACTCTGCAAATTGCGTTTTGTGTGAATTTTAATGAAAGAAAAACACCCAAAAATGAAAAAGAAGTCCGAGAGAAGTACACAAACGGGTTAAAGGCGCGTGGCGATATCTCGAAGCGATTAGGGGTGTTTGTGTATTTCTCCCGGACAATTTTTTATTTTCGGGGGTTTTCAGCTGAAATAAGCTTAAAATTAGTGGTTTCAGAGCGCTAGACGTGAAAAATGAGCGTGTACGATGATTGGAAAGAGTAGCGCTACTTTTTTCAAGCCGGGAAACACGGCTTCTAATTTCTAGGCGAATTTACCATCAAAAAATAAGTTTTGAAAGATTTTCGAAATGTTCAGCTTGGTTTCAAACAAAAAAGCAAATTCCAGGCAAAACTTCGAAAAAACGCAAAAATACGAATAAATTTTCCAACAAAGCAAACACGCTCCACCGCAAAATATCTTCTATCTCCATCTCTCGCACCCTCCTCCATCTCCAACCCGAAAATCGATTTCTCTCGTCGTCCCTCTTTTTAACCGGTCATTTCTCGTCTCTCATTTCACAGCGCTATTTTTTTGAATTTTATTTGATCGCTCAAACAATCATATGTTTGTTGCCAAACGAACAAGCCCTACTTTTTCTTTATTTTAGTTTTGTCTTACTTTTTTTGTGAGAAATTTCGAAATTTCTAGAGATTTTGAGGCGCTATGCCCAAAATTTCATTTAGAAATGACTAAAAATTTGAAAATGGGGCACTATAAAATAATTGCCACGTTTTTCACGTGGAAGAGAATTTTAAAAAGAAAATGAGAGGTCACAATTTTGGCTTCATTTCAGGAAAATTTCCACGTCATAGGCTTGTTTTGTAGCTAAAATAATACTTCCAGAGTTAATTATTCAAAAAAAAAATCCTAATTGTAGTTATGACGTGGCAAAATAACCGTAGTTTTGCCACGTCATAGCTATATTTTAGGATTTTTGGAATAATTATCTCTGGAAGAAGAAAAACCCCAAAATGTTGATGAACATCTGAAATACCGTGTAAAATATTCTGAGCTTTGATTTTCCGAATATTTTACACGGATTTCAGCGGAGATGCGGAAGCTATGCCCAAATTTTGATGTAAAAAATGAAAAAAAGTTAGTTTCCACCCTGTATAATCTGGAATTCTAGCTGAAAATCGATAAAACCAAGAATTTTATCGATTTTCAGCTGGAATTTCAGCAAAGATGCGGAAGCCATGCCCAAAATTTCATTTTTTTTCGAATTTTGCCACGTCATAGCTCAAAGTTAAGCTAAATCTCCAAATTTCCAGTGTAAAATGACGTCAATGGAGATGCACTCATTCAATCGCGACATGCAACCACTAATGGACGAAAACACAACACAATTGACTGAGGAACGAGTGCAAACCGCGTTCGGAACAGTCAAAGTGTCGATTTACGGTGATCCAAAGAATAAGAGCAAAGTTCCGATCATCACATTCCATGATTTGGGTTTGGATTCGGAGAGTAATTTTCAAAACTTCTTCCAATTTGTGTCGATTGCTGAGTTTGCTGATAAGTTTTGTATTTATAATGTGAATGCGCCGGGACAAGAAATGGACGCAAAACCATTGCCTGATAAGTGAGTGATTTTGGGGGGTTTAAAGGAACATGGCCATATTTATAATCAAAATAACGGAATTTTCGCGGCAAGACCTAAAATTCCCTATATTTTGAGTGTAAATCATCCCATGTCCCTTTAAAATGAAGATTTTTTCGCGGCAAGACCTGAAATTCCCTATTTTTCAAGGGTAAATACTCCCATGTTCCTTTAAAAGGCATTTTTTCGTGGTGAGACCCTTATTTACACTCAAAATAATGTAATTTTCGTGGCAAGACCTAAAATTCCCTATTTTTCAAGTGTAAATACCCCCATGTTCCTTTAAAAATCGATTTTTCGTGGCAAAACCTAAAATTCCCTATTTTTCAAGTGTAAATACCCCCATGTTCCTTTAAAAATCGATTTTTCGTGGTGAGACCTAAAATTCCCTATTTTTCAAGGGTAAATACCCCCAGGTTCCTTTAAAATCAAGATTTTTCGCTATGGGACCCACCCCAGCCATATTTATATTCAAAATAATGGCTTTTTCGTGGCCAGACCTAAAATTCCCTATTTTTTGAGTGTAAATACCCTCGTGTACCTTTAAAAATCGATTTTTTCGCGGTGAGACCCACCACAGCCATATTTAATTCAAAATAATGGAATTTTCGTGGCGAGACCCATTTTTCAAGTGAAAATACCCCCATGTCCCTTTAAAAAAGGATTTTTTCGTGGTGAGACCTACCACAAGCATATTTATACTCAAAATGATCAGATTTTCGTCTTGAGACCTGAAATTTGGTATATTTTGAGTGTAAATACCCCCATGTCCCTTTAAAAGGCATATTTATACTCAAAATGATCAGGTTTTCGTGGCAAGACCCATTTTTCAAGTCTAAATACTCCCATGTTCCTTTAAAAATTGATTTTTCCAGCTACGAATATCCAAGCATGGACGGACTTGCAAAATGTGTCGAAGCAGTCGCCGAACACTTCAAACTCAATCAATTCATTTGCTTTGGTGTCGGTGTTGGTGCCAATGTTTTGTTGAGATATGCGGTGAGATTTTAAAGGCGGGGACTAGAAAACCGAGCTAGGCCATCATAAATATTCAAAATTCCAGTTTTTTCCCACTAAAATCACTTGAAAATTCCGAATTTTAGACCTAAAATCCCCAATTTTTTGCCAGGCTTCCAATCAAAACCGTGTCATCGCCTTGATTCTCGTCAATTGTTGTTCGGGCAAAGCGGGTTGGGTCGAATGGGGCTACGAAAAGTGGAGTGTGCGAAACCTGCGCGGTGTCGGAATGACCGGATTCACCATCGATTATTTGTTGTGGCATCATTTTGGAAGAAGAATTGATCAATGCAGTTCGGATATTGTTCGACAGTATCGTGTGTTCTTTCAACATTTACCAAATCCACATAATTTGGCCGCGTTTATTGAGAAATATATTGAGTGAGTTGGGGATTTTTTGGAAGTTTTTTGGGTTTTCTAGGCCGTGGAAGAGGTTTTGAGGGACTAGAAATCCGAAAATATGATTTTCCAGGCTCAAAATGGTCTAGAAATTCAATTTTTGTTTTTCTAGGCTGCAGACTAGTTTTCAGGGACTAGAACTCGAGTTTTTGGTTTTCTAGGCCGTGGAAGAGGTTTTGGGGGACTAGAAATCCGAAAATATGGTTTTCTAGGCTCAAAATGGTCTAGAAATCCAATTTTTAGTTTTCTAGGTCGCGGACCAGTTTTCGCAAAATTATTGATTGAAAAATTGGCATTTCAAAAATTATTTAGTAAAATTGAAAAACGCAAAGTGTGTTTTTAAATAGAAACATTAAAAAAATGGATTTTTCTTCACAAATTTCATTCAAAAAACCTTAGAACATAAAATTCATAAGTGTACCCGGAATAGACTCTGGGGGCCCCAAAAATCCGGACTGGGCTGAATTTTTGAGCTCCAGCGCTTTTTTTTAAGGCTCGGGGTCTGAAAATCAAGTCTGCAGCTGAATTTGGAGCTTCACAGCCATTTGTCATCTTCGCAGCTCAACATTTGATTCTAGGGATAATTTTTGTGCTCCGGAGCACAAAATTTACTCCCAGAATCAATTTTTGAGCTCGGAAGCTTGAAATTCACTCTCACGACAGAATTAATTTTTGGTCTCCGGAGCTTGAAAATTTGTCTCGAAGCTAATTTTTAAGCTGACAATGAGAAGCTTGGAATTTGTTCACAGGACTGGATTTTCAGTCTCCGGAGCTCAAAATCTAGCTAGTTTTGGCCTCTGGAGCTTGAAATTCACTCTCAGAATCCATTTTTCATCTCCAGAGCTCAAAATTTCAGATTTTCTCCCCCAAAACTCCCTGATTTTCCAGACGCCAACCCCTTCCAATTTCCCGTGATGGTTCCACTGGTGTCCAACTCAAAGTTCCAGTTTTGCAAATTGTCGGAGCCGGCTCCGCCCATGTCGAAGATACGGTAGAAGTCAATACAAAACTCGACCCGGCTCATGCCGATTGGGTAAAAATATCCGATTCGTGTGGACTGGTTTTGGATGATCGACCGGAAGCTGTGACTGAAAGTATGATGTTGTTCCTTCAAGGATTGGGTTACTGTAAGTGGTTTTGGGCGGGAAATTTGTGAAAATGTGAAAAATATTGGAAAAAAATGGTTGGAAAAGGTCAAAATTTCGATATTTTTCATTAAAATTTTGAATTTTTGTTCGGAAAATTATAAAATTTCTGGTTTCTTATGATTTTCCGGTCGAAATTTCGATATTTTTCATGAAAATTTTGAATTTTTCATCGGAAAATTTGAAAAAAATTGGCTGGAAAATGATTTTTCAATCAATTTTTGCTGAAAAATTTTGTTTCAGGTCAAAATTTCGATATTTTTCATAAAAATTTTGGAATTTTTCATCGGAAAATTCAAAAATTTCTGGTTTCTTATGATTTTCAGGTCGAAATTTCGATATTTTTCATCTGAAAATTTTAAAAAATTCAGAAATCCCTGAAATTCATAGAAATTGAGGATTTCTAGAGAATTTTCAGAAAAAGTTGCTGAAATCGATTTTTCAAAATTTGAATAATGAAAAACTGCTCAAAATCTTGATTCGAGATTTTTAAATTCAAATTCAATTTTCTAGGCTGCGGACTAATTTTCAGGGACTAGAAAACCAAAAAATCCAATTTTCTAGGCCACAGACGACTTCTCCTGGCCTAGAAAACCAACAAATCAATTTTCTAGGCCACAGACGACTTCTCCTGGCCTAGAAAACCAACAAATCAATTTTCTAGGCCACAGACGACTTATCCTGGCCTAGAAAACCAACAAATCAATTTTCTAGGCCACAGACGACTTCTCCTGGCCTAGAAAACCAAAAATCCAATTTTCTAGGCTGTGGACTAGTTTTCCTGGCCTAGAAAACCAAAAAATCCAATTTTCTAGGCCACAGACGACTTCTCCTGGCCTAGAAACCCAACAATCCAATTTGTCTAGGCCACAGACGACTTCTCCTGGCCTAGAAAACCAAAAATTTGATTTTCTAGGCTGCGGACTAGTTTTCAGAGACTAGAAAACCAAAAATTCGATTTTCTAGGCCACAGACGACTTCTCCTGGCCTAGAAAACCAAAAATTTGATTTTCTAGGCTGCGGACTAGTTTTCAGGGACTAGAAAACCAAAAATCCAATTTTCTAGGCTGCGGACTAGTTTTCAGGGACTAGAAAACCAAAAATCCAATTTTCTAGGCCGTGGACTAGTTTTCAGGGACTAAAAAACCAAAATAATCTCAAAATTTGGTTTTCTAGGTCACGGACTAGTTTTGATGGCCTAGAAAACCAAGAAAACCTCAAAAATCCCTATTTTTCCAGTTCCCACAATGAACGTGATGAAATTGATGAAACAAATGGCCGAAACACAAAACGGACAACAATATCACGCGGCCGTCTCAAATGACAATGAATTCTAGGCCGTGGCCTAGAATACCCCCTTTTGGTTTCCTAGGCCATGATCCAGATTTCTTGGTGCTTTTACTTCATGAAATTCTTCTCGAAATATCATTTGTGATACCATTTTTTGTCGAAAAAATCTCGTTTTTTTTTGTAGCTTTATCTTACTTTATTAAGAATCCACCTCCCTTTAAAAAATGTTTTTTTGTCCAGAAAAATTGTTTTTTTTTCCCTACGCATTTGTGCTTTTTTCGTGTTCAATAGTATTTTTTAATGAATTTTAACCGTTTTTTCGCGAAATTTTGGATTTTTTGGAATTTTGTTGGATTTTCAACGTGTATTTTGCAAATTTTGGGGTTTTTTAGGGCGTGGAAGAGGTTTTGGGGGACTAGAAAACCGAAAAATCAATTTTCTAGGCCACAGATGACTTCTCCTGGCCTAGAAAACCAAAAAATCAATTTTCCACGCTCAAAATGGTCTAGAAATCCAATTTTTGGTTTTCTAGGCCACAGGCGACTACTCCTGGCCTAGAAAACCAAAAAATCAATTTTCTAGGCCACAGACGACTTCTCCTGGCCTAGAAAACCAAAAAATCAATTTTCTAGGCCACAGGCGACTACTCCTGGCCTAGAAAACCAAAAAATCAATTTTCTAGGCCACAGACGACTTCTCCTGGCCTAGAAAACCAAAAAATCAATTTTCTAGGCCACAGGCGACTACTCCTGGCCTAGAAAACCAAACAATCAATTTTCTAGGCCACAGGCGACTACTCCTGGCCTAGAAAACCAAAAAATCAATTTTCTAGGCCACAGGCGACTACTCCTGGCCTAGAAAACCAAACAATCAATTTTCTAGGCCACAGGCGACTACTCCTGGCCTAGAAAACCAAAAAATCAATTTTCTAGGCCACAGGCGACTACTCCTGGCCTAGAAAACCAAAAATCAAATTTTCTAGGGCGCGGACTAGTTCTCATGGCCTAGAAAACCAAAAATCAAATTTTCTAGGCCACAGACGAATTTCTCCTGGCCTAGAAAACCAAAAATTTTGTTTTCTAGGCTGCGGACGAAGTTTCCAGGGACTAGAAAACCAAAAAATCAGTTTTCTAGGCTACGGACTAGTTTTTAGGGACTAGAAACCCTAAAATTTGGTTTTCTAGTCCTCCAACCCGCCAGAAAACCAAAAAAACATCAAATTTTTCCCATTTTTCTCCTTATCTTATCAATTTCTTCTCAAAAAGTTGACCTTTTTCACTACAGAGCCACAAAATTGCTTGTTTTTGTCCAAAAATGGCGGCGATTTTGGTTTCCAGCAACAAAAGCTTCAGTGGCAGACAATATGTTTATAAGCATTCAAGGTGGGCCTTTTTTTTTTGGAAAATTTGGAAAATTTATGGAAAAAAATGAGTTTTGCCGATTTTTTAAACACAAAAATGAGGATTTTTTGAAATTTCCAAGCATTGCTCATATTAGAGTTCAAGAAAATTGAGTTCAAATGAATTTGAAACCTAAAATATCCAGGATTTTAAGCATTGCTCATTTTATATTTTTTTAAGAGTAAATTTTCTGAGACCTAAAAAAACGAGAAAAATGAAACATTGCTCATATTAGAATTATTTTCGAAAAAAATAACACATTGCTCATTTTAGTAAAATTAAAAATTTAAGAAAAACGAATTATCGATAGAAATTTTATTTTGCGAAATTTTCAAAATTTTTTGAAACCTATTTTTTCGGGTCTGAAAAAATTTGGGATTTTTTCGCGCCAAAAAATGTTCTACAGTAACCCTAGGCTTATTTGGTGTCAAAAAATGATGGATTTTCGCCCACAGTAATTTTCTGGCACCAAAATCATCCTACAGTACTCCTGGGCTTATTTGGTATCAAAAAATGATGGATTTTCGCGCCAAAAAATGCTCTACAGTACCCTAGGGGGTTATTTACTATCAAAATTCATAAAATTTTCGAGCCAAAATCCTCCTACAGTACCTCAGATTTTTACAGTAATTATTCGAATTGTGAATCAATTTTCAAATACATTTTCAAAAATTAGACAATTTTTCGAAACGTATTTTTTCAAGGGTTGAAAATACATTAAATTTTGGTCTACAAATTCTTCCGAAAATTTTTAAAATTCCTAAATACCTGAAAATAAACATGATCATTGCTCATATTAATACAAATTACCCCTTGAAAATTCTCCAAAAATTTTTTTTAGAAAAAATTTAACAAAAAAATCTAGAATTCTGAATTTTTTGAAATTTTGATATTAAAAATTGCCACGTGGATTTTCAGCTTCAAAAATTAGGTTTTTAAAAATTCGAGAAAAATCAAAACATTGCTCATATTACTCCCATTTTCCAGCTCCACCCTCAACTGCGAAATGACCTTCGGAATCTATGTCCCAGAATTCAGTGGCAGCGAAAAGTTGCCAGTTTTGCTCTACCTTTCCGGTCTCACTTGTACCCATGCGAATTTCATGGAAAAATCCGGATTTCAACAATTCGCCTCGAAATATCGATTTATTGTCGTTCATCCCGATACAAGTCCACGTGGCGTTGATATTGAAGGAGATTCGGAGAGTTGGGATTTTGGAAAAGGTATGCGGATTGCTCAGATTAGGAATATCATTTAAAAATAGTAAACATTGCTCATGTTATCAGGAAAAATTAGAGACAAAATCAGTCATTGCTCATGTTAAATATACTGTACTTTCAGAGAGGAAAAGTCTGATTTTCGAGTGATTGCTCATATTAACCCCAAAAAAATTGAACCTGAAAAAAAAAATTTTTTTTAAAAGAAGCTTCAAATCCACGTGGCAAAAATTCAGATTCCTAATTTTTTTTGTTAAATTTTTCCTAAAGCCGAAAATCCACGTGGAAAATTTAAGCTTCTCAAAAAATTTTTAAAGAAGCTTCTAATCCACGTGGCATTTCTTAAATTTTCAAAAAACCTAATTTTTGAAGTCGAAAATCCACGTGGCACAATTTTTAATATCAAAATTTCAAAAAATTCTCAGATTTCTAGATTTTTTTCTAGTTTCTAGTTTCTAATTGTAAAATAAAATTCCACGTGGCAAATTTTTTTTAATTATAGAAAATTTCAAAATTTTGAGGAGATTAAATTTTCGAAACCTAAAAAATCTTGGAATTTTTTGCGAAAAAAAAAGAAGTTTTTTTTCAAAATTTTTGAAATTTATGGAAATTCTTCGATAAAATTAGGGATTTTTACCTCAAAAATAAGCATTGCTCATGTTTGAAATTTTTCTTATTCTTCAAAAAGGAAGCACTGGCAACATTATAGAAAATTTCAAAATTTTGAGGAAATCAAATTTTTGAAACGTAAAAAATCTTGGAAATTTTTGAGAAAAAAAAAAGTTTTTTTCGAAATTTTTGGAAATTCTTAGATAAAATTGGGCACTTTTCTGCAAAAATAGGCATTGCTCATGTTTGAAATTTTTCTTATTCTTCAAAAAGGAAGCACTGGCAACATTATAGAAAATTTCAAAATTTTGAGGAAATCAAATTTTTGAAACGTAAAAAATTTTGGAAATTTTCTTAGATAAAATTGGGATTTTTCCTCAAAATCAAGCATTGCTCATATTAAACCCTCTTCAATTTTCCGCAGGCGCCGGTTTCTACCTCAACGCCACCGAGCCAAAATGGTCGAAAAATTACAAAATGTATGATTATATCACGAAAGAGCTCATCCACCAAACAATTCCACAAATTGCACCAATTGACCAGCAAAAAATCGGAATTTTTGGCCATTCAATGGGTGGACACGGTGCTCTAATCATTGGTTTGAGAAATCCGGAGATTTTCAAATCGATTTCCGCTTTTGCACCCATTTGTAATCCGATTAATGTGCCTTGGGGCAAAAAAGCTTTTAGTGGATATTTGGGTGAGTGATTTTGAGGGGGGAAAAATTATATTGCTCATATTAAAAAATATCTAATGAAAATCTTATGAATTTCAAATTTTCACACGATTTGTTTCATACATTGCTCATATTTAAACTGAAAACAATGCATTGCTCATGTTAGGGAAAAATAGGATTTTTGAAACGTAAAAAATCCTGGGAAAAATTTTGAATAATTTTTAAGTTTTTTGGGATTTTTGGTGCCACAGAAAAAACATTGCTCATATTAAAATTGAAATTGCTTATGTTAGTGAAAAATTAAGATTTTTGATTGGTTATACTCCAGAAAATGCGATCGTAGAATTTTTAAAAATTTCAGAAAATCCAATTTTTGAAACGTAAAAAATCCTGGGAAAAATTTGGGTAATTTTTGGGGATTTTTGGCTGAAAATTTGTCAAAAAGTCACTAAATTTCTATGAAAATATCTGAAAATTCTCAAAATTCTACTGAAAATCATCAAATTTCTAATAAAACTCTCTGAAAATCCTCAAAATTTGACTGAAAATCATAAAAATCTCAGAAAATGACACTTTTCCAGGCTCCGACGAATCCACGTGGCTTCAATACGACGCCAGCCACCTCCTCAAATCCTACACGGGACCCCACCGTCACATTCTCATCGACCAAGGTGAAGGCGACAATTTTCTTGCTCAACTTCAACCACACACTCTGAAATCGTCTGAAAATGCTGAAATTCAAGTGCGCCTACAACCGGAATTCGATCATTCCTATTATTTCATCGCCAGCTTTATTGAGGATCATTTTAAGCATCATTTGAAGAATTTGGCTTGAATTTTGAGATTTTTTGACTGAAATTTTGATTTAGTCGTGAAAAAATGATATTTATTTGGAAAAATCGTGTTTTTGCTTGTGAACCTGAATATTTTTGAATTTTTTTTTTTGAAACAGGAAAATTTTGGAGCGAAAATTCAGGATTTCGAGACGAAAAATAGAGATTTGGTGAGTTTTTTGGGCCAGGAAACTTGAAAAATTTAAATTTTAAATAAAAATTGACGTAGAAATGCATGTGCGCTCTGTTGAGAATTGTTAAATTTGTGGAAAAAATTTAAATTTAAAATTGATGTAGAAAGCATGTGCGCTCTATTGAGAATTGTGAAATTTCTCGAAAAATTCGAATTTAATTTAAAAATTGACCTAGAAAGCATGTGCGCTCTATTGAGAATTGTTAAATTTGTGGGAAAAATCTGAAATTTCCCGAAAATTCAAATTTGTGTCTGCCACGTGGCAAAAATCACAAATTTCCCCTTTGTTTTTCCTTTTTCCCAACCAAAACACCTAGTTTCTCTTTTCTCTCTCAACTGATAAGCGATTTATCGATTTTTTTTTCAATTTTGCAAGTTTTTTTGAATTTTCTCGGGTAAAATTTGAAAAATCTGCATTTTCGCGTAATTTCCGGTGTAAAATTTGCAATATTTCGTCAAAATTTCAAAAAATCTGCATTTTCACGTCAAATTTAATGTAAAATCTTTATTATTTAATTTCAAACACAAAAAAATTGATGAAAAATACTCGTAAAGCGCAGCAAAAATATACAAATTTTTTAAAAGACGAAAAAAAACCGGCGAAAAGCTAGCTAAAACTTGAATTTTCAGAGAAAATAGGTTAAAAATCGGGGGTTTTTGGCAAGAAAAATGTGAATTTTCACAAAAATTAGATTAAAATGCTTGGGGTAGTCGTTTGAGTTGCTGCTTCAAGATCAAATGATCGGCTCCGCGGATCGGAAGCGGATGCCGGCGGTAGTAGCTGATTGCGGAAGAGATTGAGCGGAAACACGGGCCTTCGCCTAGAAAAATGAGCATTTTTTGAGCAAAAAATGAGCAAAAACGTACATTTTTGACCCTAAAACATCTGATTTTACCGGGAAATTTGAAAAAAAATAGATTTTTGAGCAAAAAAATGAGCAAAAATGTTGAAATCACAATTTTTTGGCTCAAAAACTAATGCCACGTGGATTTTTCGCGCAGAAAATTTGAATTTGGCGCCAGAAATTTGAAATGTTGAGCCCGGAAAATTAAATTCAGCAAAATTTTTTGAATCAAAATATTTTTCGCGCCAAAATTTGCCACGTCCAAAAATCAATAAATTTCTCTAAACTTCTTTTTCCCATAAAAAATTATCGATTTTTTTTTCAGAGCTCAAAAATCCACGTGGCAGCTATCAGAAATCAGAAGAAGTGCTCAAAATGCTTGAAAAAGTGAGTTTTTTGGGGCGGGATTTTGAAAATATCTGAAATACTGTGAAAATTATTGAAAAATGCTCAAAAATTATTGAAAATATCTAAAATACTGTGAAAATATCTAAAATACTGTGAAAATTATTTGAAAATGCTCAAAAATTATTGAAAAATGCCCAAAAATTATTGAAAAATGCCCAAAAATTATTGAAAATATCAAAATTTCGTTAAAAATCACCTAAAATTGCGAAAATTTCCCTCAAAATTATCTGAAAATTAGAAAAATGCACCCACCAATCACCCAACGATCGCCATTTTTCTCAATCTTAATATGCACCACACCTTTTGTGCTGCGAAGTGAAAGCGCGGCACTTCCTTCGCCGCGAGACCTTAGAAGATAGTCGCCGAGTTGGCGAGCTTCCAGGCGTTTTTCCGCTTCCACACGATCCACGTTTTGCTCCAGAATTTGATCGTCTGACTGCAAAATTTGAAAATTTCATGAAAAATTGAGCTAGGAAGCATTTGCGCTCCATTGAGAACCTCAATTTTAAGCAAGAAATTTGAATTTTTCCTGGTTTTTCAGTAGAAAAATCGAAATCCACGTGGAAAATTAGCTTCTAGAGCATGTGCGCTCTATTGAGAATATAGCTTTTTCCTAGAAAAATTCAAATTTTTAATTATATTGGAGCATGTGCGCTCTATTGATCACCTCAATTTTAGTTAGGAAATTTGAATTTTTCATGAAAAATGGGCCTAGAAAGCATTTGCGCTCCATTGAGAATTCATTTTTGAATTTTTCTTGAAAAATTGAGCTAGAAAGCATTTGTGCTCTATTGATAATTTTGAAATTTTTCGAAAAATTTGAATTTTTCATGAAAAATTGAGCTAGGAAGCTTGTGCGCTCCATTGAGAATTCATTTTTGAATTTTTCTTGAAAAATAGGTCTAGAAAGCTTGTGCGCTCTATTGACAATTGTAAGATTTTTCGAAAAATTTGAATTTTTAATTATATTGGAGCATGTGCGCTCTATTGAGAACCTCAATTTTAATCAGGAAATTCGGATTTTTCATGGTTTTTCATTCGAAAAAGCCTAATCCACGTGGATAATCCAGCAAACGCGCCCCACTGACAAAACTCTAACCTCTCTGCGTCTCCGACTACTCTCGTCTCTCGCTGATCGTTTGTTGATGCGCGCATCCACCGCCGAATTGCCGATTTGAACGAGCTGATTGACGAATGAGGAGCTGGAGCATAGCGATGGAGAGCCTGCAAAATTTGGAGCATTTTTAGGGCTGCCACGTGGATTAGCTTGAAATTTGCAGCATTTTGAGCCCGAACACAGTGTGTTTTGGAGTTCTAGGCCACGAAAAATAAGCTATGGCCTAGAAAACCGTGGAATTTGAATTTCTAGGCCATATTCATTTCCTCTGCGTTTCTAACCTCTCTCTGGCATCCCTGCTGCTACTTCTCTATCCAAAGTTCCCGATCCATCCAACGTGGACAATCGCACCGAATTCGGTCGCGCCAAAAATTCCCACGGAGTATCGTAGTGATCTTCGGAGGCGGCTAGCATTTTGTGTGATTTACTCCATTTTTTGGGCGCGAAAACGTGGATTTTTGTCTGAAAATTGAGAAAAATGGGATTTTGAAGGGAAAAATTGAGAAAATAAGAGAAAAAATCAATTTTTTGGTGGAAAATTTGACCAAAAGTGGTAATTTGAGACAAATTGCAAGAGAAATTGCATACTTTTTCGAGTGTTTTGGTTTTGTTTTGGTAATTTTCGTATAATTATTGGGGGAATTTTGGAATGTGGATTTTAGGGACTGAAAATTAGCTGGAATTCAGAAATTTTAGATTTTTAAGAAAAATTTGAGCCGAAAATGCCAAACTGATTTTTTTCTGAAAATTCAAATTTTTCGATAAATTTCACAATTATCAATAGAGCGCAAATGCTTCCTAGACCTATTTTTCAAGAAAATTCAAATTTCTTGATTAAAATTGAGGTTCTCAATAGAGCGCAAATGCTTCCTATACCTATTTTTCAAGAAAAATTCAATTCAGAAAGCTATAAAGTGCTCAGAAGCGGAAATTTTGGATTTCAGTTCGAAAATTCAATTTTTTTTTTTTGATTTTTCTATGAAAGTTTCACATTTTGGTGCTAAAAACCACATTTTTTTTGAAAAAAAAAACGCAAAAAAGCGTGACGGGTTTAATCCAGGATCAACAAAAAAACATCAGAAAAATTTTTTTTTTGAAAAAAAATGGAATTTTTAGGGAAAAATTTGCCACGTGGCCAAATTTTATTTTACAATTAATTAGAAACTGGAAAAAAAATCTAGAAATCTGAGAATTTTTTGAAATTTTGATATTAAAAATTTAGTCATATGGATTTTCAGATTTCAAAAATTAGGTTTTCGAAAATTTAGGGTTAAAAAATCTAGGAATCTCAATTTTTGCCACGTGGATTTGGAGCTTTTTTGAAAAAAAATTTGAAAAAATAATATTTTTCGTCAAAAAACTATATTTTTTCCTATTTTCGACACAAAAATGAAAAAAAAATGTCAAAAAATAGGAAAAAAATATAGTTTTTTGACATTTTCTGAATCGAAAATCCACGTGGCACCAATTTTTCTCTGCGAAAAAAAATACATTCATTTATGATGATGATGATGTCCATTTCTTCTCCTTTGCGAGCCCCCAAAAATTGACAGGCGAGACGAAATAGTGTGCGAAGCGGAGAGAGCACACCAGACACAGATTAAATTGCGGTTTTGAAACGCAGTTAATTCGTTGTGGAGAAATAGTGGGAGAGAATGAGAGAGTGCAGAGAGAAAAAGTGTGTGTGTATATTCTAATGACAAAAGGAAGAAGAAAGTGGTGGTGGAGGAAGAAAAAAAGATGAAACAACTAAAAAAAATGAGAGGAGCTTCTTTTTCTTGAGGTGAGAGAGTGAGGAGACGCAGAGAAAACAGAGAAATACGTGGATTTTTTGGCGCGAAAATTTGAGTACTGTAGATTTTTTTTGAAGTTGTCACGTGGATTTTGAAGCTCTAGATTTTCAGAATTCTTAAAATTCGAAGAAAAATATGCCACGTGGAATTTGGAGCTCTAAATTTTCAGAATTTTTAAAATTTGCAAAAAAATATGCCACGTGGAATTTGGAGCTCCTGAATTTTTAGAATTTTTAAAATTTGAAGAAAAATTTGCCACGTGGAATCAGAAAATTCCAGAAATTTTTTTTTTGGATTTTTAGGGCCCTAAATTTTTGCTAGACCTCAAAAATCAATTTTTTCAAAAAAGCTGAAAAAAAATCGTTAAACATCGAGAAATCACAGCTGTCAACACACAGCAAATTTTCTGCGAAATTTTTTTGTTCAAAAAAAATTGTGAACAAAAAAATATATTTTTTCGCGAAAAAAAAATGCGAGATTTTGGTTTTTTTGGGGAAAGAAAACAATAGAAAAAACGAATGCATTTTAAATTTTATTCACTTTTTTTCCTCTAGCTTTGTAGTATACTTTTTTGAGTTAGGGGAAGTTGGATTTTCAGAAAAAAAATATAGGAAATTTGAGCTTGAAAAATAGAGAAGCCACCTGGAATTTCAACAGAAAATCTAGAAAATAAAATTTTAAAAATTCAGAAGCCACAAAAAATCTACAAAAAATAATATAAAATTTAAAAACCATGTGGATTTTTTTCCAGAAAATATAGGAAATTTGAGATGGAAAAACCATATGCCACGTGGTTTTTTGTCCGGAAGTAATACACAAAACTCATTTTTGGGCGCGAAAAATCAGCGAGCCCATATTAATCTCAAAAATAAACAAGCCGGCAAGCTGGCAGGGTGTCAAAACTCGTGAAATGTGTCAGAAAAATCTAACAGGGCTCAAAAACCACGTGGATTTTCAAGAGAGCAAAAAAATTATCCCGAAATTTGAGCTCTAGAAAATACACGTGGCAATTGCTTACTTGTAAGCTGAATTTTAAAAAATTCTCAAAATATTTCGAATTTTTCAATTTTTTCGCGCCAAAAAATGGATGACACGTGGAAAAATAATAATTTGTCTTCAAGAGACACACTTGAAAGTGTCAAGTGTCACACACACAAAATGATAATGAGCCTGGTGTTCCTCGATTTTTCCTCTTGTATATTTCATGTATATTATTTACACAGTACTTGAAAAATTGTGGAGAAAAAGAAAGTGATATCTTTTTTTTGAGAGAAAAGTTTCTAGAAAATTCAAAAAAAAATCGTCCAAAACACAAAAATTGTTGCGCAAAAATATAAATAAAATTGAGAAAATTTTGAAACGTAAAAAATCGCCGAAAAATATTTTAAGCTTTTTTTGGCGAAAAAACTTTGGAAGATACAAACTCTCGAAAATGATAAAGTTATCAAAACAAATTTCAAACGCTCAAAAAACATCCAAATTTTGAAACTTAAAAAATCCGGTGGAATTATTTTTGCGCTTAAAATTCATTAACTCAAACCTGAAAGTTTTAGCGCCAAAATTGACCTAAAATTCAAAAAATCCCACAAATTTCCCCAATAAATAAAAAAGAACAATGGGGATAGATTTATTATAAGTATTATTAGTTAGTCTAACTAATAAGTACTAATATACTCACTTCCCCCCTTTAAATACACACATATGGCATACAAATAACCAAGGCCTGTCAGAAAATCTGACCCAGGTGTCCTAAAACTAGGCTCCGCCCCCCTTTTTGTCTTGTGTCGAGAACAGATTTCTCATATTTTTTGACAAATTTCGGTTGAACACGTGTGCGCCAGCTGGAGAAGAGAAAGTGGACTACTAAAATATGGTTAAGTGGGATCATCATCTGGGTGAGAGACGCAGAGAGCTTGGCACGGGATTTTGGGAAAGAAAATTTTTTAAAAAGGTTACTGTAGATGATTTTTTGGGCTTTGGAAAATTCTAGGTTTTCAGAATTATTCAAAAAAAATATATATTTGAACCTAAAAATTTAGTTTTCAAGACTTAAAATCATCACAAATGCTGAATTTCAGAATTGAATTTTTAAAAAAAAATTCTGGGAAAAATTGTTGAAAAATTTTATAAATTTTGAAAAATTCTGGGAAAAATTCCCAAAAAAATCCACGTGGAAAATTCTAACATGAGCAATGCAAGAAGCCTAAATCTAATTTTTAAGAGGCCTAAAGACCAGCTATAAATTTGATAAGCCTAAATAATTTTACTGGCCTAAAATCAGCCTAAAATTGGCCTAACCTAATTTCAAAAGGGCCTAAAAACTATGTATGTTTCTCACAAAATTCTACCTAACCCAAAAAAAGACAAAAAATAAATAAATTACACGGCGTTTTGTTTGGTGTGCCGAAAAACTTGCATCAGATCGAGATTTGAGATTAGATTTTTTTTGGAGAAAAAAAGTTGAAAAATTCTATAATTTTTGAATTTTCAGCGTCAAAAATCTTAAAATCTACATTTTCAGCGCCGAAAAATCGAGAAAATCCGAAAATGTTTGGGATTGTTGGATGAGTTTACGAGGCCCGAAGGAGAAAAAGTGGGATTTTTTTTGGAATTTTTGAAATTTCTGCTGAAAATTATTGATTTAGGACGCTGGAGTGTTGATTTTGCTGGACATTTTCTCAAAATCCGAGCCGCAGGTTCTATTATGTGTTAGAAGTGCGAATTTGAGAAGACATCCTGGGGAGGTGAGCAAAAATTTGATGAATTTATTTGAACTAGACTCTAGTTTTGGCCAAAAATCATCAATCATCTGAGTAGTAATAAAATATTTTAGGTATGTTTTCCGGGTGGAATGATGGATGAATTGGCGGATGACGGAAACACGAGACAGACGGCGATCAGAGAGACGCAGGAGGTTAGAGAAATAGGGGAGGGGTAGAGACGCAGAGAAAAGGAGAGGTTTTGAAACGTGGCAAAATTAAAAATTCAGAAGGTCAAGATTTTCGAAAAAAATAGGATTGCGAAATTTCAAAAAAAAATTGCGAAACTTCTAAATTCGATAGAAATTTGAATTCAAAAATTTTCGCGCGTAATTTCGAAATTTTGGAAATTTGGAATTTCAAAGTTCAAATTTCCACAAATCTCATCAAAATTCAGCTCCAAAAAATTAGAAATTCAAAAATTTTTCCGAAATACACTGCATTTTGATGTGATGTGTATGTCAGAAAACGGAACATTTTGTGACATTTTGGAGAAAAAGCGGAAAATCTGTCTTTTTCTCCGGGGACTCGATGATTTTTTGAATGAATGAATAGAGGAAAATTAGGGGAAAAAAGGTCAAGAGACAAAAAATTTAGCGCGCGAAAACTTGAGATTTTGGCGGGAAATTTGAAAAATTCAAAAAAAAATTGATTTTTATGATCCAAATTTTTTACAATCGCTTGTAAAAATTTAATTTTAAAGGGACATACAGTACTCTTATAAAATCTAGAAAATACAGTAATCCAGGACTTTATTCCGAATTTTTCTGGCCAAAATTGTGCACAGTAAAATTTGATTTGATTTTTAAAGGGCCATACAGTACTCCTTATTCAAAAATTGATTGCTCACAAAACATGCTTACAAAATCTAGAGAAAATACAGTAATCCCTGAATTTTTCGAACTACAGTAACCCGAACTAGAATTATACAATTTTTTATTCAAAAAAAATCTTCAGAATTCAAAAAATCTGAATTTTGCCACGTGGAAGCGCAAAATTCTGAAAGTTTTTCAAAAATGCCACGTGGCACAAAAAACCAAAAGAAAAAGAACACTTTTTTTTGTTCTTGGGCAAAAGTAGTAAAAAGTGTCCTTTTCTTTTCTTTTTCCCTTCGTTCGCCAAAAACCAGAGCGAGAGAGTGCGGGAAATTGAGAGACGCAGACATGTAGAGAGACAGAAAAAGGCGCAGATGGTGTGGGAAAGGGAGAAATGTCAAGGCGTAGCGCCCAAGAAAAACTGGAGAGAAGGAATAATTAGGTTTTGGGCTAGGGTCGTTAGGGGAACATTTAGAGGCACTTTTTTTGGGCCCAAAAAAATTTTGGGAAAAAATTTGGAAAAAAAAGAAGAGAAAATGACCTTGATGGGAGTTTTTATGAGGATTGATGAATAATTGGAATGATATCTATGAAAACATAAATTATGGGATTTTTTTCATTGAAAAACTTCAGGGGTACTGTATGCGCCTTTAAAAATTCAAAAAAAAATCATCGTGGCTCAAAAATTGCACATTTTTTGACATCAAATTTGCCCAAGGTTACTGTAGATTGGTTTTGGCGCAAAATTTTTTTGAATTGTGGGATTTTCCGGGGGTACTGTATGCGCCTCTAAATATTCAAAAAAAAAATCATCGTGGCTCAAAAATTCTACATTTTTTGACATCAAATTTGCCTATGGTTACTGTAGATTGGTTTTGGCGCGAAAAAATTTTGAATTTGAATTTTTTTGACACTAGAAATTCTTCTTCGTGAAATATTGGCTACAGTAAAGGTTTACTGTAGATAGGATACTGTAGTTCGAAAACATTTAAAAACCGGATTACTGTAGTTTGTGAGGATGTCCTTTTAAAAAAATTTTTTACCCAATTTTTTTCAAAAAAAAAATTTAAATTTTCGGAATTTTGGCGGAAAAATTGGAAAAATTCAAATTTTTCCAGGAAATCGGAGTTCCGCCAGAAGATTACGAAATAATTGGAAATTTGCCAGCGTTTCGCGCGAGATTTGGAATTCTTCTACATCCCACAATTGCAGTTGTAAAGTGAGCTGAAAATCCGGATTTTCTGGCTGAAAATCTTGATTTTCAGCTCGAAAAAATCCAGATTTTCAGCCAGCCCAAAATATCGATTTTTGTTCCAGAAATCCGCTGAAAATCACGATGAATCCGGACGAAGTTCAAAGTGTTTTTTGGATTCCGATTTCTCGATTTTTGTCGGCCGAAAATCACTCGATTTTTCAATTGGATCAGATTTATTATGTGCACATGTTTCAGGTAGGCAAAATTAGAAAATACAACGACACTCCGTGTTTACACAATCTTTAATTTTCCCGCGAAATTTTGAAAATTCAAAAATTTCAATTTTCAACGACACTCCGTGTTTACAACACCTTCATTGTTGCCGCCAAATTCAAAAAATTCAAATATTTTTTGTTTCAGTTCCCCGACTTCCCCACCACATTTGGTGTCACCGCTTTGATGTGTATAATTGTGGCGATGGGTGTATTTGGCAGACAGCCAAATTTCGATATTCTGGCCAATTTACCCGAAATTGAAGCGCGCCAAATGAGCACTATTCAAATTTTGACACATGTTTATCGATTTGCTGGCAGAAAGTTTGAGAGAAATTCGAAAATTTGATTGAAAATGAAGATTTTTATGAGTTGTTTTGTTTTTTTTTTAATAATAATAATGATCAATATAATAATAATCGCACCATGGAAAATTGATGAAGATGGCGATGCTGAAATGAAAAAAAAATTCAAAAAACGGCAAGGCGAGTAAGTGCGCCCCACTGCACACTTTTTCATTTCGAAAAATTTTTTTTTCTTTTTTTTCTTTTTTTCACGTTTTACTCGGTTTTCTTTGTGAATGTAGGGTTTTAAAATCATTTTGAGATATGTAGGCTCTCTAAAATTTTCCCAAAAATCACTGAATTCATAGTTTTTGCTCCCAAACTCACTTATGGCCAAATATCATTGATTCTCACTTTTGGCAGCGTGCGAAGTCCCATAATAATTCGATCGCCCTTTTTCCTGGTGCCGGTGGGTGTGCCAATAATCGCCTTGCGGTTGTACGCGATCGATTGACGGCCATAACACCGTCAATCGTAGAATTCGTGACACGGCCTCTCAACACAGCCACTTGTCCTCTCCTAATCACTTCCAAACACTCTTCGCACATCTTCTTCCACTCATTGTCCGTTATAATTTGTGGAGCTGGAGGTGCAGCAGCCGCAACTTGTTGTACAACTGGAGGTGGTGGTGGAGGTGCAGCAGCCGCAACTTGTTGTACAACTGGAGGTGGTGGTGGAGGTGCAGCAGCCGCAACTTGTTGTACAACTGGAGGTGGTGGTGGAGGTGCAGCAGCCGCAACTTGTTGCACAACTGGAATTTGTGGTGGAGCTGGAGCCGCAACTTGTTGCACAACTGGAATTTGTGGTTGAGCCGGTGCAGGTGCAGGTGGAGGTGGTGGAGCTGCAGCAATTTGAAGAGCAGCGGCAGGTGGAGGAGCTACCGCTGGAACTGCTGGTTGCACAAAATTGACAACTTGTGCAATATTTGGCACTGGTGCATTTGGAATTGGTTGAGCAATGATTGGTGGTGGAGCTTGAATTATTCGGATTCCAATTTGTGGCTGCATCTCGACAATTTCAGCTTCTCTTCGCATAGCTGGCAAAACCTCAATCTCCTGGCGCTCATTCTGCTGTTCCAATTCCACAATTTGCGCTTCTCTTCGCATAGCTGCCAAAACCTCAATTTCAATCGCATTTCCAAAACCAATTTGCACCGCCGCCGTATTCCTTGGTTGAGCGTTGAGGTATTGGATATGCTGTTGTTGTTCGGCGAAATTGACAATGTTTGCAACACGTGGTGCTGGTTCTCCTTCGGATCTTTCAGAGATATTCGACAAATTGTGGCTATCTTTGATGGTTTCTCGACCGAATTTCCTCGCCCTCCTCTTGAGCTCCATCCCGAATGTCGCAAATCCTCGGATAATGATTGATATTGAATCGAATCATTTCAGCATCCAACATTTCCGGTTCTTCAGGTTGAACCTGAAACATGTATTATTATAAGATTTCAATTAAAATTCCCGTTTTTCCCTCTTGAAACCAGTAACTTACATCAATTTGATCTTCTTGTTGATTTTGTTGTTCTTCCATCTCGATCACATCCATTAACATTTGATTCATTACTTCAATGATAATTCGATCATCATTTTCATCCTCCATAATCAATGCTTCTTGCTCATTCAGACCATTCCTTTCAATTTCAACAATCCCATTATTCAAAACCGGTAGATTTTCGCGTTGAGCCTAAATTGTACATGATTATTACTTCAATCCTGTTTACTTGATATCCCCGAAAATCAGATTTCAAATTCTCTATCTTTTACTCACTCGTTTAACCTTCCAATTCATACTGATTATTTCAATTCGTTGCATTTGCTCATGTATTTTTCGCATTCTGTGCAATTCTTCCTTGTCGATTTTTGATCTCTTGATCTCGAAAGGATAAAGATCTTCGAAGTGGAGAGCGCGTTTTCGACCCGCTTCCAATTTTGTTCTCTTTATCGCAAATGGATAAAGCACAGACATCTGAAAAAAAACAAATTAAAATTTGCAAAAATTTTACAATTTCAAACTCACTCAATCAAACAACTCGCCAAAAGCTCCTATATTTTCCGCCGCAAGCCGATGATTCGATTTTCGATTTGTCAACCACAAATAATCATCAGGAAATTCTCGAAATCCCCCTTTTCCAGCCATAACTATCAATCCATATCGATTTGGTGAAAATCAATAACTTTCAATATTAACTTGGCTTCTATTTTTTGTGATTTCGATGATTTTCCTGATCCAACTCTCGAAAATCCTTGCATATCCATTTGCTATCCAGAACAACTTTGTGAAAATGACGAATTTCCTCCAAAAAACGCCAAAATCTCATTATCTCATTGATATCGAGTTCGCTTTTTCTTTTCTTCCTGATCCCGCTGAATTTCTAGCCATAATTCCAACATCAATTCAAAAATTCGAACAATCATAAAATCGAAATGCATTCCACGTGACACGTTGAATGATTTCACGTCTGAAAAATAATTGAATTATTTTTTGAAATTAATTTTGTAGATGAAAAATCTAACCATCAGGTAATCCTCGAAATCCTTCTTTTCCAGCCATACACTTGAATCCATATCGATTTTTTGGGTATCGATAACTTTCAAAAATAACTTGGCTTCTTTTTTCGAGATTTCGATGAATTTCCTGATTTTCGCTCATTTTTTTTCCAAAAATCCAACAAATTGATAGAAAAATTCAACAATTCCGAGCATTCCATCATAAATAATAAATAATAATCGATAAATAATTAATTTTTTGGGGTTTTATAATTTTTTTTGATTTTTTATTGGTTTTTTTTTGATTTTTCAATAAATAAATATATAATAACCAGAAGAGCTCCGCCGGCTAACGCCGGCTCCTCCTTCTGGGTTGTCCCGGCTTCGCGCGTAAATTTTTTTGCAGACTACAGTAATTCCAAAATCAATTCAAAAAATAATCGAGTTCATTATAAATACAAAATAATTAATTCAATACATCTTTACAAACAATATTATGCATTTTTTTGGAAGATGATTCGATGAATATTCCATCTTTAGTTCGAGTTCGAGAAAGAGCCACATATAATTGTCCGTGACTGAATATATGTTCATCCAACTGCAATCCGATTTTGTTGAAAGTTTGCCCTTGACTCTTATTTATCGTCATGGCAAAAGACAATCGAACTGGAAATTGAAGTCGAGAAAGAACAAAGGGAAGATTCTGTTCATAATTGAGTTTGATTCGCGGAAGAAGAACAGATTCTCCTTTTCGCGCTCCACAAACAAATTTGCATTGAAGTACACGTTCTCCCATATTTTCCACCACAAATCGAGATCCATTGCATAACGAATTCTTGACGTCCAAATTTCGCAGAAGCATTATGATTGCTCCTTTCTAGAATCTCGAATTTATATGCTAACCCTATTTTTACACCCACCTTGAGCTGCAGATCATGAGGAGGCATTCCACTTGGAGTCATCCTATTCAAAAATTCAGTGGTATAATATTGGCAGCTTGCATCCGTTTCTCCTTCTTTCCGAACAATAACATCCAGTGACTTAAATGATTTTGAATTTCCAGGTAATTGATCAAGGATTCGAAGATTCATTTCCAACGCTTCTTTGTTTTTGGGGGTTAAAATCGCAACTTTCGATAATTCATCAATGTCCGAACCCCCTAAAAAACCTCCAAAAATATTCGATACCAAATCACCACTTTGAAATTCAAGCGGAACATCCATTTCTCCAGTCAATGGAGCCCCAACATCACCATCTCCGATTTTCATCAAATCATCTTTCCATGTTGAATCACCATCTGTTAATCTCATATTTGCAGTCAATCTCATGCATTCAAACTTGCTCCACAATTCAGATTTCTTAATACAATTTGCAACTTGTTCATCAACTCCTCCTTTGTCCATTACCGGCAAAACTTGCCGAAAATCACCTCCAAGTACAATAGTTTTACCTCCAAACGGAAAATCATATTCCATTACATCACGGAAAAATCGATCAACACTTTCGAGGGCGGATTTCGGTGACATCGGAGCTTCGTCCCATAAAATCAAATCAATTTCTGATAAACGTTTGGCTTCGGCTGAACGGGGGTTGAGGCGCGACATTTTGCAACCATTTGTTACATCAAGCTTGAAAATTGAAGCCACCGTGCGACCATTTGGAAGAAGAGCGGCAGCGATGCCGGTCCACGCAATTGTCAAAATCTTCTTTTTCTCGCCTTGAACAATGTTTGCCAAACAATTGTAGAGATACGTTTTTCCGCTTCCTCCAGGCCCATCAACAAAAAAAAGTCCTCCACATCCAGATAATGCAATCAAAATTGTTCCAAGAACTTTTTCTTGCTCCACCGACATGGTCTTTCGCATATCTTCTCCAACTCTTCGACACAAATCATAATCAATTTGTGGGCCATTTATTAGAACTCTTTGATATGGAAGATCCAAATAAATACGAAAATCGACCTTCATAGCATCAAGCCGATCCAGAATGTCAAAATATGTTAGAGATTCAGCATCCGATCGTGATTTTTTTTGGTGAATATAATCCTCACATAAATCATCGAGAAACCTGAAGATCAAATTTTTTTGAGACAATAAAAATGTTTTCTCACTTATTCCAAAGTTTTTCCACGTCGGTAATATTCCCGAAGCAAATCAGAGTTGCAAAAAATCCTCGAAGTTGGGCAGCCGAATGAAATGTCGAAGCTTCTTGCATCGATTGTTCATGAATTAAATCATCTTCAAGATATCCACTCATTTTAGCCGCCTCAATGAAAGTATCATATTTTGTTCCCGAAACCGTCAACAAATCATCAAAGCACGTAGCTCCTTTTGTGTACAACAACAGCTGTCGAAGTGCGAATCTTTCACGATCTCTTGGCGAAACAAAATGCATACGTCCAATCGCAAACCGACAGTTTCTTCGTTCTTTCCAACCATGTTTCGGATCAAAAATAAAATATTCAGGCATCTGATAATAAAAAAGATCTCGTGTATCTCTCATAGGTTGTGGAAGAGTTCCATCCGGTAATGCAGCTTCTTGGCATTTTTTGTTGGCCTCAAACCACCCTGTCAAAGTTGTTTTGCGCAGTTCACCATTGGTAGTTGCCTGAACTTCATCCCCTTTTCGAAATACAATCCCTTGACAACCCGGTAGATGAACCTTGAGTTGTTCCACTGAAACACTGCGATCAGTCATCGGATACCCCAAAATATGGTGCATTGCCTCAGGCGCACAAACATATCGCGTATCCAAATATTTGTCAATTTCATCCTCAACTGGATTTGGAACGCCACTTGATGTTGTTTGAATGCGAATTGAGGCCCGAGTTGTTCCCTTGTAAACGTATTTGTATAAATACTTTACAGCTGAAATTGCTCCACATATTTCGACGTTGATGTGGCATTCGAGCAACAAAGTCAGATATTTGTTGTAAGCCACCACGTGCCGATTATCCAATGCAACTTTGTTTATCATGACAGTTCGACCATCTTTACGTCTTCTCAATAGTGGAAATCCATCAACCTCCATAGAAGTGCAATCTCGATTTTCTTTTGGAAAATTTTTGTCACATTTCCCATTTCTCATGCATGGAGAATTGATGTTGTGAACTCCACATGGACGATGCATCATCATCTTTGTAACCAATTCATGAAGTCTTGGCTCAGCAATTGGATCAGGAATTTCTGCCGATACCAATTTGTCAACATCTCGAGCCGTTCTGGAATTTGAAAAGAAAATCTTGAATAATCAACTGAATTTTACCTAGGTTTGCTCTCTTTGTGCATGATGATTAAGATATGCACGTGCGGAAGTCCGCGTTTTTGGAATTCGATAACCGAGATATGAGCAGCAACTTTCCCGAAAACTTCTTTCTTAAACAGCTGATCTTTCAATTCACCAAGTTTTAACTGGAAAACTCTCGCCACCAAATCGGGTCTATCACTCGCAATTTGTCCCGGTTCCAAATTTTCTTGAATTTCTTTCCACGCCGGGTTGCAAGTCATCGTTATGAAAAAATCCGGTTTTCCATAACGCGCAACAACAGCCATGGCATCCTGATATTGGGCTACCATATCACGTGGAGATCCAGTGTGAGAAGCAGGCAAAACTATTCGCGTTCCAACAGCACCATCTTCTTGGCCAGCAACATAATCTTGCAGCCCTTTCAATGTCTCAATCCGAAGTCGATCTTGATTGAATCTGATGTAATTTAGGCGGCCTTGTTCGATTTTTGTCCAGACATCAACAACAAATTGCTGGAAGAGCTTGGCGGAAAAAAAAAGAGGGCTGAACTGGTCTCTCCGATGAAATAAATAACTATAGAATTCACGGGTTGACACGCGCACCCGCTTTCCTCTTGATTCAGTATATTTGATTCCAGGATACCATCCATATTTTCCATCGGGAAAAATCAAAGGATAAACCATCGGATCAGTTTCCTTATCAGTATCTCGAAATGAAACCAATTGACCACCTCTTTGTTGTACTGTAATCCTCCTTTCTCCAGGAATATTATCTTCGTCGCCAACGAAAACAACTGCCACTTCAGTCGAAGTAGGAAGTTGGTATCTGAAATTCAGAGCTGATTGAAAAAAATACTGTGAAAAATTACCTTCGATGATCATCTTCGCCTCTAACTCTAAATGTCATTTTCACTTCTTTTTCTGGGCGACCTTCTCTGGCAGCAGCAAGTTGCTCCTCTTTTTCTACTTCTCGCATCGTTTTGAAAGAGTGCACAAACGGATTAATTTTCTCCAAAATTTCGATCAACTTCTTGAACATATTCTCCGTACAATCATTGTTTATCGGTCTTCCAGCAAGTTCTTCAGCAGCCAATCCAGTATCCATAATAAAAACTTGAGCAAAATTGTGCTTCTCACCGACTGCTGGATGCAATGAGCCGACAAAGTGATACACCTGTAAATTTGAAACTAAAAAAAACAAATATTTTTCTCAAACTGACTTGTCCATGAATACGGTAACAATAAGGTCCTCTTCCTTTTGGTACTTCCACTTGTGCTTTCATACTACCCATCGCTAAACTATTATTGTAGTTCCTTGTGTGTTCTCGAAAATTGATGGATTCAGGATCATTCGAAGTATACAATTTTTTGAGATCTTTTGGAAATTTGTCGAAATGATTCAGTTTGACTTTTCCTAGCATACAGCATTTCGAGTAAGTTCCTTTCAAAGTGCATTCGTCAGAAAAATACAATGCTCCGCAATATTCACACTTTTGATCCATTTTTCCAGAATAATGAGCATCTATGTTTACTCCTGTTGCCGCAATTCCAAATTTACTTTTATTTTGTCTCAAAGCCGGTATTCGTGAAGCTTGATCAGATTCGGATGAATTCTCGCTTGAAGTGGAATAAGCACGAAGTCTTCTTATTTTATCCGACGGTCCAGTTTTATCATCTGTTTGTTTTCGAGCACGTTTCTGTCTTTTTGAAGTTTCATCTTGTCTTTTTGAAGCTGTTGTCATTGCGACTTTGTTTAATCTCGTTTCTCTTTGTTTCTCATTTTCATTTGCTCTGGCATTTTTTTTCCGAACTGCATCACCGATTTTTTTCATCTTGAATTTTCGTTAGTTGATTGGGGTACTGTATCTCACAAAAACTTACATTTTTTTTCACTCGAGATTCATGTTTTTTTGTTGTTGGTGTTTTGCCTTTATTTTTAGTTGCTCTCGAAATTTCTCCGGATTCATCAGTTTCACCAATTTCTGATTCTTCTTCACCGATGTTATTGTTGTTTTCGGTTACGGTAGCTGTTTTCAAACTTTTTGAAGAGATCGCATCATGTTTTTTTCTTTCATTCCTCTTTCTTTCCACTTCTGCTGCTTTTTTCATCTAAAATAAAATTGACCTCATGCATCACAATATAACTCTACCTTTTTACGGAAGTTCGTTTTATTTTTTGAATTTTTAGCATGAGCCATTTCTTGTAAATCTTGCATGTTTTCATCGTTTTCTACGTCCACAACTATATTTTCCTGCGACATTTCGATGGAAAAAAAAGTAGAAAATGAGCTAAGTTTTGGAAATGAAAAAACGTGTCACGTTTCGAAAAACAAAAAAAATTTAAAAACAAAAAAATTACTTTTTTGAAAGAAGTAAAACAGAAAAATAATGAGCAGCGTATTTAATTGTACTGTACTATTTCTGTTGTCTACTGTGAGATACATTCTCGTAATTTTGGTTTCAACACTTATATAGTATCTCAAAAATACTGAATGGTTTTCATTCACTGGAATAGTAAACTGAAATAGTAAAAAAAAACAGTAGTCACTATATTCTCACTATATAACTCACTATTCATAATTTCAAGAACCGATTAGGAATAGACTAAGCTCTAGAAATGATTTGTTTCCCCATCTTTGAAAAAAGTAGAACGATCAGATAAGAAACGTGTTCTGATATTTTTTTACGAATAAAAACGTGATCATTCTTTTTTACATGAAAGAAGTTTTGAATTTTCACGTGAAAACTCGCCCACTTTTTGAACAAAACGATATTAGCGCATCGATGGGAAAGAATTTGGGATAGAATGGTGAAGGTCCCATGAAAAATGGTCTTCTGGAAGTTGAGTTATCGCGATGGACAGGTTTTATTTTCGAAAAATACATTGAGTTTTTCAAACTTTTTCTGCTCCGCGCACCCCTGAGAGAGTGAATTTGAAAAGATTAGCTAGCCCACCAAGGTGCCAAAATTTGCAAACTTTTCATTTTTTGATCATCAATTTTCGTGATCGTTGAAGGTATGAACGGGGCCTGGACAAACTATTCAGTTTCCAATTAGTATATAGTAGATATGTTGAAGAAGCGCATCATTGTCCTCTCATTTGATAATAATTAATATTTTTGGATTTTTTGATTTTTTTTGTTTTTTTAAAAATTTTTTCAAATAATAATAATGATCAATATAATAATAATCGCACCATTGATGAAGATGGCGATGCAGCGCTGAAATGAAAAAAAATTAATGAAATTCAAAAAACGGCAAGGCGAGTAAGTGCGCCCCACTGCACACTTTTTCATTTCGAAAAAAAATTATTTTCTTTTTTTGTTTTTTTCACGTTTTACTCGGTTTTCTTTGTGAATGTAGGGTTTTAACGTCATTTTGAGATATGTAGGCTCTCACCGTTGAATTAAAATTTTACTGAATTCATAGTTTTTCTCCCAAACTCACTTATGGCCAAATATCATCGATTTTTACTTTTGGAAGAGTGCGAAGTCCCATAATTATTCGATCGCCCTTTTTCCTGGTGCCGGTGGGTGTTGCAATAAGCGTCTTGCGGTTGTTCGCGATCGATTGACGGCCATAACACCGTCAATCGTATAATGCGTTACACGGCCTCTCAAAACAGCCACTTGGCCTCTCCTAATCACTTCCAAACACTCTTCGCACATCTTCTTCCACTCATTGTCCGTTATAATTTGTGGAGCTGGAGGTGGTGGTGGTGGTGGAGGAGCTGCAACCGGTTGAACAACTGGAGGTGGTGGTGGAGGTGCAGCAGCCGCAACTTGTTGCACAACTGGAATTTGTGGTGGAGCTGAAGCCGCAACTTGTTGCACAACTGGAATTTGTGGTTGAGCCGGTGCGGGTGCAGGTGGAGGAGCCGGAGCTGCAACTTGTTGAACTGCTACTTGTGCAGCAATTTGAAGAGCAGCGATAGGTGGAGGAACTACCGCTGGAACTGCTGGTTGCGCAAAATTGACAACTTGTGCAATATTTGGCACTGGTGCATTTGGAGCTGGTGGAATTGGTTGAGCAATGATTGGTGGTGGAGCTTGAATGATTCGAATTCCAATTTGTGGCTGCATCTCGACAATTTCAGCTTCTCTTCGCATAGCTGGCAAAACCTCAATCTCCTGGCGCTCATTCTGCTGTTCCAATTCCACAATTTGCGCTTCTCTTCGCATAGCTGCCAAAACCTCAATTTCAATCGCATTTCCAAAACCAATTTGCACCGCCGCCGTATTCCTTGGTTGAGCGTTGAGATATTGGATATGCTGTTGTTGTTCGGCCAAATTGACAATGTTTGCAACACGTGGTGCTGGTTCTCCTTCGGATCTTTCAGAGATATTCGACAAATTGTGGCTATCTTTGATGGTTTCTCGACCGAATTTCCTCGCCCTCCTCTTGAGCTCCATCCCGAATGTCGCAAATCCTCGGATAATGATTGATATTAAATCGAATCATTTCCGCATTCAACATCTCCGGTTCTTCAGGTTGAATCTGAAACATAATATTTCAATCAAAACCCCCGAAAAATGCGATATTTTTTCAAATCCAAATAATTCCAGTAACTTACATCTTCTTGTTGATTTTGTTGTTCTTCCATCTCGATCACATCCATTAACATTTGATTCATTACTTCAATGATAATTCGATCATCATTTTCATCCTCCATAATCAATGCTTCTTGCTCATTCAGACCATTCCTTTCAATTTCAACAATCCCATTATTCAAAACCGGTAGATTTTCGCGTTGAGCCTAAATTGTACATGATTATTACTTCAATCCTGTTTACTTGATATCCCCGAAAATCAGATTTCAAATTCTTTATCTTTTACTTACTCGTTTCGGTTTCCAATTCATACTGATTTCATCGATTCTTTTCATTTTCTCATGAATTTTTCGCATTCTGTGTAATACTTCCTTTCGACTATTGTCGATTCTTGATCTCTTGATCTTGAAGGGATACAGGTCTTCGAAGTGGAGAGCCCGTTTCCTAGCCGATTCGAATCTTGCTCTCTTTATCGCCAAAGGATAACTCATTTCGAAATCACTAGGCCACGCGCGTTTTCTTCTAACATTCATACTTGACACGAATCTAAAATCATCAATTTATCCATTTTGTTTTCAGTTTATTATTTAATTCACTAACCTCTTACTTATAGTAATTTGAGAAATGGTTGAATTTTTTCGAAAAATGCCTTTTTTTAGTTGGCAAAAAAAACGTGTCACGTTTTTAATTTTTTTTTTCCAAATTTCAAATTTTTTTTGTGAGAAATTTCTTCGAATTTTCACGTGTTATTTCAAATTTTCGCTTATTTGTGCCAAAAATTCAAATTTCAAAATTTTCACAAGGATTTTAAAAATTTATTATTTTGTTCAGATTTCATGAGAATTCCCTGATTTTTTATCAATTCGAAGTTTTTCCAATGTTTTTTCAACTTTTGCTCATTTTCGCTCGAAAAATTGCTTCAAATACATACAATTTCCGTTGCCGGATCTGAAAATTTCACTGAAAATCTATGAAATCACAGCTTTCACTGAAATTTTTAGATCCCGCGCAGGGAAATCTATCGCCAATTTTTTTAGTGATAAAAAACATTGGAAAAATGTTCACATTTCTCATCAAAACGCCCACTTTTTCAGATCAAAAACCCGCCATTTGCACATTGTTTGCCAGCTCGAAGCCAGAGAAATCGGCCAAAATCTACACGGTCGCCGCAATTCATCGAGCAAAAGGAGCAGGTTGGATTTTTGGGGGATTTATGAGCCGAAAATCGTGAATTTTGACCGAAAAACATGAAAATTGATCAATTTCAGGTGGAAATTTGTGATTTTCTGCAATTTTTAACCCAAAATTATGATTTTCAGTCAAACAATGCATTTGAAACCTGCAAAATTTCAGATAAAATTGGTTAGTCTGAAATTTTGCAGGTTCCAGATATTCAGATGCATTTTTCGAATGAAAATCTTAAAACTTGATTAACTTCCAAATTTTCTATATAATTTGCTCAAAAATTGTCAAAAATCAACGATTTCTAGCCAACCAAAAATTATCTGAAAATTTGCAGAAATCTACTGGCATTCCACCGAATTCTGAAGATATTCTGATGAGTCAAACAATGGATATCACAGATTCGAAACAAGATCTTGCTGAAGCTGAAAAATCTTCAGAAAAACCACACATTCTCAATGATACAATGGCTATTTTCAATGAAATTCCCGATCGAAATTTGGCTGAAAATCGTCTTGAAATTCCAGCAAGATCTCAAGATTCTTTGGATATATCTGCTCGGGCGATAAAAAGAGCTGGAAATTCTCGAAATTATTATTTTGAGAGCTTGGCTTTCACTACAAATGATGCGTATATTGCTTATGATGTTTTATTCAATTTGACAGCTCCGGAAAATTTGAGTTTTAAAAGTGTCAGTGTTGTGATTGACGATGCATAAGAAATTAATGGAGATTTTCAGACGATCTGATTGTGTGAAGACTAATTTGTGTTTGAGGGATGATTATTTCAAAGAATTGATTTGTACATGTTCAGAAGTGGAATTTGATGCAACTATTATCAATCTAAGTACAATTGTCGAAATGATGATCGAATATTGTAATGATTTTGAGGTCAAGTGCATATTAAAAAATGTTTCTGAAGATATTCTGAAATTTAGCTGCTTACAATTCTCGCCGACGAGGAATTTATTTGAAAATCAAATTTCACCGAATAAATCGTAGGTTTTTTGAAAAATAAATTGTGAATTTGTGAAAAAGTGTTTTTTTTTTCAGCTACATCAGCACTTTTTATCTTTCCGGTGAATATGATAGTTTCACTAAAATATTGGAATTCGAAAAAAGCCCATATCAATCTGTTTAAAAACTTTGTTCTCTTTTTATATTTTTAAAATTTGTTTTGTTTTGATGTTGAATAAATATTGTTGATTTATTGGAAAGTTTTGAGAAAGTCTGCTGTCAGAGCAAGATTTTCAGCTTTTACTGCTAAATTTGCAAGTTTCCCAGTGTCTCGAGCTGAAATTTCAACTTTTCAAGCTTTCAGGAGCAAATTTCCCATTTTCAGCTCCATCCCTTCCAACTGCTGAAATTCACCTTCAAAACAAGTCGTGTGCAAACACGGCGACGAGCAATTGCAGATTTTCATTCGAAAAATAGAAAAACGAGCAAGTGCGCTCCAACGCAAACTCTATTCCTCATTTTTATTTTCATTTTTTCGCCTCGAAGAACTCTGTTTTTCGTGTTTCTTAGACTTTGGGCGGTAAAAAGAGCTGGAAATTTTTGAAATGATTCAAATTTAGTTCTAGAACACCACGCTTTCATTCGTATTTTTAATTATCCTGTCTCATTTCAACAAAAAATATCGATTTTTGTTTCAGAATGGAAGTACACAGCAAAATGAAAGGTTGGAATGATTTGCCATTTGAAATGAAGTGCGAAGTCTTCAAATATTTGGAGCAAAAGGATAGGTAAATAGAAAATAGCTGGAAATATTATAAAATGATTATTTTTAGATTCAAATTCGCCAAATGCTCTTTGCGTTGTTTGAACGAAGTTCTTCATGAGGAGAAAGATATTCGGAAAGTAGAACTCGCGAGAATCAAAAGCGCTGGTGAAAAACTTTTCATTTTGACAATTGATGGAAATATGAAACTGAACTTCAAGCAAGTCGGAAAGTTATGCAAAATTCAATGCGAAGATGAGATTATTTGGAAAGGTGTTGAAAATGGAAAAACTATGGTTTACGAGTTTTTCGAGAACATTTTGGCGAAACATAAAAATCATCTGTATAGATTGTATTTGTCAAAAGTGAGTGAATTTCACGGTTTTTTCAGCGATATTTTTTTCTTTTTGAGGTCGATTTTATGATCCGCGATAAATCAATCGATAATTTTCCGAAACTCAAATTCTTCAAAATCACTACCAATAACGAAAAACAATTATATTCATTTCTTTCGAAAATCGAGAATGTGTATGATTTGACTGTGAACTTCAGAGATTTCGGAAACACGGAAAACTCGGATAAAATAAGATTTCCGGAGAATTTTAAATTTTCACAAATTGATGTTTTAAAATTGGTTTCGAACAATGCAAATGTTGCATTGAATATTATTGATAAAATTGACATGCAAGAAAACAAATGTTTCGGATTTGCCAGTGTTTCGATAATTGATGGAAAACTTGCTGAAGTAGATGACAAATTGATGAAATTTTTCAAAAAGTGTGGAACTTTGAAGACTAATTTGGTTTTGACAAATGATCAGTTTATGGAATTGACGAATTCTGTTCATGAGTTGAGTTGTGATGCTGCCAATATAAATCCACACATAATTGTTAGTGTTCTTGAAAAAAGAACGATGCATTTTATCGAATTAGACAATGTTCATAGCGGAATTCTGGAGTATAAGAAGCGCTTGGAATTGGTTCCGAAAAAAGAGATTTGGGGTGAAATTGTGCCAAATGAATAGTAAGTTTTACTTTTTATCAAAATTCTCCTAACAAGGGAACCTTTTTTACTCAACACTTCAAATCATGATGAAATTTTGTCCAGAGACAGCTTTTGGGACCATACGAACACCCTAAAAATTTTAGTCTCCCAATGGACCTCTGAGCCAAGTTCTGGGCTCTCAAAAACTCAAAAAAACGCCTAAAAAAGGTCATAAAAGTCATCATAGCTCCATTTCAAAATTTTTTTTGGGAGAAATGAAGTTTCAGATATTGATCAGCATAGTCGATTACCTAAAAGTCAATCAATAAAAAACTTTATTTCGAAAAATTTTGAAGTTTTTTATTTTTGGGCTGAAAATTCATGAAAATTCATATGTGCCCCTGCTCATTCTTTTTTCCAAAATCAAAAATTTTTCTGAAAATTTGATTTATTCATGGTTTTTGGGTAAATCGACCACGCTGATCATCATCTGCTACTCAGTTTTTGACAAAAATGATCGAAAATTGAGTTATGACGTGTTTTATGAGCCAATTTTAGCAATTTTCGAACTTTTGAGAGCCCAGAACTTGGCTCAGAGGTCCATTGGGAGACTAAAATTTTTAGGGTGTTCTTATGACCCCAAAAGCTGTCTCTGGACAAAATTTCATCAAGGTTTGAAGTGTTGAGTAAAAAAGGTTTCCTTGTAAAATGTTTATTTTGATTTTTCAGCATCTTCGACTGGCCTTCCATTTATGGCACATATGATAGTTATACTGGAAGATTGAGTATCAAACATATGATGTTTGACGAGTCAAATATGTGGCCTGGCTTGTCAAGTTTGCTTCTTTAATTCTATCGGTATTGACCTTGTTAAAAGTTCTTGTTGTGTTTTGTTTTGATGTTGAATGAATTTTCTGATTTTCGATTTGTTTTGCATTTAAATTCCTGCTTTTTGTTTCTTTAAAATATTTTTTCTAGAAAATTTTAGTTTTTTTTGCGGCTCCAGGGGCAAATTTCAGATTATATACCCTCCAGACTTCCCATTTTCAGCTCTATCTCCTCCAACTCCTGAAATTCGCTTCCAAACAAGCCGTGTGCAAACACGTCGACGAGCAATTGCACATTTTCATTTGAAAAATGGGAAAGCGAGCAAGTGCGCTCCAACGCAAACTCTATTCCTCATTTTTATTTTCATTTTTTCGCCTCGAAGAACTCTGTTTTTCGTGTTTCTCAGACTTTGGGCGGTAAAAAGAGCTGGAAATTTTTGAAATGATTCAAATTTAGTTCTAGAACACCACGCTTTCATTCGTATTTTTAATTATCGTGTCTCATTTCAACAAAAAATATCGATTTTTGTTTCAGAATGGAGTTACACAGCAAAATGAAAGGTTGGAATGATTTGCCATTTGAAATGAAGTGCGAAGTGTTCAAATATATGGAGAAAAATGATCGGTAAACATAACATAGCTGGAAATAAAATAAAAAATATTGATCTTTCAGTTACCAATTAGCAAAATGCTCTTTGCGATGTTTGGAAGAAGTTCTTCACGAAGAGAAGGATATTTTAACCGTCGCACTTGAACGAATTCAACGCTCTCGTGAAAATCACCTCATTTTAACAATTGATAATAAAATAAAACTGAATTTCGAGCAAAATGGAAAGTTATGCAAAATTCAATGCGAAGATGAGATTATTTGGAAAGGTGTTGGAAATGGAAAAACTATGGCTTATAAATTTTGCGAAAGCATTTTGGCGAAACATAAAAATCATCTGTACAGTTTGAATTTGTCAAAAGTGAGTGAATTTCACGGTTGTTCCACCGATATTTGTTTCTTTTTCAGGTCGATTTTATGACCCGCGATAAATCAATCGATAATTTTCCGGAACTCGGACATTTCACAATCACTACTAATAACAAAAAACAATTATATTCATTTCTTTCGAAAGCTGAGAATCTGGAAGATTTGACAGTGAACTTCAGAGATTTCGGAAACACGGAAAACACGGAAAAGGTTGGACTTTGAAACTTAATTTATTGAATTTAAAAATACAAACATTAATTTTAAGGCAAAATCTACGGATAATTTCCAATTAGCTAAAATTAATTGTTTGGAACTGGTTTCGAACAATGCAAATGTTGCATTGAATATTATTGATAAAATTGACATACAAGAAAACAAACATTTCGGATTTGCCAGTGTTTCGATAATTGATGAAAAACTTGCTGTTGTAGACGACAAATTGATGAACTTTTTCAAAAAGTTTGGAAGTTTGACGACGAATTTGATTCTGACAAATGATCAATTTATGGAATTGACGAGTTCTGTTCATAAATTGAGTTGTGATGCTGCCAATATAGATCCACACACAATTGTTGGTGTTCTTGAAAGAAGAACGATGCATTTTCTCGACTTAAACAATGTTCATAGCGGAATTCTGGAGTATAAGAAGCGCTTGAAATTGGTTCCGAAAAAAGAGATTTGGGGTGAAATTGTGCCAAATGAATAGTAAGTTTTGATACATTTTTCGAAGTTTTACTTTTTATCAAAATTCTCCTAAAATATATTTTGATTTTTCAGCATCTTCGACTGTCCTTCCATTCAAGGCACATATGATAGTTCTACTGGTAGATTGAGTATCAAAGCTATGATAGTTCTACTGGTAGATTGAGTATCAAAGATGATGTGTGACGGGCCAAATATGTTGTCAAGTTTGATTATGGCTTGTCAAGGTTGATTATTTAATTCTATCGGTATTGATCTTGTTAAAAATTGTTGTTTTGTTTTGTTTTGATGTTGAATGAATTTTTTGATTTCCGATTTGTTTTGCATTTAAATTCCTGCTTTTTGTTTCTATTTTTCTAGAAATATTGAAAAAATTCTTCAATTTTAGTTTTTTTTGCGGCTCCGGGAGCAAATTTCAGCTCTTGCCTCCAACTGCTGAAACTCACTTTCAAAAAACCCGTGCAAACACGACGACGAGCAATTGCACATTTTCATTTGAAAAATGGGAAAGCGAGCAAGTGCGCTCCAACGCAAACTCTATTCCTCATTTTTATTTTCATTTTTTCGCCTCGAAGAACTGTTTTTCGTGTTTCTTAGACTTTGGGCGGTAAAAAGAGCTGAAAATTTTTGAAATGATTCAAATTTAGTTCTAGAACACCACGCTTTCATTCGTATTTTTAATTATCGTGTCTCATTTCAACAAAAAATATCGATTTTTGTTTCAGAATGGAAGTACACAGCAAAATGAAGGGATGGAATGATTTGCCATTTGAAATGAAGTGCGAAGTGTTCAAATATATGGAGCAAAAGGATAGGTAAATAGAAAATAGCTGGAAATATTATAAAATGATTATTTTTAGATTCAAATTCGCCAAATGCTCTTGGAAATGTTTGAACGAAGTTCTTCATGAGGAGAAGGATATTTTTGCCGTCAAACTCGAAGGAATTAACAAAAAACTTTTCATTTTGACAATCAATAGTATGAGTCTGAAGTTCAAGCAAATTGGAAAGTTTTGCGAAATCGAAAATGACGGCGAAATTATTTGGAAAGGTGTTGGCAATGGAAAAACTATGGCTTATAAATTTTGCGAAAGCATTTTGGCTAAAAATAAAAATAATCTGTACAGTTTGAATTTGTCAAAAGTGAGTGGAATTTCAAGGTTGTTCCAGCTATATTTTTCCCTTTTCAGGTCGATTTTATGATCCGCGACAAATCAATCGCTAATTTTCCGAAACTCGAAGTCTTCAAAATTACTACCAATAACGAAAAACAATTATATTCATTTCTTTCGAAAATCGAGAATGTGTATGATTTGACTGTGAACTTCAGAGATTTCGGAAACACGGAAAACTCGGATAAAATAAGATTTCCGGAGAATTCTAAATTACCAAACATTGTTCATTTCAATTTGATTTCGAACAATGCAGATGTTGCATTGAAGATTATTGATAAAATGAAGAAGCCAGAATACAAGTATTTCAAGAAAGTCAACGTTTCGATAATTGATGGAAAACTTGCCGATGTAGATGAGAAATTCATAAGCTTCTTCAAAAAGTGTGATTATTTGACTACGAATTTGATTCTGACAGATGATCAATTTGAACAATTAACGTTGATGAGAAATTGTTTGAAACTGAATGCCGAAAAAATCAATGCTTCGACAATCGCAACATTTATTGATGATTGCATTCAAAATGGAATTAGCAAAGAACTGCACTTGACGAATGTTCATGGACTTGAGAAACTATCACCGGATTTCATGTGGTTACATCCGAAAATGAAGAAAGTCAGAACATCGAGAAATGAATGGATTGATGAAATTGTGCCAAATGAATAGTATGTTTTAGCTGTTTTGATATTGTTTATTAATATTCGAAAATGATGAAAAATCGGAAATTTTCTCTTCAAAAACACAACAAATTAGTTTTTCGGATAGAAATTTTCGGTTTTCTTCTCCATTTTTTGAGCGCCACATGAGTGATTTTAATTTTTCAGCGTCATCAAACCTAGTTTTTTGGAAAGTTTTACTCCTGGCTCATATAATAGTTCGACTGGTCGCTTGAATTTCTTTCAATACTACGGTCATTGATTCTTGATAAATATTGTTGTTGTGTTGTGTTTTGATGTTTAATAAAATTTGTTGATTTTCAAATTTATTTTTGAAAAACATCTGTAGACATGGTTGTCAATATACCTTTAAATTCCTGCTTTTTTGAAGTTACAGCCGAAAAATTAATGAATCGGATTAAAGCTATTATTTCAGAATGAGATTTCAGAGCAAAATGAAGGCTTGGAATGATTTGCCATTTGAAATGAAGTGCGAAGTCATCGAATATTTGGAGCAAAAGGATAGGTAAACCAAAAAAAAATCTGAAGTTGTCATAAAAATCATAATTTCTGCCTCAAAAAATTAAAAATTCTCAAAAAACAAAAAAAACGTGTGCCAATTTTTTCCCCGTCTGCCACGTTTTTTGCCACATTTTTTCGCGGCCTCACAAAAATCAAATGAAAAAAAAAATTCAGTTTTAGTTTTGGTAACCACAGAAAATCATCATCTCACCATTATGCAACAAATCTCATCACAAAACAATAATAACAGCAGCAGAAGCTCACCGGTAGGCAATCTACAGTAATCTCTGGGCGCCTACAGTACTCCTTTTGCAGAAAAAATCGTCAAAAGATTCATCGTCTGGTTGGGAATATTGGACGCGAATCTATTCGGATGATCAAAATAGCATCAATAGTTCAAACAACAATAATATGAGCAATTCGAGTAATATGAGCAATGCTAATTCGAATAGCAATGGAAATTCGAATAGTTCTAGTCAAGGAAGAGGGCAGGTAAGCAGACACAAAATGCTCTGTTTCTCTGCGTCTCTCATGAAAAACTATGGCGAGAGATAAATAAGCAGTCCCAAAGTGAAAATACTCTTTGGGACTGCTTAACTATCTCTCGCTGTAGATTTTGATGAGAGACGCAGAGAAATTTGTGTCTGCTTAAAAATAAGCAGTCCCAAAGTGAAAATACTCTTTGGGACTGCTTATTTATCTCTCGCTGTAGATTTTGTGAGAGACGCAGAGAAGCAGAGACATTTGTGTCTGCTTAAAAATAAGCAGTCCCAAAGTGAAAATACTCTTTGGGACTGCTTATTTATCTCTCGCTATAGATTTTTATGAGAGACGCAGAGAAGCAGAGATATTTTTTTGCAGGCCGTTCGAGACATGCGAATTTCGGATATGTTGGCATCGGAATGTCTCGTTAGAGCGAAATTGCTATTTTTGAATGTTCCCGGCCTACCAACCGGCTACAAAAACATCATTTTGCATCTGGTGAAACGAGAGCTGCGCGAGAAAATTCCCATTCAAGATGTGATTGTGCAACCGGGAAAATGGTGAGCCCAGACTTAAGCTACATAGATATGTTAGCCTAACTTTTTCCAGGTATCTTCATTTCTACCGTCCTGAAGATGCTCTTCGAGTTTTGAAGGTTTTTAATGGATTCACCTATCGATCGCACACTTTGGTTGTTCGATTTTGTTATCCTGATGGAACGGTAGGGACTAGAATTGTTGTTTTTGGATTTCTAGGCCACCCTTTTTTCAGTTTGGCGATGAAGCTGCCTTGACAGACTTGGTTGCCTGCACCCAACAAACAAAATCGCAATTGATGCCAGTCTCCGAATCGCCAGCCAATCAAGATGTAAGCCTAAGCTCCACGCCCACTTTCCAGCTACCTTAAAAAATCAATAATTTTCTCTAGTCTATGGCTGTTTGGTCTCCTGTCGAACAAGAAGCTGTTCGAGCATTTGAGCGAGAATTGGTGCACATTTTGCAGAATCAGACATTTTTGCCGTATTATCAGGCGATTTCGACGATTCGAAACACGTTTTCCACACAAAAGTGCGGTTTTTTTGGCATGGGAATTGGGAAAATGGGTTTTTTGAGGTTTTAAAACCAAAAATCTAAAAAATTGGGATATTTTGCTATTCGACTTGATAAGCAGACACAAATGTCTCTGCTTCTCTGCGTCTCTCACAAAATCTACAGCGAGAGATAGTTAAGCAGTCCCAAAGAGTATTTTCATTTTGGGACTGCTTAACTATCTCTCGCTATAGATTTAATGAGAGACGCAGAGAAGCAGAGATTTTTGTGTCTGCTTAAAAATAAGCAGTCCCAAAGAGTATTTTCATTATGGGACTGCTTATTTATCTCTCGCTGTAGATTTTGTGAGAGACGCAGAGAACCAGAGGCATTTTGGGACTGCTTAAAAATAAGCAGTCCCAAAGTGAAAATACTCTTTGGGACTGCTTAACTATCTCTCGCTGTAGATTTTGTGAGAGACGCAGAGATTTTTGTGTCATAAAAAAGTTCTAGACTGAAATTTTGTGCTGAAAACGATGAAGCTAGTGAAAATTAATGAAATTTTTTTTGCAGCCTCAATTATTATTTCATCTCGGACGCTCTCGGTCAATGGTCAACCGGTTTTATTCGAATTTTTCATCGGACCATCAAAGTTGTGGCCAATACAATTTGCCTTGCTTCAAATGGCTATTATGCTCAAAGAATGCGCGAAGTTGCCACGTCACGCGGTGCTCCAAGTTCGACAAATTCTCTGTGCCGAAATAGTTTGGCTGATCCGACGGCTGCGGCTGCAATTTCAGCCACAACACCTGGTGGTTTGGTTGTTCAGCGAGATTCTTGGGAACCGTATGTTCCGGATGATATTCGAAGCGAGATTCAGCTCAAACAATATGCTCATGCGTTTTTGTGCCATTTTGGACCGCAACATGTTTATGTGAGTTGAAATTGTGGCCTAGAAAACTTAAGCAGTCCCAAAATGCTCTGCTTCTCTGCGTCTCTCATGAAAAACTATGGCGAGAGATAAATAAGCAGTCCCAAAGTGAAAATACTCTTTGGGACTGCTTAACTATTTCTCGCTGTACATTTCATGAGAGACGCAGAGACGCATAGAATTTTGTGTCTGCTTAAAAATAAGCAGTCCCAAAGTGAAAATACTCTTTGGGACTGCTTAACTATCTCTCGCTGTAGATTTTGATGAGAGACGCAGAGAAAGAGAGCATTTTGTGAATTTCTCAAATGCAATTATGCTATCTAAATGGATTTTCAGTCAAATTTTCAGATTTTTGGCTGAAAATCCAATTAGCTAGCATGATTGCATCATTTTTCAGGGTGATTATTGATTTTAAGGCGGAAATTTTGCTGAAAATTGTGAATTCCAGCTCTAGAAGCTATATTTGGCTGAAAATCCCAATTTCTAGTCAAATTTTCAGATGATTACCTTCAAAATTATGGAATTATCGATTTTAAGGCGGAATTTTGCTGAAAATTGTGAATTCCAGCTCTAGAAGCTATATTTTGGCTTAAAACCGACATTTTTCACCGAAAAATGATGCAATTATGCTATCTAGCTCGATTTTCAGCTAGAAATCTGAAATTTTGACTGAAAATTCAATAATTGCATCATTTTGAAGGTAATTATCGATTTTTGGCTGAAAATTGTGAATTTCAGTCAAATTTCAGCTCAAAAACAATCAGAAAAACCACGAAATTTTCAGATTGACATTCCAATTCGTCTTTTGGCTCAAAGTCTACGTGGAATTTGGCCAAAAACCGGAATTGAGTTGGCCGAATTATTGTCGAAAATTTCGGCGAGTTTTGTGATTATAAATCATGTTTTGTACTTGTCCGCCTATGAAAGACACAATGAATTTATTATTGATAATTTGGCGGTGAGTACTTTTTGACACCACACAAAAATCTTGCTAAATTTTTAATTTCAGGTCTATCAAGAGGATTCTGATGAGAACATTTGCGCTCCATTGGACATGGATCATAAAACAATGACGAATGTGGCGTTGGATTTGGTCTAATTTTCGAATTTCAACAATTTCCCGCCGCTTATTTTTCTCTGCGTCTCTCACTCGTGTCTTTTTCTCTCCACTCTCTCTCTGTGTGTTTGTGATGTGTCCTTCTATCATTTCAGTTGTATTTTCTTCTGCGTCTCTGCAATTTTTCGTGTGTCTGCCCCCCTATTTTTTGCCGGGTGAAAAATGAATTTATTTGATAAAAAAATATTTTTACAACGACACTCCGCGGAACGCGCTTGCCCGCTGTTTAGCGCAACACGAGAATATTCTCATTTTTCGTTTTTTTTCGCCGGGTTTTCAGGTTTCCGGGGAAAATTATTGGATTTCAGTAAAAAATGAATTTTCAGATGTTCTACAAGGCTGAAATCATCGATTCCAACGGAAAATGAGAGGATTTTCGAAGAAAGGTGGGTTTTTTCTAGAGAAATACTGTTTCGATTGAAATTTTTGAGTTTTCAGGGTCAAAAATCATGAAAAACATCGGATTTTATGAATTTTTCACTCAAAAATCGATCGAAAATGAGTTTGGGTAAGATATTTTTGAAAAATAGCTGGAAAATTGTTGGGAGACTTCAAAAATCTAGTAGAAACAGAGATGGAGTTACCAGAACTCAAAAAATTTCGAATTTTCTGATTTTCAGCTCGAAATATTGTGGAAAACTTGGATTTCAATGGAGGATTTTGGATTTTCGATGATTTTTGAGAAATAGAAGCGATTGGTGAGTTTTTTGGGGAGGGATTTGGGGAAAATAGGAAAAAATCTATGAAAAATTCTGTAAAATTTTTTGAAAAATATATGGAAATTATGAAAAAAAAAGCAAATAACGTGAAAAAATCGGTTTTTGCGAATTTTTTTCGATTTAATTGTTTTGAGGCAGAAAACTACAGTAATCACAACTCTTAGAAGTACTGTATTCAGAAAAAAACTACAGTAATACAGTTACTGTAGGCCTTCCGAAGACAACGTACGTTTTTGAACAACACAACATTCAACGAATATTCGACAAATCCCAACAATAACTACAGTAATCCTATTGTAGACACAAAATCTATCTACAGTACCCTGATTACTGTAGGGAACAAAACTAATACAAGTCATTGGCTTTTATGCAACGACTTGTAGCAAAAAAAAACAACAGTAATTTTCTACTTTTTGGCTTTTAAGCAAAAAGTAGACAAAATCGGACGCGATTTCCAGAGAAAATTGTCGCCAAATCGCCCTGAAAAAATTCAAATTTTTCTTTAAAAATTCAAAATTTGGGCATAGCTTCCGCATCTCTGCTGAAATTCCAGCTGAAAATCGATAAAATTCATGGTTTTATCGATTTTCAGCTAGAATTCCAGATTATACAGGGTGGAAACTAACTTTTTCATTTTTAATTCAAAATTTGGGCATAGCTTCCGCATCTCTGCTGAAATTCCAGCTGAAAATCGATAAAATTCATGGTTTTATCGATTTTCAGCTAGAATTCCAGATTATACAGGGTGGAAACTAACTTTTTCATTTTTAATTCAAAATTTGGGCATAGCTTCCGCATTGTCGCTGAAATTCCAGCTGAAAATCGATAAAATTCATGGTTTTATCGATTTTCAGCTAGAATTCCAGATTATACAGGGTGGAAACTAACTTTTTTCATTTTTAATTCGAAATTTGAGCATAGCTTTCGCATCTCTGCTGAAATTCCAATTGAAATGTGATAATTTGAATTCCATCAATTTTCAATCAAAATTCCAGAACTTTTGCTTGCTTGGCTTCAAAAACTCACCGAAATCTTTGATTTTTGTTGTTTTGTGCATGGTTTTCGAGTTTGTTTCTGAAAAATTTATGATTTTTCTTGGAAATATCGAATTTTCCCTAATAATAGTCGAAATTCCCCCCCTCCTCGAATAATTCCACGTTTTCTTTACAAAATTTTCCTTTGAAAAGCGAACCTCGATCTCTCCCTTCACAGTTTTTCCAACCAAATCAAGTCGACAAAGTCGAGAGTATAACCAAAACAACAAGTTAAGGTAACTCATGTCGAGGTTCCTGACAATTGCAATGGCTAATGCTCAACTTAACAAGCTTCACTATCCAGAGTTAGGCTAAGTTGAACTGTACTTTACTCCAGGAGAGACACGTGGAAATTATTCGGTTGGTTAGGAATTCGGGGGCCCCTAAGAGAAAAAAAAACTCATCTGCCATTTTGTTGCTCGTCGAAAATTTGAAATAACTGAAAAATTATCGTTGAAATGACATTTGCCACGACAAATTTCACGTTCACGCAAAAATTTATTATTTTTTCTCTCTGCTTTTTTTTTGCTGACAGAAAAAAAGAAGATTGCGACACAAATGTCTGTGTTTCTCTGCGCTCTCTCATAAAAATACACTATTTTCGGTTTGGGACTGCTTATTTTTAAGCAGACACAAATTTCTCTGTTTCTCTGTGTCTCTCACAGAATCTACAGCGAGAGATAAATAAGCAGTCCCAAATAGTATTTTCATTTTGGGACTGCTTAAGTGTGTTCGTTTCGCCGCGCCGTGATTGACAATTGTGAGAAAAAATGAACGAGATAAAGACGTTTGGCGTCGAGATTGCGCGTAGGATTTGGTGTTTGCGGGCAGTCGGTGTTAACACACTATCATTTTTTCCGTTCTTTTGGGGTTTTCAACTATTTTCATTGGTTTTTTCGGGGGTTTTGCATGCTTTCGAACACGAAACTTTCTAATTAACCTTTATCTAATTAACAAAAAAAATCAATAATTAATGAGCAGTTGCTGCAATTTGTTGTTGAGTCGGTGGCGGTGGTAACAAATTGGCTCTCTTGAGCAAAGAAACAATATCAACTGGTCGATTATCCGAAAAATTAGTGAGTTGAATGAGTTCCTCTGTGGTTTTTGGTATCTTTTTCTCCAAATATGTCCAAAGTGCAAGAGTTTGTAAATAATATGGGTGGTCTAATCCGAAACATACTTCAAAAATGTTCATCGCATCGAAGGCGTATGGCATTGCCTGGAAAGAGGTGCTCTGCTTGTCTAACCCTCTGCGTCTCTAACCCACCTCATCTCTCTCCTCCTTCTCCACCAAAACCTTGACAATATGCAATAATTGGAATCCAATATGCCTGTCGGCTTTCGGAAAACACATTTTATAGTTGTTATAAATCTGATCGTGCATTGTGGCCAAGGTTTCCATCGTCAAATTTCCGGTGACGTGGAAAATGGCGGTTCGAAGACGGGCAATATAGACATTTGAGGGGTGGAGCAGGGTTTCAGCCTTGGTGAGCAGATTTGAGAGCTGCGAAAAAATTTGGATTGATTTTTTGATTTCGGAGAAGTTTGGAAGGTGGTGATTTTGGAGAAATGGGTGTGTTTTGGTGTGGGTGTATGAGCCTTTAAAGGCGCATGGAACGAAAAAGAGGAGATTTTGGGAAAGAAAGGGGAGAACTTGGCTTATTTTTGTGCTGAAAATCACGAAAATATTGAGTTTCAGCGTTTTCAGCACGAAATTTTAGTCTAGAACTTTTTCATCTGACAATTTTCACACTGAAAACAGGATTTTAAGAACTTTCTAGATCAACATTTTGTGCTGGAAATCAAGAAAATTCTGGTTTTCATAGATTTCTATCAATTTCAGCATTTTTAGCGCAAAATTTCAGTCTAGAACTTTTTTATCCCTATCTAAAGAAAGTCTCTGTTTCTCTGCGTCTCTCAAAAATACTATGGCGAGAGAAAGTTAAGCAGTCCCAAAAAAATAAGCAGACACAAATTTCTCTGCGTCTCTCAAGAATTACTATGGCGAGAGATAAATAAGCAGTCCCAAAGTGAAAATACTCTTTGGGACTGCTTATTTATCTCTCGCTATAGATTTAATGAGAGACGCAGAGAAGCAGAGACATTTTGGGACTGCTTATGAGATTTTTGTTGTGTGAAAAAACTGAAATTCTGTTAGGCTTTGAATGAAAAAAAAAATGAAAAAGGTGAAAAAAGGAAAACGAAAAAGGTTTGAATTCTTGAGAAAAGGGAAAAAACTCTTAACCTTGTTGGGTAGTTGATCCTGAAATTAATTTTTTTTTTGAATTTATACCGCAAGCTTCCGCGCAGCGGAAGCCACGCGGAAGCTTCGGAAGCTTATTAAATCCAACTTAGACTTCGGCAAACTCACAACATCAGCCTGACATTGCGGATCAAAACTGGCCGGCAAAGTTCTCATCAACTCTTGCGCCTCTTTCACCCTCGACTCCTCCACCAAACTTTTGCACTTGGGGCACACAATATTCATTGGCTCCTCATCTTCCGCCGTCAAAATCGGTTGATCGCATGCGGAATTTGCGCAGCGGATTGCGGTCAACGCGTCATCTTCCGGATCTGTGCAACGTGTGCATTCACAGTGGAAATACCAGCGTGATTTAAGATCTCGCCGGCGCACGTATTTTGATCTACCAACATCGATGTAGGAGATGAAGGCTTGGGCTGGATCTTCCGCATCGACTCCGGGAACTAGCGGGCGGAGGCAGACACTGGAAATTAGAGGAGCGGAATTGCGGAGTGTCGTTCGAAAAACTCACCGATATCCATCAAAAACCATCGAACAAGTCGGTCTACACGAATGATTATACAACGAAACTCCCAAATCCAGTGCCATACCAACCTCATTCCCAGCATTCGTATGAATACTGTGTGAATTGATGGTGGCCTTGCAGAAAACATCGAAAAACTCCTCCTTCTTGATCATCTCGTGTTTGCCGCGGAAATTGCTCATTTTAGTGTGCACCTTTTCGAAATGCTCCATTTTTTCCGCATCCTTCTTGATCTCCTCCCTGTGATCCATTAACGACGAGAATTTTCGCGCTTTTTCCCAATCGCCTTTGTCGCCGTTTTTGGCAATGTATTCGATGCGATCGATGATTTTTGAGAGGAATAGGACTTCGGTGAGTGGCAGGTTGGGGAAACTCTGGAAATTGCGCATTTTTTGATATCGGATAGGCTTATTTAAGCAGTCCCAAATTTCTCTGCTTCTCTGCGTCTCTCACAGAATCTACAGCGAGAGATAGTTAAAGGGGGGGTAAGACGACAAAATTTTTTTGTCGCAAAGTTAAAGGCTCCCCAAAAGTAGTAAAACCTCCAGGGGATTTTTTCTGGAAACGCTCAGAAAAAATGTTCCATAAACTAGGTACCACGTATAGGTATACGTTGAAATTATTCCATAAACTTTCGGACAACGTATAGCTATACGTTGAAAAAAGTTCATGGAATATTTTTTCGGACCTTTTTAGGCCTTTCGAGAAAAAATCCCCTGGGGCTTTTACTATTCAAAGGGAGCCCGATTCATTGAGCAAATAAAATTTTGTCGTCTTACCCCCCCTTTAAGCAGTCCCAAAGAGTATTTTCACTTTGGGACTGCTTATTTTTAAGCAGTCCCAAATTTCTCTGTTTCTCTGCGTCTCTCACAAAATCTACAGCGAGAGATAGTTAGGCAGTCCCAAAGAGTGGTATTTTCACTTTGGGACTGCTTATTTTTAAGCAGTCCCAAATTTCTCTGTTTCTCTGCGTCTCTCTCACAAAATCTACAGCGAGAGATAGTTAAGCAGTCCCAAAAAGTATTTTCACTTTGGGACTGCTTATTTATCTCTCGCTGTAGATTTTGTGAGAGACGCAGAGAAGCAGAGAAATTTGTTTCTGCCTATTTCATGTTGCGTATCAAAATGATCAGAAAAACCGTGCCAGGCTTGCAGAAATCCAAAAAAAAACCACTCACCGCCTTCAATCTCTTGCATTCCTGTTTATGTACAGTAGCCCAAGCGGCCGCCTGACACTCCTTACTGCAATACATTGTGAAATTACAACCGGCACACTTCGACAACTTGGCTCCCGGAGCTGGTCCCCTCAAACACTGTGCACAGAAAATTTCGGATTTCGGGTTCAGCACTTGAGTTGCAAACGGATTCTCGAATAATTTGATGCGCGCGTGGATTGAGGAGATTTCGTCGATTTTTTCCGGATTTTCCGGGGATTCGGGTTTTTTGCCGGAGATTTGAGGCTTTTTGACTGCCATTACTGCAAAAATCAGGCTTAAAATGGAGATTTTCAGATAGAAAATGGCCAGAAAATTCTAGAAGTAACACAAAAAAAAGTATACACACACACACACATTATTTGTGCTCATTTTTCTTCCCGCCAGAAATTTGAGTGTAATATTCTATTTACAATATATCTCATCTGAGAGAGAGAGAAGAGAGTGTGGGAAAATGAGAGAGTGGGTAGAGAAAAACTGGATTTTTCGGGGGATAAAAATGTGCAAATATTGGATTTTGGGTGGATTTTTGAAGGAATTTTTAGTAATTTTTGAGGAAAAAACGATTTTTGAAAAAAAGAGCTTCATTTCAAACAAAAAAAAACGTGTTTTTTAAAATTAAGTACATCTTGGGCATTTTCTTGACATGTGGAATTTTGGACATCCAAAAAAGAAATCAATCGATAAACAATGATCGGAAAAAAATTGGATGAGCAAAGTGATAATAGATTCTGAAAGAATTAATTTTATGTCTTCTCTGCGTCTCTCACAGAATCTACAGCGAGAGATAGTTAAGCAGTCCCAAAGAGTATTTTCATTTTGGGACTGCTTATTTTTAAGCAGACACAAATTTCTCTGCTTCTCTGCGTCTCTCACAAAATCTACAGCGAGAGATAGTTAAGCAGTCCCAAAGAGTATTTTCACTTTGGGACTGCTTATTTATCTCTCGCTGTAGATTTTGTGAGAGACGCAGAGAAGCAGAGAAATTTGTGTCTGCTTATTTTTGTGTCTGTTTTTTTAAAAGTTACTTACCTTCCACCATCATCGAATTCTCGATAATTCATTCCATCAAATATTTCTGACTTGTTAAATCTAGTGAATCGTTCATTGCTCATCTTAAACAGTTTCGAACAAACATTCAATTTTGAATATTCAGTTTCTCCCATCCAATTTGTAATAACTTTTCGAAAATCCTCATTTTCCCAATGATTTGTGTCAATCTGAATATATTTGATGTTATTCCATTTGAGAACATCTTCCTCCAAATCATAGCCAACTTCTTCTTGTTGTTCGCCAATTTTTTCCACAGAAGCCATTGTAAATTTAATGAGTTTCCTGCACATTTTTGGATCAATAATTCGATGATTGAAATGGTTCCAGTAAACATTGACCTGTTTCATGTGATTTTGTGAGAAGTTGAGAAATTTTCGAAATTCCAGAAGTGCTAGATCTTTGTAGTTTTGTTCCAAGACGAATTTTGTTGTAGAAATGGTCTTTCTTGAAGAATTGCGATCCAAAGACTCTAAGATCCTGCAAAATATATTTACGGTCAATTTCAACACAAAATCATCTGCTTCTCTGCGTCTCTCATGAAAATCTACAGCGAGAGATAAATAAGCAGTCCCAAAATTCTCTGCTTCTCTACGTCTCTCACAAAATCTACAGCGAGAGATAAATAAGCAGTCCCAAAGTGAAAATAATTTTTGGGACTGCTTATTTATCTCTCGCTGTAGATTCTGTGAGAGACGCAGAGAAGCAGAGAAACTTGTGTCTGCTTAAAAATAAGCAGTCTTAAAGTGAAAATACTCTTTGGGACTGCTTATTTATCTCTTTGCATGTTAATTTATGAGAGACGCAGAGAAACAGAGACATTTGGGACTGCTTATTTTTTGGGACTGCTTATTTATCTCTCTGCATGCAATTTTATGAGAGACGCAGAGAAACAGAAAAATTTGGGACTGCTTATTTTTGGGACTGCTTATTTGTCTCTCTGCGTGCAATTTATGAGAGACGCAGAGAAGCATAGAAATTTGGGACTGCTTATTTCTAGACTCACCATTCAACTTCAGTCGCAGTTCCATTCCTCAAATTCTCAAAAAACCCTTCAATTCTGATCGAACTACACAAAATGCATCTGATGAGAACTTTTTCGTCTGCAAAACTCTTATACAAAAAAAGCGATTCGACATTTTTGGCAGGCAGCCAACATCCCAAATTTGGTGCAAAAATTGCGATTTTTGCCAAATTTCGCAGCTCACAATATTCTAATATTATTTCTCGTAACTCTTGTGGCAAATTGAGCCAACTGGTTTCAGAAGTCTTCTGTAACATTTGCTGAAAATAAGTTTTTTTTACAACAAAGTTGTCCATTTTTTGCGCGTCCAAAAACAAAATGCGCATCTTTGTGGGCGGAGCCTAATTGGATAGGTGCCAAAATATTTAAGAAAAAACTTTATTCATTGAAAAAAAACCTTAGAACTCAATATTAATAGAGAAATTTTCAGATAAAACCTGATAGTCTTGAGAAATTTCAGAAAATTTTTGCGAGTTAATCCTCAGCAAATCTAAATCGAAATCGACCGACAAATATTGATCAGCAAAAATTGGGTGAGCAAAATGATAATAGGTTCTGAAAGAAATTCCAGAATATTTTAGACATTTTGACACAACACAAAAATTTCACTCTCACCTCTCATTATGATTAAATTCTTGATAAATCAATTCTTCAAATATCACTGATTTGTTCAATTGACTAAACCTCTCATTGCTCATCTTAAACTCTTTTGAAAAATATACAACTTCTCTTTCTTTGGTTTTTCCGAGCCAATTTATAATAATTTCTCGAAAATCTTCATTTTTCCAATAATTTGTTTCGATTTGAATATATCCGATGTTATTCCATTTCAAAATTTCTTCCAATTTGTAGCCATTTTCTTCTTGTTGCACAGCATTTTGATCCTGACAAATCGATACGAATTTATTGAGTTTCTTGAACATTTTTGGATCAATTATTCGATTATCAAAGTTGATCCAATAAATAAACAAGTTTTTCAGGTGATTTTGAGAGAAGTTGAGCCATCTATGAAATTCTAGAAGTGCTAGATCTTTGTAATTTTTTTCGATCACAAGTGTTGTTCGATATTTTGATTCGTCAGAAGATATGACCCTGAAAAATGGATATTTTGTGTTAAATTCCTAAGCAGACACAAAAAAATAAGCAGTCCCAAAAAAATAAGCAGTCCCAAAGTTCTGCTTCTCTGCGTCTCTCGTAAAATGATTATCTTTTTCATTTTGGGACTGCTTATTTATCTCTCTGCATGCAATTTTATGAGAGACGCAGAGAAACAGACAATTTTGGGACTGCTTATTTTTTGGGACTGCTTATTTGTCTCTCTCTGCATGCAATTTCATGAGAGACGCAGAGAAGCAGAGAAATTTGGGACTGCTTATTTTTGGGACTGCTTATTTTTTGTATTTGCCTCTCTCTGCATGCAATTTCATGAGAGACGCAGAGAAGCAGAGAAATTTGGGACTGCTTATTTTTGGGACTGCTTATTTTTTGTGTCTGCTTATTTATCTCTCGCTGTAGATTCTGTGAGAGCCGCAGAGAAAGAGAAATTTTTGGGACTGCTTATTTGGGACTGCTTATTTATCTCTTTGCATGCAATTTCATGAGAGACGCAGAGAAACAAAGAAATTTGGGACTGCTTATTTCCAGACTCACCATTCAACTTGAGTCGCTGCTCCATTTCTCAAATTCCTAAATTCTCCTTGAATGTAGAAGTCCATTTCAAAATAACAGAATAGCATAACTTTGTTGTCTAGATGCCGATCATCCAAACTAAGACCTTGAAAAAATCTGGCAGGCAGCCAACATCCCAAATTTGGTGCAAAAATGGCGATTTTTGCCAAATCTTGCAGCTCACAGGTTTCCCATATCATTTCGCGTAACTCTTCTGGTAAGTCAAGCCAACTGGTTTCAGGCATTTCGCTGAAAACGAAAATTAGAGCTCTTATCAGCGAAACTGTTCAAAATTACCAAAAAAAAACCATAAAATCAATAGAATGATACTAATATGGCATCTTTGTGGGCGGAGTCTATTTGGACAGGTGCCAAAAAATATTTATTTCCATCAAAAATCAATAAAAATAGTTATTTTCATATTTTCTTGACTGAAAAGTTAGAATTTTGGTGTTGAAATCGACCATCAAATATCGATTGATGAAAATTGGATGAGGAAAGTGATATTCGGTGCTGAAAAAAAAGCTGAAATTTTCAGTGTCCCCAAAAAATTGGAGAATTTTAACCTACCTCTTACAAATATCCCAAAATTCCTGATAAACCAATCCATCAAAAATCACCAATTTGTCCAATTTACAGAATTTCTTATTGCTCATCTTAAACTGTTTTGAAAATTTATCCACTTGTTTTTCTTCAGTTTTTTCGAGCCAATTTATAATAATTCTTCGAAAATCTTGATTTTTCCAATGATTTACATTGATCTGAACATATCTTAGATTCCATTTGAGAACATCTTCCAAATCGTAGCCAGTTCCTTTCTTTTTGAGAAAAATCCTAGCCGATTTCATTTTTTGATCCTCACCAAGAACCATCAAATTTCTGAGCTTCTTGAACATTTTTGGATCAATTAATCGATGATCAAAATTTTCGCAATAAACAAACAAGTTTCTCACGTAATTTTGGGAGAAGTTGAGAAATCTTTGGAAATCCAAAAGTGCCGATTTTTTGTAATTTTTTTCGACAACGAATTGTGCTTTAGATCTGATTGTCGAAAAATTTGCATCCCAAGAATCTATGCTCCTGCAAAATGTTCATTTTTTGAATTTAACACAGTTTTAAGTGAATTTAAGCAGTCCCAAAACTCTCTGCTTCTCTGCGTCTCTCAAAAAACCTATGGCGAGAGATAAATAAGCAGTCCCAAAATTCTCTGCTTCTCTGCGTCTCTCAAAAACTGCATGCAGAGAAACAAATAACCAGTCCCAAAAATAAGCAGTCCCAAAAATCTCTGCTTCTCTGCGTCTCTCAAAAAACCTATGGCGAGAGATAAATAAGCAGTCCCAAAATGAAAATACTCTTTGGGACTGCTTAACTATCTCTAGCTGTAAATTCTGTGAGAGACGCAGAGAAGCAGAGAAATTTGGGACTGCTTATTTTTTTGGGACTGCTTATTTTTTTGGGACTGCTTAACTTTTTGGGACTGCTTATTTTTTTGGGAATGCTTATTTTTTGGGACTGCTTTTTTTTTTGGGACTGCTTATTTTTTTGGGGCTGCTTATTTTTTGAGACTGCTTATTTTTTTGGGACTGCTTAACTATCTCTCGCTGTAGATTTTTTGAGAGACGCAGAGTAACAGAGAGTTTTGGGACTGCTTATTTCTAATCTAAACTCACCATTCAACTTGCGTCGCTTTTCCATATTTCAAATTTTTGAATTCTCCATGAATTTCAATGTTGTTACCCCAATTTTTCGAATCACATAATTTCAAATTCAACACAATTTTTTCGTCCAAAATCCGATCATCGAAAATAAGAGTTTTGACAAGTCTCGTCGGAAGCCAACATGCTATATTTGGCGCGAAAATTGCGAATTTCGCCAGACTCGAAAGATCACATTGTTTCCATATTATTTCGCGCATCTCTAGCGGCAAATCCAACCAATTTGTTTCAGATTTTTCCGGTTCCATGAGCTGAAAATGAAAATTTTTTGAAAAAAAGTTGTTACCTGCTCTTTTTTGTGCGTCCAAAAAAAACAAATCAATAAGAATGATGGTATTATGGCATCTTTGTGGGCGGAGTCTGTTTGGAGAGGTGCCAAAAACTTTTTTTTTGTGAATTATGAAATGAAAATGATTTTGTGAAAAAAAAAACACTTTATTATAAAAAGTATAACTGACACAGTACAGTTCTTAAAGGAACATTGGGAAAAAAAAGTTTTTTTAAACATGTCTTGACGGTTAACCATATATATATTTCTATCCAATCTCAGATTTGGTTGAGCATCCACTCGCCACAAAATACCGACTTGATCCAATTGATACGGGGTGGTTTGTTGTTGGATATAATCACGGAGGTTTGCAGTAGGCGGGCTCCATGGTTAAGTCTTGATGGAGATTCCGAGGAACTGGGTTGCTGCTCAAGTCTCCGCTAAATAAAAAAATGAAAATATTCATTAAAAAATGTTAAACTAACCTTGTTCATTATTTATTTAACCAAACAGAATAAAATAAAATAAACCAAAAAAGGGGTGTGAATAAAGACAGTGATACAAAAATGATTAATAGAATTATTATTGCGTAGGTGCAATAATAATCTCGATGATCTTGAAGATTATGATGCTGATAAATAAGATAAATAATAAATAAGATAAATAAGCAGTCCCAAATTTCTCTGTTTCTCTGCGTCTCTCATAAATAAGCATGCGAAGAGATAAATAAGCAGTCCCAAATTTCTCTGTTTCTCTGCGTCTCTCATAAATAGCATGCGAAGAGATAAATAAGCAGTCCCAAACTTCTCTGTTTCTCTGCGTCTCTCATAAAACTGCATGCAGAGAGATAAATAAGCAGTCCCAAAATGCTCTGTTTCTCTGCGTCTCTCATAAATTAGCATGCGAAGAGATAAATAAGCAGTCCCAAACTTCTCTGTTTCTCTGCGTCTCTCATAAATAAACATGCAAAGAGATAAATAAGCAGTCCCAAATTTCTCTGTTTCTCTGCGTCTCTCTCAAAAATGTGCAATATCATGTGAGGTGTCAAAAAACTCCAAATTTTCTCAAATTTTCATTTTCCGCTTCAATTAAAAACTCTAATTAATCAATCCCCATCACAATTATAATCCACATGTACAAAACAACGTTCAACAAAATCCAATTTCTGTATTTTCTTCTCCAAATCGTGTGAAATGTCGTGCGTCTGTTTCAGCTTCATATTTTCGTCCAAAACAATGTGCAATTCGACTTGTGCATTTTGACCAGTATAGTAGATCATTGAATGATCGATGAATCTGAAAAATACAGTAACCCTAGACATGTTTGGATTCAAAAAATTCCAAATTTTCGCGCTAAAAAATTCTACAGTACCCCATGAACTCACTGAATCCTCTTGTCATGTTTGACAGCGATATTCAAAATTCTAGCCATCTGATCTCGTTCCGCAGCTCTTCCGGTAAGTTGCGGAATATTCTCGATAGCATTTTGACACCACGAAAATGCGATCCACGTGCAAACACAAATTGCACCAACCGGATCTGCCAGACGCCAAACATAGTCACCCAAATATCCGCACACCAAGGCCAGGGAGCGGGTGACCAAGTCATTTCTGAAGCCAGGAAAATGAGATTCTGGCAACCTCCTAAGGTTCCTTAAAGCCCCAAAGTACTGTACCTCAAATCCATGGCTATAACTAGACTGGAGTTTGACGCTCGCTTATAGCACAAATACATCAAAACGGCTTTAATAGCCGTCTGAACGACGACAATTATCATTGTCAGAAATGTCATTTGTGGATCGACCTGGAATTTTTATTGGAAAATTTGGGGCCCAGTTTAGGCATGTGGAAAAAATTCCACGTTTTTTGACACCAAACAAGCCCAGGCTTATTTAGTTTCAAAAAATGCCGAATTTCCCGCCAAAACCTACCGTATCATTAACAATTGAGTTAATAGATTGCATAATCATTGAAACATTGGCAAAAGCCATGATAACCGAGCACAAAAATCACACCAATTAGCTCAAGTCGATCGCGGCCACGTGGATATTTGTTCTGGTCGGTTTTGTTGATTTCGGAAAGGCAAATGTTCATGACGAAACTGCACGCGATATCCATCGACGAATCCACGAAGGTACTGTAGGAAATGAGAGAGGGTTAGAGACGCAGAGAAATTATGTTCTAGTTTGTGATAGTTTGCACTTTAAAGATGATAAGCTACTGTTTTTTTGCTTTGATGACAAAAAAATTTTTGAAAATAATTTTGGAAGTTTTTTTGAGAGGGGAAATTAACAGCGTGCATTTTTTTTTACAAAAAATCAATAGTCCCAAAAATTCTCTATTTCTCTGCGTCTCTCATGAATTGCATGCAGAGAGATAAATAAGCAGTCCCAAAAATAAGCAGACACAAATTTCTCTGCGTCTCTCACAAAATCTATAGCGAGAGATAGTTAAGCAGTCCCAAAGAATATTTTCACTTTGGGACTGCTTAACTATCTCTCGCTGTAGATTTCTGAAGAGACGCAGAGAAGCAGAGAAATTTGGGACTGCTTATTTTTTTGGGACTGCTTATTTTTTTGGGACTGCTTATTTTTTTGGGACTGCTTAACTATTTCTCGCTGTAGATTTTTATGAGACACGCAGAGAAGCAGAGATTTTTGGGACTGCTTATGAGATTTTGGGACTGCTTAACTATCTCTCGCTGTAGATTTTTATGAGAGACGCAGAGAAGCAGAGATTTTTGGGACTGCTTATGAGATTTTGGGACTGCTTAACTATCTCTCGCTGTAGATTTTTATGAGAGACGCAGAGAAGCAGAGATTTTTGGGACTGCTTATGAGATTTTGGGACTGCTTAACTATCTCTCGCTGTAGATTTTTATGAGACACGCAGAGAAGCAGAGATTTTTGGGACTGCTTATGAGATTTTGGGACTGCTTAACTATCTCTCGCTGTAGATTTTTATGAGAGACGCAGAGAAGCAGAGATTTTTGGGACTGCTTATGAGATTTTGGGACTGCTTAACTATCTCTCGTTGTAGATTTTTATGAGAGACGCAGAGAAGCAGATCATTTTGTGTCTGCTTATGAGATTTTGGGACTGCTTAACTATCTCTCGCTGTAAATTTCAGAAGAGACGCAGAGAAGCAGAGCATTTTGGGACTGCTTAAATGCGCCTTGCTCACCTCATAATACTCAACGATCCCGAAACCACCGAAGCCACCAAATTTCCAATAAGCGACGCAATATTTAGCGCGAAAACCGCTTGCGCCAAAAATCGATCTTCCGACTTCTCATCCTCTTCTTTCGCCTTCTCCGGACTTCTGATCGTTTTTTGATCCTCCTCGAATTTCTCCAATAACTCCTTCTGATTTTTATAAAATTCGGTGACACCTTCAGAATCCACGTGGAAATTTTTTTTACTCGGAATTCTAGGACTCGGGCTCCTCCGTTTTTTCGCCATAATAATTTTCGGGTTCCCACGGCACAAAAACAAATAGAAAATGCTAATATGGTTATCTCTAGCACCAAAAAATAGGTTTTATTTTTTGATAAGATTATTTTTGGGAGCGAAACAGAAGGAGGAGAGTTGAAAGACGAAAAGAAGCATGCTGACGTCTTTTTGATGCACTTTTAATGTTGATCAGGAGCAAAAAACACAGGGAGACAACCTACGAGACTCCGCTGATGACGCTCGGCGAATTTTAGGCCGCTTGAACAAAACTACCGTCGTAAACTGGAGGTTCGTTGTCGTCAAAATGCATTGTTTTCATTTTGGGACTGCTTATTTATCTCTTTGCATGCTAATTTATGAGAGACGCAGAGAAACAGAGAAATTTGGGACTGCTTATTTTTTGGGACTGCTTATTTATCTCTCTGCATGCAATTTTATGAGAGACGCAGAGAAGCAGAGAAATTTGGGACTGCTTATTTTTTGGGACTGCTTGTCTTGTTCATTTTTATTCATTTTTCTGTTTAAAAACACACAGTTCAAGTTACAATAAACAATAAATAGTCTATGATGAATTCTACCACAATTTCCTACTCTAATAAAATACCTCATATTATAATTCAACTGGATAAATTTTTGGACAAAGTATTCATTTTACAAAAAAAAGTTCCCAGGTTCTCTCAAAACTATAGCTGCTTTCATATTGCTATTCCATATTCACATTTTATTTTCTGAGAAACTACGATCGAATTCTATCAATATCATTCTAACGATTCTTGCTCTCTCTGATATATTATATTTTTTTCAAGACCTATATTTCCCTTTGTTAACAGAAGACTGGAGATGCTATACACACACGTCGCCAATAATAATCTGGTCAATTGGTCGTGTTATATTTCTTTTAATTTTGTGTAGGCGCTATTCAATGTGGTTAACGGTTTCAATTGTTATTTGGAGAGTTTTAACGTTGTACTCTGGAAATGTTAAGAAATATAGTTCTGCTGTATACGGATTTATTGTTAGTGTGTTCTGTTTGATTATAAGTTTAGCTTGGAGTATTAAACACTGGATACGTCATGATTTTATGAAAATCAACAGCTATGAAGAATATCAATATTAGTATGTTCATGTTTTTCAGATGTTGATAATAATAGAACATTGCAGTTGCCCAAATATTGTAGTTGACAATTTTCCAGTGTATATCCATGAATTCAAAATGTCAGACAAAGGTTCCATATATTCTGAAAGATTTCATGAAGTTAGCGAATATATTGTTTTTGGTTATATTCCGATAATCTTGACTACAATTTTCACAATTATTTTGGCATTACAATTGCGATCGATTGGTCGAACAAGACAACAGTTATTTTATTCGTCACGAAACTTTCGGACAACTCGAATCACAAAAATTGTTATTTATACTTCGATTTTCTTTCTAGTTGTACAAATTCCATATACTTTGTACTTTCATTGTTACACTGAGATTGAAAATGAGAAAGACTTATCTCTTCAGCTATTTGTATTGCTTGATAGTATTTTGACAAAATTTGAGTTATTGCTCACGATCAATTCGATTTCGCATTTTTTCATTTGTTATTTACTCAATTTTCAATATAAGACTATTGCGGATTTGAAGATTTCAAAGACTTTATTGAATATTAAAAATTTTGGAGAATTTTTTGGTTTTTATTTGGAATAAATTTTTTCTTTCAGTATAGAAACGTTGCTAATCGGTTTTTCAAAAAAGTTTTATTTTGCTTTCAGGGAATGCGAATTATAGAATAAAAATTATTGGAATTCCAAATTGTGCTCCAAAAAAAAACAGAATTCATTTACAAAATGGTTGATTAATTAGAAATTATTAAATTAAAAAACTTTTACAAAAAAAAAACGAGTTGGATAAAATAGGAAAACATTAGGGGGATTTCATTAAAGGGGGGGTTCTAAAAAGATTTTAAAAATTAGGTCTCACCAAGTGCCGGTAAATTCTTTCATACTATTCCAGATTCCGGAATTTCGGATATAACATCCATCTCCAAAAACGACAGTATGTCCCTCGGATCTGCTCATTGCTGTCAGAATCGCTCTCGGATTTTCGACCAAATCACCTTGACCCGCAAATTTTCTTGTCAATGATACAACAACCAACTGCAAAACGAGTTTTTTGGGTGAATTTGGCACGTTCCTTTAAGATGAGCTACAGTACACCTTAAAAAAATTATTTTTTTAAGTGGAGGTGTACTGTAGCTCAACATTACTCAAGTCTAACCTTTGATGTGGTTCCAATTGCTTGTCGAACAGTTCGAACTGAAATATTCAATTTTCTTTCCATCAACATTTTTGAGATCATAAATTGCTGTTTTTTGTAGAAAGTGACAATCATAATATCAGCTGGTTGAATTCCATTCAAAATTTGTCTTCCAACAAAATCACAAATTTCATTGGCTTCTTCTCGATTTTCTTCATTTTTAATTGCGCCAACGTGTTGTTTTGGTGAAATGCAGTGAAATGTGATGAATGACGATGCGATTTTCACAATTGTATCGCTGATTCGCAACGGTGGTCTAGAAAAATCAAAAAAAAAATTAATTTTTCGAGTTTTTTAGCCAAAAATGATGACAAATCAATATTTTTCAAGCTTCTGGAGTGATTTCTGATGAAAATAAGCTTCGAGAACCCTATTTCGCTTTATTTTATGATATTTTTCGAAATTTAAAATTTTTTTATTTCAGCAAAAACTTCTGAAGGCCAATTTTAATCAGAAATTACTCCAGAAGCTTAAAAAATATCGATTTGTCATCATTTTTGGCTGAAAAACTCGAAAAACTAATTTTGACTTTTCGTGAATTGATCTTTCGATGTTAAAAAAAAGTTTTTAACTCACGGTGCAATTGTGCGCAAAATGGTTTTTTCCTCAAAATTGCTATAAAAATGATAATTTATAAATTCAACAACTGGAGCCTGAAGTCGATGAGTTGTTCGATGAGTGATTCTGATATTTTTCGTGCGTAGAACTTCAATCGAATTCGGCAAAAGTGTCTGCAACGATTTCTCTCCCGAATGCTCAGCGAGTTGTGCAGAATCACCAAACAACAAATACTTTTGGACATTTCCAAACGGCAAAAGACTTTCAAACAGCGAATAAATGCTAATATTCGAGCATTCATCTACGATCACTGTATTGATTTTCAATTTCATATATTTGTTCAATTTAAACATCAATGATAGATTTCCAACAATAATATTGGGTTTGTAAAAGAAGAATCCGACTGTGAACAATGTTTTGATGGGTGTCCAATTTTCTGGCAAATCGCTTCCTCGATTTCCTTGATGATTGACATCCAAATATTCTGATGGAACTAAACCGGCATAGATTTTGAGCACGGTGTTTGCATAGCCATACGCGGCAATTAACATGAATTGATTATTCGGAGTTCTGCAGAAAATTTCGAAATTTTTCGAATTTTCCGGAAAATGATCTTTAGTAGTTAAATTTTCAATATTGCCTAAATTTTGGGAAATTTTTGGAATTTTTTTCCAATTTTTCAAATTTTACGATTTTTTAAAAGGTGTGAATCAAAGAATTGTAAATAAGAGGCCGAAATTTCAGACCATGAAAAAAATTTACCAATTTTCCGGTTCAAAAAATCCTATGCCCAAATTTTGAATTAAAAATGAAAAAGTTAGTTTCCACCCTGTATAATCTGGAATTCTAGCTGAAAATCGATAAAACCAAGAATTTTATCGATTTTCAGCTGGAATTTAGGAATTTCAGCAGAGATGCGGAAGCTATGCCCAAATTTTGAATTAAAAATGAAAAAGTTAGTTTCCACCCTGTATAATCTGGAATTCTAGCTGAAAATCGATAAAACCAAGAATTTTATCGATTTTCAGCTGGAATTTCAGCAGAGATGCGGAAGCTATGCCCAAATTTTGAATTAAAAATGAAAAAGTTAGTTTCCACCCTGTAAATAATGGAATTCTAGCTGAAAATCGATAAAACCAAGAATTTTATCGATTTTCAGCTGGAATTTAGGAATTTCAGCAGAGATGCGGAAGCTATGCCCAAATTTTGAATTAAAAATGAAAAAGTTAGTTTCCACCCTGTATAATCTGGAATTCTAGCTGAAAATCGATAAAACCAAGAATTTTATCGATTTTCAGCTGGAATTTCAGCAGAGATGCGGAAGCTATGCCCAAATTTTGAATTAAAAATGAAAAAGTTAGTTTCCACCCTGTATAATCTGGAATTCTAGCTGAAAATCGATAAAACCAAGAATTTTATCGATTTTCAGCTGGAATTTAGGAATTTCAGCAGAGATGCGGAAGCTATGCCCAAATTTTGAATTAAAAATGAAAAAGTTAGTTTCCACCCTGTATAATCTGGAATTCTAGCTGAAAATCGATAAAACCAAGAATTTTATCGATTTTCAGCTGGAATTTCAGCAGAGATGCGGAAGCTATGCCCAAATTTTGAATTAAAAATGAAAAAGTTAGTTTCCACCCTGTAAATAATGGAATTCTAGCTGAAAATCGATAAAACCAAGAATTTTATCGATTTTCAGCTGGAATTTAGGAATTTCAGCAGAGATGCGGAAGCTATGCCCAAATTTTGAATTAAAAATGAAAAAGTTAGTTTCCACCCTGTATAATCTGGAATTCTAGCTGAAAATCGATAAAACCAAGAATTTTATCGATTTTCAGCTGGAATTTCAGCAGAGATGCGGAAGCTATGCCCAAATTTTGAATTAAAAATGAAAAAGTTAGTTTCCACCCTGTATAATCTGGAATTCTAGCTGAAAATCGATAAAACCAAGAATTTTATCGATTTTCAGCTGGAATTTAGGAATTTCAGCAGAGATGCGGAAGCTATGCCCAAATTTTGAATTAAAAATGAAAAAGTTAGTTTCCACCCTGTATAATCTGGAATTCTAGCTGAAAATCGATAAAACCAAGAATTTTATCGATTTTCAGCTGGAATTTCAGCAGAGATGCGGAAGCTATGCCCAAATTTTGAATTAAAAATGAAAAAGTTAGTTTCCACCCTGTAAATAATGGAATTCTAGCTGAAAATCGATAAAACCAAGAATTTTATCGATTTTCAGCTGGAATTTAGGAATTTCAGCAGAGATGCGGAAGCTATGCCCAAATTTTGAATTAAAAATGAAAAAGTTAGTTTCCACCCTGTATAATCTGGAATTCTAGCTGAAAATCGATAAAACCAAGAATTTTATCGATTTTCAGCTGGAATTTCAGCAGAGATGCGGAAGCTATGCCCAAATTTTGAATTAAAAATGAAAAAGTTAGTTTCCACCCTGTATAATCTGGAATTCTAGCTGAAAATCGATAAAACCAAGAATTTTATCGATTTTCAGCTGGAATTTAGGAATTTCAGCAGAGATGCGGAAGCTATGCCCAAATTTTGAATTAAAAATGAAAAAAGTTAGTTTCCACCCTGTAAATAATGGAATTCTAGCTGAAAATCGATAAAAACAAGAATTTTATCGATTTTCAGCTGGAATTTTGGAATTTCAGCGAAGATGCGAAAGCTATGCTCCAATTTTGAATTAAAAATGAAAAAGTTAGTTTCCACCCTGTATAATCTGAAATTCTAGCTGAAAATCGATAAAACCAAGAATTTTATCGATTTTCAGCTGGAATTTCAGCGGAGATGCGGAAGCTGTGCCCAAATTTTGAATTAAAAATAATAAAAAATTCAATTTCCACCCTGTATAATCTGGAATTCTAGCTGAAAATCGATAAAAGCAAGACCTGCTCTTCTAAAGCAATTTGTGCAATTTTATTTATCCAAAAAAATCTGACCTTGGTGGAAATTGCAAGCGATTCGCTTTCTCCACAACATCAATAATAACCGATTTCAAAACATCATTCGAATCATAGTTTGTTTGGCTAGCTTCAGACGAAGTTATATTCATAATTCTCAAATTTTCAGCCGCATCTGTTCTAACAACACTTTCGATTGTCTCAATGATTTTTGAATTTGAACTCGTCAAAACCGCAATAATTTCGGATTGTGTTTTTCTGGCAAACATCGCTGCACAAAATGCGATGCTCGTTGTTTTTCCGCCACCCGCTGGTGTATCAATAACCAAGAGATTCTCGATTTTTTCGGCCGCAATCATAGTTCTTAATTGATCTGGAGTCGGTTGAATATTAAAAATCTCTCGAGATTCTTCGGCCATTATTTCAAATTGATTTGGTGTCGGCCGATACTCCAAACCCTGTTGGTTCTCATTGAAAAACAGTTGTTCCAATAAAAATTGAGCATGATGAGCAGGTGTTTTTCTACCGCTAACAGTTTCGCGATTATACGCCCATCCATATCGAAATTTTGACGGCGCGTATTTCGAACAAGCTTCTTGTCGACAATAAATTGGCTCTTCTCTACTTTCATGCTCCTTTAAAAACATCAAAAATCCTTCGATATCTTCTGATTTTGCAATAACTTTGAGCAGAATGCTCTCCTGATTAGTTCCAGGTGAAACAGTTCTAACATTACATGGAACGGTTTCCTTTTCACCAAAAACCATCAAATGAACATCTGAAAATGTCCTCGATTTTTCCCAAAAAAAATAATTAAATACCTGTTGGAAATGTGTTTCCATCCGAAACTGGCGATAATTCAATCGTAAAAGAAACACTATTTTGAGAAAATTCCTTGATATTATTCGGAATTCCATTGGAAACAATTTGATTATATCCAGGCAAATTACAGTCTCGAATTCGGGCAACTTTCAAGGAACAATTGATAAATTTGATATTATCGATAATATGATCGAAATCGAAACTGGTTCTTAAACCATCTAAATATTCTTCAGAAGTCATGAATTTCGAAGAAATGTCCATAATTGCGGGTTCGAAATTGGGAAAACGAACTGATTTGATGCGACAATTATTTGACTCGTTGATGAATTCTTTGTCCAAATCATATGTCATATTGTTGCGAAAATATCGCGGAAATCTGAAAAAAATTATTATTATTTTGCGCAAAAATTTCCAGAAACCACAGTCCCAAAATTCTCTGTTTCTCTGCGCTCTCATAAAATCTATAGCGAGCGATAGTTATGGGCCTATGCAAAATAATATTTTGTAATAAAAAAACATATTTTTCCTATGCAGAAAAACGTCGAAAAAACAAAATATACAGTTTACTATTTTGAGTAGAGAGAATGTGAAATTGAGAGAGTGCAGACAGACAAATTGATTTTTCGCACAAAAATACAAAAAACTGTCTGCACTCTCTCAATTTCACATTTTCTCTACTCAAAAATAGTAAGCTGTATATTTTGTTTTTTCGACGTTTTTCTGCATAGCAAAAATATGTTTTTAATGTTTTTTATTACAAAATATTATTCTGCATAGGCCCATTAAGCAGTCCCAAAAAAATAAGCAGTCCCAAAATGCTCTGCTTCTCTGCGCTCTCTCACAAAATCTAAAGCGAGCGATAGTTAAGCAGTCCCAAAATTCTCTGTTTCTCTGCGCTCTCTCACAAAATCTATAGCGAGAGATAGTTAAGCAGTCCCAAAATGCTCTGCTTCTCTGCGCTCTCTCACAAAATCTAAAGCGAGCGATAGTTAAGCAGTCCCAAAGAGTATTTTCACTTTGGGACTGCTTATTTATCTCTCTGCGTGCAAATCAACGATAGACGCAGAGAAACAGAGAAATTTGTGTCTGCTTATCTTTGGGACTGCTTAAGTATCTCTCGCTATAGATTTGATGAGAGACGCAGAGAAACAGAGTATTTTGGGACTGCTTATGAGATTTTTGGAAGAAATAAACAGTCCCTCTGTTTCTCTGCACCCTCTCCCGCTCCCTCTCTATTTTTCATTTTTGGAAGAAATACCTCTGAATTCCATCAATCGGACGAGAAATACAAGCATCAATCACTCCAAAATCACCCTCAGCCATCTCATCAAAAACATTAACCAACAATTTATTGTTTCTTAAAGTTGAACATCTGATAATAGCATATGGAGAAGCTAGGAAATGATGTTCTCCAGCAATCGCTCTTAACGTTCTTCCAACTTTGAAAACCAATAATCTCGTCCAAAACGGCATATCACGGTGTACAATTTCATATTCCAAAGCAACTGTGGTCGGCAAATTTGTCTTGAAATCCTTGTTCAAATCATTTTGGGCATTGTTAAATTCCGTGCAACGCGCCATACATTTCACACTGATAATAAAACCAGGTCTCAAGAACGTGAAGCTGGTGAACTTCTCGTTTGGGAAGCTTATGTCTCGAGATGCAGCACAAATTGCAATGTTTCGCAAGTGAGAGCAAGGTTCGGCACCGAAGATGGAATGAAGTGGGACGGCGTGGTAATAATTGCCATTAGCACTTCTGAAAAAAAATTTTTGTTTTCTTAAGGAGCTAAAACCCGCTCACCTGCTAATAATTCTATACAAAATGCCATCTTCTGGGACTTCTGTTGTATACTTGAATTTTGATGAGTTTGGAAGTCTTTCCTTCATCATTTCATCAAAAGTGAATATCGGCAACGTTGAAAATGTCCACAACAATCGAAATCTCAAAATGTTTTCAAATTTTTCTGCGATTCCCGAATTGTTATCGATTTCAGGATGGTAGAAACAATGTTCGAATTTCTTGATCCAATCATGAGATTGATTTATTGTTCGAATATTTTGAGTCGTATTTGACTTTGTTTGGATGACCGAAGCCATTAGGTTGTTTTTGGAGTGGCCCTAAGGTCGAATCTGAAAGTTTTTTCCATTTAAAACTGTGAAAAGTCCCCAAATTCCCAAAAACTTGTGTTCTGCACATTAAAAAAAGCTTTTGAAACTGTTTCAACATGCAAAACCCCGAAAAAACAAACGAAAACAGTTGAAAATGAAAAAAAACTGTTTTTCGAACAACAAACAGAGAGCGCACACATCGAGGAGACACATACACGGCGACGCACAAACACACAACTTTTCACCTACCGTATTACTTGTTTTCTTTTTTTTTGTTTTCACGTTTTTCGCAAAAAAAAAATCCAAAAATGGTTGATAATTGGAGTGCAGAGTATTTCGAAGCAGTTGTCAGAAAATACGTGCTAAGAAATGTAAGTCAAAATGTAGGAAATCCTCAAAAAATCTGAATAATTTTGCAGAAAATCCCGAAAAGTTTTGAAGATGAAATGGTTGCGCGAAAAGGAACTGTTATTAAATCAGATCAATTTTTGGGAATAATCGAGAAATTAATGAACAATGATGATGAAATGTATGCGATCTATCAAAGTCCTGAAGAGTTTCTCGTTGATCTCTATAAATTTCAAAAATTTCCTGACAATTCCACGCATACCACGCCCAGGGGTTAACAAATGCACGGCGCCAATATTTTTTCAAAATTTTGATGAAATCCACGACGCCAAAATTTTTTTGCTAAGTGAGGGGATTTTTTTCATTAGCTCTAGAACAAATTAATTTTTACAGATTCAAACGACTACGGCCCATTTCAACTTCAAGTTCCAATCTCAAATGGATTTTAATCAAAAATTATTATTTGTTTATTTCAATTACCACTAATAAAACTTATAAATTTGAAAAAGTCGTTCAAATATTGTCTTCTTTTCTCAGAAAAATTTCAGAATACGGAAACCAACTATATTTTGGAGACATTTATTATCAAACTCAAAGCCATCATCTGTTTTCTACAGTGCCGAGAACATAAAATATATCTTGGCAATCGCACCTTCTTCAACAAAACGTGTGGTAGCTCAGTCGGTTAGGCGCGCTCTGGTTTTGTTCAAGAGACCCCAGATCAACCCCCGTCTCCTGCGTAATTTTTTATTTTGCTCTCGAATTGTCTGAATTTCAGATTTTGGTATATTTTCGACATTCTGACTGATTTTTTTTGATGAGATAAGGTTCTAAATGGCCTATACCAGGTGGAAACAAAAAACTGGACAGTTTTATGTGCACATTGAAGAATAAACCCCGACCGTGCACGTTTTTTCGCACATTTTAAAATAGGCCTACACAGACTGCACCAATCGCTTCGTTCTCGGTCGCAAAACGTGCACGAGCAAAAAATAATGCGAATTCGTTTTTTAACTTCCACTTTACGAGCCAAAATAAGGTTTTTATGGTCGAAAAGCTGATTTTGAGAAATCTCGATTTGCACGGTCGAGGATAATTTGAGTTCGAGAAGGTTTCCGTCTGAAATTTTTGGTCAATTTGAAAGTTCTGCTCATTCTGATATGTATTCACTGTTGAAACAGAAGATTTGATGTCGTAGGACATGTTCTTTTCAGTTTTGAAAAATAAATAATTTAAAGTTGATTTGAACAGAAATTGTCTTCTTTATTCATCCATTTTATGATGTTTCCACCTGGTTATGGCACTGGAGAATCTCCAACAACAATATGTGATTGAATTGGACCTTTGATTCTAAAGTTATTCTCCAAAAACTGATATCCCATGCAACAACAACGTCGCTGTTGTACACACAAAAACATCGAACTTATCAAGGCAAACAAACAAGGCGGTTAGCAGGTGTGTGTGTGGTCTATTGGATAATCTTTTGACTTTCAGTCTGGCGATCAAAGTTCGAGTTCGACTTCCAGCGAAATTTTTTATTTATTTTTAATTTTTGTCTTGAAGTTTTTGAATGGGATAAAAACACATATTTAAAGGGAAAAATTGTGAGGTGTCGAAATCTGTAAAAAAAAGAAACATCCAGAAGTTTGTGCAAATTTATCGACCAGTGATTGATTTCAAACTGTGAGAACGTTGAGGTGAGATATACAATAAGCAAAACAGAGACAAAAGCAAAATCGTGCATTTCAAACAAAAAACATCACAAATGAAAGCATGCAAACAATACATTAGAATACAAAAATCAAAAATTGTCAGTAATTTTCGTCTTCCAAATTGGTCCTTTTGATTTTTTGGGTCTAGATAAGCTTGTTTTCACCGCGCCAATCTGCTCAAGTAAATTTTTGAGAATTTTCCAAAAAAACACCTTGTTTTCACACCGCCAATAATTTTTCAAAAACCACCCCGCCAATTTTTATTTTTCATATGCACGGACCTGGGCGTGGTATGATTCCACGTTTTTTGGATGTGGTTTTAATGAAGGACGAAAAATCATTGGATTTTTAAATATTAAAATGGTTCAAAGATGAAATGTTTTATTGCAATGCAGGATGGACTTTGTTGGTTTAATAATAGTTTGGATATGGAACTATTTATTGACCCGATCATTAAATCGATCGCAAATAAATATAAAGCGTATTGGAATGATACATTTTGGAATGATTTCTCAAAATTTTCGCCTATTCTTAAACTTACATCAGAAAATGACGGATTTGATGGTACCGCTGATTTGTGACGGTTTTCTCTGAAAAAAAAATAAGAAACACTTTCTGCGCTGAAAAAAACACTCAAAAACCAGAAAAAACAAGAAAAAAAATGTCATGCAAAAAAAAATAAAAGAAAAACAACGATACTCCTCGTGCGCGTTGTTTAGCGTTTTTTTTTGCAGGGTAGACGAGAGAGTGTGTGAAATAGAGAGAGTATTAGAGAGAGAGAGAGAAAGATAGATGTTTTTTATTTGAAAAGAAATTATTGATTGGAGGTGTTTTTTTTAAGTTTTTTTTTCGAACTGAATCATTTTTATGGTTTTTTCAGCGCAGAAAGTGTTTTTTATTTTTTTTTAAGAGAAAACCGTCACAGAATGCAGGTGTCCCATCAAATCCACAATTGTTTCATTTTCTGATGTAAGTTTAAGAATAGGCGAAAATTTTGAGAAAATGAATGTAGAAGTTTCAGGCTTCCGAACAACGAAGATGTTTGGTTTGGACAGGAGGACATTCAAAGAGATCAACAACTTTTTATAGAACGGGCGGCCAGTCAAGTTAGTTTATTTTGAGGTTTGGGGGGGAGGAACAAAACTAACAGGTGAGATTTGAGCTTCATTGGAAAACTATTGATGTTAAAGGAAAGTTGTTTATAAATTACTATATGATTAGATGAAGCTCTGAATTACACTTGATGGTATAGGATCAGCTTCCAGATTTTATTGAAAAACAAACTATGAATTATTTCATAGGTAGATTAATTTTTTCATATTTTTATGCACGCGATTTTCAGTTTGTTTTGAATTTATTTTTTTTTCTTTTATAATATATGTCTCATTAAACTTCACAATTTGTATTCCCAGGCGTAACTTTTCCCGCGAAGCTCCCTACGATTGAAAATTGCTCAATGAATTGTGATAATTTGGTCAATCTCTTTGGGACTGCTTAACTATCTCTCGCTGTAGATTTCATGAGAGACGCAGAGAAGCAGAGACATTTTGTGTCTGCTTAAAAATAAGCAGTCCCAAAGTGAAAATACTCTTTGGGACTGCTTAACTATCTCTCGCTGTAGATTCTGTGAGAGACGCAGAGACATTTTGGGACTGCTTAAGTGTTTTTGGTGTTCTCAAAACCTTTTATCAAACCCAAACCCAGAGAAAAAAAAACATAATATCTTAAGATATAGTTGCTGGTTTTCCACAGAGCACAGAATCAGCTTTAGTGCTAACATTAGCAATATAGAGTTCTAAAAATGTTCGTGATCACATATTTCAACAACAACAAAACTTACGACCAACTCGAAACTCGGAAGGAGAATCATTAGCAATCAAATATACTCCAGCGCGGTTTAGGTACACGTTTACGCCATTTACTTTGGTTGGTGTCACCGGTAGATAATTTAGAAGGAAATCATTTGATGTTGTATAACCATCAGTCCAATAATATGCTTTTGCACCACACAAATCGTTTGGATCTGCACAGTAACTCGCAGGACATTGACATTGCGTATCCAATGTTGCACCAAGCCAAGTATAGTTGGAATGTGTGGCAGCTTTGAGGGTCATTGTGAAGTTGTACATTTCCAAATCATCGATTGATGAAATCACAGCTTCATTTTGTTCACAAAAATTTTCACCAATCGTCTTATTGATGTAGATATCGTTGGTTCTTGTTACAACAAACACTTTCATACACCATCCAGTTGTATTTCTTTTGTAATATGTCCAACCATCATCACAAGTTTCAGTAGTGCGATTTCGACATCTCAAACGACATGAATCCATCAATTGAACGCACAGGAACACCATCAAGATCTTCAGAATCATTTCTGATAAGATCTGATTTTTGCTGAAGTGGGCGCCTGGCTTTTATACAAAAAATATTTCACGGCCTCTTTTATAAATTGTACATTTTCTATTTTATGCGACCGTAAATTCCCGCGAATTTTTTATCGGTTTTTGGCCGCATTTTTATTATTTGGAAGCTACAGTATGACGAGGAATCTATAGCTTTTATGAGATATATGATGATTGTAGAATTTTGTTAAGCTAACTAAGTTCTGATTAAATTTTGTTTTATAATGCAGTGATTCACGAAATAAAAAAAACGTTTTTTCAACTTTTTTTTAACGTTAAAGAAACGTTTTTTAAAAATTTTAAAATTTCGTGAGTCACTTCATAAATCTGATAATTTTTTTTGCAGAGAAATTAAATAGGAAAAAAAGCCCATAAAATGAAAATGCACAAAAACTCGTGATTTTTCCAACATTCATTTTTTTATGTCAACTTCCACTATAAAATAACCTCAGTTCTCCTGATAAGGTATTCAATATTCCCAACAAAATGATGCATTTTCCTTCTACAAAAATGTAAGTTGTACTATTTTATTATAATTATTTTTTCAGAATGATACCATTTGTGAGTAATAATAATACTATTAAATGGACATTTGAGAATTTGAATAATTGGAATGGATATTCAAAATGGAGTAAAATTGTGAAGATTGGACCAACTAAATGGTTTGTTTTTATTGAATTAACTATAATGAGGAAATATACTTTAGGAGCATTGGAATTAAAAAGAAGAATATGATAGATGGCATAAATTATCTTGGAATATACTTGACATATTCAGGAGAAAATAAATTGAAGAAAAATTGGTTTTGTGAAACAAAAAAAAGAATCAAATTGATTAATCAAACTGGGCAGAAATCCAATATAACTATAGCAGATACTGAAATTCATGATCATATTTTCCGTTTTTGGGGATGGTATCAATGTTATAATTGGGATAATTTGATGGAAGATGGATATATGAAAGACAACTCAATTATTGTGGAAATTGATATAAGTTTGAAATATTATGATTTTTCGAAAATTTCAAATTTGACTGATATTATTCTCAAAATCGGTGAATATGAATTTCACACAAACAAAGGGGTTAGGTTCAAAAATTATGTTGTTTTTCAATTTACGGACGATTTTTTCAGATTTTATGCTACCAATCTGAATATTTTTACAATTTATTTGTCAACAAAAATTATCAAGGAAGTGTTATTGAAGTCAAAGATGTTCAAATCGCTGATTTTCGACAATTCCTAGCTTCATTTTATCCGCATTTTGATGAAATTGATAGAAAAAACTTCATATTTCTCAACAAAATGGCCATGAAATACAAAGTTTCAGTATTGCGAGAAAATTGTGAGAAGTTTTTGATGAAAGATACTAGGAGGTCATTGGAAAACAAATTGAAATATGCTAACAATTATGATTATCACAATTTGATGGTGAGAAATTTGGAGAATTTCTGATAATAATAATATTTCAGAAACATTGCATTGAATCATTGGATAGTGTTCAAAAAATCAGAAAAATTCAAGAATCTTATATTTATTTTGATTTCAAAGAATCGACAAAACAAGCAATTATTGATCGAGTTTTGGAATTGATGGATTGATATTTTTAGGAGTTCAAAATCCAAGTTGTTTTTTATTCTGAATAGGTTTTATTTTAATTGATAAGTTGTTCTAATTGAAATTCCAATAAATTCATTTTTTAAAGAAAATGTATCTTGTCAATTAATAATTAAAATTAGTGTTACTTCTAGTGTGAATCTTTAAAGGCTTTTACCAGTTGTTTTTATCTATCATTCGCACACCGTTCAGTGAATTGGTAGCTGCGTCGAATCTTTTTGTATAGATCTTTGGTGCATTACAATCTTTCACATCATTGCTTACCCAATATATTTCCTATGAACTTTGAAAAAAATGATTGTTAATCTAGAAATGTCATAAAAAACTCATCGATCGTAAAAAATAATCAGATAGAGTTGTCCAAAGGTGAATAATAAAAATTATTATTTTCATTCAAAAAAAGCGAAGTCTTTTTTGAGAGGTTATCTATTGTACTATCTTACAAAATATAAAATGAGGGAAACAAATAGATAAAATATTTTCGTGAATTTTCGGTCGCATAAAATATAAATGTGCCAAATCGTTTCCTTCTGCGTGGGCCGTAAATGGGGTTATTTGCGGAAAACAGTCTAAAAATTGAACATTGGATTTGGTTTAATAAACATTTCAATTGCAATGTTCTTGAACCTCAAAAAATTTATGGCAGGAGATGAATGAGCACTATTAGCAGACCCAGCCAAAATTAAAAATTGTTTCGAAATCTCTTAACAAAATAAATGATAATGCACAAAAACTCGTGATTTTTCCAACATTCATTTTTTTATGTCAACTTCCACTATAAAATAACCTCAGTTCTCCTGATAAGGTATTCAATAATCAAACAAAATGATGCATTTTTTTCTTTGAGAAACAATGTAATTTTACATTATTTTATAATAAATTAATTTTCCAGAATGATTCCATTTGTGAGTAATAATAATACAATTAAACGGATATTTGAAGATTTGAACAATTGGGATGGAATACCAAAATTGAGTGAAATTGTGAAGATTGGACCAACTAAATGGTATGTTTTTTGTTTTGAATGAATTATAATGAGGTAATATACTTTAGGGGCATTCAAATTCAAAAGAATATGATAGATGGCGGAGTATATCTCGGAATATACTTGACATATTCAGGAGAAAATCAATGGGAGAAAGATTGGTTTTGTGAAACAAATATAACAATGAAATTGATTAATCAAACTGGACAGAAATTGAATTTATCTAAAGCAGCTACTTTAATTTATAATCATATTTCCCGTAGTTGGGGATGGAAGACATTTTATAAATGGGATAATTTGATGAAAGATGGATATATGAAAGACAACTCAATTATTGTGGAAATTGATTTTAGTTTCAAATATTACGATTTTTCGAAAATTCCGAATTTGACTGATATTATTCTCAAAATCGAGGGTAATGAATTTTTTACGAACAAAGGGGTTAGTTTTAACAAGTATTTCCGAATTTCAATAATAATTTCAGATTTTATGCACACAATCCGAATATTTTTACGATTTATTTGTCAACAAAAATTATCAAGGAAGTGTGATTGAATTCAAAGATGTTGAAATCGCTCATTTTCGACAATTCCTAGCTTCACTTTATCCACATTTTGATGAAATTAATAGAAAAAACTTCATATTCCTCAGCAAATTGGCCATGAAATACAAAGTTTCAGTATTGCAAGAAAATTGTGAGAAGTTTTTGATGAAAGATATTGAGATATCATTGGGAAACAAATTGAAATATGCTGATGAATATGATTATTCCAATTTGATGGTGAGAAATTTGGAGAATTTCTGATAATAATAATATTTCAGAAACATTGCATTGAATCATTGGATAGTGTTCAAAAAATCAAAAATGTTCGGGAATCCGAGGAATTTCGAAATCTTAAAGAATCGACAAAACATGCTATTATGATTAAGATTTTGAATTTTGTTTGAATTTTAGTTTTGAAAAAACTACAAATGAAACCTTTATTAAAGTGAACCCAATTTTCAATTAACAGACTGTTTCCCACAAAGCACCGAAGTGAGATTTGTGGAAGAAAGAGCAACAAGGCCTCCTAGAAATGTGCTTAACTTCCATATTATTTTATTGTCCTAACTCACCATTAAAAATTGTCAAACCTTCCCTGATTACATAGTTGCTTTGGCCATTTGCATCTATTTGCGTCACGATTAGATTGTTCAAAATTAAATTATTAGAAGTCGTAAAACCATCAGTCCAATAATATCCATTCGGACCACAATTACTAGTTACAGGACATTGACTTGCTCCACATTGGCATTCAGATTTCAACTCTGCACCGAGCCAAGTTGAGCTAGCACTCGTAGAAGCTAGCAAATTCGCAGCGGAATTGTACATCTTCCCGTCATCAATTGATGACATCACAGCTCCAACTCCAGAACACACTGCTTTAGCTTCTGTCAAGTTTACATTTCCCACAAACACTTTCATACACCATCCAGTTGTATTTCGTTTGTAATAGGTCCATCCATCATCACATTGGGTTCGGTTTCGACATCTCAAACGACAAGAATCCACCAACTGAAGACACAGGAAAAGTGACAAGACCTTCACAATCATTTCTGATGTTTTCTGATCTACAGGCCTGCCTTTTATGCAAAAATATTCCAGCAAAACAGTGGGAAGAAGCACCGCCTCTTCAATTTTCGGGGAAAAACGATTTGGCACGCATGAATTTTATGGGACCGTAAATTCCCGCGAATATTTTATCTTTTTTTCCACATTTTATTATTCAGAAGCTACAGTAGGCAAAAAATCTGGATACATTTCAGCATTTGATTTAAAAAAATCTGTACAAAATCTACATTACCTCGAAAAACCTCGCTGTGTATGCACAATATTTCAATCGACGTCTATTTATTTACTGTGTGCAGACGGAAAAGGAAGGGAGGTTAGAGACGGAGAGAAAAACATTTTGAATTTTTGTGTTTAACAAAAACAGAAAAAACCAAATTTTTTCGAAATTATTTATGTGGTGACAAAAAATGATCATATACATTTCAATTCTTAGGCTAACTTGGATTTTATTGCACACAATTTGATCTGATCCAGTATCCACTTTCCGCTGTAAAATGAGATCTCGTAGAACAGCTTGGGGTTTGTCAAATTGTAAAATACTAGGGTCTTGCGGGCGTGTATATGGGGGTGGAATCTGTAATATTCAAAATCAGCGCCTTGAAAAAAAAATTTTGAAAATAAAATCACAAACCTTGTTCAAACATACATAGAATTATAATTAAAGTACTGTAGTGTAGATACAGTTAGTGCAAAAATATACAATTGATTATAATTTTTATCCAAAAAAAAACAGGGCGTGGTGTTAGATTATCTACTGTACCATCTTACTGTAATCAATCACAGAATGGTGTGAATATGCAATTGCCACGTCATAACTAATATCTTACTGTAATTAATTAAAGGTGGCATTTGTTATTCTCTGCGTCTCTGCACTCTCTCGCCCCTATTTTCTCTATTTGTCTATCAGCCTAAGTCCCTTCCTGCCAGAACAATACTAGTGCAAAATTTGCATAACCTTGAATTTTATCTCTGCGTCTCTCAATCTCTCGCTCATTTTGTATTATTATCACAGTATAACTACTAAATATCACCGAGATATTTATTTTTTTTTGTATTTAACTTGCCACGTGGCATTGATATTCTGTGACCGAGTGGCTTGCGCGGCTGCCTATCATTTGCAAAGCCAGGGTTCGAGCCCACCTGCCGACCAACTTTTTGTTTTTTTTTTTTGCAGGTCATCAATCATCATGTCCCAAACTCTTTACGCCAAAGAATTTCTGGAAGAGATGGAAAAAGAAGGACGCGAACTTGAAGAACTCAATGCTCGTCTCGCAAATTACGTGGATCGAGTCGAAAAACTCGAGGAGGAAGATCGGAAAATTGTTGCTGATTTGAAGGAATCGAGAAGAGTGGCAAGTTAATGACCTCTCAAAGTCGCAAAAAACAAAACTTTTTTTTTTGCAGGCCATGTTCAAGGTAGATACAGAAAAGCCCGAGATCCAGACTGGTCTTCCAAATTTCATTGATCGAATCAATGAACTCATAAATCACAATCGGAAATTCCTTGCTGATTTGCAGGAGGAATCATTAGAATCAGCAAACAAACAAACAAAACCAAAGAAGAAAAACAAGAAGAACAAGAAGCAGAAAAAGAGAAGATGATAATTTTTGTGAATACTTTTGGCGCCAAAAAATAAATTCAAAGCATCATATTTATAAATTATTCAATGCATTCCATTCAAAAAATTATCTGTAAATTTCAGGAACTCTGGAAATTCAAATTGAGTTTCAGAAGAATCCTAATTGATTATCAGTTGAAGTTCCAGATTCAAAAATGCAAGCTGGCAAGATTATCAGCAGTTTAGACAACTAGAGAAGGTTAGAGACGCAGAGGAAAAGCTTCATGTTCATGTACCTTAAAAATTAAATTTTCAAAATATTTATTTTTTTTATTATCGAAAAAAACAATTATTAAAAAAAATCAATAAATAACTGAGAAAACTCGCAACTTATCACATAAAAGCATCAAAAAAGGAACAAAGGGTACTGTAACTGAGTGCAACCAACCCTACAGTACCCGTAGATCATATAGCAAAAAATGATCAAAGGGTACTGTAGATGTCAATTTATGCAGAGAAAAAAAAGAAAGATTGAATGAAATCCGTATGAGGAGGGAGTTTTTGGTAATTTGGAGAAAAAATGGCAAAAAAATAAACTTGTTAAGCGGATTTTGAGGCGGAGACTCTGCGCAAGACATAGTGTCCGACTACGGTAGCCTGCACGGCGATGAGGAGAGTGAGAGTTCCGAAGATGGCGAACAAGGTGGTTTTGGCGAGGCAGAGATTGTCGGCGGAAGAGGCGGAGAGAATCTCTTGCGCGTCTTCGCGCACCATGTCGATTGAGGCGTAGTGCGACATGGCGACTGGCTCGTTGACCTGCAAGATTCTTAGGGTTAGGGGAATGGGACACTGGGGGAGATTAGGGTGAAGCCTAATTCTAAGGCTATGGCCAAGCCTAAGCAGAGCCTGAAGTTATAGCTAAGTCTGTGGCTATTGCTGAGCCTAAGTCTTAGGCCTGGCCCCCCAAACCCACTTTCTGGCATACCTGTTGCAATGGATCGATGATGACGATTGATGTGGTGGCCTTGGCGTGACGTGGAATCAAATAACGGGCGGTCTCGACTGCAAAAAAAAATCAGGATTATTCGGGATTCGACATCTCTCGGGGTGTCTCGGGGTTTCTCGGAGTCCCTCATGGTATGTCGGGGTCTCTCGAGGTCTTTCGGGAGTCCCTCGGGGTCTCTCGGGGTCTCTCGGGGCTCCCTCGGGATCTGGCGGGCTCACTCGAGCTCCCTCGGGGTCTGTCGGGGTCATTCGGGCTCTCTCGTGGGTCCCTCGGGGGTCCCTCGGGGTTCCTCGGGCTCCCTCGGGCTCTCTTTGGGCTGCCTCGGGGTCTCTCGGGGGTCCCTCTGGCTCTCTTGGGGCTGCCTCGGGGTCTCTCGGGTTCTCTCGGGGGTCCCTCTAGCTTTCCTCTAGCTTTAATGGGGTCTGTCGGGCTTCTCTCGAGCTCCCTCGAGCTCCCTCGGGGTCCCTCGAGCTCTCTCGGGGTCTCTCGGGGGTCCCTCGGGCTCCCTCGAGCTCTGTCGGGGTCTCTCGGGGTCCCTCGGGGTCTGTCAGGTTTCTCTCGAGCCCTATCGAGTTCCCTCGGGTTCTCTCGGGGTTCCTCGGGGTCCCTCGGGCTCCCTCGGGCTCTCTCAGGCTCTCTCTGGATCTCTCGGGGTATGTCGGGCTTTTCTCGAGCTCCCTCGGGAGTCCCTCTGGTCCCTCGGGCTCTGTCAGGTTTCTCTCGAGGTTTATCGTGGTATCTTGGGCTCCCTCGGGGTTCCGCGGGGTTCCTCGGGGTGTCTCGGGCTCCCTCGAGCTCCCTTGAAATTTCCCAAGCTCTCTCGGGCTCTCTCGGGAGTCCCTCTGGTCCCTCGGGCTCCCTCGGGCTCTCTCAGGCTTTTATCGAGCTCCCTCGGGCTCTTTTTCCACTCCCCCCCCCCCACCAAACTCACATTCTTCAATATTGTTATCAATATCCCTCTTCTTTCTTCCCCACGACTTCTTAACTCCGCCAGTCAATCCACACTCAACAGCCTGACACGTTCCCTTGCAGATCTCAACTTCGCAAGTGACTCTGATCGATGGTGCGCTATCAAATCGGAAAGCTTGAAGTTTAGTGCTCTTGACGGCGCTTGAGGTGACCTCAATGGCTCCAGGGATGAGTTTTTGAGCAACAGCTGGTGTCGGGCAACCTCCCTCGATGAGTTGAAGCTTCTCTTGGGTGGAAGCTCCTTTAGTTCCTGGTTCGGCATGACAATTCTTGACGAAGAAATCAAGTTCATCATCCATCGCCATAATCTCCCATCTGAGTTCTAAAATATCTCCGAGCTTAGCTTGCACGAGAGGTTGTTCAGTTCCATCGCCATTCAAAAGTTGCATGAGTACCGGGTTTCCAAGTTCGATCTTTCCTCTTGGTTGAATCAAATTGGCTTCAGGTCCAGTGACAGTCATGTTATAACCGGCTTGAACTTTGCCACCGAGCATGCTCGAGTAATCGCAAGAGACTTCGTAGAGTTGATCCATAGATGTGACAAGTCCCGGGATTCCGAGATTATTGGTTTGAATGACAACAGTGGATTTGTAGGTTCCATTGAGAAGATCAATCAATCCACAATCTCTGAATTCAGCTGATTGTCTCTTAAGTCTTCTGAATTCCTCGATCTCTTCCTTGAGTGGGGTTTCCTTGGAATTAGTGTTATTCTTTGTCTCATTATCATCAAGGTTAATCGGGCGCATTCCGAAGTCTTTGGGGAGTCCGAGAACCAAAGTAGCAGCATTAGAGTTGGCAACTTCAACACGGCAAGTATCGAACTTGTTTTTAACAAAGATCACACCACTGAATGGCTCGCCATTATTGATTTGAACCTTGATTCCTTCATAATTACAGATTGTTTGAATGGCTTCAGCCTTGACTTCAACTGGTGGTCCAATCGGAACTGTTGATTCAGGAGCTCGTCGATGTTCGGTATTCTTGAAGCTTGGTTTCTTGACCTTTTTGGTGGCTAGAAGTTGTGCCTTGCTATCTTTTCCAGATTCGACAACAGTTCCAGACACACGATGTTTGGTTTCTGGAACATTTGCGGCGGCGGAGACGCCGGTGTCGACTTCCTTGGTGACGCATAGATTCTTGTAGAAGTCGGTGTGTTCGTTGACTTCGCCTTCCGAATCGATTGAGTCGAACAGGTTGCATTCACCAAATCGGCGGTTGTAGTTGATTCCGGCGCAACTGCAAAAGTTCTGGGGTTTTATTTTCTAAGTCGGGAAGGGGGAGGGGGGATGGGTACTGTAGGTTTTGGCGCGAAATTCTGATCATTTTGAATCCAAACAAGCCCAGAGTACTGTATCTACAGTAACCTTCCAGTTTTTAGGGTTACTGTAGAACATCATAAACTACAGTATATAATTTTCCGGCTCGGGTCTCGAAGCGAAAAATCTACAGTAACCCAAATGACAGGGCGCTCAAAAATGTCTAGAGATACTGTAGATTTTCGGCGCCTAGGCTACAGTAATCCTGAGCTTGTTTGGTATCGAAAAATTCCTTGATATGAGCAATCCCTCTAAAAAATACTGTAGCTCAAACCTAAGCTTATTTGGTGTCAAAAATTCACTCTAGAAAAAAACACTTTAATATGAGCAATCCCTAATTACTGTAGCTCAAACCTAGCCTTATTTGGTGTCAAAAAATTCCCCCAGAAAAAAATAACACTTTAATATGAGCAATCCCTAATTACTGTAGCCTAAACCTAGCCTTATTTGGTCTCAAAAATTCCCCCGAAAAAAACACTTTAATATGAGCAACTCATAAAAAAGTGTAGCCTTATTTGGTCTCAAAAAGTTCCCCAGAAAAAACACTTTAATATGAGCAATCCCTTTAATAAATTACTGTAGCTCAAATCTAAGCTTATTTGGTCTCAAAAAATTCCCCCGAAAAAAACACTTTAATATGAGCAATCCCTAATTACTGTAGCCTAAACCTAAGCTTATTCGGTCTCAAAAATTCCCCAGAAAAAAAACAGTTTAATATGAGCAATCCCTAATTACTGTAGCTCTGAATCTAGCCTTATTTGGTCTCAAAATGCTCGCCGAAGAATTTTGATACCGAAAAAACTCACGTTGGATTTCCAGCACAAACTTCCAGACACGAGTTCAACGACACAACTTTGTAGCTCTTCGACGGAATTCCACGTTGCCGGGTGTGCAAATATCGCGAGAAGAGAGCATCGTCTTTGTTGGCCGAGCAATCGTTTTCGACTAGAGGAAGAGCTATTAAAAAGAACACGACACATAAACGGAGTTAGTGGAACTTAGAAGAGAGGACAAGAAGCAGAAGGGGGCTTTTTGGGCCCCCAAAAGGGGCCAAAAAGGCCCCAAAGGGGGCCTGCAGGCCCCCACATATAGATAGCCTAACTCACCAGCCAAACAATGCAAATCATACAAATCAACTCCTTGACGAACTTGTGGTTGAAGTGTGTTATGACCATCGAGATACAATAAATCGCAGCTCTTCGATTTCTTATCAAAATTGAAGCTACGGCATTTCTCTGGAGCCAAGTTCGCGCAACTCGCCACACATTCCTTGATTCCCTTGGCTGCTGATGTTTTGAGAACATGGAGTTCGGATTCGCCTTCGGGGAGAGCGGCGTTGATGGTGCGGACGGCTTTGAGATGTTGACCGGCCGCGCATTTCTCTTGTTTGAGTTGGCAGGTGATGTCGAAGTAATCAACCTAGAAGAGAAAATCGGGGTTCGACTTCGCCTAAGTCTGCGGATCAACTCACCAAGAATTCATCTCCTTCTGGAATGAAAAGATCTGGCTTGGAGTCACGAGTTTCAGAGTTCAAGATGCATTCTTGCTCATTGTAATAGTACATAACTGATTTGCAGACAAATCCTTCTCCGGTCTCTGGTGGTGGGCTGAAAATGATAGAGTTTAGTATGAGCAATAGTCTTCTAGAGCTTAATAAGAGCAATATGATCATCCAGAGTTTAAGCTGAGAAATCCGATCTTCTAGAGTTTAAGCTGAGCAATAGTCTTCTAGAGCTTAAAATGAGCAATGGTTTTCTAGAGTTTAAACTGAGCAATGTTTCCTAGAGCTTCAAATGAGCAATCCGATCTTCTAGAGCTTAAAATGAGCAATATGATCTCCTAGATTTTAAGATGAGCAATGGTCTCCTAGAGATTAAAATGAGCAATAGTCTCCTAGAGATTAATATGAGCAATGGTTTTCTAGAGCTTAGGCTGAGCAATAACCTCCTAGACTTTAAGCTGAGCAACGGTCTTCTAGAGGTTAATATGAGCAATGGTCTCTCAGAGTTTAATATGAGCAACGGTCTTCTAGAGCTTAGTATAAGCAATAGTCTGCTAGAGTTTAAGCTGAGCAACGGTCTCTTAGAAATTAATATGAGCAACAGTCTTCTAGAGTTTAAAATGAGCAATTCTAGAGTTTAATATGAGTAATGGTCTTCTAGAGTTTGAAATGAGCAATATGATTTCCTAGATTTTAAAATGAGCAATAGTCGTCTAGAGATTAAAATGAGCAATCCGATCTTCTAGAGTTTAAGCTGAGCAATATCATTTCTTAGAGTTTAGAATGAGCAATAGGTGCCTACAGCTTAAAATGAGCAATAGTCTTCTAGAGGTTAATATGAGCAATCCGATCTTCTAGGGTTTAAGATGAGCAATGGTTTTCTAGAGGTTAATATGAGTAATCCAATCTTCTAGGGTTTAAAATGAGCAATCCTACCTTCTAGAGTTTAAACTGAGCAATCCGATCTTCTAGAGCTTAAAATGAGCAATGACCTACAGTAACTCAAATTCCACCATGTTTGGTGTCAAAAAACCCGCATTTTTTTGAGCATTGCTCATGTCAAAACTTACTTTGTGCATTGATCCAAACACATAGTAACAGATGGCACATTCTCCATAACAAAAGCAGCAAATCCGACCAAAATCATTTGTGGAACCCGCTTAAAACTCGGCACATTTCTACAAGTATTCGGCGACGCAAAACACTTTTTCTCATAATAAGTGAAACCCTCAGTTGTGATCAAATCAGCACGTCCTAGCGGCTTCGATCTTTCATCAGCCAAAATACAAGTTCGGCTAACATTGTTGTACATGAAGGATTTGCAATTGAAATCGTTGGAAGTTACGGAAAGTCGTTGGGTGCAGAGTGATTGGCAAGAGTCCAAATCGACGTTGATGATACGGTCGAGCTCGTTTTTCAGCTGTTTTCCTTCGACCGCGATGTATTGAGTGATGTAGGGGGAATAGCATTGGGCTGGAATGGAAAATTGGGTAAAAATTTGAGATCTTTAGGTCTAGAAGATCTCTAGAAGATCAGAAAGATTTTGGATCTCTAGAAGATCTCTAGAAGATCTCTAGAAGATCTCTAGAAGATCAGAAAGATATTGGATCTCTAGAAGATCAGCAAAACTCACATCCAGCACAATTATTATCCAAATAAATGACACTATCATCGGCCTCATCAACAAACAAACTTGGTCGATCCAATCGATCTTCGGTGTTCAAAATGCATTCCTGATCAACCGGGTAGAACATGGCTGATTCGCATTCGAAGCCGAATGTGTCGAACGCGTTCAAACAGGCGACCATACATACCTGGAAGAGTGGATTTGGGTTGGGGAGGTTCGGGGGGAGATCTGGGAGATCAGGGGAAGTTTCAGAAGATCAGGGGAAGTTTCAGAAGATCAGGAAAAGTTCTAGAAAATTAGCACAAGTTCCAGAAGATCAGGAGAAGTTCTAGAAAATCTGGAGACGCTCTAGAAGCTCAACAGAACTTCTAGAAGATCAGGGGAAGCTCTAGAAGATCAGGGGAAGCTTTAGAAAATCTGAAGAAGCTCTTAAAGATCAGGAGAAAATTTAGAAGATCAGGGGAAGCTTCAGAAGATTAAGGGAAGCTTTAGAAGATCAGGAGACATTTTCGAAGATCAGGGGAAGCTCTAGAAGATCAGGAGACATTTTAGAAAATTAATCCGAATTCTTGAAGATCAGGAAGACTTCTAAAAGATCAGGAGGAATTTTAGAAGATCGGGAGAAATTCCAGAAGATCAGGAAAGGTTCCAGAAAATTAGCACTAGTTCTGGAAGATCAGAGGAAGTTCTAAAAGATCAGGGGAAGCTCTAGAAGATCAGGAGACATTTTCCAAGATTAGGGGAAGCTTCAGAAAATCAGTGGGAGTTCTAGAAAATTAGCACAAGTTCTAGAAGATCAGGGGAAGCTTTAGAAGATCAGGAGAAATTTTAGAAGATCAGGGGAAGCTTCAGAAAATCAGGAAAAAAATTAGAAGATCAAGGGAAGCTTCAGAAGATCAGGAGAAGTTCTAGAAGATCAGGAAAAGTTCTAGAAAATCAGGAGAAGTTCTAGAAGATCAGGAGAAACTCTAGAAGATCAGGAGAAGCTTTAGAAGATCAGGAGAAATTTTAGAAGATCAGGGGAAGCTTCAGAAGATCAGGAGAAGGTTCAGAAGATCAGTGGAAGCTTCAGAAGATCAGGAGACATTTTCGAAGATCAGGGGAACCTCTAGAAGATCAGGGAAAGATTCTAGAAAATCTGGAGAAGCTCTAAAAGATCAGTGGAACCTCTAGAAGATCAGGGGAAGTTCTAGAAGAACAGGAGAAATTTTAGAAAATCAGTAGAACTTCTAGAAGATCAGTAAAGCTTCTAGAAAATCTGGAGAAGCTCTAGAAGGTCCAAAAAACCGATAGAAAATCAGTAGAACTTCTAGAAGATCAAGGGAACCTTCTAGACAACCTAGAAGTTCAGGATTCCCCTCGCCCAAACTCACTTGAATATTCTCAGATGGCACAACTTCTCTAGCGAATCCAACCAAAATCTTTTGCTCAAAAAGATCGAATTGGAATGGCGATTGGCAGACTCGATCGGATTTGACACACGACTTGGTCAACACTTGCGATCCTTTGGTTGGTTGTTCAGCGCCGGCGCGGAAAACCTGACATTGTCCGCCGACGAATTCGACACCTTGGCAATCGGCTGATGTTGTGCAATGATCGGAGCATTCGGCGAGGTTTGAGGCGGGGATGGTTTGGATTCGGGCACCGATTGTTGAGTTGTGTTGCATGACGAAGATGGTTTGAGTTCCGAGTGGGCATACTGTTACCGATGCTGAAAAAAGTTCTAGATTGGAGAGATCTAGAGAATTTCTGGACTTTTGTGGGACCACAATTTGAACTACCGTAGTCAAAGCGCTAAAAATTGGGGAAAATCTGATCTACAGTAATCTGTAGACTAGACCAAAGTCTAAGGAATACTATAGTCTAGCCTAGAACAACTATAGTCTAGTCTAGCTCTTGATTTGAATTGAGAGTCTTGAAATTTGAGAATTTGTCTGGATTACGGTGGATTTTGATCTACAGTACTTTTGTCAGCACTACAGTAATCCTGATCTATGAATTCTCCTCATTCAAGCTGATTTTTGGAACTTTCTTCTGCTACCTACAGTAATCCTGAGCTACAAATGTTGATCTACCAAAATTAGAAATTCTGAATCTACAGTAGCTGAGGGCTACAGTAATCCAGAAAGTCTGGAACTTTTTTTCCGCTCAAAATCACTTACAGTACTCCTGAGCTTCTTCTTATAATCTAGAAAATTATTGGATTCTAGAATACTACAGTATCCCATGAGATCTACAGTAACCTAGAAAATTTTTACAGATTCTATAAAAACAAGACTACAGTACCCTTCGAAATTATTCCTGAACCAGAGACTTACAGTACCCCCCGGCATCTACAGTACCCCCCGGTGTCCCTTCAAACTCACGTAACGTTTCCGCCACAACAACGGCCTGAACTGCAATCAATGCAGCAAAACACGCCCAAAGCATTGCCGACACTGTAAGAGGTCCTGCAACGAGAATATTGAGATATATACTGTGGGTATACGGTAGACGAGGATTACTGTAGGTATACGGTAGGTCAAAGGGGGAAAACTGAAAGGGAAAGGGACCCAAAACTGAGGCTTTTGGAGCCGAAAAAGTACTGTAGGGCTTTTTTGGCACCAAAAAACCTGAAGTACTGTAGAGAGAGAGTTAGGATAACTCGGAAAATCAAGAAGAAGAGTATATATTTGTATTTTTGTGGAGAAAAAGGGGGAAGAGATATCTATCTTTTTTCGGGAAAATCACCAGAAGACTTGACAGAAATGGAGGTGAAGGTCAAAATGCATTTTTGGATGGACATGGGGGCGGATAACTAGGGAGAGACACAAGAAAAAATAGATGGAGATGAAAATATCTGATAACCTACTATCCAAAAATATATATATACACAGAGAGAGAGAGAGAGAGAGAGACGCAGAGAAACAGAGAGAGAGAGACGCAGAGAAAAGTACAGTAGTCTAGGGACTATTTTGCTCTCAGATTTTCCAAAAAAAAAAAAATGTTCCACATTTTTGGAGTCTGGGAAAAAAGTATCTACAGTAGTCTTTTGAGTGGGAGTACTGTAGGGTTTTGAGAAATCTGAGGGATTCCAATAATATTTGCAGGTTTGTAATTTTGCAAGAAGCTACAGTAATCTACAGTAACCCACCTCAAAAATTGAAAAAAAAAACCTGAAAGTTGTGAGGTTTTCAAATAAAAATGGTGCTTTGGGAGAGACTCTACAGTAATCTACAGTAACCTACAAAGAAATTTCTTCTAGATCTAGAAATATCTGAGAAAATTCAGATGATCTACAGTAACCCTCAGAATTATTAAGAAGAAAATTGGGAAAATTTTATAGACAGAAAATATTTAAGAGCAATCTACAGTAATCTTCTAAAAAAAGGGTTCAGAAAGTTCCAGAATTTCTAGATCTACAGTAACCTACAGTAATCTTCTGAAAAGGGTTCAGAAAGTTTCTAGAATTTCAGAAAATCTACAGTACCCTACAGTAATCTTCTGAAAGGGGTTCCGAGATTCTAGAATTTCAGAAAATCTACAGTAACCTACAGTAATCTTCTGAAAAGGTTTCAGAAAGTTCCAGAATTTCTAGAATTTCAGAAAATCTACAGTAACCTACAGTAATTTTCTGAAAAAAGGTTTCAGAAAGTTTCAGAATTTCTCTAGATCTACTGTAGATCTTCAAGAAATGGTTCCAAAATGAATCAGAAACGTTCTCCGAAAATCTCAAGTTGATTTTCTTGTTTCTCAGAAATGTTCATCATCTCAAGAAGAAACTTATCCTTAGAAATTGAATGCGAAAATCATAGGAAAATGTAGAAATAAATGAGAAGAATCACATAAGAGGTCAACTTCTTCTTCTTCTTCGGCTTCTTCAAGTTTTTTTGTGTGCCGCGCGCGAGAAAAACTGGTTTAGCCGGATTCCTTCCGTTTTTTTTGGTCATCATTCATTTGACCACAAAGCCATGACTAATTGGATTGATATGTGGATTTGGATTCAGGAAATCTTGGGACCAGGAAAAATGGCACAAAAAATGATCTACAGATTTTCATGACCTACAGTAGTTTTGATCTACGCGAGTTCTTGGGATTTTCTTAAATTCACAAAAATTGTTGATCTACAGTAACCTGAGCTGAAGCATATTCTACAAAATACCTAGATTCTGGAAAATAGCCTACAGTATCCCAGGGAAAAATCTAGGTTACTGTAGACTCCTCCACTAGAATTCAAGCTACAGTAATCCACAATTTTTTGGGTGATCTACAGAACAAAATTATTCGTGAGATACTGTAGTTCATCTAGTGCCAATTTTTGATCAGAACTACAGTACCCCCACAAAGAAACTAACAGAAAATTCAAAAGAAAACCAACTGAAGAGAAATAAAAAAGAAGAAAAAGATAATGTTGACCTAATTTTCTGTTGTGTTGTGACACATTAGGCGGACAAAATCGAAAGACGATTGGATTTTGTAATATTATTATTATTATTGTTTTTTTTGTTTGAAATTGGAGAAAAACATGAGGAAAATGAGGAAAACCTAATTAATTAATTAATTAAAATTCTTGGAAGTTTGCCAAGTTATTTTGAATTCAAAACTAGAATTTGACTAGAAAAATTTAATTTTCGCGCCAAAAATTGAACCAAAAAGCGGAGTGTCGTTTAGTATGTCAAAATTTCCCAAATTTCGCGCCAAATCTACCAAGCGTAAACCGCGGAGTGTCGTTGCATCAAGAAATTCTTGCGCAATGACCGAAATGATCAAGAAAATGTGAATGAAAAGATAGAGATAGAAGGTAATTGGGTCAAAAAGGGAAAAATTCGAAGAAGAAATGAAATCAAGTGGTACCGATTAACACAAAAACATACACTGACATCTAAATGAAATGAAATCGTACTTGATGATACCAAACACAACAACATTTTTGGGGAAAAATCGGGGAAAAATTCGAAAAAAATTGGAAAAAAAAAGAGAAAATGCGAAAAAACAAGAGGAGCGCAGGTGTAAACACGCGGAGTGTCGTTTAGGGAAATTTTATAAGCTGCTTCAGTTGCCACGTGGAATCAAGGTGTAAACAAGCGGAGTGTCGTTTGAAAATCAAAATTGCTGTGAAATTCAGAATGTTCATATCTCATTCTCAAATTTGTGCCACGTGGCATCGGAACCCGCGGAGCATCGTAAAATCCTTCAGGAAATTTTCCCGCCAAAATTTTTCCAGGTGTAATCGTCGGAACCTGGAATTTTTCGAATTTTGGCTCAAAAATCTTGCCACGTGGCATCGGAACCCGCGGAGCATCCTGGAATTTTCCCCGAATTCCAAATTGCTCATGTGCCACGTCATAACCAATTTTTTTTCTCAAAAAAAATTTTTTTTGATTTTTTTTAAAAATGATTTTTACAACCAATAATTCGATCAAAAATTCCCAACATTTTTGCATTTTTTGATTTTTTTGCATGATTTTCCAGACAATTTCCCCCATTTTTGACCTACTTTTTCCCTTTTTCACTTTCTGTATCTTGTCCTCGAGAACTACACAGGCGTACTTTTTTTGTGTGATATAAGAAGAAAGATAATAAAGGAATCTTTCCCTTTTTCCCCTTACATATACATCCATTTTTTATTGTTGGTTTGTGTGTGGAAAAAAAAAGGAAAACGAGGTCATCTTTCTTGATCAGCCAGCGAAAATGAGAGATTTTTGGATAAGGGACCACCCTGGGAAGAAAATTGGGAAGATTTGGAACTTTGGAGATCAGGGGACCACCCAAGAAGAAAATACAGCAAGATTTTTGGACTGGAGACCACCCAGGAAGAAAATTATTTGCGAAAATGCAAAAAAAAATGAGTTGGAATTATTTTGCAACGTGGAATTTTCACGTTTTTTATTTAAAATTCGCAAAAAAAAAAACGTGGGAATCTTTTTTTGTGGAAAAATTCCTGAAAAATGTTTTTCCAGAAACTTTTTCGACTAGACTCTAGTTTGGTTTGTATATATATAAAACATTTTCTGAATTTGCTGGAAATTCAGAGTTTTCAAAGTTTTTCCCAATAAAATTCGACTCACCTCTTCAAAACGTCGCCAACAATCTTCATTTCACAATTCCTAACATTCCAACAGCCTGAAAATCCAAAAAAATCGAAAATCATCATTTTCAACGGGTTTTTCTTCAATTTTCGAGCAAAACAACACTAAATTCATGTACACCTAGAAAGCTACAAAATTTCTTTCACTTGAACAATGAAAAATGCCAGCGGAATCTCTGAAAATGCTGAAAAACGCGTTTTTTTTCGAAAAAAAAGAAAAAAATTTTCGAAAACCTTAAATGTGTGCATTTGTGCGTCGTGGTGTTTGCAACCGGTGTGCACCGCGAAAAATATTTTTGAATTCACTTTTTTCTTTTTTTTTTCGTTTTTTCTCGTTTTTCAACGTTTTCTAGACGTTTTGGCTGAAATCGCTGCTTTTCATTGTAAAATCAATAAATACAGATAGAATTCACTAGAATTTGTGTTGTTTTGCTCAAAAATTGAAGAAAAAACCGCTGAAAATGATGATTTATCGTGTTTTTTCGCAAATTTCATAATTTTTGGGATTTTCAGGCTGTTGGAATGTTGGCTCGAGAGGTTTTTTGGCGTAGAAAAGTGCAAAAATGACAAAATTTGAAGTGTGAGTCGAATTTTATTGATTTTTTGGGGAAAAACAAACAAAACTAGAGTCTAGTATTCAAAAAAACACAAATTCCCACATTTTTTTCTGAAATTTAAAGTAAAAATGCGAAATTCCACGTTGTCACTAGATCCAACTACAGTACCCCCAGTATTACTGTAAAACTACAGTAGTATATCGATTTTTTCCCCAAAAAAATCGTGAGAACATTCCAAAAATTCCTGGTTAGAAATGTGTTTTTTTCCCAAGAAAAAAATTTCACATTTTTTTTCGTTGCAGAAAAAAAAATGAACATCCGATTCGAAAAACTTGGTCGAGATCTGAAGAAGAAAGCCACCAAAATCTACAGGTACAGTAGTCGGGTTACTGTAGATAGACAGCAACGCAAAAATGTTGGCGGATGTTTGGAGAAATTCAAATGGACATTTATGGGCATTCCGAAAATGGGGTGAGTTGGGACTTTTTTGGGCGGGAAAAATTCAAATTCAAAAAAATCCACGTGTTTTTCTGGCGGGAAAATTTCAAATTTAAAAAAAATCCACGTGTTTTTCTGGGCAGGAAAATTTCAAAAATTCAAAAAAATCCACATGTTTTTCTGGGCGGGAAAAATTCAAATTCAAAAAAAAATCCACATGTTTTTTTCTGGGCGGGAAAATTTCAAATTCAAATTTTTTTTTGGTACGAAAAATATTCGAGCTACAAACTACGCACACAAAAACTCCAGACTACAAATAATACACATCATATTTTTTTTTGGTGTTATCACTATATTTTTGAGCATCACACAAGTCAGAAAATACTAAAAAAAAATAATTTTGCACTTTTGAACCATGTAAAATTTTGGTTGATTTTTGCGGGGATTTTTGAAAAAAAAATTTTTTTTCCCAAATTTTAAAGCCAATTTCTCTGCGTTCAAATTCCAATAAAAAATCCCTATTTTTCTCTGCGTCTCTCAAAACCTTATCAATTTATTTTCATAATAATTTCCCAAAAAAATGGGCGGAGCTTGGGACAAAATGCTCCGAAAGAGCTCTTTTTCTTATCATTCGATCCATTGTTTTGAAACTTTTTGATTTTATTTTTTTTTGTGGCACAAAAATCAATTTTTCCCAACAAAAAAAAGTAGTTTTTTTTTCAAATTTTCTGATAAAATTTTATTATCATTTATTTATCAGTGCATTTTTTGAACAAGAAGAAGTTTAGGTTTTTGTTTTCGCCCTTTTTATTAGTATACTCTTTCCAATTATCGATTGATTTTTTGTGTCTGAAAGTAGAGTTTTCAGCTGAAAAATGAGGAAAAATTCGTCGAAAAATGGCGAAAAGACTCCATTGTTAGCCGCACCGGATTATATTAGCCTAAGGTAACAAAATTTCGGGGATTTTTTGGGAATTCTGGATTTTTTGGCGAAAAATTCAGAAAATTTGGACTTTTTTGAGGTACAGTAAGCCTTGCAGTCTTTTTTTGGCGCCAATTTTTCAGCTAGAAATATTTGAATTGGATTTTTGGCTTCACAAAAATCTTATTTTCAAGTTCAATTTTTCAAGCTACACAAATTTGGCGCCAAAAATTTTGAAAAAAAATCTCAAAAGCGTGATTTTTTGAGGTACAGTAAGCCTTGCAGTCTTTTTTTTTGGCGCCATTTTTTGACCCCCAAAATATCACAAAAAAGTACGCGAAAACCCGTATCTCTGGTCAATTTTTGATCAATTTTTCTTTTTTTCTCAGATTTTTTTTTGAAAATGAAAAAATCATAGAAACAAAGTTCAAACTACAAACTTTTTTATCTCAAGTTTTCAAAAAAAAAATTTTTTTCTTTTTTTTTTGAAAAATCAATGCGCAATGTTTTATTTGTCTTTTCTTTATTATCACATCATTTTCCAAAAAAAAAAAAAAAAAAAAAAATTTTTGCCCTTTTTTCTCTGCGTCTCTCATCTCTCTCAAGGTTGGCCTGGAAACCCCCGCCCATTTATTTATCACATCTAAAAACTTTTTTTTGAAAATTTATTTTTTGGCGCCAAAAAAATTATGAAAACTAGAAAAGGTGGCTTGAGAGATGAGCCATTGTTGCTCGAAAAATTGTGAGTTTTTCTGGGGAAAATTTTTGAATTTCAAAATTTCCCGCCTGAAAAATTGAACATTTTTCAGCCGAACTTCGCTGGACACTGAAAATTCGGATGATTGTACGATTAAAGTCACAAATTTTGGATTGGTGAGTTGTTTTCTAGCCGTTGCGCCTTTAAAATTCGAATTTTTCGCTTCGAGACCCGAATTCTAGCGCTTGATCTACAGCGAAACAAATTGCGGACTTTGAAACACCATACCTTACGCGCAAAATTTATTATTTTTTTTTCAAACCCAATTTTGAGCCCTTAGATCAAGAGATAAAATTTTGCTCCAAAAAAGTTTTCTGCTCAGAATTTTGAGCTCTACAAGTTGCGCTAACTCTCAATATTTTTCCAGTTCACCTACACACAAGGCTACGACTATGTTCTGTTTGTATTCGGTACAATCGCCTCAATTATCCATGGAGCAGGTTTTCCCCTGCTGGCCATTGTTTTGGGAGGAATGACGACCACTTTTTTGCGAGCTCAAAATTCGGAATTTGTTGTTGGAGCGGGAAAAGTTGATCCAACTGGATTGCCCGAAATTTCACAGTAAGTTATACTAGTTTAATATGAGCAATGTAGGTTTCTTAACAAAAAATGTGAGGAATCTTTGAAAAATCTAACCTGAGCAATCCCAAGAAAATGCTCATTTTTTTCCAGAGAAGAATTCAATTCGCAAGTCTCAATCTACTGTATTTATTATCTATTTTTGGGAGTTGTCATGTTTATCACAAGTTATATTCAAATTGCATGTTTCGAATCGTATGCCGAAAGAATTGTGCACAAATTACGACAGAATTATCTGAAATCGATATTGAGACAACAAATCGAGTGGTTTGACAAGCAGCAGACTGGAAATTTGACAGCCAGGTTGACTGAGTGAGTTTTGGCGGAAGTTTTTGGGGTTGGGAGGGTGTAGAGCGAGAAATTTGGGTCCGGAGCCAAATTTTATGCTCTCCAAGTTCTAGAGCTCAAAAATTCAGCTCTAAAACATTCTGGAGCCGAATGTTATGCTCTCCAAGTTCTAGAGCTCTAAAATTTGCTCCAAAACATTTTGGAGCCAAATTTTGAGCTCTCCAAGTTCTAGAGCTCAAAAATTTAGCTCTAAAATATTCTGGAGCCAAATTTTGAGCTCTCGAAGTGCTAGAGCTCAAAAATTTAGCTCTAAAACATTCTGGAGCCGAATTTTGAGCTATCCAAGTTCTAGAGCTCAAGATTTTGCCCTGAAATGTTTCCTGAGCCAAATTTTATGCTCAACAGGTTCTAGAGATCAAGATTTGGCTCAGAAAACCTTCCTAGGTCAAATTTTAAGCTTTCGAAGTGCTAGAGCTCATAAATTTCAGCTCTAAAACATTTTGGAGCCGAATTTTGAGCTCTCCAAGTTCTAGAGCTCAAAATTTTGCCCAGAAAAACTTCCTAGGTCAAATTTTGAGCTCTTCAAGTTCTAGAGCTCAAAAATTTGGCTGTAAAACATTCTGGAGCCAAATTTTGAGCTCTCCAAGTTCTAGAGCTCAAAAATTTGGCTCTAAAACATTCTGGGGCCGAATTTTGAGCTCTTCCAGATGCTCTTGCTCATTTTTTTCCAATTTTGCAGCGATCTCGAACGTGTTCGTGAAGGTCTTGGTGACAAACTCGCTTTGCTCATTCAAATGCTCTCCGCTTTTGTGGCCGGATATGGAGTTGGGTTCTTCTACAGGTCAGCGTTTTTTTTTATTTTTCAAAATTTCAAAAATATTTTTGACACAAACAAAACCATTAAAAATTTCTCTGAAAAAATAACTTTTATTGGTTTTTTTTTTTGAAAAAAATATAATTATGACTCATTTTTTTGGTTTCGAAAAATAGACAATAATTTCATGAGGACAATTTTAGGGGTTTTAAACGAGCATGGTGACTTGAAAAAAAATTCTAGAAATTTAGCACATCTTGTAGAGCTCAAAATTCTGAGCAGTAAATCTGTTTACACCAAAAATTCTTGATCTACTGGCTCAAAATCAGGACCAAAAATCGATAATTTAGCAAGTGCGCTCTATTGATAATCCTCTTTTTCATCAGAAATTTTAAATTTTTGAGTAGAAAACTTGAAAAATTCACAGTAAATCGATAATTTAGCAAGTGCGCTCTATTGATAACCTGTTTTGAAGTCCGAAATTTTTGTGTACCTGTAGATCAAGAGCTAGAATTTTGGTGTAAACAGGTTTTTGCTCAGAATTTTGAGCTCTACAAGATGGGCTAGGTCTCGAAGCGGAAAATTGAAATTTTAAAGGAACATGGCATCTTGAAAAAATGTTCTAGAAATTTAGCACATCTTGTAGAGCTCAAAATTCTGAGCAGAAAACTATTTTACACTAAAATTCCATCTCTTGATCTACTGGTAGAAAATGGCTTTTGAAAAATTGCGGACTTTAAAACATCATATTTTACGCGCAAAATTTTTGAACCCGATTTTCTACCAGTAGATCAAGTTGGGAATATGTTTTCTGCTCAGAATTTTGAGCTCTACAAGATGAGCCGGGTCTCGAAGCGAAAAAAAATGCAATAATTATTTTTGCAGCTGGTCAATGACCCTTGTAATGATGGGATTCGCCCCATTAATAGTATTATCTGGTGCTTGGATGAGTCGAAGTATGGCTAGCCGAACAAAAGTCGAACAAGAAACATATGCGGTAGCCGGAGCGATCGCGGAAGAAACATTTTCCTCAATTCGAACTGTTCATTCTTTGAATGGTCATAAAAGAGAGCTGGAACGGTTTGGAAATGCACTGGAAACTGGCCGAAAAACTGGAATCGTCAAATATTTTTACATGGGAATTGGTGTGGGATTCTCGAATTTTTGCATGTATGCCAGTTATGCGTTGGCTTTCTGGTACGGTAGTCGAATTATCATCGAGGATCCGACTTTTGATCGTGGTCTCATTTTCACCGTCTTCTTTTCGGTTATGTCGGGAAGTACGGCGCTTGGTGGAGCTCTGCCGCATTTGGGGAGTATTGCGGTTGCGAGAGGGGCGGCGACGACGGTTTTGAGGGTTATTAATTCGGTGAGTTTTTTTCTTCGGTGAAAATGAGTTAGCTCATCTTGTAGAGCTCGAAATTCTGAGCAGAAAACTCTTTTACACCAAAATTCTAGCTCTTGATCTACAGCGAAACAAATTGCGGACCTAGAAACACCATAGTTTACGCGCAGAAATGTAATTTTCAAACTTGATTTTGAGCCCGGTAGATCAAGAGATGGAATTTTGGTGTAAACAAGTTTTCTGCTCAGAATTTTGAGCTTTACAAGTTGTGCTCTAAATTTCTAGAAATTTTTTTTCAAGTGACCATGCTCCTTTAACAAAAGATCAAATTTTGCTCCGAGACCCGGTCCATCTTGTAGAGCTCGAAATTCTGAGCAGAAAACTCTTTTACACCAAAATTCTAGCTCTTGATCTACTGGTGGAAAATGGCTTTTGAAAAATTGCGGACCTAGAAACACCATAGTTTACGCGCAAAAATGTAATTCTCAATTTTGAGCCCAGTAGATCAAGAGATGGAATTTTGGTGTAAACAATTTTTTTGCTCAGAATTTTTAGCTCTACAAGATGTGCTAAATTTCTTTTTAAAAAATTTTTTCAAGTGACCATGCTCCTTTAACAAAAGATCTCAATTTTGCTCCGAGACCCGGCTCATCTTGTAGAGCTCGAAATTCTGAGCAGAAAACCTGTTTGCACCAAAATTCTAGCTCTTGATCTACTGGTGGAAAATGGCTTTTGAAAAATTGCGGACCTAGAAACACCATAGTTTACGCGCAAATTTTTTTTTCAAATTTGTTTTTGAGCCCGGTAGATCAAGAGATGGAATTTTGGTGTAAACAAGTTTTCTGCTCAGAATTTTGAGCTCTACAAGATGCACTAACTTATTTTTATCGAAAAAACAAATTCCCGGGTTCCTTTAAGCTCAAAACATCATATTTTACGCGCCAAAATCAAAAATTTCCAATTTTTTTTCTAAAAAAATTTTTTTTGGAGTGTACATGTACCTTTAAAAACCAACATCAAAATCCATTGATCTCAATTAATTTTCGAAAAAAAAAATGATTTCATTCATTAATTCACTAATTTGATAAGAACTATAGAATACAAAAGAAAATATCATCTTTTTATTAAAAATCATGGGAAAATGATCAAGATCAAGATTTTAGCGCGGGGAAAATGACCCTAAATTAGGCCCTAAATCTACAGTAACCTAGGCTTATGTGGTCTCAAAAAGATCAGAAGAATCTCAATTTTCTAATTTCAGATCCCAAAAATCGATCCATATTCTCTGGAAGGTATCAAATTGTCACAAGTTAAAGGAGACATCAAATTCGAAAATGTGCACTTCAGATATCCATCGCGCAAAGAAATCCCGATTCTACGCGGAATTTCGCTGAATTTGAAAGCTGGCGATAAAATCGCATTGGTTGGATCAAGTGGATGCGGAAAATCGACGATTGTTAATTTGTTGCAAAGGTGAGGGAATTTCTTACTCCGAGACTTGGCTCATCTTGTAGAGCTCAAAATTTGGCTCCGGAAACATTTCAGTGGCTAAATTTTGAGCTGGAGAGCTTGGAGAGCTCAAAATTTGACCTAGGAACGTTTTCTGAGCCAAATCTTGAGCCTTAGAATTTCGAGAGCTCAAAATTCGGCTCCAGAATGATTTAGAGCGAAATTTTTGAGCTCGAGATCTTCGAGAGCTCAAAATTTGACCTAGAAAGGTTTTCTGAGCCAAATCTAGAGCTCTAGAACTTGGAGAGCATAAAATTTGGCTCCAGAATGTTTTAGAGCTAAATTTTAGAGCTCTAGAGCTTGGAGAGCATGAAAAATTGACCCAGGAAAGTTTCCGGAGCGAAATTTTTGAGCTCTAGAACTCGGAGAGCTCAAAATTCGGCTCCAGAATGTTTAAGAGCAAAATTTTTGAGCTCTAGAACTCGGAGAGCTCAAAATTTGGCTCCAGAATGTTTTAGAACTAAATTTTCGAGCTCTAGAACTTGGAGAGCTCAAAATTCGACCTAGGAACGTTTTCTGAGGCAAATCTTGAGCTCTAGAACTTGGAGAGCTCAAAATTCGGCTCCAGAATGTTATAGAGCGAAATTATTGAGCTCGAGAGCTTGGAGAGCTCAAAATTCGGCTCCAGAATGTTTGAGAGCGAAATTACTGAGCTCTAGAACTTGGAGACCTCAAAATTTGACCTAGGAAGGTTTTCTGAGCCAAATCTTGAGCTCTAGAACTTGGAGAGCTGTCCCAAATTCCAAATTCATTTTCAGATTCTACGATCCCACCAAAGGCCGTGTAACCCTCGATGGCTACGACTTAAAAGAAGTCAACGTGCACAGTCTACGCGATCAAATCGGAATAGTTTCCCAAGAGCCCGTGCTTTTTGATGGCACAATTTATGAGAATATTAAAATGGGAAATGAAAATGCGACACATGATCAGGTTATTGAAGCATGCAAAATGGCGAATGCAAATGATTTTATCAAAAGATTACCGGAAAGTTATGGAACACGAGTTGGAGAAAAGGGCGTGCAATTATCTGGCGGGCAGAAACAGAGAATCGCAATTGCTAGAGCTCTTGTGAAAAATCCCAGAATTCTATTGCTCGATGAAGCAACATCAGCACTAGATACTGAAGCCGAGCAAGAAGTTCAAACAGCTCTGGATCAGGCACAAACTGGAAGGACTACGATTACTGTAGCACATCGATTATCAACAATTCGAAATGTTGATCAGATATTTGTGTTCAAAGCCGGAAATATTGTGGAGAATGGAAATCATGAGGAATTGATGGCGAAGAAGGGCGTTTTCTTTGAGATGACACAGGCACAGGTTTGGGATTTTTATTGGAATTTTCATTTAAAAAGGCCTGGCACAGATTTTCTGATCATTTTGATACTAAATTTGATATCAGATCATTTTCCTGATCATTTTGATAGGAAATGAGCTGGGATTTAAGCCACGCCCCTTTTTCTGCAAGCCTCGCACGGTTTTTCTGATCATTTTGATATGAAATAGGATGGGATTTAAGCCACGCCCCTTTTTCTGCAAGCCTCGCACGGTTTTTCTGATCATTTTGATATGAATTAAGCCACGCCCCTTTTTCTGCAAGCCTCGCACGGTTTTCAAAAATCTGTAGATTTTGAAAATTAGTCCTAGAATCTACAGTAACCTAGGTTTATTTGGTATCAGAAAAATCAGAAAAGTTCCCAGAATCTATGGGCCCAGATTCAGATTTTTCAGAAATTTGTAGATCACAAAAATTGGGGCCCTAAATCTACAGTAACCTAGGCTTATCTAGTCTCAAAATATCACATTTTTCGGAAATTTTTAGATCACAAAAATTGGGCCCCAAATCTACAGTAACCTAGGCTTATTTGGTCTCAAAAAAACCCGATTTTCAGGTTGTTCGCCAAGAGCAAAAAGAAGCTGAAAAATTGGAGAAAGATGAGGATTTGAAGAGTGAAACAAAGTCGAATGTGAGCCGAAAAAGTTCGGCGAGAAGTGCGATTTCGATTGCGACAAGTATTCATGCTTATCATGAAGAGGTTGAGGTTGGTTTTGAGAGCATTGCTCATATTAAACTCCATTTTTTCATTTTTGCTCATATTAGCCTTTGAAATACCCATTTTTCGAGCATTGCTCATATTAATTCAGGAAATCTGGGACCTTGACCCGGAACCCACGCACCATTTAATCACCCAAATTCGATCAGCATTTGGTGGTGTAAGTTTGGCTAACTTCTAACTTTTTTGGTATGAGTTATGCTAACTTCTAACCGATTTTCCAAAAATCCTGAAGGATTTTGAGTTCCTCTAACTTTTTGCATGTTTTTTCACTAATTTTCAGCCTAAAAAATCCCAAATTCAATTTTTTTCCAGGAATGCAAAGCTCCGCCCACTTCGCTCTCGAAAATCTTCCGCTTCAACCGCGAAAATATGGGCTATTTTTTTGGCGGTCTATTTGGAGCTGTGATTTTTGGCTCGGTTACCCCGGTTTTTGCCATGGTTTATGCGGAAATATTTAATGTGAGTTGCGGGGCACAGAAAAGGGGGCGTGGCCTGATTTTAGAGCAGGCTCCGCACACTTTTTTATCCTCCTAAGCTTTCCAAACTCCCTAAGACTTTTAGGCACTTACCCTAACTCTCTAAGCTTCCAAAATTGTTCCCAAGCTTCCAAAATACTTACCCTAACTCCCTAAGCTCCCAAAATTGTTCCCAAGCTTCCCCTAAGCTCTCCGAGCCCACAAAAATCTTGCAGGTCTACTCGGAACCGCCCGAAAAAATGGCTCAAGACGTGCTCTTCTGGTGTGTGATGTTCCTCGTAATGGGCCTAGTGTTTTTCGTCGGATTCTTCATTTCTGCCAATTGTTTGGGACGTTGTGGAGAGGCGCTGACAAAGAAGCTGCGATTTGAAGCATTCAAAAATCTGATGCGACAGGATATTGCATTTTATGATGATTTGAGGCATGGAACCGGAAAATTGTGTACCAGGTAGGCGATTTTTGGAATCTCTGGGGGATTTGGAGCATTTTGAGCCCAAACATGATATAGTTTTGATGAATTTTGAAAAAGTGCACCATTTTGGAGCCGAAAGTTAACGGAACTTGAGATTCTAGTGATTTTTAGAAGTGCTCATGGTGATTTTCGGATTCTCCGTGAAATTTGGAGCATTTTGAGCCCAAACATGATATGTTTTGGTGAATTTTGAAAAATTGCACCATTTTGTCGCCAAAATGGTGCAATTTTCAAAATTTCACCAAAATATATCAATATGGGTGTCTAAAAATCCGAAATTTCACGCTGAATTTGAATTTTGGTATGGAAACATGTGAAAATCAAGAATTCTCCGGGTTTTCCGAATTTTGAAAAATTTCAGAACTTTTAACATTACAGTTTAAGAGTTCTAGGAGTTTAAAGGATTTTTGAGTATTTTTTCGTGATTTCTGAGGTTCTGGCGAGAATTTTGAGCCCAAACATGATGAAGTTTTGATAAATTTTGAAAATTGCACCATTTTGGCACCAAAATGGTGCAATTTTCAAAAATTTTCAGAACCATATCAATATGGAGCTCAAAATTCTCGAAAAAATCTCAGGAGCAACTCTAAATCTATAAAAACTCTTGAAAATTTCTAGAACTTTTTGAAAATTCAAATTTCAGATTCGCGACCGATGCTCCAAATGTTCGCTACGTCTTCACCCGTCTCCCCATAGTTATCGCAAGTGTTGTCACAATTTTCGGAGCTCTCGCCGTCGGTTTTATTTATGGTTGGCAATTGGCATTGGTTCTAGTTGTGATGGTCCCATTGATTGTATTGAGTGGATATTATGAGATGCAAATGAGATTTGGAAAACAGATTCGAGACACGGAATTGTTGGAAGAGGCCGGGAAAGTGAGTTTTTTGAATTCCTGGGGAGATTTGGAGTTTTTTGACACCCATATTGATATACTTTGGGAAAACTTGGAATTTTGGAGCATTTTCGAGCCAGAAGTTAAAGGAACTCTGGTTTCTAGAAAGTTTTAGGGTTTCTCATGGTGATTCTTGGATTCCTTGTGAAATTTCGCGATTTTAGACACCCATATGTATATAGTTTGGTGAAACTTGAAATTTTGAAGTTTTTAGCCCTAAATCCATCAAAATCTATCATTTTTGGGCTGAAAATGCTCCAAATCACCCCAGAAGCCTGAAAAATTCAATTTCAGATCGCCTCGCAAGCTGTCGAACACATCAGAACCGTGCAATCTCTCAATCGCCAGGAGCAATTCCACTTCACATACTGTGAATATTTACGCGAACCCTATAAGACTAACCTGAGACATGCTCAAACCTATGGAGCAGTTTTTGCATTTTCGCAAAGTCTGATTTTTTTCATGTATGCCGCCGCTTTTTGGTTGGGAAGCATTTTTGTGAATAATGGAGAGATGCAACCGATTGATGTTTATAGGTTGGTCAGGGGAAGTTCTGAGGGTTTTTGAGAGTTCGGATGGATTTTTTGGGATTCCTGAGGTTCTGGCGAGAATTTTGAGCCCCATATTGATATAGTTTTGAAGAATTTTTGATTTTCACCATATAGTTGCACCATTTTGGCGCAAAAATGGTGTGATTTTCAAAATTCACCAAAACTATATCAATATGGTGCTTAAAATTTGCCAAATTTCATGAATAATCCGAAAATCACTGTGAAAACCCCTCAAACTCGGAATTTCTCTTGAAATCTCCAATGTTTAGAAAAATTTTGAGATCGAGAATTTTTCAATTTGAGAGTTCTAGAGGTTTTTTTGTATTTTAAAGAGTTTTTCGAGATTCCTGAGATCCTGGCGAGAATTTTGAGCCCCATATTGATATAGTTTTGGAGAATTTTCGATTTTCACCATATAGTTGCACCATTTTGGTGCAATTTTCAGAATTTATCAAAACTATATCAATATGGGGCTCAAAATTCAGCAAATATCACGGAGATTCCGAAAATCACTGTGAAAACACCCCAAACTCAAATAATTCTCTTGAAATCGAATTTTTAGAAAAATTTTGAGATCTAGAATTTTTCGATTTGAGAGTTTTAGATGTTTTCTTGTATTTTAAAGAATTTCCCCAGATTCCTGAGGTTTCTACGGGAATTTTGAGCCCCATATTGATATAGTTTTGAAGAATTTTCGATTTTCACCATATAGTTGCACCATTTTGGTGTAATTTTCCAAATTTATCCAAAGTATATCAATATGGGACTTAAAATTCACCAAATCTCATGAAAAATCAAAAAATCGCTGTGAAAACACCCCAAACTCAAAGTTTCTCTTGAAATCTAATTTTTAGAAAAATTTTGAGATCGAGAATTTTTCAATTTGAGAGTTCTAGAGGTTTTCTTGCGTTTTTGAAGGGTTTCTTGGGATTCCTGAGGTTCTAGGGAAAATTTTGAGCCCCATATTGATATAGTTTTGAAGAATTTTTGATTTTCACCATATAGTTGCACCATTTTTGGTGCAATTTTCAAAATTTACTCAAAATCTATCAATGTGGGGCTCAAAATTCATCAAATTTCACGGAGATTCCGAAAATCACTATAAAAACCAATGAAAGTATCTAGAACCTTGAGTTCCGTTAACTTCTGGAGCTAAAATGGTGAAATTTTCAAAATATACCAATATGGGTGTCAAAATTCAGCAAATTTTACGAGGAATTCAAAAATCATCACCAAAAATGTTTGCAGAGTCTTCTTCGCTATCAGTTTTTGCGGACAAATGATCGGAAACACCACCTCATTCATCCCAGATGTTGTAAAAGCTCGTCTCGCCGCCTCTCTTCTCTTCTATCTCATCGAACATCCAACAGCAATCGATTCATTGTCCGAAAATGGAGTTGTTAAACCGATTTCGGGTAACTTGTCCATCAGAAATATTTGGTTCAATTATCCGACGAGAAAAGAGACCAAGGTTTTGCAAGGATTTTCGTTGGATGTGAGTTTTTCCTGATTTTTGAGGGATTTTTTGAGATTCCTGAGGTCTTTACGAGATTTTAGACACCCATAATGATATACTTTTGTGGAATTTTGAAATTTTGGAGCATTTTAGAGCCAGAAAGTTAACGGAAGTCAGGGTTCTAGTTATTTTCAAGGCTTCTCAGGTTGATTTTTGGATTCCCCGTGAAATTTGGAGATTTTAGACACCCATTTTGATATATTTTGGTGAATTTTTGGAAATGGGACCGTCTGGAAAAAGGTCCAATTTTGAAAAACCCATCAAAGTATATCAATATGGGTGTCAAAAATCTCCAAATTTCAGGGGGAATCCGAAAATCAACCTGAAAAGCCTTAATACTATCTAGAACGCTGAGTTCCGTTAACTTTCCGCTCCAAAATGATGTAATTTTCAAAACCCACTCAAAGTATATACATATGGGTGTCAATAATCTCCAAATTTCACGGGAAACTCGAAAATCACCATGGTTTTGCATGAAATTTGAAATTTTCTGAAGATTTCTAGAAGATTCTGGGGTGTTTTATGGGATTCCTGATTGTGAGGGAATATCGAGGTTTTAGACACCAATATTGATATATTTCAGTGGATTTTTGAAAATTGCACCATTTGGAGCCCAAAAATCCACCAAAATTCATGATTCTTGGGTTCAAAATGCTCCAAATCGCCCTTTGAGCACCAAAAAAATCACATTTTTTCTTCCAGATCAAACCCGGTCAAACTGTGGCGCTGGTCGGACATTCCGGATGTGGAAAATCGACAATTATGGGACTTCTGGAGCGATTCTACAATCAGGATAAGGGAATTATTGTGAGTTTTTGCCTGGAAATCCTGGTTTTTGGCCAGAAATCCGTGATTTTTGGCTAGAAATCATGATTTTTGTCCAGATATCATGATTTTTGGTCAGAAAATCATGATTTTTGGCTCAAAATCCATCATTTTTGACCAATTTTCCTCCAGAAACCCGGAAAAACCCCCCAAATTTTCCCAGATGGTCGATGGTGACAACATCCGCAACCTGAACATCAGTTCATTGCGTCAACAAGTTTGTATCGTCTCCCAAGAGCCCACACTTTTCGATTGCACAATTGGCGAGAATATTTGCTATGGAATGAACAGGAATGTGACGTATCAAGAGGTGGTGGAGGCCGCCAAAATGGCCAATATTCATAATTTCATTTTGGGCCTGCCCGAGGTACGGTTTTTGTGGAATTGTGCCCGAAAATTGGGATTTTTTGAGCCAAAATTGATGATTTTTGGCGTATTTTAGGTCAGGGTACTGTTACAGTAACCCGAACTGCAAAAAAATGGCTAATCAATGTATTTTGCAGTTCGAAATACTGTATTTTTTGGAAAATCTACAGTAATCCTAGCCCTCATTGATTTATAGAAATTCCGGAACTACAGTAATCAAACTGCAAATGTTGAATTACAGTACTCCGAACTGCAAAACATCTAGGCTTTTTTGATTTTCGAAAAAAAAGTTCCAAAATTTCTTGGGCATCAAAATTACAGTATCCCAGACTGCAAGTGTTGAATTACAGTAGTCCGAACTGCAAAACATCTAGGCTTTTTTGATTTTCGAAAAAAAGTTCCAAATTTCTTGGGGATCAAATCTACAGTAATCGGGACTGCAAAATAAAAGCTACAGTACTCCAGACTGCAAAACATCTAGGCTTTTTTTGATTTTCAAAAAAAAAAGTTTCAAAATGTCTGAGGATCAAAACTACAGTACCCCTAGGCTCATTCGGTATCAAAAAATTCCGAATTTTTTTTAGACTCTACAGTACCCCCGCCTACTGTATATCAAAAAAAATCCCAAATTTCATTTTTTGCAGGGCTACGACACTCCGGTCGGTGAAAAAGGCACACAACTTTCGGGCGGTCAAAAACAGCGAATCGCAATTGCTCGAGCTCTCGTCAGATCACCTTCTGTTTTATTGTTGGATGAGGCGACAAGTGCTTTGGATACAGAGTCTGAAAAGGTGAGGGGCCTAGAAAAGCCTGAAATCTGGGCTTAAACCAATTTTCAGGCCGAAAAAAGAGCTTTTTTAGCCTGGAAATGGCCTAAAAGCCTGATTTTCAGCCTAAAATCCTTCAAATATTTTGCAGATAGTCCAAGAAGCGCTGGACACAGCTCGCGAAGGTCGCACATGCATCGTAATAGCTCACCGCCTGAGCACAATTCAAAATAGTGACGTCATAGCTGTAGTGAGCGATGGTCGAATTGTTGAAAAAGGAACACACGATGAGCTCATCTCAAAATCGCCGATCTATAAAAAATTGTGCGAATCGCAGAAAATTGTCGAAAATCAATAAACGGGACACTTTTTGTATCATTGCTCATATTAGTTTTGCGGATAGCGAAAATATTGCATTTTTTGTATATTTATTTTTTGAAAATGAACATTTTGAACTTCAGAAGCTACCGTAATCCCTGGTTACTGTATCTTATATTGAAGCCTCCTTTTAGAATCAATTTGAAGGGCTTCAAATTGATTCTAAAACCTCAGAAGCTACAGTAATCCTGGTTACTGTATCTCTAGAATTTTGTGAAGAGCTTCAAATTGATGCTGAAATTTTCCTGAAACCTCAGAAACTACAGTAATCCTGAATGAAAATTTTATTTAGGGCTTTTTTGCCAAATTAACTCAAAAACCAAGTACTGTAGTCTAGATACAGTAATCCAAATTCGAAATAATTATTATTTGGTGCATAAACAGGCGAGACTGGAATTTTCAGATTTTATTTTTTTGAGAAAAAAAAGAGGCTGGAACTCACTTTCATTCAAAATGCATTTTTAATCAAAATTGTTTTGTTTCCAATTTTGAAAATACAGATTTTGCAGAAAAACTGTCAACAACTCGTGATTTCGCAACATCATATCAATTTATTTGTCAATTTCCCCTGATAAAACCCATCTTTTTGGCAATTGATAAATATTTTTATAAATATTTTTGATCAATTTTTGGCCAAAATTCGACCAATTTTCGTTTTTGACCAACAAAAAATGGTCAATTTTTGGTCAACCTCCCAGGACCAGTGTACTTATGTAGATATGTTCTTCAGGATGATACCATTTGTGAGTGATGATAATAAATTGAGATGGAAGTTTGAGAATTTGCGAAATTTGAATGAGATTGCTGAATATAGTGAAAAATTGGAGACTGGACCAATTTCATGGTTGGTTTGTTGGTTTTTTGAATTTGAATTCAATAGAAATCGTATATTTCAGGCAAATCAACATTGCGAAGAAAATGACAGATGGCATAAATTATCTTGTAATATACTTGAAATATTCAGGAGAAAATGAATTGCAACAAAATTGGTTTTGTCGAGCAAAAAGAACATTTGAATTGATAAATCAAACTGGACAGAACTGTACATCTGAAGAAACCTCCAAAATCTATGATCATTTTAACATTAGTTGGGGATGGTCTAAATTTTACAAATGGGATAATTTGATGCGATTTGGATTTATGAAAAATGATTCGATTATTATTGAAGTTGATTTGAGTTTCAAATATTACGATTTCTCGAAAATTCCAAATTTGACTGATATTATTCTCAAAATCAAAGATACTGAATTTCACACAAGCAAAGCGGTTGGTTTTTAAAAACTAAATTAAATTTTTTTTTCAATTCATGGAAGATTTTTCAGATTCTCTGCACACAATCCGAATATTTTTATGATTTATTCGTGAATAAAAACAATACAAAAACTGTGATTGAAATCGAAGATGTTGAAATCGCTGATTTTCGACAATTTCTAGCCTCATTTTATCCGCATTTTGATGAAATTGATGAAAAAAATCATGAAATTCTATGGAAATTGACGGAAAAATTCAAAGTTTTAGCATTGCAACGGAACTGTGAACGATTTTGGTTGAAAAATACTGAGATTAAATTGCAAAATGCTGAAAAACAAGATGATTCTAATTTATTGGTAAGATTTATCAAAATTTCTCTGAAAATTGGATATTTTCAGAAAGAATTCATTGAATCATTGGATAGTGTTCAGAAAATCAGACTTTTTCAAACTTCAGATGTTTATCGTGATTCAAAAGATTCGACAAAACATGCAATTATTGATCGAGTTTTGGAATTAATTGATTAATAAATAAATTCTGAACTGGAAATGTGCCAAAAAAGATTTGCAGCTCAAAAAAAGTCGGTCCAATCTCAAATATTTTTTGTTTTCAAATTTTTTTTTTTTTTTTTTTTTTTTAATTTTTTTTTTTTAATTTTTTTTTTCAAAAAATTTTTTTTTTTGTTAAATTTTTTTTTTCAAAAAAATTTTTTTTTTTTAATTTTTTTTTTCAAAAATTTTTTTTTTTGTTAAATTTTTTTTTTCAAAAATTTTTTTTTTGTTAATTTTTTTTTTTTTAATTTTTTTTTCAAAAAAAATGTTTTTTTTCAAATTTTTTTGCGTCCTGTGTAATAATTGTATGATATAATCACACAAGAAGTTCCTCTAACTAATTTCGAAAAAAAAAGTTGAATGTTTCTTATCACAACATACGACAAGAGTGTAGTTTAAATAAAAAATGGGTTGTATCCCTTTTTTTTCAATTGATCAATCGAGATTTTGTAATATTTATTGACTTTTTTTTAATGGGTTTTTTTTTGCAAACTTTTTTTTTCAAACCTTTGTTTCTTGAGGTTCAAACTTCTAGCTTCATAGAATGATACCATTTGTGAGTAATGATGAAAAATTGAAACTATGATTAAGATTTTGAATTTTGTTTGAGCTCTTGATGTTTATATTCTTTGTTGAAAACTCAATTTCTAGAGTGAATAAGGTTTTTCAAAAGTTCCAAATATAAAATAGAAATTGTGCCGGATTCTTGTTGAAAACATGATATTTTATGGCGAAAATTGAAGCTTTCCACTGTTTTCGTTGATTTTTTTTCGCATGAAAACCAGTCTCTCAGATCAAAAAATATCAAATAGAATCAGAAATGATTTTGAAGATGTTGATGTTGTTGGTGTTTGTTCAATCCTCCTTGGTGGATTCGTGTAATGTTCGTCCGAAAGGAACTTGTGAAGATAAATGGACATTAGAAAAGTATAAGCAGACTCAGCCAAAATTAGGAGTTGTTTCGAAATCTTGTGAATGAGAAAGCAACTGTCAAACTCGTGATTTTTCCAACATTGATTATTTTTTGTGTCAACTTCCACTATAAAATAACCTCAGTTTTACTGATAAGGCATTCAATAATCAAACAAATCGATGCATTTTTCTTTATAAGTTTTGATTATTTTATTATAAATTATTTTTTCAGAATGATACCATTTGTAAGTAGAAATAATAATACAATTAAATGGACATATGATAATTTGAATATTTGGGATGGAAAACAAAAATGGAGTGAAATTGTGAAGATTGGACCAACTAAATGGTATGTTTTTTGTTTTGAATGAATTATAATGAGGTAATTATACTTTAGGAGAATCATAATAGAAAAGAATATGATAGATGGCATAAATTATCTTGGAATATACTTGACATATTCAGAAGAAAATGAATTGGAGAAAAATTGGTTTTGTCGAACAAATACAACAATCAAATTGATTAATCAAACTGGACAGAAATTGAATATAACTAAAGCAGATACTGCAATTCATAATCATATTGTCCGTAGTTGGGGATGGAATCAATTTTATAAATGGGATGATTTGATCAAGAATGGATATATGAAGGATTATTCGATTGTTAGTGAAATTGAAATGAGTTTTAAATATTACAATTTCTCCAAAAATATTCTGAATTCAACTGATATTATTCTTAAAGTCAACGATACTGAATTTCATACAAATAAAGCGGTTAGTTTCGGAAAATATAATATTCTCCAAAAAAAAATGGAATATTTTCAGATATTGCGCAAAAAATCTGAATATTTCAATGATTTATTCGCGAACGAAAACAATCAACAAACTATTATTGAGATAAATAATGTTGAAATTGCTGAATTTCGCTATTTTTTCGCTTCATTTTATCCACTTTTTGATGGTGTTAATGAAGAAAGTTACGAATATCTCAGCAAATTTGCCGAAAAATACAAAATTCCCGTATTGCAAGCAGATTGTGAACAATTTTGGTTGGAACGTTTTGAAGTTTCATTAGAGAATGCTGACAGAGTTAATGATCCCGATTTGTTGGTGAGATTTAGAAATTTTTAGAAAAAAATATTTGGATATAAAATATTTGTAGGATCAATTCATCACATCTCTGGACACTATTCAAAAAATTCGAGTTATTCAAACTTCTCAATTTTATCCAAAGTTGAGAGAATCAACAAGAACTATGATTGAAAATCGAGTAATGGAGTTGAATACAAATACAGCTAATCAATTAGGAATTAATTTTGAGGCATTTTGTTTATAATTTTTGAAAATATAGAGATTTTGAAGGTTTAGCTGCTTGTCTAAAAGATCTACAAGGCGTGGCTGCTTAGCAGAGCAATTTACAAGGCGCTGCTGCTTGTCAAAAATATATCCACAAGGCGTAGCTGCTTGAAATTAAAGGGTTTTTCAGAAAATAGAGGGGTTTTTTTTTAAATTCATTTTTCATTTAACATGAGCAATCCCCCTATTTTTTTTATTTTTCTCTGCACTCTCTCTCCTCTTTTGTATTTTTGCATTTTTTTACACAATAAGTAAAACACCGTGTAAATAATATAAATACTGGTATGTAAAATAATCCCCCCACGTGAACTTCTAACCTGACACCTCTGCGCATTTTTTGTCGCGCGCGCAGATTTCGCGCGCGAAAATCCAGATTTTGTGAGAGAGTATGGGGATTTGAGAGAGACGCAGACATGCGCTATTTGTCAATGGTAAATCTGTCAAAAAATGTGTGATCGCTAGGATTTTGCGGCGGTGGCGGAGATTTTTCACACATTTTTTGGATTTTCCTCTGCCTCATGAACTGATGAATAAAATACGCGCGGTTATACCATCATGGAGGAAAAAGTGAGTGGTACTGTAGATTTAGGGTACTGTAGGTAGGGGTACTGTAAGGAGGAGATAAGTGAACTTTAATCTAGTTAGGATTACTGTAAGGCCGAAAATTTGTTTCAAAACTACACTGTAGTCAAGTCTCTAGAGACTGAATTAGAGATTTTGGAAAAAATTTTTAATGTTGAGTTGAGGTGAGAGATACTGTAGTGTATATTCTAACCTATATTACTATTAAAACTACACTCTAGTTTGGGTTACTGTAGGTTTTGAATCTATGGAATTGTGGGTTTTTGATAAATTCAAAATTCTAGAGATTTCAAACTACACTCTAGTTCAGGTTACTGTAGATTTTGGATCATTTTCTAGTTTTCGAAACTATACTTTTCCCTAAATTCTGAGGTTACTGTACATTTTAAAGGAACATAGCTACTTGTTTCAAATTCATCACTAAAAATGAGAAACTACACTCTAGTTTGGATTACTGTATTGCATGATCTTTGGAAATTCTAGATTCCTACAGTAACCTCCAAATTTCAATAGCCAAACTAGAGTGTAGTCTACAGTAATCCACCGTACTCTTTTTTTGCAGAAACTACTATGATGAAGAGGGTTATTCGAGCTCATCAGAGCTCTCAAAAACCCTCTCCGATTCGCAATTTATTCTGCGGCCCAGCTCGAATTATTATTCTGTAAGTCTTTTTGCTCCAAGAGCTCCAAGACCTGAAATGTGCAATTTTTGTTACAGTTTTCCGAGGGTACTGTAAGTTCGGCAAAGTCTCGAGATTTCGAAGCGGATTCTGAATCGAATGCTCCTCCAAAATTCCGAGAAAATTCGAAAAATATCCCAAAAATGATGCCAACCCTGACTTCAATTCGACATTTTATGACTGAACATTATGATGATTTGACTACGATAGAAGAGATGACTACGGTAGATCAAGAGGGTACTGTAGATGAAGAGGAAGAAGAGGAGGATACTGTAGTTGAGGATATTGAAGAGTATTATGAAGAATATGACGAGGAAGAGGAGGATGATGATACTACGGTAACCCCCTTTAAAAAATGTGCATTGCTCATATTATAATTTCAGATCGATGTTCCTTTAACACGAAAAGTTGGGGAATTTAAGAATTCGAGCTTCCGAAGTTTTCCATTTTCATATCGAATTGTGGAGAGTGAGATGAATAAGCTTTTTGATATGTTGCAGGTGGATGAACAGATTCCGAGGTGAGTTAAGCAGTCCCAAAATTCTCTGCTTCTCTGCGTCTCTCACAAATACTACAGCGAGAGATAGTTAAGCAGTCCCAAAAAAATAAGCAGTCTCAAAAAAATAAGCAGTCCCAAAAAATAAGCAGTCCCAAAAAATAAGCAGTCCCAAAAAATAAGCAGTCCCAAAATTCTCTGCTTCTCTGCGTCTCTCGTGAAATGTACAGCGAAAGATAGTTAAGCAGTCCCAAAAAAATAAGCAGTCCCAAAAAATAAGCAGTCCCAAAATTCTCTGTTTCTCTGCGTCTCTCGTGAAATGTACAGCGAGAGATAGTTAAGCAGTCCCAAAGTGAAAATACTCTTTGGGACTGCTTAACTATCTCTCGCCATAGGTTTTTTGAGAGACGCAGAGAAGCAGAGAATTTTGTGTCTGCTTATTTTTGTGCATTGTCTGCCTTGTGAGCAAAAAATCATGAGTTATCAAAATCGGTTCATTTTTTTCAAAATTCAGATCAAAAGTGTAATGTTTCTATTGTGCTTGTGCTGTCAAATGTTAGTTGTTGAGGGAGTCTGATTTCAGTTTTAAAAGCCCTTGATTATTGTCTAGAAGTACTGTAGTATAGATACAGTAGTCTCCACAAATACCTGTAATATTTGAGATAACATAGAAAATCGGTTAAAAAACAAAACTAACCTTATATTATATAAATAACCGGCCCGAGCTGGGAATAAACTTAGGGTAGCCCATAATCAATTAAGGTTATCCGTTAAAAGTAGAACATCAGGAGCATTAGTCGACTCTTCTTCGATGTAGTCAGAGCGATTATTAAATGTTCTGATGATTATTATCTTGTTTGACCATCTGCTGATGTTAAATATTTTAAAAATATGTAGAAAAAAAGTACTGTAGTGTAGATACAGTTGTGTCCAAAAATATACAAATGAATATTTTTTTTAGAAAATAAATAGGTCACATGAAAAGGGCGGAGTTAGGTTATCTTCTGCATCATCTTACTGTAATCAATCACAGAATTGTGTGAAAAATGCCACGTCATAATTATATCTTACAATTAATGTAATTAAAAATAATTGTGAACAGTACTTTTAGCAGACACAAAAATAAGCAGTCCCAAAAAATGAGCAGACACCAAAATAAGCAGACACAAAAATAAGCAGTCCCAAAAAATAAGCAGTCCCAAAAAATAAGCAGACACAAAAATAAGCAGTCCCAAAAAATAAGCAGTCCCAAAAAATAAGCAGTCCCAAAAATAAGCAGTCCCAAAAATAAGCAGACACAAAAATAAGCAGTCCCAAAAAATAAGCAGTCCCAAAAAATAAGCAGTCCCAAAAATAAGCAGACACAAAAATAAGCAGTCCCAAAAAATAAGCAGTCCCAAAAAATAAGCAGTCCCAAAAATAAGCAGTCCCAAAAAATAAGCAGTCCCAAAAATAAGCAGTCCCAAAAATAAGCAGTCCCAAAAAATAAGCAGTCCCAAAAATAAGCAGACCCAAAAAATAAGCAGACACAAAAATAAGCAGTCCCAAAAAATAAGCAGTCCCAAAAAATAAGCAGTCCCAAAAAATAAGCAGACACAAAAATAAGCAGTCCCAAAAAATAAGCAGTCCCAAAAAATAAGCAGTCCCAAAAAATGAGCAGACACAAAAATAAGCAGTCCCAAAAAATAAGCAGACACAAAACGCATAGATTGCTCATATTAGATACTGAAGGTTGCTCAGGTTATACCAAAATTCCACTCATTGCTCATATTATCCCTCAATTTATTTTCAGCGGCTCTGGAACCCAACGTCAAAAAAAGCTATCAATAAAAGAGCCAATCTCAAAAATCTACTACCATGATCCGTCAAAAACCGAAACTTTGGACTACAATCCGAATCCTAAGCCTAAGAATAAGCCTAAATCAAGCCTGACTCGAATCGAAAGTATACCAAAAGGGATTCTCAAAAAATCCACGAGTTTTGCGATTTACGAAGAAATCGATGGTGATCATTTGGAACCGATGCCTGTTGATATACGGCCTGATTTACCGGACCGAAAACCGATTAGGGCTTGGGATTATTGGTAGGCTTTTTTCAGGCTTTTCAGGCCCAAAACCCTCTATTTTTGCAGCACAACAATCGAAAGACGAAAAAAATTGCCAAGTTTGCACCAGTCCAACTCTTTCGCCTCGTATTTTTTGAGAAAAATTAATTTTTGAAAATTTTTTTACCTAGCCATACTTACTCTTGTACATTTATAAAAACTTCCTTCCTATTCCCAAAAAAAAATTTATTTGCTTTTTTTCTCTGCGCCTCTCTCTCTCGCTCACTCCTTTTTTAGATGAGCTTTTTTCTGACTGACCAACAAAAATTTCGCAATTTTCTCTTTTTTTCCGCGCACCCCAAGAAAGAGAGGAAAATTGGTGTAAAACGAATTATTTTTTTTGTTTTCTAAAGATTTTTGTGTTTACATTTTATTAACCCCCAACTATGAATGTATAAGTACGATTTGTAATAAATTTTGTGTGAATAATAAACTATTATGTACTTTTTTGGGTTTTGTTTACTTTGAAATTGAGACGCATACACACTTTTCCGGGTTTCTTTCCAAATTTTCATCGATTTTACATTAAAATTGCGTTGCTCATATTATACTGAAATATGCAGTCCCAAAAATCTCTGCTTCTCTGCGTCTCTCAAAAAATCTGCAGCGAGAGATAAATAAGCAGTCCCAAAAATCTCTGTTTCTCTGCGTCTCTCAAAAAACCTGTGGCGAGAGATAAATAAGCAGTCCCAAAATGAAAATCATCAGTTGTTTATGAGAGACGCAGAGAAGTAGAGAAATTTGGGACTGCTTATTATTTTTGGGACTGCTTATTTTTTTGGGACTGCTTAACTATCTCTCGCTGTAGATTTTATGAGAGACGCAGAGAAATTTGGGACTGCTTATTTGTTTTTTTTTCGGATTTCTTTTCTTTATGACAAAAAATGTGCCCTTGAACCAGAAAATTATACAATCCCCTCAATTTCACAGTTTTTTATGAATCATAAAAGTAAAACAGATTTCAAAACATACATTTTATTTTTTTTTTCAAAAAAAAACTTTCCAACACAATTTTTCCTTATCACTTGTTATATTATTATTGACATTTGTTATTTTTCCTGCTAACTTTTATTTTTTGAAAAAATGAATTCTTCTACTAGAACTAGTAATAAACCCACGTCATCATTATCTTCAGGAGGAGCTATTCAAAAACCAAAAGAAAAACCAAGCACCGTGAAATTCCTCTCGTCACGGCCTCTACGTGACCCAGATTATTTTTCGTTCCCCGTGGCAGCTCAGCAAAAACAAAAACAAGGTATTTCAGATTTTCGAAATTCTAGCATCTCTCTCTCTCTGTAATTTATTTTCTAGTCAACAAAAAAGTGAGCCAAAAAATGATGGAAATTGAGCAAAAAGAAGGCGATTTTGGAAGATTGGTTTGGATTTCGGATCCAGTGGATGGTTTTGTGCTCGCAAGAATCAGGGATATTTCACAGGATGGTTTTGAGTTGCAAATTGAGAAGAGTGGAGAAATGGTAGGGATTTGGAGAGCCTTGGAAGCTTCTAGACCTAATTTTCAAGTTCCAGAAGCTTCTAGACCTAGTTTTGAAGCTTCAGATTCTTCTAGACCTAATTTTGAAGCTTCAGAAGCTTCTAGACCTAATTTCTAAAAGTGAACAGTGACGAAGCACACAAAAATCGTCTGCAATTGCGCGTCAATTCATGTGTTTGTCGAAAGTGTGTGAATTTTCATTGTTTTTCACGTTTTTCAAGCCAAAACCGTGAAATTTTGAATTTTCAAGAACTTTTTCATGATTATTGAGTGAAAAAGGAGCAGATTGATATATTTTATGTTGTGTTTTCGAAATATTGCTCACGTTAATTTTGAAAACGCTGAAAATTGCTTATTTCAAGATTTCTAATCACAGAATCTTCTCCTTTTTCATTTTGTGTGGTAATTATGCCCTAAATTCAGTTTTTTGCTTGAAAAGGCTGAAAAACGAGAAAAACACACAGAAAATTCAAACGTGCCGCTTGTTCGCTAGAGCGCGTTTGCCTCCGAAGCTCCCAAAACTATTCGAAATCAATTTTTCCCCAATTTCCAGGTCAAACGAAAATACGACGAGACTTTTGCTTGCGAAGATGATCTCAACAAATCTGTCGAAGACAATTGCGCTCTAATGCACTTGAATGAGGCAACTTTGTTAGCAAATTGTAAAAAGCGATATGAAAATCAGAAGATTTATGTGAGTTTTTTCTAAGGATCTTAAGGACTTACCCTAACTCTAACCCTATTTTCAGTCATATGTTGCCAATATTTTGATCTCAATCAATCCCTACGAACAAATCCAGGATTTCTACGGCCCGGCCCAAATCCAGGCCTATCGCGGCAAATCCTTAGGTCAAAAAGAGCCCCATATTTTCGCGATCGCCGATAAATCCTATCGCGAAATGCGTCGTCATCAAACATCGCAAAGCATCATTGTGTCGGGTGAATCGGGAGCCGGAAAAACCGAGTCGCAAAAAGCGGTGCTCAGATATTTGTGTGAGAATTGGGGAGAGCGTTCGGGACCCATTCAGCAACGTCTTCTCGAGACCAACCCGATTTTGGAGGCTTTTGGAAACGCCAAAACCCTACGCAACAATAATTCGTCGCGTTTCGGAAAGTTTGTGCAAATTCATTTTTCCGACGCCGGAAATGTTGCTGGCGGATTCATTTCGCATTATTTGCTGGAGACTTCGAGAATTTGTAGACAATCGGAAGGCGAGAGAAATTATCACATTTTTTATCAATTGATTGCCGGCGCGAGCAAGGATTTGTATGAGCATTTGAAGTTGGCGCAAGCCGGAGCGTTTAATGTGAGTTAAGCAGTCCCAAAATTCTCTGCTTCTCTACGTCTCTCACAGAATTTACAGCGAGAGATAAATAAGCAGTCCCAAAGAGTATTTTCACTTTGGGACTGCTTACTTTTAAGCAGTCCCAAAAATCTCTGCTTCTCTGCGTCTCTCATAAAATCTACAGCGAGAGATAGTTAAGCAGTCCCAAAGAGTATTTTCACTTTGGGACTGCTTATTTTTAAGCAGACACAAATGTCTCTGTTTCTCTGCGTCTCTCACAGAATCTACAGCGAGAGATAGTTAAGCAGTCCCAAAGAGTATTTTCACTTTGGGACTGCTTATTTTTAAGCAGACACAAATGTCTCTGTTTCTCTGCGTCTCTCAAAAAAATCTACAGCGAGAGATAGTTAAGCAGTCCCAAAGAGTATTTTCACTTTGGGACTGCTTATTTTTAAGCAGACACAAATGTCTCTGTTTCTCTGCGTCTCTCACAGAATCTACAGCGAGAGATAGTTAAGCAGTCCCAAAGAGTATTTTCACTTTGGGACTGCTTATTTTTAAGCAGACACAAAATTATCTATTTCTCTGCGTCTCTCATGAATTAGCATGCAAAAGATAGTTAAGCAGTCCCAAAGAGTATTTTCACTTTGGGACTGCTTATTTTTAAGCAGTCCCAAAGTTTGTGTCTGCTTATTCTTGAAAAAACCTCCAGAACTCCAGTATTGCTCATTTTATACCACATATCTTACAGTATCTTCGCCACGGTTCAACAACTCATTTTGGCACTGGTCCAAATGAAACTCGCGATCCAATGGTCAACGACAAGCAAGACCTTCTGCGTCTCTCAAAATCACTCACTCTCTCGGGAATCGGTGAAAAAGAGCAGACGTTTATCTGGGAAACAATTGGCGGAATTTTGCACTTGGGAAATGTGGAATTTGAGGAAAATGCGGCGGATTCACGGGGTGGTTCGAAGATTACGGCAGAAAGCGAGACGAGTTTGGCGAACTCGGCAAGATTGTTGGGTTTGGAGGTGGAGGAGATGAAATTGGGATTGTGTGCGAGGATTATGCAGGCGACGAAAGGTGGTGTTAAAGGAACATTGATTAGAGTTCCATTGAAGGTGAGTTAGCCTAACTTTTTTCAATTTTTAAAGAAATTTTACAGAATTTTTTATCGATTTTTTCAATTTTTCTGAAATCCCTCCCCAAAAAACTCACCAATCGCTTCTATTTCTCAAATTCCAATCAAAATCCTTGCGAAATCCGAAATTCTCCATTGAAATCCAATTGTCCATCAACATTTCGAGCTGAAAATCAGAAAATTTGAATTTTTAATTGAATTCTTGACTGAAATTCACTGATTTTCCCCGGAAAACTGAAAACGCAGCGAAAAGAAAAACGAAAAATGAAAATATTCTCGTGTTGCGCTAAACAGCGGGCAAGCGCGCTCCGCGGAGTGTCGTTGTAAAAGAAGCGAGCGCGCTTGCTCGCTGTTTAGCGCAACACGAGAATATTTTCATTTTTCGTTTTTGTTTCGCTGACTTTTTTAAAACTTTTTTTCAAGATAATCCTCAATTATCCAAATTTACTCTCAAAATTCGTTGTATAATCAGGTTTATCAGTAGAGCGCCATTTCTTCTTTTCAATATTTTTTTCGAAATTCCCCATTCTCCCTCAAAAATCCTCAATTTTATAGCCACACGAAGCTGCTGCTGGTCGAGATGCTCTTGCAAAATCAATCTACTCGAAACTGTTTGATTGGCTCGTCGAAAATGTGAACAAAAGTATCCCGTGCGAACAAACAAATTCGAAATTCATTGGAGTTTTGGATGTGGCCGGCTTCGAATTCTTCGCCGTCAATTCTTTCGAACAATTTTGCATCAATTTTTGCAATGAAAAATTGCAAAACTTTTTCAACGAGCGCATTTTGAAGCAGGAGCAAGAGTTGTATTTGGCGGAAGGGCTGAATATTCAAAAAATTGAATTCTCCGACAATTTGGATTGTATTGAGTTGTTTGAGAAGCGAGCTGTTGGATTGTTTGATTTGTTGGATGAGGAGGCGAAGTTGCCAAGAGCTACACCACAACATTTTACACAACGTGCTCATGAGGCGAATGCCAAGCATTTCCGATTGGATGTAGGTGTTTTGGAGGGAAACATTGGATTTTTCATGAAATTTTGGGTCGGGAGAGCTGAAAGTCCGTGAAAACAAGCCAAAACCGTATAAGCAGTCCCAAATTTCTCATAAGCAGTCCCAAAATCTCATAAGCAGTCCCAAATTGCTCTCTTTCTCTGTGTCTCTCATAAAAGTGCATGCAAAGAGATGAATAAGCAGTCCCAAACTTTGGGACTGCTTAACTATCTCTCGCTATGAGAGACGCAGAGAAGCAGCGTATTTTGGGACTGCTTATACATTTTTCAATTGAACTTCAGTGGAAAATTTGATTTTTAAGAAAAATACGGTTTTTTCTGCTGAAAATCCCTTATTTACAGCTCAAAAATCATCAGAATTTGGGAATTCTAACAAAATTTCATTGAAAATTGAAAAATATTGCTGAAAAACTTTGAATTTTCCGTAATTTCCAGATTTCTAGTTTTAAAATGTGCTTTTTCTCATGGAAATCGGAAGCAACCCTGAATTTTAGCTGAAAATCACAAAATTCAACATAAGCAGTCCCAAATTGCTCTCTTTCTCTGTGTCTCTCAAAAAACCTACGGCGAGAGATAGATAAGCAGTCCCAAAGAGTATTTCAACTTTGGGACTGCTTATTTTTAAGCAGACACAAATTTCTCTGTTTCTCTGCGTCTCTCAAAAAATGTACAGAGAGAGATAGTTAAGCAGTCCCAAAGAGTATTTTCACTTTGGGACTGCTTAACTATCTCTCGCTGTAGATTTTTTGAGAGAAGCAGAGTATTTTGGGACTGCTTATGAGATTTTTGCTGCATTTTCACGGATTTTTAACTCTCCTGACCCAAAATTTAATGAAAAATCCAATTTTCTCTCTTAAAAGCCTGGGATTTTGACGGAGAAGTGCGAAAAATATGAATTTCTTGCAGACCCCTCGAAAATCAAAAATCCGTGCACACCGTGAAATGCGAGATGATGAAGGTTTGCTGATTCGTCACTATGCCGGCTCAGTTTGCTATGAAACTCGCTATTTTGTCGACAAAAATAATGATCAACTTCATAATTCGCTTGAAATGCTCATTGAGCAAAGTTCCTCTCCAATAATGGTGTCCTTGTACACCCAGGAGCCATCAAATCAACCAAAAACTGGTGGAAAATTGAAGGCGGCAAGTGTGGGAAGCAAATTCAAATCGCAACTCTTGGTGCTGCTCGAAAAATTGCAAAAAACTGGCACACATTTTGTGCGATGCGTTAAACCGAATAATGAGATGAAAGCCTGGAAATTTGATGGTTCCTCGATTTTTGGACAATTGGAATGTGCTGGAATGACATCGGTGCTCAAATTGATGCAACAAGGTTTTCCAAGTCGCACCAGTTTCCAGGAGCTCTATCAAATGTATCAGCCAATTTTGCCAGCAAATTTGGCTCGTTTGGAATCCCCGCCTGTTTTCGAAATGCCTCTTCCGCGCGCTGGGTTTGAATTCGCAAGATTATCAATTCGGGTTGACCAAGGTGTTCTTCCGCGCCGGAAAGTTTGCGGAATTTGATAAATTGATGAGACAAGATCCGGAAACTATGCAGGAATTGATTGGAAAAGTGAGAGAGTGGTTGGTGAAGGCGAGATGGAGAAAAGCGCAATATGGAGCATGGAGTGTATTGAAATGTGAGTGATCGGGGAAGAAGCAGACAGCTAGAGACAGATAGGGACGCAGAAATCTTATAAACAGACACAAAAATCTCCGCTTCTCTGCGTCTCTCACAAAATCTACAGCGAGAGATAAATAAGCAGTCCCAAAATGCTCTGCATCTCTGTGCCTCTCACAAAACATACGGCGAGAGATAAATAAGCAGTCCCAAAGTGAAAATACTCTTTGGGACTGCTTAACTATCTCTCGCTGTTGTTTTTGTGAGAGACGCAGAGAAGCAGAGACATTTGTGTCTGCTTAAAAATAAGCAGTCCCAAAAAGTATTTTCACTTTGGGACTGCTTATTTATCTATCGCTGTTGATTTTTTGAGAGACGCAGAGAAGCAGATTTTTGGGACTGCTTATTTTTCTACTTTTCAAAAAAAGTATCTTTCGCCCCCAGGCAACTTTTTTTTGAAATCTGATAGCCCTCTTTTTTTGGCGCCCGAAAAATCTCTATTTTTCAGTGAAAAACAAGATTTTGTATCGCCGCCAACAAATATGCAAAATTCAAAGTGTTATTCGAGGATATTTGGTCAGAAAGCGATTCCAAAAAAGGTGGGTTCTCTCCAAATTTTTTCTGCGCTCTCTCAATTTCTCACACTCTCTCACATTTAGTTTATTTAGAATTCTACTCGATTTTTCCGGGAAAACAATACATTTTCAATTTTCACACGTTTGTTGTTTTTTTGAGCTCACAGCTCTCAAAAATTGGATTTTCCTTTCAGCAAAAGCAAAAAAAATGTCAGAAAAATTCGCGGAATTAAGTCAAGCCATTTATGAGCATCTAATTTGCTTCGTTGTTTTTTTGTGCTGCTCTTTTTTTTTCTTCTGTGGGCATACATGAAAAAATGAGCACAAAAAGAGCCGAGCCCCTCAATTTTCTCATTCTCATTCACATTTTTTTTTCTCAATTTTTTCCGCGGTCATTTTTTTTCTGAGAACATTATTTGTTTTATCTCCTAGGCATTTTTCTGGGAATTTTTTTTGTTGTGCGAAAAAATCGCATTAATTTTGCCATATTCAAAAATATATCTATTCCTAGGCAACAATGAGAAAATTTTGAAAAAAATAGGCAGTCCCAAAAATCTCTGCTTCTCTGCGTCTCTCATGAATTCTACAGCGAGAGATAGTTAAGCAGTCCCAAAGTGAAAATACTCTTTGGGACTGCTTAACTATCTCTCGCTGTAGATTCTGTGAGAGACGCAGAGAAACAGAGATTTTTGGGACTGCTTAAAAATAAGCAGTCCCAAAGTGAAAATATTCTTTGGGACTGCTTAACTATCTCTCTCTCTCTGTACATTTTTTGAGAGACGCAGAGAAGCAGAGATTTTTGGGACTGCTTATTTATTTTCAAATCGCACGCCTTCTTTTTTTTACCTCCTCATAAAATTCATCTATGTATTGTTGCCCATTTTTTCAGCCTCTTGGGATTTTTCCTCGTTTTTTTCAGTTTTTTGAGAAAATTGCATTCCTCCTCCTATTTTTAGAGCACCGGAGACAAGATTTGCAATTATTTCTCTCCATAGTTTTTTTTGCTGAAAACACTTGAAAATTGTGATTTTTCCCTAGAAATGGAAAGATTATCCTAATCTTTTGGGGGAAAATTGGATTTTTCGAGCGAAAATCGTTTTTTTTTGTGAAAAAACAAGGAAACCATGGCCGTGGTCTAGAAATCGACAGCGTTTTCTAGGCCACGCTTTTTTCTTCGAAAATTTTCATCTCCCATTTTCAGCTTTAAAACCAGTTATTTTCCAGTGGAACAGCACAAAAACAAAATTTTCGAAAAAAAACATGTCTGTGGCCTAGAAACCGACAGTATTTTCTAGACCACGCTCATTTTTTTTCGAAAATTTTCGTTTCACATCATTTTCAGCCCTGAAACAGGTTTTTCTTGCAGAATTGCAATTTATCGTCGAGCATGTGCACTTCTTGAGCAATCTCGTGAAATGACTGATGTGAGTTTGGAGCTTAAGCCCAGGCCTAACCCTAAAAGCCTAAAAAGCCCATGAAAATTCCATTTTTTCCAGATTTTGGGTCGTCTAAATGAATCAAGCAAGCAAAAATGGGAATCGACAGCTTCCTCAACATCTTCCGAACTCGAAAATCTTGTCTCAACCATCAAATCGACTGAAATCGAAGCGGAAATTGATCGAGCTGTCAAAAAATATGAGGAATGTGTGAAAAAAGTCGACTCGATCATTGCCGATTTGAAATCGCAACTCGAAACCGACGAGTTGGCCGAAATGCAAAGAAAACGTGCCGAACTTGCGGAAAAGGAGCGTAGAGAGCAAGAGGAACGAGAGACGGTAGAGAAGGAGAGACAAGTGTAAGTGCGCTCTGTTGAGAACCCGCTTCTTTTATGAAAAATTCAAATTTTGCAGTCGTCGCAAGATGGAAGAGGAACGTGAGAGAGCGCAACGTGAATACGAGGCACAATTGGAGAAGCAGAAGGCGGTGGAGGCGGAAGCGGAAGCGGCGGAAAATGCGAGACGCGAAAAGGAGTCGCGTGAACGCTTGGATGGGCTGGTCTCGACACGATTGGCAAAATCTGATGGAATTCAGTTGATTCAACAGGAGCATGTGGTGGCTGCTGCACAGCAAGCGTGAGTTTTTCGTGTCAGCAAGCATTTTTGGTAGCCTATCAAATATAGGCTTTCTTGGGCTCAAAATGATCAAAATCAATAATTTTAGGTCAAAATCAGCCAACTCCAACTCGAAATACGATCTCTCCAACTGGAAATATGCGGATCTTCGTGATGCGATTAATACAAGCAATGGTAAGAGTTTTTTCTCTGCGTCTCTAACAGAATCTACAGCGAGAGATAGTTAAGCAGTCCCAAAGAGTTTTTTCACTTTGGGACTGCTTATTTTTAAGCAGACACAAAATTCTCTGTTTCTCTGCGTCTCTCATCAAATCTACAGCGAGAGGTAAATAAGCAGTCCCAAAGAGTATTTTCACTTTGGGACTGCTTATTTTTAAGCAGACACAAAATTCTCTGCGTCTCTCGCAGAATCTACAGCGAGAGATGGTTAAGCAGTCCCAAGGAGTATTTTCACTTTGGGACTGCTTATTTTTAAGCAGACACAAAATTCTCTGTTTCTCTGCGTCTCTCATAAAATCTACAGCGAGAGGTAAATAAGCAGTCCCAAAGAGTATTTTCACTTTGGGACTGCTTTTTTATCTCTCGCCGTATGTTTTGTGAGAGACGCAAAGATGCAGAGTATTTTGGGACTGCTTAAGTTTGGGACTGCTTATTTAGCCCCGCCCCCTTTCTAAGCCCCGCCCACTTTTCTGCAATTTTCAGACATGCAATTATTGGTGGCATGCAAAGAGGAATTCCATCGCCGCCTTCGTATCTACAACGAGTGGAAGACTAAAAATGCGGGAGCCGCCAAAAATTTGGCGCCACAAATTTTGGGCTCCGCCACGTCATCATCTGCCACACAAATGCGCCCCACTCTAAATCCAGCTTTGACTCAACAGAGATATTTCAAAATGGCTTTCGCCGTCCAAAACACTGTGAAAATGCAATCGGGATTGTGCTATGCGCATTTCAATGGGCAATATATTCAGCGACAAGTCACGTTGATTCCACAACAGAAGCCGCAATTGATGGTGGCTGGTGAGTATTTTTTAGTTTTTTTTTGGATTGCTCATGTTAAGCAGAGCATTTTGAGTGGAAATTTGCGGAAAATTGATCTAGAACTCTTAATTAACATGAGCAATCCTATAATTTTTGTGAATTTTTTCAGGAAAAGACGATTTGCGTATGATTGACTTGCCATTGGAACAAACGGGTTTATTGCGTAAAAAGGGTGCCGAAATTTCGGCGACGGATTTTGATACAATCTGGCAACATTATGGTGGACAACCAGTCACCAAATGGACACCTTGAGCATTTTTTTCGGGCGGTGAAAATTGCATTTTCCCCCCGTCATTTTTTGTGTGTATTCCCCGATTTTTTTTCTGTACTTTCACTTGGCCAAATGAACTTTTACTTGGAAAATTTCATATTTTTAATATGAGCAATCGATTTGTTACAGAAAGGTTAGAGGAACTTTTTTTTGTTTTCAAAATCGAAAACAAATACATTTATATATATTTTTTATACTTTTTTTGCTCCCCGATATATTTTTTGTGTAATATTTTTCTTCTCTAGCCAGTTGCTCTTTTTTGTTTTTTTTTTCTGGCTCCTAGGAGTTACTGGAAGTTTCTCTGCTCCAAAAATCGCAAAAAAAATGGCCGATTCCTCGTTTTTTCAACAAACTTATTGTATCGACTATAATGGATGGGTTACGGTGAGTTTTGGCGGGAAAATTTGAAATTTTCGAGGTTCCCGAGGCTTCTGAAGCTTGAAAAGGCTCCCAAAATCATCCAAAGCTTAGAAAATACCTTAGAAATGTCGCTAAGGTCCCTAGACCTTAAAAATCGTCCTAAAAAGCTCCCAGAAGCTTCCCAAGCCTCCCAGAGGCTTCCCAAGCCTCCCCAAGGGCCCCCCGGGGCTCCCAAGCCTCTCCAAGGCTTCCCAAGCCTCCCGGAGGCTTCCCAAGGCTTCCCAAGGCTTCCCAAGGCTTCCCAAGGCCCCCGGGGCTTTCCAAGGGCCACCGGGGCTTCCCGACCCTTCCCGACCCTTCCCAAGCCTCCCCCCTTCCCAAATTCCCCAAAACCCGCTTTTTTTCCAGGGTTCCTCACCCGCACCGCCACCCAAACAAATCGATTTCGACTCTCAAACCATTCCCGAACTCATCTACACAAAATCCACGTCCGACCGTGTTTGCACAGTCTTCGATGCCGAAAAAATCACGTACACATTCGCAAAAATGCGGCAAGAAATGGAAAATCTCGCCGCAGGCCTGATATCGATCGGCCTGAAACAAGGCGATCGAATTCTGATAGCCGGATCGAATCACTCGCAAGTTCTGATAAGTTCCCTAGCTTGCGCTAGAGCTGGGCTGGTTTTCAGTCTGGTTAATCCGAATTTCGCCAAAAGTTCTCACTTAAAACGGGCCTTGGTATTGGGCCAATTTCGGGCTGTTGTCTGCTTTCAGGCTCATCAATTTGGGCCTGATCATTTGAATAGTTTGCTGTTGGAAATTGCGCCGGAGCTGATGAAATGTCGAAAAGGAGAGCTGAAAAGTGAGCAGGTTCCGAAGTTGAGTCATGTGATTTTGGCTGAGGAGGAACATAAACATGCGTGAGTTTTTGAAGGGGGACGGGGGTTCAATAGAGCGCACTTGCATTTTTTTGACTAAAAATTCAAAAATTTCTCACAGAAATTATGATTTTTAACTAAATATTCAAAAATTTCATGAAACACAATAGTGTTCAATAGAGCGCACTTGCATTTTGTATCGAGAAAATCTAGATTTTCACTAAAAATTTGAATTTTCTCTCACAAAATTAGGTGATTATTAGAGCGCACTTGCATTTTCAATTTATTTTTCGGTCAAAAATTCAAAATTTTCTACAGAAATTGTTATTAGCAATAGAGCGCACTTGCATTATTTTTGACTGAATTTTTGAATTTTCGACAATGAATCGTGGTGTTCAATAGAGCGCACTTGTATTTTAACATGTTTTCGGTTCAAAATTTGAATTTCTTTATAAAATAGACTATTAACAGTAGAGCGCACTTGCATTCTTCTCATATAAAAATTTTATTAGGTTTTTAGGCTTAGCCCTGAAGCCCTAAAATTAAAAAATGCATGAAACATCGTAGTGTTCAATAGAGCACGCGGATAGCTATCTAATAACGCGGATAGCTATCTGGCCACTGAAGCAGTGCCGCTGACGCGCAAGCTTCCGGAATCTCAATATTTCCAGCGGCACCTTCACCCTCTCCGAAGTCTTCCTCAAATCCTCGCCCGACAAAATCCTCCGCCTCCTCCCCGACTACACAAAATGGTCACCACACAAGCTCGCCTGCCTTCAATTCACCCTGGGCACCACCGAACACCCAAAACTCGTCGCCCTGTCGCATTATCAAATGTTGAATGGTGCACGAGCTGTTGCGGGAGCTTTTGGTATCCAGCAACATCATGCGATCGCTTGCGCTCTTCCGATTTTCCGCATCGCCATCTTCAATTTGGTGTGCCTCTCGCCGTTCTTGACAGAATGCCGTGTAATATTCCCCGAGCCAAGTCCATTGCCAAAAAACCTATTTGCAAGTGTCTCCAAATACAGTTGCACAACCCTGTTGTCCAATGGAGCAGCTTTGCGACTTCTCCTCAAAATCAGTCAAAATCAGCGAGTTAAGCTAAGTGCACTCGAGAATATTTTGCTGATTGGCGACCGAGTTTCCAAAGAAGTCCTGCGGCTCATTAAAATGCAGGCGGAAAATGTGAAGATCATAGCGGTGGGTTATTTGTTGACGGAAACCGCGAGTATTCCGCTGATGGGTGATCAGAATACGGATTTCACGCGGAATGTTGGCAAAGCGATTGCGGGGTATGAGACGCGGTTGGTGCCGCTTGCGGAAAGCGGAGCGGAAGAAGTTGGAGTAGGACAGTTGGGCAGGTTGTTGATACGGGTTTATTATGGAAGTGTGTTTATGGGATATGCGCCGGATACGAAGGGATCGGAGAAATGGGTGGATACAGGGTGAGTGAAAGGGGGGGGGGCTGACGCATTCTTGGTAGCTACAGAAAATGCGCAAGCTAAATATTGACTGGCGTAGGTTTTGTAGCTGCTAAGGCACACACCCAGGGAGGGTAGCTACAAAAATTGCGCCAGGGAAAGGTCAGGCTGACGCAAATTTGGTAGCTGAAGAAGAGTATATAGTTAAAGCTGACGTATTTTTGATATATAGCTACAGAAAATGCGTCAGCTAAGCTTTAGACTGGCGCAGGTTCTGTAGCTGATAAGGCACCGTCAAGGAGAATAGCTGCAGAATTTGTGCAAGCTATATTTGATGATGACGTAAACTTGGTAGCTACAAGCATTTCGGCTACAGAATTTGCGTCAGCCAGATTCTATGCTGACGCATTTTTGATATAGCTACAAAATTTGCGTCAGCTAGGTTTAATGCTAGAGGAGATATGCTCAAGGCTGACGCATTTTTGGTAGCTACAAGAGCTACAAAATTTGCGTCACTAAAACCTCACCTTGACACAGTTCCTGTAGCCATCACCACAAATGCACCAGCACAAAATTTGCGTCAGTAAGAGTTTGATTCAAAATTAACGCTCAAAAACAAGTTTAACATGAGCAATCCCCTGTTTTTAAAGGAACATAGCAAGATAATTTTTTTAACATGAGCAATGCCCAAAAAAATGTACTAGATTTTGTATAGCTCTTCAAAATCCACATTGTTTATCTGCTTAACCTGAGCAATGCTCATTTTCAAAGGAACATTACAAGAAATTATCTCTAATATGAGCAATGCCAAAAAATTCTTCCACATAGCATAACTCTCTTTAGAATCCATATTTCTGAGTGCTCAAAAACCAAAATTCAAAAAAATTTTGGCTTAACATGAGCAATCCCCAAAAAATCTACTAGATAGTATAACTCCCCTCAAAACCAAAATTTTTCGAATTTTTTTGCTTAACATGAGCAATGCCCCTATTTTTTGCAGAGATATAGCAAGAATGGATGAAAATGGTGCGATTGAAATCATTGCAAATTCGGCCGATTTGATTTATGATAAAAATAATTGTCTAGTTGAACATTGGAACATTGAAAGATTATTGAATCAAAATGAGCTGATCAAAGGAGTTCAAGTGGTATCAAAAGGAAAAGGAGAACCGGTGACAGCGATTTGTGTGGCGAGAAGTACACAATTTCATGCGGCAAAATTGAAGGATGAATTGAAGAGCATGTGTAGAGAGCATCGCGTGAGTTTTAGTGAAAATTTGGTGGATTTTGGAGCATTTTCATAGGGTTTACGTAAGAATTCTTGAAATTCTGATGAATTTTGAAGCCCGGAGCTTTAGGATTGCTCAGATTAGTTTCAGTAGAAATCTGCTAGATTTTGGACCATTTTCATTGGATTTACCGAAGAATTCTTGAAATTCTGATGAATTTTGAGGCCTGGAGCTTTAGGATTGCTCAGATTAGTTCTAATGGAAATCTGCTAGATTTTGGACCATTTTCATAGGATTTTTCGTAGGAATTCTTGAAATTCTGATGAATTTTGAAGCCTGGAGCTTTAGGATTGCTCAGATTAGTTCTAATGGAAATCTGGTGGATTTTGGACCATTTTCATAGGATTTTTCGTAGGAATTCTTGAAATTCTGATGAATTTTGAAGCCTGGAGCTTTAGGATTGCTCAGATTAGTTCTAATGGAAATCTGGTGGATTTTGGACCATTTTCATAGGATTTTTCGTAGGAATTCTTGAAATTCTGATGAATTTTGAAGCCTGGAGCTTTAGGATTGCTCAGATTAGTTCTAATGGAAATCTGGTGGATTTTGGACCATTTTCATAGGATTTTTCGTAGGAATTCTTGAAATTCTGATGAATTTTGAAGCCTGGAGCTTTAGGATTGCTCAGATTAGTTTTAGTGAAAATTTGGTGGATTTTGGACAATTTTCATTGGATTTTTTGTGAGAATTCTTGAATTTTCAATATTGCTCAGATTAGTGGAAATTTGGTGGATTTTGAACCAGAAAATTCATTGAATTTTAAATTTTTTTTTTTTTAGGAATTTTGGAGCCCTTGAAATTTTTGTCCAGAATTATTTTTTTTTTTTAGAATTTTTTAAACATTGCTCAGATTAAAGGAAAAATCCAAAAATTCCAAATCCAAAAAAAAACAATTTTTAATTTTCCGGTGAAATTACTCAAAAATGAGCATTGCTCAGATTAGTTTCGAAAATTTCCGATTTTGTTTTTTTGCAGTTCCCGGTTCCCGACGTCTTTGCGTTCGTCGACGATTTTCCACGTGTCCACACAAAAATTCAAAAATTTCGACTTCGCGCCAAATTGCAGGCCGGAAAAATTGCGGTTTTTTGAGGGAAATTTGAATTCTGGGGGGTTTTGAATGGAAATTGAAGAAAATGAGCTATTTTAGAAAAAATATTGCTCATGTTAAGCAAAAACTGCTGAAAATGGCTCATTTTAGTCCAAAATTGCTGAAAAATTCAGATTTTTGCTCAGCATTGCTCATTTTAATCAGAAAATTTAGAAAAATTTGAATTTTGATTCAAAATTGCTCAATTTTGCACACCATTGCTCATATTAATTGAAAAATCCAGAAAAATTTGAATTTTGCTTAGAAATTTGCTCATTTTAATCAAAAAATCTTGAAATTTTCAATTTTTTGTTCATCATTGCTCATATTATACCCCGAAAATCCAATTTTCCTCCAAAATTCCCCAATTTCCTCTGCCCATTTGTGTATCCTCCTCCTCAATAAAACCTTCTTCTATCGATCTTTTTTCGTCTGTTTTTCTCTGCGTCTCTCACTCTCTCACTCTCTCGCTGCTCCTGGAGCAGCAGGAAAGAAGAAGAAGAAGAAGAAGCTATAGCTACTCTACTCTACGTTTTTTTTGCCATTCTCTTCTTTTTTTACACTGACACAGCCAGGATTTTTGGCACTTTTCCCGGCCGAAAAAAAAATCGATAATTTGTTTCGGCTGGACCTCATTATGTGCTCTGGCAGAGCCAGAGTAAATCCAATTTTCCGCACATTTTTCTTTGTTTTTTCTTTCATTTTTTGATTGCTGGGTAAAAATTTGGCGCGAAAAATTCATGTTTAAAAAAAAATGTTTTGAATAGGAATTTTTGGCGCCAAAAAATAATCATTCAAAATAAAAATATTAATTTTAAATTAAAAAATTTGGCGCCAAAAATTCACGTTAAAAAAATTTGAATTTGAATTGTTTTATTTTTGAATAGGAATTTTTGGCGCGAATATTTCGAAATTCAAATTTTCAACAAAAAATTCTGAATTGCAATTATTTTATTTTTGAATAGGAGATTTTGGCGCGAATATTTCGAAATTCAAATTTTCAAAAAAAAAAAAAATTTCAAAAAAAAATTTGAATTTGAATTATTTTATTTTTGAATAGGAATTTTTGGCGCGAATATTTCGAAATTCAAATTTTCAACAAAAAATTCTGAATTGCAATTATTTTATTTTTGAATAGGAGATTTTGGCGCGAATATTTCGAAATTCAAATTTTCAAAAAAAAAAAAAATTTCAAAAAAAAATTTGAATATGAATTTTTGGCGCCAAATTCAAATTGAAAAAAATAATTTTCTGAACCTTTTTTTCTGGATTTTTTTTGAGGCTAGAAAGAAATTGATTAATTTTTCAAATTTTTCGGCCCATTTTTCACAGGAACCCAAAAAAGCCTCTAGGAATTTAGGCTAACTCAAATTTGTGCTCAAAAATCTGAGGATCATAATTTTTTTTTTAGAATTTTTTCCCAGAATTTTGAAAAATTTTAATTTCAGCTATTTTTCTTCTTCTTCTTCTTCTTCTTCATTTTCCCCCCAAAAAATTCCAATTTCAGCCAAATTTTTCCAGATTTGCTTGGTGAATGTGGCCGGGAATGGCACCAGATACAATTTCAGCATCGCAAAATCAGGTGGCCCAGCAGCCACCTGTTAGTGAAATGCAAATTTTGATCGATGAGATGAGTGAGTTGGGTTTTGGGGCTCAAAATTGAGCATTTTTGATGAATTTTGAGCCGGAAACCATGAAAAATGCTCAAAATTCATGAATTTTCACCCGATTTTCCTTCAGGACTTCAAGATTTCGATTCAATTCGCTTCGCAACATACCGTGCTGCCTGCAAACTTCGATTCATCCAGCAAAAAACCAAAGTTCACCTGGTTGATATTTGGAATATGATTGAGGCGTTTCGAGAAAACGGACTGAATGCTCTTCCACTTCATACTGTAGTGAGTTTGGGGGGCATTGCTCAGATTATACTGAAAAATTCAGAAAATTTGGATTCTAAGGGTTTTTGGAGCACTAAAAATGATGAATTTTGAGCCAAGATCTGAAAAAATGAAAATTATTGCTCATATTAGCCATTTTTTTTGGAATTTTATGAAGCATTGCTCAGATTATACTGAAAATTCACAAAATTGGATTCTGACGGTTTTTAGAGCACTAAAAATGGAGAATTTTGAGCTGATCCAGAAAAAATTCAAAAATTTGTAGGACATTGCTCATGTTAGGTTTTTCTTGAGATTTCTTAGGCATTGCTCAGATTATACTAAAAATTCAAAAAATTTGGTTCTAGACCCTTTTGGAGCACTAAAAATGATGCATTTTGAGCTGATCCTGAAAACTTCCAAAATTTTCTAGAACATTGCTCAGATTACCCATTTTCTTGGAATTTTATGAAGCATTGCTCAGATTATACTAAAAATTCAAAAAATTTGGAATCTTTGGCTTTTTGGAGCACTAAAATTGATACATTTTGAGCCAAGATCTGAAAAAAGTAGAACATTGCTCAGATTACCCATTTTCTTAGAATTTTATGAAGCATTGCTCAGATTATATGAAAAATTCAAAAAAATTGGATTCTGAGGGTTTTTGGAGCACTGAAATTAGTGGATTTTGAGCTGACCCAGAAAAGTTCCAAAATTTTCTAGAACATTGCTCATGTTAGCTTTTTTCTCTGTATTTTTCAGGCATTGCTCAGATTATATGAAAAATTCAAAAAATTTGGATTCTAGCACTGAAATTGATACATTTTGAGAAAAATTTGAATCATTGCTCATATTAACCCTCACTCATTTCCAGATCAAAACCTCTCGTGCCGAACTTCTCCTAACTACCGTATTCCACAATTTGAACAAGAGATTGGTCTCTTCGCAACACGTGGATACAGATGGATCAATTTCCCTATTATTGGCGTTTTTGCTGGGCGCTTATGACAAGTTAGTACAATTTTTGCTGAAAATCGCTGAAAATCCGGCCAGGAAGTGTTTTTTGACTGGAAATTTTTAGAAAATCGTGATCTACGTGAAAATCTACCCCGGAAACCATACCGAATTCAAAAAAATACGACATGGCCTAACTTTTCACCTGATGGCCTAGAAATCCAAAAAACTCGGCCACGCGTCTAAAAAATCTCGCGACAACTTCCAGATAGTCTAATTTTTCACGTAGATCACGAAAAACAACACGAAATTTCTAAAAAATCACCTAGTGGCCTAGAAATCCAAAAAACTCGGCCACGCATCGAATTTTGAGCTAGAAACTCGGGAGAAATTTGTCTAGACCTAATTTTTCACGTAGATTTTTAAAAAATCACCACGTTTTCAGGCAAAACACGGGAAGATTGACAGTTTTCTCAATAAAAATTGCGTTGGCAACGTTGTGCGCTGGAAAACTGGTCGACAAGTTACGCTATATCTTCTCGCAAATCGCAGATGCGCAAGGATTCATGGATCACACCAAATTCATCGATTTTCTCCAACAAATCCTCGCGTTGACCACTGCGGTTTTTGAAGCACCAACTTTTGGTTTCAGCGAAATTGCGGTGGCTCAGTGCTTTCAAAAAGATGAAAAAGTGAGTTCCCGTGTAGATTTTGATGCAAAATTCATGTTTTTAACCCAATTTCAATTTCAGGTCAGTTTGAACGTGTTTTTGGACACTTTTTTGACGGATCCTTGCCCACCGTGTATTATGTGGCTGCCATTGTTACACAGGTTAGTTTAATGTGAGCAATCCCTGAAAAATCGCGATTTTTTAAAACCAAACAAAGCCTATTTTTACAAAATTTCGGAAAAAAACAAAAAAATTAAAAAAAAAAAAAATTTTTTACAAAAAAAAAATTTACAAAAAAAAAATTTTACAAAAAAAAAAATTTTTTTTACAAAAAGACATCCACGTGGATTGCTCATGTTATAGAGCGAAAAATTTGGAATTTTTTGAGACCAAAATCATGTTTTTTTAAAATTGTCTAAAAGTGTAATATGAGCAATGCTACAAAAATTTGCGATTTTTTAAAACCAAACGAAGCCTATTTTTACAAAATTTCGGAAAAAAAAACAAAAAAAAATTTTACAAAAAAAAAAAATTTTTTTTACAAAAAAAAATTATTTTTACAATAAGACATCCACGTGGATTGCTCATGTTATGGAGCAAAAATTTGGGATTTTTTGAGACCAACATCGTTTTTTTTGGCTATAAGATGAGTAATGCCTGAAAATTCTGGTTAAACTAAGCAGTCCTCAAGACTTTCGTCACAGTTTCGAAATGTAACTATGAAATAGCCAAGTGCTAAATGAATTTGGATTTACAAAAAAAAAAATTTTAATCTGACATGAGCAATATGAGCAAGTTTTTTGAAAATATTCAACAAAATCAAAATGAACATATTTATGTTGGTAACTTTCCACAAACTGCCGAGTTTGCGGGTTCGGTTGGACCACATACATCAACCTCTCCTGTGAAAATACACATTTCGGAAACTTCAACAGTATAATAAACGTCCTCGGCCCATACAGAGTTCTTTATCTTCTCAACAAGATATTCGTCAGATTGTGTAGTTGTGTAACCATCATCCCATAAATATCGATCATCTCCACACGTTTCAGTTAGTTTACATTGACGCTTACTATTGTCGTATTCACACTTATCTCTCATACATTCAGATTTCATTATTCCACCAATCCAAGTTGTTGTTCCAATATTCGCCGCAGTTCTCAAACTATAAACCACATCTTGCATTGCCACATCATCGATTGATGTTAGAACAGCTCCCAATTCAGCACAAGCCGCTACACCGGCTGCTTTTGGCATAGAGGATACTGTCATCACAAGTTTCATACACCATCCAGTTGTAGCTCTCTTGTAATATGTCCATCCATCTTCACATGTTTCAATCACAGGCAAATTGGAATCGGTCTGAAATAGGGTCAAAACTTGAAACCTGCTTCTGGAGCGGAAGCTTGCGCTTAGACTTTACCTGTGTTTCTTCTGTCGGTGGAATTGTTGTGGTTGAACTAGGTGTTGATGGGGAAACAGTAGAAACAGTCTCCTGCTCCAATTCGTCAGATATTTCCAACTGTGGTAAAATTATTTGAGTACTTCTTGTCGGAAAACACAAATCAACAGGGAATACAACAATAGCTGCGATAATAATAATAAATCTAATCATAACTAAAAAGATAAAGCATGCGATACAGTTGTTCCTTTTATATATCTGAAACTAACCCGTTTATCTTTAGAATGGCGTGCGATTTTTGGAAAAAAATATGTAGGTTCGATCAAGATAATATATTATAAGAAGATGAAAAAATCAAATGATAGAATGGTCGCGCTTAAAGAAGAAGATAAAGAATATATTTTGTATGGCCGTGGCTTTGTGGGTGGTCTTGAACCGACTCTTGGTCAACTGGAATTTTAGACTTTGGTAAATCGACTCTCCTGAACCTTGTGTTTCATAAAAGCTTCTCTAACATGAGTTATGTGGTCTCAAAAAACGGGATTTTCACAAAATTCTCGACGGCTTGGAGAGTCGCGCAGCAAAAACTGAGAACGGGATCTTTTTCAGCGTGAAAAGTTGTGAAGAAACATATTTGTCTTATTGAAAATCTCCGGGAGTTCATAGCACATGCACAATATGTTATTGACATGAGCAACAAATTCTCTGAAAATATTTAACAAAACCAAAAAGAATTGCAATGAACAAATGTATTAAATACGAGACAAATGTTCAACTGTTTGATTTCTTTCCACAAACTGCCGAACTTGCGGATTCGGTTGGACCACATACACTAACCTCTCCTAAGAAAATACACGATTCGGAGAGTTCATAATTATAATCATAACCGATTGTGCTCCATACACCGTTCTTTATCCTATCAGCAAGATATTCGTCGGATTGTGTTGTTGTGTAACCATCAGTCCAAATAAATCGATTATTTCCACATGTCTCAGTTAGTTTACATAGACTGTCATCATTTTCTTTTTTTTCACACTTATCTCCCATACACTCATCTTTCAATATTCCACCAAGCCAAGTTGTGTCTTGAATATTCGCCGCAGTTTTCAAATTATCAATCACATTTTTCATTGTGGAATCATCGATTGAAGATAAAACGGCTCCCAACTCAGCACAAGCCGCTACACCGTCTGCTTTTGTCATGGCTTCTGTCACCACAATTTTCATACACCATCCAGTGGTAGCTCTTTTGTAATATGTCCATCCATCTTCACAGTTGTCTTTTGGTCGAACATTACACGAATCCGAATGTTTGAAATGAACACACACCAACAACATCAACACCTCCAGAATCATTTTGTATCTGTTTCGATATTTTCTGATGTGTGAGGCCCGGCTTTTATGCAAAAGTTTCGCTATAAAAATCCTGGCGAAAAACAATTTGGCACAGTTTTATTTTATTGGACCGTAAAGTGCCATAATTATTTTATCTATTTTTCCGCCATTTTTTTATTCAGAAGAAGCTATAGCATACAGCAAGGAAAACAATCGCAGCTCTTGAAAGATCGAGCAGCTCAAGTTGGCCTTTGCGTCAGAATCATTGCTCAGGTTAGATTGGCCTAATGGGGTGATTTAGTCAAATTAATCCACAAAACAAAATGCTTTATTTAAGAAATTGACAAAAACGTGAAGTTAATCGCATCAGAGTTGAAATAAGCATCAATAAACTGTTTTTTTTCAAAAAATAAGTGAGAAAAATCAAAGCTATGCAAAAATTTATTAAATACGAGACAAATGTTCAAATGTTCGATCTCTTTCCACAAAATGCCGCTCTTCCGATTGCATTTGCAAAACACGCAGAAATCTTCCCGTAAGAAATACAATTTGAATCAACTGCATAATAAAAACCCTCTGGAACGTCCCAATTCAATTTCTTCATTTCATCATCAAGAAATTGGTCGGATTGTGTTGTTGTGTAACCATCCGTCCAAATATATCGATTATTTCCACACGTCTCAGTTTGTTTACAATGATTATCATCAGTTTTTTCACACTCATCTGACGTACACTCAGTTTTCAATGTTGCACCAATCCAAGTTACGGCCAAGTATGGAATATTTGCCGTAGTTATCAAACTAAAAACCACATCTTCCATTGCCGAATCATCAATTGAAGATAAAACAGCTCCCAACTCAGCACAAATCGCTACACCCTCTGTTTTATTTATGATCATTTTTGACCCTAAAACAATTTTCATACACCATCCAGTTGTATTTCTTTTGTAATAGGTCCAACCATCATCACATTGGGTTATGTTTCGACATCTCAAACGACACGAATCCACCAATTGAAGAAGGCATAGGAACACCAACAACTTCAGAAGCATTTCTGATGTTTTCTGATGTTCAGGCCTGGCTTTTATGCGAAAATATTTCAATTTTCGCCATAAAAGTCATGTTTTCAGCGGGGAAAAACGATTTGGCACAACTTTATTTTATTGGACCGTAAATTCCCGCAAATGTTTTATCTATTTTGCCGTATTTTATTGTTCGGAGCTACAGTATGCCAGGAAAACAGTTTCAGATCATTATTTGTGTTAAATCTTTCTAGCTGTCTATAATTGCATAATCAAAACTGCACGTGAAGTTAACTCCCTCCCCTACGAATTCAAAGTTTAAAATCATGTAAGACCTTAATTCAACAACTGTTATCATCCTAATAGAAGTTCCTTGTCAGATGTTCCATCAATGAACCATTTTTCAAAAAATTTCCATCTTGAGATGAGACGGTGTCAGATAAAGTTTGCTTCTCAAGGTGCTCACGAGTCCAGTTGACCTTTTGAGCGACAGTTTCTCCCTTGATCGAATGAGTCTTCTTTTGACAACGGTTGATGACCGTCATCTGAAAACTTCTCATTCAAGATAACAAACCTAAGTGTGGGCGGGCGATGACACGGATGTCCTTCTTGAGCTATTTGAAGTTGGATTCTTAGTTTCTGCCCATCTCCATCTTACCATTTCCTGATGCACCTGGTGAAAACTTTCTTCTTGGAGGAAGCCCTGAAAAGTCATATTACGATTCCAGAACAGTAGCAAATTAGGTCTAGGGCATTTCAATTTTCAATTCTGATAAGGATTTTTCCATTCAAACTCATGAAAACATATTGGTGTAATTAAATGAAATTGAAAATTGCTTTTGTTGAAAAACTCGAAATTTTTCATTTTTTGGCCTAAAATCATGTTCAATGTGTGAATTTCCAAATTCTAATGAAATTTGCTGCTTGATCCGGGATGGGGAACATATTTTACATATTTCTCACAGCTTCAAACACTTAATTTTTTAACAAAACGAGGAACACACAAAAAAAACGAAAAAAAAAGAAAAAAATTTGTGGCGTGCATTTCGTCCGAGAGAAGTACACACACACATTTCCCTGCAGGACCATTTTATTCAAATGTCTGCGCCTTTAATTTTTAACCGTTTAAAATCATTTTGGTGGAAAATGGTGAGCACCATTCGACGCAGAATTCCGAGCTGAACAAAATGATTATAAATTCGCCTTGTTTTTCAACCGATTTTCAACTTTTCGGTTTCTAGGGAATTTGATGTTTTAATTTTGATCTTGAGTCAGAAACAATATAGAGTTTGATAGAGTTTTTGATGCCGAGAAAGATGCTGCTGAACAATTCTGATCAAAACCTCGACGTGGAAATGAGCACGAAATAGAGCACGGGGAAGTTGGCCAAAAATTGGCCAACTTTCCTCCACCTGTGATATGTTATTGACATGAGCAACAAGTTTGCTGAAAATATGTAACAAAATCAAAGATATTGCAATAAACCGATTTATTAACCACAAGAAAAATGTTTAACTGTTAGAAACCTTCCCACAAAGTGCCGGTTTTAAGGTTGCGTTTGTACACATACCAAATTGTCCAGAACTAAAACACAAGTCTTGCCATGAAATATATTTTTGGCCACCCCATAAAATTGTAGTGTTCTTTATCCTGTCAGCAAGATATTCGTCGGATTGTGTAGTTGTGTAACCATCCGTCCAAATAAATCGATCATATCCACACGTTTCAGTTTGTTTACAATGATTATCATCAGTTTTTTCACACTCATCTGACGTACACTCAGTTTTCAATGTGGCACCAATCCAAGTTGTTGTTGTAATATTCGAGGCAACTCTCAAACTTTCAATCACAATTCTCATTTCCGAATCATCGATTGATGAAATCACAGCTCCCAATTCACCACAAGCCGCTGCACCGTCTGTTTTTGTGGTAGGCTCCGAAACAACTTGCATACACCATCCAGTTGTATTTCTTTTGTAGTAGGTCCAACCATCATCACATTGGGTTCGGTTTCGACATCTCAAACGACACGAATCCACCAAGTGAAGAAGGCACAGGAACAACACCAACAACTTCACAATCATTTCTGATCTGATACTTTCTGATCTTCAGGCCTCGCTTTTATGCAAAAATATTTCACGCCTCTTCAATTCTCGCCATAAAAATCATGTTTTCACGAGCGGAAAAACGATTTGGCACAATTTTATTTTATTGGACCGTAAATTCCCGCAAATATTTTATCTATTTTTCTGAATTTTATCTTTGATTTCTCAAAATACAGTATGCCAGGAAAATAATTCCTGTGGAAAATTTAGAATTTTTAGGCTTGTAAACCAGAAGCTTCTCGTTAAAATGAGCAATGTTTAAAAATCAAAACTTATTGTCAAACTTCAGGTTTTCTATACTCTGAGCAATGCTTCTAACATGAGCAATGGCTTGAATTCAATTGAAAAATTGAAAATTTTCATTAAAAAATATGCCAAAAGTGTTGCTCATATTAAAAATTATGAAAAATTTCCGAATTTTCGTCTCTAACTCATGTTTGAGCTCAAAATGCTCCAAATTTTCTGGATTTTTCAAAATTAGTATCAAAATGCTCCGAAATTTCTGAAATTTTTCAAAATTAGTATCAAAATGCTCCAAAAATTGTGATTTTCATCATATTTTACCTCAAAATGCTCCAAATTTTCCAAAGAATCCCCAATTTTTTTGCAGAATGGCAGCCGTTTCCTCAGTCTATCACCCAGTTGTTTGCGACGCTTGCCAAGTTCGCTCATTCACCGGTTTTCGCTACAAATGCCAGCGTTGCCCCAATTATCAGTTGTGTCAGAGTTGTTTTTGGCGTGGAAGAACCAGTCAGAATCATTCGAATGAGCATGAGATGAAAGAATATTCGAGTTATGTGAGTTTGCCAGGGAAATTTGGGCATTTTTGGGGAAATTTTGAAAAATTCGGATTTTTTCGAGTTTTTCAAGCCTAAATTTGAAAAATTCTGAAAATTTCGAGTTCAAACATGATATTTAAGCCTAAATTTCAGCAATTCTCTAATATGAGCAATATATATTTGCCACGTGGCATTTTTATTGATTTTTGGAAATACAAAAACAAAAAACATTGCTCAGATTATAGAACAAAAATTTGAATTTTTAAAAAATTCCAAACATTGCTCAGATTATGCAAAAAATTGAGAAATCCCTTATTTTCTAGGTTTTTGGAGCTCGAAAATAGTCAATTTTGAGCACAGGAAAATCATTGCTCATATTAAATTTTCCGATTTTTTTGAGATTTTTTGGCATTGCTCAGATTATACGAAAAAAGTTCCAAATTTTAATAGAGCATTGCTCATATTAAATTTTCCCAAAGATTTTTTGGCATTGCTCAGATTATGCAAAAATTTAGAAAAATCTGATTTTCTAGGTTTTTGGAGCTCTAAAAATAGTCAATTTTAAGCACAGGAAAATCATTGCTCATGTTAATTTTTCTTCGGATTTTTTGAGCCAAACATTGCTCATATTAGAGAATTTTTTGGCATTGCTCAGATTAAATCGCATTTTTTTTGCAGAAATCTCCTACCAAACAATTCGTGCACTCAATTCACAAATCCCTCCAATGTCTTCCGATTTCCTCGTCTTCCGCTTCCGCTTCCGCTTCCGCATCCATTTTCCATCAATCCGACAGTCTTCCACCGCCAACCTCAGCTGCGCCTTTAAACCTAACAAATATAGTTCCGGCAACTCCGACGACAATTCGACGGAATGCTGGAATTGCTGCGGAATGGCAGCAGCAAATGCAGCAGGATTCGCCGATTTTGTTGCCTGGACAAGCGTCTCATGGGGGATTGATTGATGATGAACACAAATTGATTGCGAGATATGCGGCGAAATTGAGCGGAAGGGCTGATGTACGTGGAAAATGACGTGGATTTTTGGGATCTACGTGGAAAATTAGGCCTGGAGGAAGTTCTCCTGATTCTCTAGCTCAAAATTTGCTCCGTGGCCTAGAAAACCAATAGTGCTTTGTTGGTTTTCTAGGCGATCCCTTGATTTTCACTGAATTTCGATATCAAATCAGTGTTCCACGTGAAAAATTAGACCTAAGAGAAGTTCTCCTGGTTTTCTAGCTCAAAATTCGCTTCGTGGCCTAGAAAACCAATAGTGTTGGTTTTCTAGGCCACGGCGAATTTTGAGCTGGGAACATGGTTTTGGGGATGATTTTTGATGGGGAACCTGTTAAAATTAGTTGGAATTTTTGAAAATGAGCCGGTGACCGAGAAAAATGCGATTTTTTGGATTAGGTTGGTTTTCTAGGCCACGGAGTGATATTGCAGTGAGTACGGCTAATTTTGATGACTAAATTCATGATCTACGTCAAATTTTAGGTCTAGGGAAAGTTCCCCTGATTCTCTAGCTCAAAATTTGCTTCGTGGCCTAGAAAACCAATAGTGTTGGTTTTCTAGGCCACGCGTCTAAAACCTTCCGGACAACGTCTAGCCTCCCTGAAATTTCACGTGGATCACGAAAATCACCATGAAAATCCTTGAAAACAACCCGGTGGCCGAGGTTTTCACCTCGTGGCCTAGAAAACCAATAGTATTGGTTTTCTAGGCCATCCCTTGATTTTCACTGAATTTCAATATCAAATTATTGTTCTACGTGGAAAATTAGGCCTGGGGGAAGTTCTCCTGATTCTCTAGCTCAAAATCTGCTCCGTGGCCTAGAAAACCAATAGTATTGGTTTTCTAGGCCACGCGTTCAAAACTCTCCGGACAACTTCTAGCCACCTTGAAATTTCACGTGGATCACGAAAATCATCATGAAAATCCTTGAAAATCACCTGGTGGCCGAGTTTTTCCCCAAATGGCCTAGAAAACCAAAAGTCTCTAAAAATCTTCGGAGAACTTCTATATACCCTAATTTTTCACGTAGATCACGAAAATCACCATAAAATGTGTTGAAAACTACCGTATCTCATCGAAAAATCACTTACAGTACCCTCTATCGAATGGTCGAATGAATTCTTCTTTGGTCGAAGACGAGCGACTACTCATAGCCCAATTGGAAGAGGAAAATAGTCAGATGGCGAGAGAAATGGCGAGGTTAGAGACGCAGACACAACAATCGGAGAACAACGATGGATTGGCTGGATTGAGAGATCGGAAGATGGAGTTGGAGGAGAAGATGTTTGAAATGCAGCAGAGACGAAAAGAGTTGATGATGCAATTGGAGCATTTGATGGCACAATTGAATGTGAGCTAGGAAGGGAATTTGGGGGGAATTTTTTGAAAAATTCAGAAAATTTGCGATTTTTTGAGTCTAAACATGACTAGTTTCTGAATAATTTGAGATTGCTCAGGTTATAGAAAAATTTAGATAGCTTTGATCATTGCTCATATTAATCAATTTTCTGTGAATTTTAGGGATTGCTCAGATTATACAAAAACAGGGTCACTGTATATTTATGACCAAATTTTGAAGATCGAAATTAGACATTGCTCAGATTATGCAAAAAATTTAGAAAAATCTGATTTTCTCAGTTTTTGGAGCTCTAAAAATAGTCAATTTTGAGCACAAGAAAAACATTGCTCATATTAAAGAATTTTTCGGAATTGCTCAGATTATGCAAAAAATTTAGAAAAATCTGATTTTCTCAGTTTTTGGAGCTCTAAAAATAGTCAATTTTGAACGCAGTTTGTAAAAACATTGCTCATATTAAATAATTTTTTGGCATTGCTCAGATTATGCAAAATCTGATTTTCTGGGGTTTTTAAAGCTCTAAAAATAGTCAATTTTGAGCACAGTTTTTAAATTTTGAAAAAAAAAGCATTGCTCAGATTACACATAATTTTCCAGAATCCACCACCTTCTAACCTCACCAATTCAACCTCTGGAATTCAACAACCATCCACCTCATTATCCGCCACAAATCTCGCCAATGATGTTCTCAACTTATCGCAAGTCGCAAATGCTTTCCGCGCCGGAAGTCTTCCGGCTGCCACGTTGCAATGCGATTTATTACAGGCGGCCGATCAGATTACGAATAATATGAGCGATTTGGTTCGGCAATTGGATTTGGCGCAAGAGAATGGGGCTTAGGCCGGGGGATTTGAGAGGGCCTGAATTTCAGGCCTTTCTTTGGTAGCCTGAAGTTCAGGTCCTGAATTCTAGGCCCTAAAAATCTCTATAATTTTTTTTTTTTGAAATCGAAAACGGGTCTTGCGACGAATAGGAACTCAATTTAATTTTTTTTTTAAATCCCAAATTTTGTTTTTTTTTTTTTTGATAATTTTTTAATAATCCTCAAAATTTCTAATAAATATTTTATTTTTCCGAATTTTCAGACGTGAAACGTGGCCCATAAAAACCATTTTTCAAAATTTAGCTATCAGAAAATGGATGCAAAAACAATATCAACATCAAAAATTGCACATAAAAATGAGAGAAATCAATCGATAATTGTTGGAGTTATGGTTTTGGTTTCGATTCTTCTAGTAGGTGCTGTTATGTTTTTGATTCTTTTCATCCAATCAGATGCTGGATTGTGTGAAAATCGAGATTTGTATTTGTCAAACATCAATATTTTTTCATGGATTATGTGTGGTGTTTATGGTTTGCTTTGTTGGTTATCATGGTTGATGTATTCGATAGCTGATTCAAAAATCGAAGCGAAACAGGAGGAAAAAAATGGGAAAAAATCCTCCGATGTTTCAGCAAATTCTATGAAATTATGACGAAATCGACCAGAAAAAACTGAGCATTTGAGCTAACTCGCACTGTGTGTTTTCAATAAACACTTTTTTGAACGTCGTTTTTTTCGGCCAAATGTTCAGAGAAAAATAACATTTTCTCTCTTATGTTAGGTTTTCTTGAAATATAGCCAGATTTTTTCAAAAAAAAAAAAAAAAAAACAAAAAAAACAATTGTGGCCGTGGACGAGTTTTCCAAAGCGTCATGTTCGTGTAGTTCACACCCGTTCAAACAATGAAAAAAATAGAAATTTCTTTTATTCACACTGCGCCGCAATTTGCAAAGGAATTAGCTAACTAAGTGGCAAAACTGAATATACCATTAGAATCAGCGCATCGAGATCTGTGTGAGACTACGCATTTCGTAATTTTTAGGGTCCTGCGAAGAAAGTTAGCAATCGCGACAAGACCCAACGCATGAAATTTTTCGGCTTGAACGGGTGTGAGTTCGCGCGGACAAGTTTTCGAATTATTTTTTTTCGCAAACTTTTCGAATTCACTCCGTTTCAACCCTGAACAAATAGAGAAAACGCAGCGCAGACAAAAAAGAACCCCGTAAATATGAATCGTTCAAAGGAACATGGACCATCGCTTCAGGACCCATCAGTTGGCTGGTTGCCAGCCTTATAAAATTTCGCGGTTCTTTTTCGTCTGCGCTGCGTTTTCTCTATTTGTTCGCCCGGAAACGAAGTGAATTTGTGCTTTCTGAAGATAATGTGAAGTAATTCCCTTTTAAACCCCCGCGAATTGTTGCACGCCAAACGCGCCTTCAAGGTGAAGACTGACGCGTTTGAGCGTGGGAACGAGCCATTGTTTGTTCTTTTTTGTTGTTTTCAGACAAGTTCTGAGTTTTAAACTTGTTGCTGTTTCTTTCACAAGTTCTACGGTGTGAACTTGTGATTAGGTGATAATCCCCATTGTAAATTGTTGATTCCGGAATCGGAATCCTTTTGCTATTGTTATTTTATTTAAAATCACTCAATAAATTATTGTTTGAAACTTGTTGTTCATTTTTGCACATTTTAAGTGGCAATTCCACTTAGAATTCCTATATTTTGTGGACCCTTATCGAGACTTGAAATAAGTCGACAAGGGCAACCATTACTTGGGGGCCGAACTAAAATCCAACGAAAAACCGAGTGAAATTTGGTTATTTGGAGGAACGAATTGGTTGTATTTTGTGTTGCTCAAGAAAATTCTTTGAGTAATATAAGATTTTATTGATTCGAATCGAGTCAATTAGCTGTGGAAGTTGGTGATTGGTGTGATTGGAGGTGGAACATCGACGGAGTCGGGATTGGCAACTTCAGAGGTTTGAATCAAACTTTTGAAGCGTCGTTGTGATCTAAGATCATCAATTCATTCTTTTTGCAGTGCAATCAAACTATGACATCAAATATGGGAGCGAATTGGGCAAATGAGACGGAAAAATCGACAAAAGATGAGAAAGTTGAGACTGGAGCTGTTGAGTCAACGATTTTTGAATGGGTGGAAGAGAACAGTGAAGAATATGTTAAGAAAGCTGTCGCGACCGCGAAAGAAGATATTTTGCGAGTTGCAAAAGTCACGAAACGTCAGGCTGATGTAATTATGGAACCGCTTGCCAGAAGTTTTGACAAATTTGTCGCGGGTTTGTGTGAGGAGTTGCGCGAATCGCCGAATTTGGTCAATAATGAAGAGGCGAGATGTATTCGATATTTGCGAAAAGTGGAATTTGCGGATGTCGATATTGTTCATAGATATATGAGTGCTGGCGCGGAAGTTTTGAGATTTGAGAGAGAAACCGGGTATGATGCTGATGGTTATAAAGCTCAGGTTGATAAAGAAATTGATAAATGCAATTTCCAGGTGAACAAGTTGCATGGCGAAGCCGAAAAATGGAGAAATGAAGCCGAAATGTTGAAAAAGAAAGTTGAAGATTCTGAGGATGCATATGGTGAATTATTAGAGAAGTATACAAAGATGGAAAAGGAAGTACAATTGTTGAAGAACCGAAAAGGTGAGAAAACAATCCGAGAAGCATCACCAACACCAAGTTTCCAGATGTTTTCCGATTTGAAGAATGCGAAATCGAAATTTGCGACTTCGAATCGAGGTGCAACTGTTGAGACAATGGCTGGACGTGTTTTGGAAGATGGTGAGTCTTCTTCGGGGCTTTCAAAATTGGAAACCGATAAGCGCAGCGAAAATTCGACTGAAAAGAGAACCAAAGATTGGGTTATTCATGGAAAATCGAAGATTGTTTCCGATGGAGGATCCGAAAATGTCGATGGACATAGAGGAGGAAAATCGGAAAAATCGCCAACAAAAACGAGAAGTTCTATTGAAAGTGTTAAAGATGGATTGGTGGCGATGATGGGATTCATGAAGCTGAATAGCTTCCCAGATCCAGAACCGTTTTCGGGATATGCCAGTGAGAATTTGGATGAGTTCCTCGAATTGTTCGAGTTGAAATATGGAAGTTTGACTGGAAATGGAAAAGAAATGGGTGCTATTTTGACCGGAAAATTCCTCAAAGGTCACGCCAAAAAGTTGTTTGATTCAATTGATGTTGGAAAAGATTGGAAATGGAAAGAAGTTAAAGAGAAGTTTGAAGAAGTTATGAATGCTTCAAGAACAAGCAAAAGAGGAAGAGCAATTGAGAAATGGCAAGATATGAAAATTGGAAAGAACCAATCGTTGCAGATGTATTGCATTGAAATTGAGAAATTAGCGCGAGACGCATTTGATGCAAGTCCGCGTGAAATCGACATTTATAAGACGGCGAAATTGTTGCAAGCAACCAGAAGAAATTCTGCGCTCGCTGGACTTTTGGCAGTCAAGAAAAATGATAAGAAAGACGGAAATCAATACGAAACACTCAAATCTGCCGCTCTTCAATTTGAATATGATTTGGAAAGAGAGAAATATCGAGAAGATCGAAAGAAGTTTGAAAAGAAAGGTGGATCGGACCCAGGTGAAAGTTCGAAAGCCAAAAATGAGAAATCGGAAAATGCGGATAAAGATGAAACTTCGAAGACAACTAAGGAAAAATCGAACCAAGGTGAAAGTTCGAGAAGAGATGCTGGAAGATGTTTTTCATGTGGAAAAGATGGACATTTTATCGCGAATTGTCCGAATCGAGCTGAAGTCAATTGTTTGAAAACCGAAGGATTGTGCAAGATGAGACCTGTAGAAAAAGCGACAATTTTGGGTCAACAAGTTGAGATTTTGATTGATTCGGGATCGGAAGTCTCGCTCATGTCATCGAAAATATTCGACAAATTGATGGACGGTGCCAGAAATTTGGAGAAATCAAAATCGAAAGTTGAGCTACCAGGTAATTGGTCGTTGAAAAGTTGTGGAGGAACAAATATGAAGATTATCAAGCAATTGGAAGTTGAAACGAAAATTCGAGATCGAGAAGAAAAGGTGAAATTCCAGATTATTGAGCAAGATATGAATATGTTGATTTTGGGATTGGATAGTTTCAAAAATTTTGGAATTTTTGTGGGCTGGAAATCCGAATCAAATATGGAAGATGCAAATGTGAAATCTGGAAATCCAGGTGTCGGAAAGAAACGACAAAGAAAACGCGCAGCGCGAAAAATTCGGGAAAAGGGAACTGATTTGGTTCAGAAAATTTATTCCTTGAAGATTTCAGATTCGGAGGATGAATCGCGCGATTTTTCGACTGGACCAGAAGCTGATAAATCAGAATTGATTGGAAAAGAAGTTGCTGAAAGTGTTGATCAAGAAAAGATGTTGGAAGATATGGAGTTATGGAGAAATCCATATAATATTGGAAAGAAGTCACTTGTAATGATGAATGGAAAATTTTCGGCGGTTGATCGGGACACATTGGATCGAAGAATTGCGGTTGCCGATGGTGTTTGGAGGAAATTGATGTCGAAGGACAGCGGGTGTTGTGGCTCCGAGTCGATGTAAATAATTTTTATTTTTCGTTTTCCCCCGACCCCCCGTAGTTAAGAATTATTATTTTGTAGTTAAGAATTTAGGATAAGTTTAGGGTTTTGTAGGTTAGGTTAGGGCTTAGCCAGGGACGGCTAATTCAAGGAGGGGGAAGTAATTCCCTTTTAAACCCCCGCGAATTGTTGCACGCCAAACGCGCCTTCAAGGTGAAGACTGACGCGTTTGAGCGTGGGAACGAGCCATTGTTTGTTCTTTTTTGTTGTTTTCAGACAAGTTCTGAGTTTTAAACTTGTTGCTGTTTCTTTCACAAGTTCTACGGTGTGAACTTGTGATTAGGTGATAATCCCCATTGTAAATTGTTGATTCCGGAATCGGAATCCTTTTGCTATTGTTATTTTATTTAAAATCACTCAATAAATTATTGTTTGAAACTTGTTGTTCATTTTTGCACATTTTAAGTGGCAATTCCACTTAGAATTCCTATATTTTGTGGACCCTTATCGAGACTTGAAATAAGTCGACAAGGGCAACCATTACTGTGAGATTTTTCATCAATGATGTGGATGCAGATCGCGAAAAACATCGAATTTTTTTAAAATCGAAAAATGAAGACGTGAAACGTGGCAGCCCCATTTTTTTTTGGTATTTAAACGAAGCCGTCGGAGATTTTGTCAGTTTTCATAATTTTGTTACTAGAAAGTCATATTGCTATATGGATCCACAAACAACCACAACATCCACATCAAAAATTGCAAGTCAAAATCGAGAAAATGAAAACGAGAAGCCGGTTGGACGAAAACAATCGATAATCGTTGGAGTGATTTCTTTGATTTTGATTCTTCTAGCAGGCGGTGCAATGTTCTGGATTCTCTTCACCCAATCAAATATCGATGAGGCTCCCAAGAAGATCTTTCAGCAACACAAAACAGGTATTTATTTATTTTATGTAGAAAAATACTCATGTTTTCACAGAAATCATCGATTTTGCCGAGAAAGCTGTTCAAGTTGTTCGAAATTTCCCGCATTTTTTGAATGATTTTGCAATTGAGCATATTTCGTCTAAACTTTTCGATTATATTCGTCAGGAGCTTAACATTCCGAAGATGAAACAGAATACGGTTCCTGTGTTCACAGAATTTGATTGGAGAACTAATCAACCGACATTGGAAATAATCCATAACTGCACTCCTCCTAAGGGTATTATCCTTGAAAAGAATGCATTTATGAAATTGCTCAATGAGCCATTTGAGATTAAAAGGAAAGAAATGGTAAATATTGAGAAGCCGGTTAATGATTCGCAATTAGAATTCGATAAAATCATCGAGAAAGAATCGAGAAAACCGGGAAGATTATCAAAGCAAAATATGATTGGATATTCGAAGAGTATTGTGACAGTGCTTGAAGATTATCAATCAAGAACTGTGACTCGAGATGATTCATTTATAAAATCATATGAAACACAGGTTGATTCTCGACATGTTGCTGAACTTGCACATTTGATTCTAACCATCGTTTTCTACTCAATTGATTTGTTAATTTTCGCCGCAATTATGACAATCTTCATATTTTATCAACGACGAAAATTATTGCTGGAAAAGCTTAAAAAGTTGTCGAGGATTCTTATGATTATTTCTGCAATTTTTGTGATTGGCTGGTTGATTTTTGCAGTCTTGGGATATTTTGATATTTCACCATTTTTTTATGATTGTGAATTGAAAAGCGAATCGCAAAATCCGATTGGGAAGTTCACAAACTTTGATGGAAAACAGATTGATATTGGGAAACTGAATGGTGGATGTGAAAAAGGGGACACTGTTTACTCAATTATGAATCCGTTTTTGAATTCACAGATAATTGATGGGTATTTGAGACGTTTTCAATCGGATGTTCAAAGTTTTGTAACTGGTCTTATTGCGCTAAAAATTGGTGTAACGGCTGATGAAATCGGAATACATTCTTTGAAATTACAAAACCAGATAGCATTGTTCACTCCATACAAAGCACCACCGTGTAACACTGAAATCAACGGTCAACAATATGTCAAAAATCTTATTAATCTAATGAGTAGTCACATAAGCGATTTGGGACAGTTTAACAGTCTCAAGCTCGGAATCCCAGAAAAGTTGATTACTTTGCCATCCGAAACCGCTACATTTATGCAGACTTCATTCAATGAATTGCAAAATATTTCCGTGAAAACTTGTTCATCGATAAAAGTTAGTTTTTTTCCAACAAAAACCTGTTTCTGAGTAAAACATGTTTATTTTCAGTCGCAGCTCGATTCATCTGATTATTCTTGTTATCTCGAAATGCCTCCTGGATTATGTGAAAATCGCGACACGTATTTCTCAAACATCAATATTGTTTGGTGGATTATGTTGGGTATTTATGTTTTGAATTTCTTGTTGTCATGGTTGCTGTATTTGATACCTAATTCGATAATTAAAAGAAGAAAGCATTCGGCGAAAATGGAAAAAATGAGAAAAGAAGAAGAGGAAAAGAAAAAGAAGGAAAAAGAGGATGATAACAACAAAAGGATTGAGAATGAAGAGAAACAGAAAAAAGTGAGCATTTTTAGGTTTCTTTCAATGAATTATGAAATGTTTATAGGCACTAGTCAATAAACTTGATGTAGTTGAGAAGCAAAATAAAGTGATGGGCAAAGAATTGAAAGCGACGAAGATATTGGCGGAAGAACAGGGAAATGTGAGATTTTTTATGAAATTTTTATTCTTGAACTCATTTTTTCAGTTGCTCGAAAAAAAACAAAATCAAATTGATGAACAAGGTGTGGAACTTGAGGAAAATCGCGTGGAAATGAAGAAGGCGGATAAGAAAATATTTGATTATCAGCAAGAAATTGGTAAACAAACCGCGAAAGAATTCAATGTCAATCTTGATGAAAAACCCTGGTCCAAGGAATCGATTAAATCCAAATCGAAGTCGAAGATGGAAAAATCCACCAAATCCAAATCGACCATCACGAAATCGAGCAAAAAATGAGAATTTTGAATAAAACACTTGATTTTGAGCGATTTTTTGGACCCAAATCATGAATTTGGATGAATTTAGCTCACTGATATTCGGCCCATTGCTCAGATTATATATTTTTCTGAGTCTAAACACGTTCTACTCACTCATTTTCATAGCAATATCAGATTTTTTGGCGTGAAATTGAAAAATTCAAATTTATTTAGCCACGTGGATTTTTCAAAAATTCAAAAAATTTCATTTTTTATTCACACACACAGACAAAAAACAAACAAAAATCGTTATTTTTTTCAAATTTGGGCACATAAAAATATAATAAAATTTCGAATAAGTAAGAAGATTTCGGGGAGTACTGTAGGTACAGTACTCCAAGAGAGAGGGGTACTGTAGCAGGGGCCACAGTTTTGTACGAATTTCTATTTTATGTGTCCGCGAATGTTTTATCGGTTTTTTGCAGCATTTTTATTATTCGCAAGCTACTGTATGTCTAGAATTTACGGTCGCATAAAAAAATCGTACAAAATTGTTGGAAAACATGGATTTTTATGGCGAAAATTGAAATATTTTTGCATAAAAGCCAGGCCTGAACATCAGAAAGTATCAGAAATGATTGTGAAGGTGTTGGTGTTCCTGTGCCTTCTTCAATTGGTGGATTCGTGTCGTTTGAGATGTCGAAACCGAACCCAATGCGATGATGGTTGGACCTACTACAAAAGATCAAAAACTGGATGGTGCATGAAAATGTTGGCTGAACAAAATCTCACAAAAATTCAAGCCGACCAATCTTGCAGTAATTTTGGAGCTGTGATCTCATCCATCGATGATTCGTCAATGAACACCAAGATTCTTAGTCTGAAAAATGTGCCAGGCGCTACGCAAACCCTGCTCGGCGCCACTTATAAATTCGAATGTTTTTGTGGTGAATATAGTTGTGAGCTAACTGATAATTGTGGGAGAAATGGATATTATTGGACTGATGGATATACAACTTCTAATGATTATATCTTGGATAATCTGGGTATTCGTGTGTTTAATATTACTGAGAATAACATTATGACAACAAGGGTATTTAGTTATGATGTATTGATTATAAATGCTGCATCAAGTGAGTGGGGGCTATTACGGGTCAAAATTTGAAATTAAAAAAAAAAAAAAAATTTTTTTTTTTTTTTTTTTTTTTTGCAAAATTGGTTGATTTTTGTCGTTTTTCATGTAGAAACATTGAAAATCCGGAAAAAAAAATTTTTTTTTTACTGTAGTTTTTGGTCTCGACGCGAAAAGAACTACGGTTGATATTTTATTTATTTTTTTTAAATTTTTTTTTTGCAGATCTCCAAACAACTTATTCAACCAACACGTTTGATTCGGTGATTTGTGGGAAAAAGTCGAATTATTGATTGAAATTTAAAATTTGGGGTTTTTATTGGTAATAATAAAATTGGTTTTTCAAATTTTTCCAGTTTTTTTTTTGAAATTTTTGGCGCGAAAATCAAAAATTCAAATTTTTCCATTTTTTAAAATTCTTGGCGCGAAATTTGAAAATTCAAATTTTTCCAGTTTTTTTTTTCTCAAATTTTTGGCGCGAAATTTGAAAATTCAAATTCTTAAACACGATTTTTTGGCGCGAAGTTTGAAAATTCAAATTTTTCCAGTTTTTTTTTTAAATTTTTGACGCGAAAATCAAAAATTCAAATTTTTCCATCTTAAATTTTTGGCGCGAAATTTGAAACATTCAAATTTTTCTTTTTTCCATCTAAAATTTTTGGCGCGAGATTCAAAAATTCAAATTTTTCCATTTAAAATTTTTGCCGCAAAATTTGAAAATTCAAATTTTTCCATCTAATATTTTTGGCGCGAAGTTTGAAAATTCAAATTTTTCCAGTTTTTTAAAAATTTTAGGCGCGAGATTCAATAATTCAAATTTTTCCAGCTAAAATTTTTGGCGCGAAATTTGAAAATTCAAATTTTTCCAGCTAAAATTTTTGGCGCGAAATTCAAAAATTCAAATTTTTCCAGTTTTTCTCAGATTTTTTGGCGCGAAAATCAAATATTCAAATTTTTCCAGTTTTTTTTTTAAATTTTTGGCGCGAAATTTGAAAATTCAAATTTTTCCAGCTAATATTTTTGGCGCGAAATTTGAAAATTCAAATTTTTCCATCTAAAATTTTAGGCGCGAAATTTGAAAATTCAAATTTTTACAGCTAAAATTTTTGGCGCGAAATTTGAAAATTCAAATTTTTACAGCTAAAATTTTTGGCGCGAGATTTGAAAATTCAAATATTACCAGCTAAAATTTTTGGCGCGAAATTCAAAAATACAAATTTTTCCATTTTTTTAAATTTTTGGCGCGAAATTCAAAAATTCAAAAAATTTCATTTTTTATTCACACACAGACAAAAAAACAAACAAAAATCGATTTTTTTTAAATTTTGGCACATAAAAAATAAATATTAAGAGGAATGTTCGCAAAAAAATTTCGAATAAGTAAGAAGATGGGGGAGTACTGTAGGCTACAGTACTCCAAGAAAGAGAGGTACTGTAGGTATACTGTATTATGAGCTGGGCGGTGCATAATTTGGTTGAGTTGATACAAAATAGTCGTCGAAAAAGTGGTAGAGCGTGTCGAAAGTCGGTCGACGATCCGGATTTTTATCCCAACATTTTAGCATAACTTCTTCGTAGATTTGTTCGGGACATCCACGTGGCATTGGCATACGGTAGCCGAGATCGACTTGTTCAACTACTTCACGATTATGCATTCCTGGAATCAAATTTTGGATGATTTTGGGCAGTTCTGAGCATTTTTATCGAATTTCTGATGATTTTTCACCCCTAGACATTTTTTTCTATTTTCATGACCTAGAAATCCAAAAAATCCAAATTTTCTAGGCCAGGCTTTCATTTTCAGGAGTTCTACCCATTTTCAACAGATTCCTATCGATTTTTTAACCCTAGAACACATATTTCAACCCTAAAGCTCGTCATGGCCTAACTTTCCACCTCATGGCCTAGAAATCCAAAAAACTCGGCCACCTGTTGGTTTTCAAGAATTTTCATCATAACTACAGGATTCCTCGTAAAATTCTGATTTAGAAAAACCTAGTTTGAGCTAAAAACTCGTCATGGCCTAACTTTCCACCTCATGGCCTAGAAACCCAAAAAACTCGGCCATGAGTCAATTTTGACGCTAGAGAGCCAGAAAAACATGTTTCCTGGCTAATTTTTTACGAGGAATTCGAATATCGCATTGAAATTCGGTGAAAATTGCGCTGTGACCTAGAAAACCAAAAAAAACCCCGGCCACGTGTCAATTTTGACGCTGGGAAGCCAAAAAAACAAGTTTCCTGGCTAATTTTTCACGAGGAATTCGAATTTTGTGAAATTTTACCTGGATACGGAACCTGTCCTTTTGTCATAATTTCATACAATAGAATACCATACGACCAAACATCACTTTTCACTGTGAAGTTACCGCAAGTCGCCGCTTCTGGCGATGTCCATTTAATTGGGAATTTCGCGCCAGTTCTTGCCTCATAAATGTCTTCTTCCATTAATTTTCGAGCCAAACCGAAATCTGCGACCTGAAAGAAAATTGGGGTAATTTCAGCTTAAAATTCACGATTTTTGGGTAATTTTGACCTTAAAACCCTAAGTTTAGGGTAATTTTGACCTTAAAACCTTAATTTTAGGGTAATTTTAACCTAAACACCTTAATTTTAGGGTAATTTTAGGTCAAAAATCATGATTTTTAGGTCAAAATGCTCACCTTGACAACTGGAACTCCGGAAATCTTGTCACCAACTAGCACATTTCTCGCCGCCAAATCTCGATGCACCAATTTTCGCTCCTCCAAATACATCATACCGTTGGCGATCTGCAAAATCGATTTTTGAAGGTTTGGGGCTCATTTTTGAGCTCTAGAACTGATTTTCAAGCCCTGGAGCTCAAATGTCAGGTCTGGGGGTCATTTTTGAGCTCCAGAAGTCAATTCTTAGATCTAGAGCTCAAATTTTAGGTTTAGGGCTCATTTTTGAGCTCCAGAAGTCATTTTTGAGCTCTAGAACTGATTTACAAGCTCTGGAGCTCGAATTTTAGGTCTAGGGCTCATTTTTGAGTTCTAGAAGTCAATTTTGAGCTTAAAAACTCAATTTTTGAGCTCTAGAACTGATTTTTAAGCTCTGGAGCTCAAATTTTAGGTCTGGGGCTCATTTTTGAGCTCTAGAACTGATTTTCAAGCCCTGGATCTCGAATTTTAGGTCTAGGGCTCAATTTTGAGCTCCAGAAGTCAATTTTGAGCTCCAGAAGTCAATTTTAAGCTCCAGATGTCAATTTTGAGGTCTAGAGGACAATTTTGAGCCCCTGGAGCTCATTTTTTAGATCTAGAATCAATTTTGAGCTCTAGAACTGATTTTTAAGCTCTGGAGCTCAAATTTTAGGTCTAGGGCTCATTTTTGAGTTCTAGAAGTCAATTTTGAGCTTAAAAACTCAATTTTTGAGCTCTAGAACTGATTTTTAAGCTCTGGAGCTCAAATTTTAGGTCTAGGGCTCATTTTTGAGCTCTAGAACTGATTTTCAAGCCCTGGATCTCGAATTTTAGGTCTAGGGCTCAATTTTGAGCTCCAGAAGTCAATTTTGAGCTCCAGAAGTCAATTTTAAGCTCCAGATGTCAATTTTGAGGTCTAGAGGACAATTTTGAGCCCCTGGAGCTCATTTTTTAGATCTAGAATCAATTTTGAGGTCTAGAGCTCATTTTTAAGCTCCAAAGCTCATTTTCAGCTTAAAAACTCAATTTTTGAGCTCCAGAGCTCATTTTTCGAGCTCCAGACCTCATTTTTGCTCAAAAATTCCAAATGTTGAGCTCTAGAACTGATTTTCTAGCTCTGGAGCTCGAATTTTAGGTCCAGGGCTATTTTTTTAGCTCCAGAGGTCAATGTTGTGCTCCAGATGTTAATTTCGAGCTCAAAAACTCAATTTCTGAGCTCTAGACTTCATTTTCAAGCTCCAAATCTCATTTTTTGAGCTCCAGACCTCATTTTTGCTCAAAAATCCCAAATTTTGGCTCATTTTCCCCCAAAATAGCCAACCTGTGCAGCCATATCAACCAATGCCTGAATTCCCAGTGTATTTCCATCATTTCTCAAATAATGCAACAATGATCCATTGCTCATAAATTCGGTGATAATATAAAAAGGCTCTTCACGTGTACAAACTGCATATAATTTGACGAGATTCGGATGATCACATTGTTTCATAATTTGAGCTTCTCTGCAAAAAATCGGGATTTTTAGGGGGAAAATTTGGATTTTTCGGGAAAAATTGATCCAGAACACACTTTTCTAGCTCAAATTCGCTCAGTGGCCTAGAAAACCAAAAAATTCAATTTTCTAGGCCACCGGGTCATTTTCAAAAATTCCAACTAATTTTAACAGCTTCCCCATGAAAAATCACCCCCAAATCCCCGTTCCTGGCTCAAAATTCGACGTGGCCTAGAAAACCAATACTATTGGTTTTCTAGGCCACGCAGCAAATTTTGAGCTAGAAACCTGCGACAACTTCGTCTAGGCCTAATTTTCAGCGTAGATCACGAATTTAATCATGAAAATTAGGCAAATTCACTGAAAAACCATTCTGTGGCCTAGAAAACCAAAAAATCCCCAATTTCTAGGCCACGCGTTGATTTTTCCACTTCAACACTATTTTTAACATGTTCCCCATCAAAAATAACCCCCAAATCCCCGTTCCCAGCTCAAAATTCGACGTGGCCTAGAAAACCAATACTATTGGTTTTCTAGGCCACGCAGCAAATTTTGAGCTAGAAACCTGCGACAACTTCGTCTAGGCCTAATTTTCAGCGTAGATCACGAATTTAATCATGAAAATTAGGCAAATTCACTGAAAAACCATTCTGTGGCCTAGAAAACCAAAAAATCCCCAATTTCTAGGCCACGCGTTGATTTTTCCACTTCAACACTATTTTTAACAGGTTCCCCATTGAAAATCACCCCCAAATCTCCGTTCCCAGCTCAAAATTCGTCGTGGCCTAGAAAACCAATACTATTGGTTTTCTAGGCCATGGAGCAAATTTTGAGCTAGAAACCTGTGAGAACTTTGTCTAGACCTAATTTTTAGCGTAGATCACAAATATCGCCATGAAAATTAGCCAAACTCACTGCAAAAACGCTTCCGGTGACATAGTTCCGGGTTTCATTGTTTTAATTGCCACCTCGACAATTCCTCGCCATTTTCCATACCAAACTTCGCCAAAATTACCATCTCCCAACTTCCTCTTCAAATGCAACTGATTTCTGGGAATTTCCCAATTTTGTTGTGTATCGTGTGATAAATCGGGTCGAGTTGGAGCAAGTCGTGGAGCCGGGAAGGTGAGTTGACAACACAGACCATCTGCCATATCTGTGTAGTATCTGACGAGTTCTTGGAGAGTTCGGAACGTTCGACGGGTTGTGATAAAGAATCCGGCGTCGTGATCGAGACGTTTGATTTTGTAGTGTTTGACTGAACCTGGAAAATGTGCATTTTTCTGATTTTTTTCAAAATTTCTGATGATTTTCAACAATTTTCATTATTACTACGAGATTCCCCATGAAATTCTGGTCCAGAAAAACCTATTCTCAACTCCAAAGCTCACCATGGCCTTACTTTCCACCTCATGGCCTAGAAATCCAAAAAACTCGGCCATGACGCAAAAATCGCGCTAGAGACACGGGAAAACTTGTTTCTAGCCTAATTTTTCACGTAGATCTCGAATTTTCACTAGAAATTGGGATTTGATGCCTATTTATAGCATTTTAGATATAATTTTTGTGAATAATTAAGTTTTCTGAAGTAATCTTCGAGTTTTAAGTGTTTTCCTAGTCATCATGAGATTCCTCATGAAATTCTGCTCCAGAAAAACCTATTCTCGAGCCCAAAGCTCACCATGGCCTAACTTTCCACCTCATGGCCTAGAAATCCAAAAAACTCGGCCATGACGCAAAAATTAAGCTAGAGACGCGGGAAAACTTGATTCTAGCCTAATTTTTCACGTAGAATTCAAAAATCGCGTCCCAAACCCCCGAAAAAATCCCGTACCTCCTCCTCTGGAATCATCTGAATCTCTAATCGTCAACGCGAATTCTCGTCCATCCGCCTCTCGTTCTCTGATCAAATATGTTCCTTTGGGCAAGTTCGACGACAAAACCAGGCGTTCCGCTCGATTCCGCGGGATTTTTCCGGCGTACCATCTGAAAATGGTGAGATTTTCGGGGGAAATTCAAATTTTTCAGTTTTCTAGAAAGTTTCCATCTTCAAGACTAGAATATTCGTGATCTCCATGAAAATCTGCGTCGGAAAGTGTTGCTTAATTTTTGGTGGCCGAGAAAACCAAAATTTGGTTTTCTAGGCCATGCGTCAAATTTCGCTAGAAAACCGTGTCCGGGGGTAGTTTTTTGCGTAGATCACAAATTTAGCGTCGAAAATGGGTAAAAACCTACTCTTCACTCTCAATTGTCTGCTGTCGGGCTACAAAATTCCTTGGCACATAACCCGTTTGTCCGGTTCGATGATGTCGAACGTACCACCAATCGCAATTGCTGCAAAAAATCGATAAATAGGGGGCGGAGCTTAGAGTTAGGCTAAATTCGGGTGAAAAAACCGTTTTTAGCTCAAAAAACGCGGATTTTTGCCGCCATTTTTGCATAGGGCACAGAAAAATGGGCGTGGCTTACCTGTTGTCCAGCAAATACATCGCATCGCCTTTTTGAAAACTGAGATCTCCGTCAGCTCGAGAATCGTAGGGGTAGAGAGCCACAAGGATTTCACGGTCTGCAAATTTTGAATTTTGGGTGAAAATCGTGAAATTTTAGGTCGAAAATTCATTTTAGATGTGTTTTTCTCGATTTTTTGATCTAGAAAACATCAAAAATGCCTAATTTTGGGTTGTGGCCTAGAAAACCAAATTGGCGGACTAGAAATCCAAAACTAGACCGTATTTTAAATTTTCAATGTTACCATCTTCTTCCCCGTGATTTTCTGATTCAGAATACACCCATGAACCCCGAATTCCTTGCATGGCCTAACTTTCCACCTCATGGCCGAGAAATCCAAAAAACTCGGCTATCTGATGATTTTTAAAGATTTTACATGTTTCCATGACATTCCTCATGATTTTCTGACCCAGAAAAACCTATTTTCGAGCCGAAAGCTCACCATGGCCTAACTTTCCACCTCATGGCCTAGAAATCCAAAAAACTCGGCCATATGTCAATTTTAACGCTAGAGAGCCGGGAAAACATGTTTCCTGGCTTATTTTTCACGAGGAATTCGAAAATGCTCACCATTTCTCGGCATATTCGCCGTATTGTCGCCGCCCATTCCGCCGGTCAACGAAATTGTGGCATCGCCGCCTCCATTATTCACATGAAACACTGTTTGTTGAGGCGGAACTTGGAATCTGCAAAAAAATGATGAAAAATAGGTGTTTAGGTTCTCAAGGCGCCGCTCCTTGACAATAAGGTTCTCTAGGCGCCGCTCCTTGCCAATCAGGTTCTCTAGGCGCCGCTCCTTGAAATAGAGATTCTCTAGGCGCCGCTCCTTGACAATAAGGTTCTCTAGGCGCCTCTCCTTGAAATATGGGTTCTCTAGGCGCCTCTCCTTGTAAGACTGGATCTCTAGGCGCTGCTCCTTGACAAAATCCTCCAAAAAATGGTCCCTAGACCAATTTTTCATGAAAATCTCGATTTTCAGCGTAAATTTTGCTGAAATTTTCAAAATTTCAGCCAAAAATTCACCTCGAAACATCGATTCTGTCGGCGATTCCCAGTTCACTGCCTCCATTTCGCCGTTCCTTCGAGAAAAGACATCCCATTCTACAAAAATTTGAGTTTTTGTGGATTTTCAGCCAAAAAATCTGGAATTTCAGCCTCAAACTCACATTAAAAACCAACAAAACTTCTATGCAAAATATAGCAACATGTGAGGGATTCGGGGGGAAATGATCTGAAAAAATTCGAGTATAATCTGAGCAATCAATAAAAATACCCGGTTCAAAAACAGGTTTCTACATATATAAATTTCTATATTTATTTACCCAAGCATCAAAAAAAGGCAAAAAAAGTGAGCAAATATCGAGGAGGCTAACAGAAATCGATACATTTTTAAAGGGAGGTACAGTACTATTGAGGAGAGTACTGTAGGTACCTTTAAAGGTACATAGGAAATTAAAGGATATATAGTACTAATCCCTTTATGGAATATCTAAAAAGAGTAAAAAGGTAAAACACTATTGAGAGTACTGTACCTCCCTTTAAATACAAATCCCAAGAATTTTTGAATTTTTAAAGGATCATACAGTAATTCTGTAGACTACTGTATGATCCTTTAAAATCCCACTTGAATCCTTGTTTCAAAAAAAAATCGATAGATTTCAATTTCACCGCGAAATTGTGTAAAGTGTGGGAAAAGCTTCTTCCTCCTCATCTTTCAAATAGTTACGAAATCGTGGCAAGACCCAAAGTTAGCCTAAGTCACGGCCTAAGCTTGGGCTTAGGCTTATATAAAATAGCGGTTTTTTTCCCTACAAGATCAAAAATGCATGAAATTTCCAGGTTTCTAGGTCAAAAAACCATGAAAATCTTGAATTTCCAGTCAATTTCTGATGAAAAATATACCCACAACATGAAAATCAAAAGAAAAAAGCTCAAAACAAGCGAAAAAAAAAATCGATAATAGTGTGTCCACCCTGGAAAAGGTCGCGTCTTTTTGTTGTGAGTATGATGATGCGTGGCGACAAAAAGAAGAAGAAAGAGTGGACACTAGTGCGAGAGAGTGAGAGAGCGCAGACATGAAGATGGGAGAAATTGGAACAGCAGGCGTCTTCTCGCGCGTTCGTTCTAAATTACAAAGTGAAAATATATAGCATTTTTCATAAGTGGGTAGCGGGATTTTCTAATTTATTAGATAGGTTTCCCTCAAAAACGATGAAAAAGCAAAAAATGAATAAATAAAAGTAAGAATGCAAGCGCGCCCCATTGAGAATTTTCGAAAAAATATTTTCTTTTTTCACGGGTTTTTTTGAAGAAAACACGTAAAATCTCTGCACGAAATACTAAAAGAGCATTTCTAGAACATTATTTCAGATCAAAAATGAACGAAGAACTTGCAAAAAGGATTCATCGAATGATCAAAGTGAATCTGAAGATGGAAAACCCTTCAGATGTTGTGAAGAAGTTTGCGATTGATTCGTCGCAATTAGATGAGAAATTGCATAATTTGAGCGATAAAGAGGCGATTGATTTGTTGATTTCGAAGGATAAAGGCGATAGTTCGTCGTCGGGTGTTGTTTATCATTTGGTGACCAGTTATGATAATCCGGAAAAGTTTTCGAAGGTGAGATGATGTTTGGGGAGCGGGTTGGGGAGGAAAATTGGAGACTGGAGAAGTGGAGGAGCTTGAAAATCATGGAAATTTGGTCTAGGAGGTGAAATTTCAGGGTTTTTCGAGTTCTAGACCTGAATTTTGTGATTTTCAAGGTCCTGGAGCTGAAAAGTGAGATTTGAAAGATTTTGAAGCTTGAAAATCATGAAAATCAGCTAGCTGGGTTGAAATTTCGTGATTTTCGAGGTCCTGGAGCTGGAAAATCATGAAATTCTGCTCCAGAAGCTTAAAAATTCCAGAAATCACCGTTTGAAGGCTGACAACCATGAAAAATCTGAAATTTTGCTTCACAGTCATCAAAATTAGATCCAGAAGCTTGAAAATCATGGAAATTAGCTCGCTGGCTTGAAATTTCGTGATTTTCAGGGTCCTGAAGCTGAAAAGTAAGATTTGAAAGGTTTTTGAGCTTGAAAATCACAAAATTCATCGTTCCAGGCTAAAAATGCATCAAAATTTCCGAATTTTGACTCAAAACTTATCCAATTCAGCGTCAGAAGCTAGAAAATCACAAATTTCATCGTTCGAGGGCTGTGAACCATGAATATTCTGAAATTTTGCTTCACAATTCATCAAATTCAGTTTCAGAAGCTAGAAAATCATGGAAATTTGATGTCTAGACAAAAATCTTGTGATTTTCAAGCTCCTGGAGCTAGAAAATCATGAAATTCATCGTTCCAGGCTGACAATTCATCAAAATTCTCAAAATTTGACTCAAAAATCTTAAAATTCAGCTCCAGAAGGTAGAAAATCGTGAAAATTCGCTCGCTGGATTGAAATTTCGTGATTTTCGAGGTCCTGGAGCTTGAAAATCATGGAAATTTGGTCTAAAAGTTGAAAAATCATGAAATTCAGCTCCAGAAGCTAGAAAATCATGAAATTCAGCTCCAGGAGCTAGAAAATCATGAAATTCAGCTCCAGAAGCCAGAAAATCAAGAAATTCAGCTCCAGAAGCTAGAAAATCATCAAAATCAGCTCCAGAAGCTAGAAAATCATGAAATTCAGCTCCAGAAGCTAGAAAATCATCAAAATCAGCTCCAGAAGCTAGAAAATCATGAAATTCATCGTTCCAGGCTGAAAATTCATCAAAATTCTCAAAATTTGACTTGAAAATCATCAAAATCCATCTCCAGAAGCTAGAAAATCATGAAATTCGCGAATTTTGCCTCAAAACTCATCAAATTCAGCTCCAGAAGCTAGAAAACCATCAAAATTCGCGAATTTTGACTAAAAACATCCCAAATTCCACCCCAAAACCTCAAATTTCCAAAATTTTCAGATGATGAAATACATTTTGGGAGCCGGTGTCGATTATTGGCATACAATATTGTGCAATTTGAATATGATATTAATTGAAGTGTGGCATTTGATACATTTGGGATGTAAAGAGCAATTAGTTCGGCTAATTCGAGAAGGAATTCGATTGAATGTGAAATCGATTGAAAATGTTCTCATGAATGTTTTTAAGAATATTTCGGGATCCGGAGATTGGCAGACTAAAGTTCGAATTATGAATATGGTACGGGAAGGCTGAAATTTGGCTGAAAATTGGAGATTTTTCATGCGAAAATGCAGGTTTACTTGTGTTTTCACATGAAAAATTGAGATTTTCAGCATGAAATTATAGAAATTTGGCTGAAAATTGTAGATTTTTCATTGGAAAATGCAGGTTTACTTGTGTTTTCACATGAAGATTCAAGATTTTCAGCCAAATTTCAATTTCAGCATGAAATTATAGAAATTTGGCTGAAAATTGAGATTTTTCATAGGAAAATGCAGGTTTACTTGTGTTTTCACATGAAGATTCAAGATTTTCAGCCAAATTTCAATTTCAGCATGAAATTATAGAAATATGGCTGAAAATTGAGATTTTTCATAGGAATATGCAGGTTTACTTGTGTTTTCACATGAAGATTCAAGATTTTCAGCCAAATTTCAATTTCAGCTCGAAATTATAGAAATTTGGCTGAAAATTGGAGATTTTTCATTGGAAAATGCAGGTTTACTTGTGTTTTCACATGAAAAATTCAGAATTTTAGCCAAATTTCCGTCTGAAAATTCAAATTTTGAGAGTTTCTTATCTGAAAATTGTCGTTTTCTCATTGAAAATATGCTGAAAATCTGAAAATTCAGAATTCCAGCATATTTTCAATGAGAAATCGGCTGAGATGCGGAAGCTATGCCCAAATTTTGAATTTTTGTTCAGAAAATATGATTTCTAGTCCATTTTCGCTCAAAAATCCCAAATTTTCATTCGAAATTGTCGTTTTCCCATTGAAAACATGCTGAAAATCTGGAAATCCAGACTTCCAGCATATTTTCAATGGGAAATCGGCGGAGATGCGGAAGCTATGCCCAAATTTTGAATTTTTGTCCAGAAAACATGATTTCTAGTCAATTTTTGCTCAAAAATCCCAAATTTTCACTAGAAATTGTCGTTTTCCTATTGAAAATATGCTGGAAATCTGGAAATCCAGACTTCCAGCATATTTTCAATTGGAAATCGGCTGAGATGCGAAAGCTATGCTCAAATTTTGAATTTTTGTCCAGAAAACATAATTTTTAGTCAATTTTTGCTCAAAAATCTAAAATTTTCAGTCATTTTCAGCCAAAAATTCACAATTTCCCCATTTTTTCCAGCTAATGAACACAATTCGAGAACACGAACCCTGGTTCAAATCAATAAAATCGGGCGCCGGTTTGATGTCCACTATTATAATGGTAACTTCACATATTATTGTTGACACACCTCAACCAATCACAAAAGAGGATCAGTTCAAAAATCAGCTTATCGTATTTTTGACATTTGTCATTAGGTAAGCGATTTTTGGGGTGAAAATGAGCCAAAATTCGAAAAAAATGACCTAAAATTCACTTGAAATTGATTTTTTCGAATTCCTTGTGAAAAATTAGCCAGGAATGATGTTTTTCTGAGTTTCTAGCGTTAAAATTGACACATGACCGAGTTTTTTGGTTTCCTAGGCCATGAAGTGGAAAGTTAGGCCACGTTGAGCTCTGGAGGTGAAATTAGGTTTTCCTGGATCAAAAAATCATGAGGAATCCTATGGAACTATGTAAAATCTTTGAAAATCAACAGATGGCCGAGTTTTTTGGATTTCTAGTCCGCCAATTTGGTTTTCTAGGCCATGGTGAAAAATTAAGCCTGTTTGGTGTTTTCTGGGTCAGAAAATCAATGGGAATCTCATGAAAACATGTAGAATCTTTGAAAATCAACATATGGCCGAGTTTTTTTTCGGATTTCTAGTCCGCCAATTTGGTTTTCTCGGCCATGACCGAAAATTAGGCATTTTTGATGTTTTCTGGGTCAGAAAATCGTGAGGAACACGATTTTTTCACTGAAAGTTATGAAAAGTGCCCAGAACTCTTTCAAATTTTCATTCCAGATCCCGAAAACTCGATTGCCACGCTCTTGGTCGTGATTTTGTGATAATAATCGCTCGACTTGGCCGAATTCCACAATTTGAGGAAATTTGGCGAGAATTACACCAAACACCCGGAAATTTTGGAATATCTTCAATTGAGGAATTCATTTCGCGCCCAAATATTGTTGGATTATTGAGATTATCCACTGAATTGCAGAGAAAAATTGATCATATTGTGTTTTATTCGAAAAATAATTTGATTATTTATTATGATTGGATCGTTAAATCTGTGAGTTTTGGGCTAAAATTGAGCAAAAATGCTCCAAAATTCATGGAAATCGCTGAAAATTCGATCTGAAATCACCTTTTTCGAATTCCTCGTGAAAATTCACCCCGAAAACATGTTCTCCCGAGTTTCTAGCGTTAAAATTGACATATGGCCGAGTTTTTTGGATTTCTAGGCCATGAAGTGGAAAGTTAGGCCACGGTGAGCTTTCGGGTTGAAATTAGATTTTTCTTGATCAGAATTTTATGAGGAATCTCATGGAGATATTTAGAATTTTTAAAAATCGAGTTTTTTGGATTTCTAGGCCATTAATTTGGTTTTCTAGGCCATGCTTCAAAATTGGGGTTGTTTGGTGTTTTCTGAACCAGAAAATCAAGGGGAAGAAGATGGGAAAATTGCAAATTTGAAATTTGGACTAGTTTTGGATTTCTAGGCCATCTATTTGGTTTTCTAGTCCACAATCTAAAATAAGGCTTATTTGGTGTTTTCCGGACCGGATTTTCATGAAAATTTCGAATTTCTGCACAAAAACCCGTGATTTTCAGCACCTCCGCCAATTGGATTCTGGAAGTCTTCGTGCTGAAATTGTCAGATATTTGTGCTCAATGAGCATTGATGCGAAAAATCATGGACCTGCGGTTTTTGAAAATCGCATTCAATTGTTGCATTTATTGGTCTCCACGGCACCGGTGAGTTGTTTTTGACCAAATTTTTGGGATTTTCAGCAAATTTTGAGCCAGGATTCCAGATTTTCAGTCAAAAATCTGTAATTTTTGAATTTTCAGCCTGGACCCGAACAACAATGGCTGAAATTGTGCTTATTTGTGGAATGGTTTGGATGTGATGAAAGATTTGTGAATTACAACAATTCAAATGTTGAAATTGCCATAAATTTAGTCAGGTTCGTTTTTGGCTGAAAATTATGCTGAAAATCGCGATTTTCAGCCTAAAATTAGCTGAAATTCAAGATTTTCAGCCCCAAAAATCAATAATTTTCCAGATATTCTCTATCGATTCAAGCTCCACCGCCTTCTCAAAACTCCATTATTCAAGCATCGCATTGTTCGCCTTTTGCAAATTCCCTTCTCGAATATTTGTGTAAAGTTGGTTTTTTCGCGCTGAAATTTTGATTTTTTCGAATTCCTCGTGAAAAATTAGCCAGAAAACATGTTTTCCTGGTTCTCTAGCGTTAAAATTGACACCTGGCCGAGTTTTTTGGTTTTCTAGGCCATGAGGTGGAAAGTTAGGCCACGGCGAGCTTTGGGCTCGAAATTATGTTTTCCTGGATCAGAAAATCATGAGGAATCCTATGGAAATATGTAAAATCTTTGAAAATCATCAAATGGCCGAGGTTTTTGGTTTCCTAGGCCATGAGGTGGAAAGTTAGGCCATGGAAAGAATTGGGGGATTATGGGTGTTTTCTGAATCAGAAAATCAAGAGGAAGAAGATGGGAATATTGAAAATTTGAATTATGGCCGAGTTTTGGATTTCTAGGCCACCAACTTGGGTTTCTAGGCCATGACCTAAAATTGGGCGTTTTTGGTGTTTTTCGAACCGGATTTTTATGAAAATCACGATTTTCATAAGAAAAACTTTGAAAATCCAATCTGAAATTAATTTCAGTTCCAAAATGTATTTTTTTGCAGAGTGTCGACCTGTTCCTCCCCTCACAATCTGATCAAATTCGAAAAAATGTGAACACTGCTATGAAATTTTGTCGCGATCGATTTCAACAGTAAGATTTTCAGATTTTCTGGCTGAAAATTTGCGGATTTTCAGCCAAAAATCATGATTTTTTCAGCGGACTACAACAAATTCTGGAAAATTATAAAATTGATCGAAAAATTGGCGATCAAATGCGACAAATTTGGCCCGATTTTATGAGGTTTTCGACCTGAAATTCAGGATTTTCAGCCAAAAATCAATAATTTTCCAGATCCTCTCAAAACCCGCCGAAAAAGCTCAAAAAACCCGCTCAAAATCCACCAGAAGACACCAAGATTACGGTAGCTACAGTAGCTACAGTAACCCAACCACAATACATCTCGGAACCCATTCTAACCGCAGCTGAAAAGAAGAAATTGGCTGAAAAAGAGGAGATGGAACTAGAGTCTAGTATGAAATTGTTGAAAGGAGAGATTAGGGAGAAAATCGAGGGATTGAAGTGAGTTTTTTGGATTTCTAGGCCATGAAGTGGAAAGTTAGGCCACGTGGACATTCAACGAATATTCGACAAATATACAGTAATCTTATTGTAGACACGAAATCTATCTACAGTACCCTGATTACTGTAGGAAACAAAACTACAAGTCATTGGCTTTTATGCAAAGACTTGTAGCAAAAAAAAACAACAGTAATTTTCTACTTTTTGGCTTTTAAGCAAAAAGTAGACAAAATCGGATTCCAGAGAAAATTGTCGCCAAATCGCCCTGAAAAATTCAAATTTTTTCTTTAAAAATTCAAAATTTGGGCATAGCTTCCGCAGAAATTCCAGGAAAAAACTAATAAAATCCAGGGTTTTCAAGATTTTCAAATTTTAAAAAGAAAATCAAGAGAAATCCCTGAATTTTATTAGTTTCTCACTGGATATTCCAGAAGTTCTCATTTATTTTAAGAAGTTTTTCAAGAAAAATTCGAAAATTGAGCATAGCTTATCTGAAATTCCAATTGAAAATCTGAATTCCATCAATTTTCAATTAAAATTCCAGAATTTCTTCTTGTTTGCCCCAAAGTTAGGCTTTTTTGGTGTCTTTCGAACCGGATTTTCATGGAAATCACGATTTTCACGAAGAAAACCCTTCAATTTTATGATTTTACCTGAAATTGATCAAAATTCAACCTGAAATTAATTTCAGATCACAATGGAAAGAGTTTTCGGACGATGCGGATAAATGTGAAGCGGTTGAAACGATTTTGACGCATTTGTGCAAAAATGTGAGATTTTTAGCCAATTTTTAAGCTGAAATTAATTTCAGGATGATAAATTGGACGATTCTCAACAGGAAATTGCTGCGCAATGTCTTTTGGCAATTATGGGAAGTGTTGTGGTAGAAGGTGAGGATTTTTGGCTGAAAATTGATCTGAAATTAAAAATTTTGACCCAAAATTGATAATTTCCAGAAAAATCGCTTCTACCTGAGACAAATGAGATTTCTGAGGCGTTCACACACCCGATTTATTCGATTTTCAAAATGTTGTGGTGAGTTTTTCTGAAAATTCTGGAGTTTGGACTCAGTTTCAAGCTGGAATCATCAAATTTTCGAATTCCTCGTGAAAATTCAGCTAGGAAACATGTTCTCCTGGTTCTCTAGCGTTAAAATTGACACATGGCCGAGTTTTTTGGATTTCTAGGCCATGAAGTGGAAAGTTAGGCCACGGTGAGCTTTGGGCTCGAAATTGGGTTTTCCTGGATCAGAATTTCGTCAAGAATCTCATGTTAGCATATAAAATCTTTGAAAATCATCAGATGGCCGAGTTTTTTGGATTTCTAGGCCATGTATTTGGTTTTCTAGGCCATGCTTCAAAATTAGGGTTGTTTGGTGTTTTCTGGGTCAAAAAATTGAGAGGAAGAAGATGGGCACATTGAAAATTCGAAATATGGCCTAGTTTTGGATTTCTAGGCCAGCTTTTTGGTTTTCTAGGCCACAACCTAAAAATAGGCTTATTTGGTGTCTTTCGAAGCGGATTTTCATGAAAATCGCGAATTTTTCGAATTTTTGCAGTTTTCCACCAAACGACGACTCAAATGCCAGTGAAATAATGGTGAATTTGATGGCTGCAATGAGAGAAAAAGACGCTAGTCTAACCTATGTATTTTTGTATTATATTAAGGTAAGATTCGTGATTTTTAGGTCAAAATTTATGAATTTTGGTGGAAAATGACCCAAAATTCGTGATTTTTGACCTGAAATTAGTCAAAAATTGGGATTTTTACCCTGAAATTGAATTTTTTGCAGGGATCAGATACCCGAACTCAGGACACAATTGAGATTTATCGAGAAATTGCACGGGTCAGCGATAAAAATGTGGATGAAATGCTGTGCTCGGATATTCAGGTAAGAAAAACCCTTAAATAGCCTTGAGAAAGCCTAAAGAAGTCTCTAATAAGCCCTTAGAAGCTCTAAAAACCCCTTAGAAGCCTTAAGAAGCCCTTAGAAAGCTCCAGGAAGCCTGAAGAAGCCTCTAAAGCCCCTAAAGCCCCTAAAAATCGTTTTGGGCCTTTAAAAAACCCTTAGAAAGCTTCAGGAAACCTTAAGAAGCCTCTAAAGCCTCTAAAAGCCCTTATAGACTTTAAAAAGCCTTTAGAAAGCCCTAAAAGCCCTTAGAAGCCCTGAAAAGCGTTAAGAAGCTTCTAAAAATCAGTTTAGGCCTTAAAAAGCCTTTAGAAAGCTCCAGGAAGCCCAAAGAAGCCTCTAAAGCCCCTAAAACACGTTTTAGGCGTCAAAAAGCCTTTGGAAAACTCCAGGAAGCCCTTAAAGCCTTAAAAATTCCCTAAAACCAGTTTTAGGCCTTAAAAAGCCTCTAGAAAGCTCCAGGAAGCCCTAAAAAGCCCTAAAAAGCCTTAAGAAGCCTCTAAAGTCCCTAAAAACCCTAAGAAGCCTCTGAAGCCCCTGAAAAGCCTTAAGAAGCCTCTAAAGTCCCTAAAAAGCCTTAAGAAGCCCCTAAAAGTAGTTTTAGGCCTTAAAAGCCTTTAGAAAGCTCCAGGAAGCCTTAAGAAGCCTCTAAAGCTCCTAAAAGCCCTCACAGGCCTCAAAAAGCCTTTAGAAAGCCTTAAAAGACCTTAAGAAGCCCTAAGAAGTCCCTAAGGCCCCTAAAATTCTAAAATTTTCAGCTGTGCGCTCTCAACGATATTCGACTTTTCGCCTACCTAATCCCCTTCATTTTTTCCCAATTCCAAGACGAAGTTTTTCAATCTTCCGAGGTTTGTCTGAAATTCTGGCTGAAAATCTGAGATTCTGCGATTTTCAGCCAAAAAACAGAGGTTTTCAGCTGAAAATTGGCCAAAAAACTTGATTTTCAGCCAAAAATCCACGTTTTTTCGAATTTTCAGCCAAAAAAACCTCTTATTTTCCAGCTGCTGAATGTGTTGTGCGCAAATTTGGACTCTAGCCAACTCCGAGTTTTTATCAGTGAAATGATTCGAGAAGAAATCAAGCTCTTCAAAAAAGACACATTTTCCGCGCATATTTTGGCGAGTGTTGAATGGCCGACGAGTTCACAGTGGATTTTTTGGCATTTGGGTGGGTTTTTGGGTGAAAATGATGAAAAATGACCTAGAATCACTAATTTCTGGTCTAAAATGACCCTGAAATCATTTTTTTCGAATTCCCCGCGAAAAATCACCCCCAAAACATGTTCTCCTGTGTTTCTAGCGTTAAAATTGACATATGGCCGAGTTTTTTGGAATTCTAGGCCATGAAGTGGAAAGTTAGGCCACGGTGAGCTTTCGTGTCGAAATTAGGTTTTCCTCGATCAAAATTTTATGAGGAATCTCGTGGAGATATTTAAAATCTTCAAAAATCACCGGATGGCCGAGTTTTATAGTTTGCTAGGCCATCAATTTGGTTTTCTAGGCCATGCTTCAAAATTGGGATTTTTTGGTGATTTCTAGATCAGAAAATTGCGGGGAAGAAGAATATGACATTGAAAAATTGAAATATGGCCTAGTTTTGGATTTTTAGGCCATCTATTTGGTTTTCTAGGCCATGAGCTAAAATCAAGCGTTTTTGGTGTTTTTCGAACCGGATTTTTATGAAAAACACGATTTTCATATGGAAAATGCTGGAAATTTTGAAATTTTCTGGTTTCTGGGTAATTTTCGACGGAAAATCAAGAATTTTAGGTTAAAAATCATGAAAAATCTCATTTTTCACCCAAAAATTCCTAATTGTTTGCAGTTCATGCTGATGGTGTTCCAATAGAATGGTTCCTGCCAATTATTCCCAAATTAGACGCCGCCAAACACGACGAAGCGATTGCCAATATATTGCTCATGTTAAAACATATGGGTGAGTGTTTTCCTGGGAAATTTTGAATTTTCCCGTTTTCCCGCTGAAATTTGAGCCGGGAAAGTTTTAAATTTGAAAAATTCGAGGTTTTTTACCCCGGGAAACATTTTTTTTTCAAAAAAAAAATTCAAATTTTCGAATTTCCCGCCATCGTTTTTTTGGCGCCAAAACTGAAAATTCAAATTTTTGCAGACCGTGAACCTTGGCCTGGTCTAATTCGATCGATTTTCTCGCGAATTCCCGGAAAAGACGATAATTTCACAATTGACGCGTTGAAAGTATTGATTGATGATGCGGAACAATGTCAGCGGGTTGCGGAATTGGTCGGCGGATTGATCAAAAAATTGATTGCGGTGAGATTTTGACATTTCTCGTGGCGATTTTCGAAGTCTTCGTGAAAAATTAGCCAGGAATGATGTTTTTCTGAGTTTCTAGCGTTAAAATTGACGCGTGGCCGAGTTTTTTGGATTTCTAGGCCATGAGGTGGAAAGTTAGGCCACGGCGAAAAATTGAGATTTTTTTGTGTTTTCTGGATCAGAAAAACACGGGTTAAAAGATGAGAGTATTGAAATTTCAAATTATGGCCTTGTTTTGGATTTCTAGGCCACGGGTTTGGTTTTCTAGGCCATGACCTAAAATCAGGCTTATTTGGTGTTTTCTAGATCAGAAAAACACGGGGAAGAAGATGAGAACATTGAAATTTCAAATCATGGCCTAGTTTTGGATTTCTAGGCCACGGGTTTGGTTTTCTAGGCCATGGCTCAAAATTAGGCTAGTTTGGTGTTTTCCGAAGCGGATTTTCATGAAAAACACGATTTTCACGATGATAAAGCTTGATATGGCCTAGTTTTTGAGATTTTCGGGTTTCTAGGCCATGTTTATACTCATTTCAACCCAAATTTCTTGCAGAACAATGAAATTCTGGGAATTGGCACCAAAACGACGCCAAACACCAAAAAAGCGGCTCCAACAAAAGTCTCGCTACAACAACTCTTGGAACATTTGACACAATTCAGTGATGCGTGTTTGGAGAAAAAGCAAAGAGCAACTGAGATGTTTTTGTCCAAACATTATATGCAGGAAGCGTTTTCCAGTATTAAAACGTGGGTTTTTGAGCCAAAAATTGTGATTTTTGGGTGATTTTGAGCTAAAATACGGTATTTTTGATGAAAAATGACCTAAAACACGATATTTTGATGAAAAATCACCTAAAACACGAAATTTTGATGAAAAATGACCTAAAATAGGGTATTTTTAATGAAAAATGACCTAAAATACCCTAATTTTGACCCCAAGTTACCCTAAATCCCCCCAAAAATTCAATTTCAGCAATGATAAATCATCGGTGCTCACCAAAAAATATCACAATTTATTCGGAGTCATGGATATTTTGGCGGCCGATTTGAAGGAGCAAAATTCGAGACAACTTCGAGGAAATCGGTGGGTTTTAGACTAGAAATCTAGACTAGAAAATGAAAAATTTGAAAATTTCACGAAAGTTGAGCCCTGGAGCATGTTTTTGATGGAAAATTTGAAAAAATTTGTTTTTTTTTTTGATTTTGGCCAAAAAATACAGTAGTTTTGACACCAAATTCGAAAATTTCATCAAAAATTGAGTTTTTTTCCCTCGAAAAAATTTTTTTCCGGAAAATTTCCCATTTTTTGTTGTAAAAAAATATTTAGCCTACAAATAAATATAGGTCAGACTAGACTATAGTCTATAATATGTAGACTAGAAAAACTGGATTTTTCATTGATTTTTAGCTAAAATTGACCAAAATTGAGCCCTGGAGCATGTTTTTAATGGAAAATTTTGAAAATTTCATGAAATTTTAGCCAGACTAGACTATAGTCTAGCCTAGACTAGAAAAACTGAAAAATTTTGAATTTCAGACAAGGATCGGCTGCTGAAAAATCGGCGAGTTCGTCACCGGCAAAACGAAAGACTGAAAATGAGGTGGGTTACTGTAGATACTGTAGTTTTTGGCGACAAAAATGGGGCTCAGGATTACTGTAGTGGACTTTTTTCCAGACATTTTTTGTACTCAAAATCTCTCTGAAAATGTAGTTTTAGCATTTTTCTCTATTTTTCTTCCCCCCAAAAAAATATTTGAAAAATTTTCAGAAAAATCCTCTTTTTTTCCAGCTAATCCAGATTTTTGTGACGTCACACACCAACAAAAAAATCTGGCTTCATTTTTAGCCAAAAAAAAAAAAAAACAAAAATAGAACATTTGAGGGAAACCTGACGTTTTTCCGATTTTTTCTTGTAGGTCATGAAAAATTCAACTACAGTACCCCTGGATCAAATCTACAGTACCCTCTTTTTTCCAGGAAACCGATTCAAATTCGAAACGCCGAAAATGCCAAAAAGATATCATACAACTCGATGATTCGGATTCGGATTAAACATTTTTTTTGAATTTTGAATTTCGAATTTTTCCCGCCAAAAATCTACAGCGCGAAAATTTGAAATTCAAATTTCCCCTGACGTCAAAATAGTCAAAAACGCGCAATGTTTCAAGTTTTCCCCCTTCATTTCTCTGCACTCTCTTCTCTCTCTCATTTCTCCCTTTTTTCTCTGCGTCTCTCACCTCTCGTCTCTCTCTCATTTTCCCCCCATCTGTTTTATTTTTTTTTGTCATTTTCCATTTTTTTTTTGGCGATTTTTTGTGATCTCTCTCTCTCTCTTCTCAATTTTATCAACTTTTTGTGTTAATAAAAAAAATTATTGATTTTTTTTTGAATTTTTTGTGCGCCAAAAACGTGTCCTTTTTGCAGCGTGGCACTCGGATGAAATCGATTTTTTTCTAGTTTTTATTTTATTTTTGTGTTGGAAATGGTCGAAAATGCCGAGCAGAATTTAGAAGAGCAGCACAACAATGAGCACAATGGTGATATTTTGAATAATCAGGTGAGTACTGTAGGGGGGGAGGGCTTTAAAGGAACATGGCTCAAAAAATCTGGAAAAAATCCGGTTGAAAATGAGCTACATACAGTAATTTGGGAAAAATTTCGATTTTAAAGGGACATGTGTTACTGTAGGGGACTTTAAAGGGACGTGACTTCAAAATTCTCCACGAAATTTTTATCTACAGTAAGCTACAGTACTCACAAATTTTGAAAAAATGGAATCGGTGCTGTACTGGGTTACTGTAGGCGTTTCAAAGGGACATCACCTAGAAAATCCGGCAAAAATTGACCTACAGTAATCCGGAAAATCGCCAGGTTACTGTAGAAGCTACAAAAATTGATGTATCTACAGTAATCCTGTGATTATTTTTATTTTTAGACCAAATAATTCGAGCTGTACCTTTAAATATTCCACAGTAACCTAGGAGTACTGTACCCAGGAGGATTACTGTAGATTAGGATCATAGTTTAACAAGTTTCCCTCAAGCCATCTGTACCTTTAAATATTCTACAGTACCCAGGAGGATTACTGTACCTCCCTTTAAATCCTCTCGTTTTGCAGGAATACGATCAAATACGGGTTCGTCTAGTTCGTGGTACAAAATTGGGACGTCGCGACCTGTTCGGCGTCATCTCACCCTACTGTCAAATTCGTCTCGAGACCCTTCAGGGTACGGTAGTTGAAGAGGTGCAAACCGAGAAAAAGCGCAAAACCCGAAGTCCCATCTGGAATCAGATTGTGAATTTCAAATTGGCGGCGCCACGTGCGGAAGATGCGGAAGCGGAAAGGCGCGAGAATTTGAAGATTCGAATTTTGGTTTTTGATGAGAATCGATTGCGGAAAGATCAGTTGATTGGATGGGTTGAGAGGCGATTGGGAGATTGTGGTGGGATTGGAGAACATGCGGAACAACCTGTGGAATATCAGATACAGAGTCAGACGGGCAGAAATGGAAAGTTAGTGATAGGGAGGAGGGAGGGGAGAGAGACGCAGAGGAGCTAGGGGAGAGCAGAGGGGTTAGAGAGATGGGAGAGAGTTAGAGAAGCTAGATATAAGTTAGAGAGCCTAGAGAGGCTAGAGAACGAGAGACGCAGAGATAATAGAGAGAGGTTGGAGAAGATATTAATCAGGAAGACTATAAGAGAGTTAGAGACGCTAGAGAAGGTTTAAGGGGTTAGAGACGCAAAGATAATAGATGGCTAGAGAACCTGGATCTTGTGAGAGACGCAGAGCCGCTAGAGAGAAGGTAGAGACGCAGAGAAGCCAGAGACACTAGAAGAGGGTTAGAGAAGCTAGATATGCTAGAGGCTGATGTAGGTTAGAGACGCAGAGATAATAGAGAGAGGTTAGGGAAGCTAGAGACGCAGAGAAGCTAGAGACACTAGAAGTAGGTCAGAGACGCAGAGAAGCTAGAGATTATTCGGAATATAAGAGAGTTAGAGAAGCTATAGAGGCAGAGAGGCTAGAGAGAGGTTAGAGACGCAGAGAAGCTACAGAGACACTAGAAGTAGGTCAGAGAAGCTAGAGACGCAGAGGAGCGAGGGACACTAGAAGTAGGTTGGAGAAGCTAGAGAACATGAGGATTTGAGAGACGCAGAGATGCTTTAGAGAAGCTAGAGATCATTGGGTATACAAGAGAATTGGAGAAGCTAGAGACGCAGAGACGCTAGAGACACTAGAAGTAGGTTAGAGAAGCTAGAGACGCAGAGCCGCTAGAGAGAAGCTATAGAAGGTTTAAGGGGTTAGAGACGCAGAGACAATTAGAGCACCTAGAGAGTTAGAAGACCTGAAAGGTGTTAGAGACGCAGAGGAACCCAACACGCTCAGATCTCTAGAGGCGCAGAGAAGCTAGAGAAACCAGAGAACCTGAAACTTGTGAGAGACGCAGAGGAGCTTAATTTTCTGTAATTTTTTCCTGAAAATTATGTTTTTTGGTCAATTTTTCAAACACAAAAATTGAAAATATTTATTCTAATTTAGCTTCAAGCCCATATCGTTGGATATACTGTCGAGAATAATTTCAAAAAAATTACAATATTTTCGGCGTGAAATAAACAGTTCCCTTCGCTGGAATTGACCTGAAAATCAGGAAAAAATCGATTTTCCCCTCGAAAAATAGGCTAAAACCAACCTTTCTCAACAAAAAATCAATAAAAATAGTGGAAAAGTGTAGATTTTCCAATGCAAAAAGTGTAAATAAGCGAAAAATGGGAGAGAACAGCATGGGCGAGAGAGTGAGAGACGCCAGACAAACAGGGAATGCATTTTTATGTGTATTTCTCGAGGAAAACAAAAAAAAACAACGAAAAAAAAGAAAAAAAGAAAAAAAAACACCGTAGCCCAGTTAAAGGCGCACGCGAGAAATTTGTGTGTCGCCGCGAGACCCGTGTGTACTTCTCCCGGACTTCTTTTCTTTTTTTTTCGAAAATTTTTTGCGCGCTTCAAAATTCATGGTTTTTAGCGGGGAAACTTGGGTTTTCAGAGGGAATTTGTTTAAAGGCGCATGGATTTGCGAGACTCAAGTTTTTCCATGCGGGACCTGAAAATTGCGATTTTTCACGGGGGAAAATGGGGTTTCACTCAAAACCTTAGTTTTTTCGCATTTTTTCAAAATTTTCTGATTAAAGGCGGATATTTTTCGCTACAGGAGCCAAGTTTGTGTAGTTCTCTCGGATTTTCAGCCAAAAAAATCGAAAATAATTTTTTTTTTGCAGATCTCTTGGCTCCCTGTTCATCTCCTTTCAATTTGTTCGCCAATCCGACGATCAAAATAATTCGAGTTCGGAGAATTTGCAAAATTCGCAAATAATTCCACGTGGCTGGGAGGAACGAGAAGACGGAAATGGCCGAACTTTTTATATCAATCATCATTTGAGAACAACACAATGGGATCGACCACCGTAAGCTGTTTTTGGGCTTTGAAATGCGGATTTTTGAATTCCTCGTGAAAAATTAGCCAGGAAACATGTTTTTCTGGCTCTCTAGCGTTAAAATTGATATATGGCCGAGTTTTTTGGATTTCTAGGCCATGAGGTGGAAAGTTAGGCCACGTTGAGCTTTGGAGGCGAAATAAGTTTTTTCGGGATCAGAAAATCACTGGGAATCTCATGGAAACATGAAAAATAACAGATGGCCGAGTTTTTTGGATTTCTAGGCCATCGAATTGGTTTTCTAGGCCATGGTGAAAAATTAGGCTTGTTTGGTGTTTTCTGAGTCAGAAAATCATGAGGAACACGATGAGAGTATTAAAATTTCAAAATATAACCGAGTTTCGGATTTCTAGGCCATCGATTTGGTTTTCTAGGCCATAGGCTAAAATTAGGCTTGTTTGGTGTCTTTCGAAGCGGATTTTCATGAAATTTCCGAATTTTCCAATTTCAGGACGGATTTGGATGTTGTTACGGAGCAATCAGTGATTGAAGAGACTCGAAGACGCAGAGATAATTATGAACATCGAAGTCAGGTGACAGATGAGCCAGAAATCACCACAGCTCTGCCAGTGACTCAGGAATTGACTGCGGTAAGTGATTTTTGGCGGGAAATTTGGGAATTTTGTGAAAATTTGGTCAAAAATGCTTGAAAATCATGTTTTTTGCTCAAAAACTCGAATTTTTGTGCCAAAATTGCCGCTTGTTGCTCATTTTATATATATTTACCTCGAAAAGCATTGCTCATCCTAGTTTTTTCCCATTTTTCAGCCAAAAATAGAGGGATTACTAGACTACTGTACATCCCTTTAAATAATTTATTTTTTTGGTCATTTTTTTGGACATCCCCCCAAAAATATACTAATACTAGTATATTTTTTTCCAATTTTCCAATTTTTGACCAAAAAAAGGTCCAAAAAACACATTTGGGAAATTTTTGAGCAAAAATTTTAATATGAGCAATGCTTTTTGAACCAGAAATTTGAATTTTCTGAAAATTGTTAATATGAGCAATATATTTCCACGTGTCAAAAAATTTTCCAAAAAATCTGAATTTTCTGAAAATTTGGTAATATGAGCAATGCTTTTGAGCTTAAAAAATTTGAATTTTCTAAAAAAAGTTTGTTAATATGAGCAATATATTTCCACGTGTCGAAATTGTCTGAAAAATTTGAATTTACCTTCAAAAAATGCGCATTTCTTTAGAAATTCTAATTTTTCACCCATTTCTCTCTGCGTCTCCACTATTTCCATACTATTTCTCTCATTTTTCGTATTTCGTTTTTTGATTTACTCATCCTTTGTGTTCGACACAAGAAAAATTGGAGAAGAGCAAATATTTGACGATTTTTTTTGCTTTGAAACTGGTTTTTTTGTTCAACTTCCCGTGTAAACTGTGAAAGCTGAAACATGTGCGAAGAAAATCAATTTTTTTTTGAAAAAATGTTTTTTTTTGACACGTGGCAGAGGGTTTTTGGCGCCAAAATTTGAAAATTTTCGCAATTTTTGAAAATTTCAGTCAAAAATTAAAATTTCGGAAATTTGCTCCATTTTTTCATGAAAAACATGCCACGTGGCATTTTTAGCGCCTGAATTTTTAAATTTTTTGAAAAATTTATTTTTGGCGCCAATTTTGGACCATCAAATTGAAAAAAAATTGCCACGTGGCAGAGAGTTTTTTTGCTCCAAAATTCAAAAATTTTCGCAATTTTTGAAAATTTCTGAAATTTGTTCCAATTTTTCTTGAAAAATATGCCACGTGGCATTTTTAGCGCGAAATTCAAAAATTTCGAAAATTTGAATTTTGGCGCCAATTTTGGACCTTCAAATTGAAAAACAATTTGCCACGTGGCAGATAGTTTTTTGCTCCAAAATTCAAAAATTTTTGCAATTTTTGAAAATTTCTGAAATTTTCTCAAATTTTTCATGAAAAATATGCCACGTGGCAGAGGGTTTTTGGCGCCAAAATTCAAAAAATTTCGAATTTTTCTTAGTTTACTCATTTTTTGCTCCAAAAAATGCAATTTTTCCAAATTTTTCCCAATTTTTCTCTGCGTCTCTCATTTTTTCACACTATTTCTCTCTCTCTTCCCGTTTTTTTTTTGCTTATTCTAAATACAAACAAAGCACAAAAACTATAGATAGATAGCTACAAAAAAATTTTAGTCACTTTTTTTTTTGTTTACCCAACATTTTTTTGAAGAATAATTTGTACTATTTTTTGAAAATTTTTAAAAAATTTGGCTGAAAATTCTAGATTTTTAGCTCAAAATTAGGTATTTTCAACAATTTTTGAGCTGAAAATGAGCTCTGAGCTCATTTTTTCAAAATTTTCCAAATTTCCCCCAAAGGATTAATTTTTGGACACACATTATCCTATTTTTGGCCAAAAATTTCATTTTTGGACCTTTTTTTTTGTTTCAAAAGGAAAAAAATGGAAAAAAAAGTGCAAAACAAGGGTGGAATAATTTTCTGGAATTTTTTTTTGTCTTTTTTTGAGAGCTCTCCTTGTTTTTGCACTTTTTTCCGGTGATTCATTTTTTCTGCTTTTTTGAGCTGAAAAATAGAGTTTTAGTGAAATTTTCGAATTTTTTAGAGCTGAAACTGAAATTTTCGGATTTTTTGAAGCTGAAACTGAATTTTCAAGAAAATTTTAAAATTTCAAATTTTTGGAAAATGGAAAAATCCACGTGGCAATAATTTTCGCCCAAAAAAAATTTAAAAATATTTTTTTTCATAAATTACATTTTCGCGCTAATTTTTTTTCAAATTTTGAATTTCGCGTAAAAAAATCCACGTACAACTGAAAATTTCAGAAAAAAAATGATTTTCAAAATTTTTGCAAGAATTTCAGATTTATTTGAGCTGAAACTCAATTTTTTGAAATTTTCAGACCTTTTTAAAATTTTTTGAACAAAATAAGCTTTTAAACTGAATTTTTGAATTTTTTTGCTCAAAAAAATGATTTTCAAATTTTTTGAGCTGAAACTGAAATTTTCGGATTTTTTGAGCTGAAAAACTAATATTTGAATTTTTTCTGAAAATTTGCAGATTTTTTTCAAATTTTTAGAACAAAATAAGCTTTTAAACTGAATTTTTGAATTTTTTTGCTCAAAAAAATGATTTTCAAATTTTTTGAGCTGAAACTGAAATTTTCGGATTTTTTGAGCTGAAAAACTAATTTTTGAATTTTTTCTGAAAATTTGCAGATTTTTTCAAATTTTTAGAACAAAATAAGCTTTTAAACTGAATTTTTGAATTTTTTTGCTCAAAAAAATGATTTTCAAATTTTTTGAGCTGAAACTGAAATTTTCGGATTTTTTGAGCTGAAAAACTAATTTTTGAATTTTTTCTGAAAATTTGCAGATTTTTTTCAAATTTTTAGAACAAAATAAGCTTTTAAACTGAATTTTTGAATTTTTTTTTGCTTAAAAAAAATTATTTTCACATTTTTTGAACTAAAACTGAAATTTTCGAATTTTTTGAGCTGAAGCTCAATTTTTCTGAAATTTTGAGAATTTTTAAAAATGATTTTCAGTTTTTTTTGAATTTCAACTTTTTAGAGCCAAAAAAATATTGCTCATATTATATATTTCCTATTTTCTTGCAGATCGACGACGCGATGCGTGCAAATTTCGCAGGCGAGATCGCCGCGGCGACAAGTCGCGACGACGCGGCGTCGCGGCTTCCGGACGGCTGGGATCAACAAATCGCGCCCAACGGCCGCACATTCTTCATCGACCACCGCACAAAGACAACAACTTGGACAGATCCGCGAACCGGCCGCGTCGCAGCCGCCGCGAATTCCGCGCGGAACGGCGCGTCAACGACGCGCGGAAAAACCGACGATGAAATTGGCGCGTTGCCAGCTGGATGGGAACAACGATTTCATGTGGATGGACGCGTGTTTTTTATCGATCATAATAGGCGACGAACTCAGTGGGAAGATCCGAGATTTGAAAATGAGAGTATTGCCGGGCCTGCGGTACCGTATTCAAGGGATTATAAGCGGAAGGTAAGCGGAAGGATGCGCGGAACATTTTGACACCAAATATGCCTAGGCTTAGGCTTAGACATAGGCTTTTCCAGAAATTTAGGCCCATCCTCAGGCCTGGCCTAAACCAAACTACAGTATAGTTTTATCAAAAAATCATTCAATAGTTGCAATTATACCAGATTTTCTTCTTTTTTGACCTATAATATACAACATTATAGAACTCTCCAATAGTTTTCCAAAAAGCCGAATGACTGTTAAAATTGGACCATAATTCTGAAAAAAAAAACATTTGTATAGGTAAACTAGACTCTAGTTACCGCAAGTTCGCCGAAATAAAAGCGGAGTATGTAACTTGACATCAATTCGAAAATGAAGGAGGATAACCCGTCGGTTATTGAGAGAATGTTGGCCTGGAAGAGAGAAACCGCAAGGTTCCGCGTTCCGCGTAGGCCACGCGGATTTCTATGACGCGGAAACCGTACTGATAGCAATCCGCGTGGCCGCTGAAGCAGAAGATTGTGCCGCTGACGCGGAAGCTTGCGGTCTACCGCTACCTTTCTCAAATTCGAACCACATTCCCGATTCCGCCAATAAATCCACGCAAGCTTCCAACACAACAAAAATGAGAAGAAATAATTAAGTACCCCATAGATACATGTCACATAGGCACTATATATCTTGTAACTCTCTGGAGCCACACACATGAATGATTTGCAGCCCGGAGTTAGCGGAAGTTTGAAATTTAGCGTTGTGAAGTAGTGGCTCTAGAAGAGCTATGAGAGTTAGAAGAAGTAGCATTTTGACACTGGAAAACTTCCAGCGATAATTGTAGAAGAGAATTGGGAAGTAGGTGGCCTGCGAAAAAATTGAGATTGACCGCGACGCAACACGCAACGCGCGTCTAACCAACCAGAAATCTTTCAATAGCAATAAAAGCTGCTAGAAATGTTCGAAGTGTCATTGAAGTGCCCAAAATTATTCCTGTGAAAATAAATGCACTAAAATATTCATTATAATAATTGCCCATAAACACTGGGATACATGAAATGAAGAAGATTATATCTGAAAATAAGTTTTTTTTTCCTGGGCGAAAATTGGAGTTGGACTAACTTGCCACTCCTAGAATAATGTCTATGATGGTTCGGAGGAATATTGATTGGAATTCGAGTTTTTTCATGGTTTTTGAAGTGCTGGAACAAGTTTTGTATTCCGCGAGCTTCCGCGTCAGATTCCACGCGGAAAAAAGTTCTCAAGACGCGGCTCCTTGACAAGCAGGTTCTCAAGGCGCCGCTGCTTGACATAGAAGTTCTCAAGGCGCGGTTCCTTGACATAGAAGTTCTCTAGGCGCCGCTCCTTGACAATTAGGTTCTCTAGGCGCCGCTCCTTGACAATTAGGTTCTCTAGGCGCCGCTCCTTGAAATAGAAGTTCTCAAGGCGCGGCTCCTTGACATAGAAGTTCTCAAGGCGCGGCTCCTTGACATAGAAATTCTCAAGGCTCGGCTCCTTGTCTCAGAAGTTCTCAAGGCTCGGCTCCTTGTCTCAGAAGTTCTCTAGGCGCCTCCCCTTGACAATAAGGTTCTCAAGGCTCGGCTCCTTGACAAAGAAATTCTCAAGGCGCGGCTCCCTGACATAGACGTTCTCAAGGAGCGGCTCCTTGACATTGATGTTCTCAAGGCTCGGCTCCTGACAATTAGGTTATCTAGGCGCGGCTCCTTGACATAGAAGTTCTCAATGCTCGGCTCCTTGACATAGAAATTCTCAAGGCGCCTCCCCTTGACAATAAGGTTCTCAAGGCGCCTCTCCTTGACAAGCAGGTTCTCAAGGCGCGGCTCCTTAACTTACACCATAACTGTAATTATTTTTGCATTTGATAGTATAAGCAGAATGCCAATAATTGTCCCAAAACTGATACAAATCCACTGGGAAATTTGTGACGTCATCATTTTCAAAATTTAAATTAACAGAAAATAAAAGAGAAAAAAATGAAAATCATATGATAAATTCTTAAGGTATCTGAAGCGGAATGATTTTAAGCCAAATTAGCGAAAAGCTCATAAGCCTGAAAAAGCCCCAGGCTTTGGGCCCGAGGAGAAAATTAGGCCTACGCCCATCTTGCAGGTCGAATATCTGCGAAGTCGCCTACCAAAACCCAACAGCTCCAGTGGAAAATGCGATATGATTGTACACCGTGACACACTTTTCGAGGATTCCTACCGGCAGATTATGGATAAGGTATGTTCCTTTAAATTTTAGGCGCCAAAAATCCAATTTCCAGAAGGACCACGAGCTGCGCAACAAGCTATGGATCGAATTTTTCGGCGAAACCGGTCTGGACTACGGTGGAGTGACACGTGAATGGTTTTTCCTCCTATCCCATCAGATTTTCAACCCCTATTATGGTCTTTTCGAATATTCCGCAACTGATAATTATACACTACAAATCAATCCGCATTCCGAGGCTTGTAATCCAGAACATTTGTCGTATTTTCATTTTATTGGAAGGGTTATTGGAATGGCGATTTATCATGGGAAATTGTTGGATGGTAGGCATTTTTTGGAGCATTTTGATACCAAACATGAGTATTAATATGAGCAATGAGGTTTCTGCGTCTCTAACTTCTCTCTGGTTGTCTAGCCTTCTTTGGCCTTTTCGGGATCTCTAGCTCTCTAGTTTTGCTGGGTCTCTAACCTGTCTACGATCTCTAGCTGTCTAGCTTCTCTGCGTCTCTAAATTCTCTATGATCTCTAGCTGTCTAGCTTCTCTGCGTCTCTAACCTTCTAGTTTTTCTAGCTGCCTAGCTCCTCTGTGTCTCTAACCTTTTCCATGTTCTCTAGTTGCATCTCTAGCCTTCTTATGATCTCTAATCATCTAGCTCCTATGCGTCTCTAACCTTTTTTATGGTGTCTAGCTACCTAGCTCCTCTGTGTCTCTAACCTTTTCCATGTTCTCTAGTTGCATCTCTAGCCTTCTTATGATCTCTAATCATCTAGCTCCTCTGTTTCTCTAACCTTTCTATGATGTCTAGCTTTCTAGCTCCCATGCGTCTCTAACTTCTCCTGATGTCCCCTGGTTGTCTAGCTCCTCTGCGTCTCAAACTTCCTTATGATCTCTAATCATCTAGATTCTCTGCATTCTCTACCCCTCTCTCGCTTCTCTAATCCTCTCACCATCTCTCAATATTTTGCAGCCTTCTTCATCCGTCCCTTCTACAAAATGATGTTGGGCAAAAAGATCACCCTGTTCGATATGGAATCCGTCGACAATGCCTACTACAATTCCCTAATCTATGTCAAAGACAACGATCCCGAAAATCTCGAACTCACATTTTCAGTCGATGATTCGATATTTGGAGAGACGCAAACTGTTGAACTGAAACCCGGTGGAGCTGAAATTGCGGTGACTGAAGAGAATAAGGAACAATATATTGAGGCGGTTATTAATTGGAGATTTGTGGCACGGGTTGAAAAACAGATGACACATGTGTTGAGGGGATTGCATGAGGTGAGTTGGAATAACTTCTTGCGCGCGGCCGCTGCGCGGAAGAGAGTGCCGCTGACGCGGAAGCTTGCGGTCTACACTCGATCCGCAAGCTTCCGCGTGGCGGCCACGTGGATTACGCGGAATATCAGTACGATTTTTTCGAAGTCATAGCTATCCGCGTGGCCGCTGCGCGGAAGATAGTGCCGCTGACGCGGAAGCTTCCGGTTTATACTCGCTCCGCTCGGAGAATTGCTCATTTTAGTCAAAAAATCGTGAAAAGTTCAAAAAAATGATCAATTTTGGCTGAGAATTGCTTAAAATTGATGAATTTGAGCTGAAAATGCTCATTTCAGTTAGAAAATCTTGAAAATTGTTAAATTTCGATCAGAATTGCTCATTTTGAGCTGGAAATGCTCGTTTCAGTCGAAAAATTGCAGAAAATTCTTAAATTTCGATCAGAATTGCTCATTTTAAACAAAAATGCTCCAATTTTGCATAGAAATGCTTATTTTCATCAGAAAATCTTGAAAAATGCCCAATTTTGCATAGAATTGCTCATTTCAATCAGAAAATCATGAAAAATGCCTAATTTTGATCAGAATTGCTCATTTTAAGCTGAAAATGCTCATGAAAATCTTGAAAAATGCCCAATTTTGCATAGAATTGCTCATTTTGAGCAGAAAATCTGGAAAAATGCCTGATTTTGCATAAAATTGCTCATTTTAATAAGAAAACCTTGAAAAATGCCCAATTTCGCATAGAATTGCTCAGTTTGAGCAGAAAATTCAATATTCGCCACAAAATTCTTGAATTTTGATTAGAATTGCTCAATTTTGCTGAAAATTAATGAATTTGAGCTGAAAATGCTCATTTTGATTTGAAAATTGCTCATTTCAAACAAAAATTGCTAGAAATGACTCTATTTGGTCAAAAATTGCTCATTTCGATAAGAAAATCTTGAAAAATGCCCAATTTTGCATAGAATTGCTCATTTTAATTAGAAAATATTGAAAAATGCCCAATTTTGCATAGAATTGCTCATTTTTAACAAATATTGCTAAAAATGCCTAATTTAGGCTCAGAATTGCTCATTTCAGTCAGAAAATGTTGAAAAATGCCCAAATTTACATAGAATTGCTCATTTTGAGCAATAAATTCAGAAAATTGCCTAATTCTGCTGAAAATTGCTCATTTTGAGCTGAAAATGCTCATTTCAGTCTGAAAATCTTGAAAAATGCTCAATTTCGCTCGGCATAGCTCATTTTGAGCTGAAATTGCTCATTTTAATCAGAAAGTTCAGAAAAATGCTCAATTTTGCATAGAATTGCTCATTTTGAGCTGAAAATGCTCATTTCAGTCGGAAAATTGCAGAAAATTCCAATATTTCGATCAAAATTGCTCATTTTTAACAAAAATGGCTAAAAATGACTCCATGTGCTCAAAAATTGCTCATTTCAATCGGAAAATCTTGAAAAATGCTCAATTTCACTCATCATTGCTCATTTTAATCATAAATTGCTTGAAATTGATGAATTTGAGCTAAAAATGCTCATTTCGATCAGAAAATCCAAGTTTCAGAGCAAAATTCTTTATTTCGGCTCATTCTAATCAAAAATTGCTCATTTCAATCAGAAAATCTGGAAAAATGCTCAATTTTGCATAGAATAGCTCATTTTGAACTGAAAATCATGAAAAATGCACCAAAAATGCTCCAATTGTCTTCAGGTTGTCCCATCAAATCTGCTGCGTTTATTCGATGCCAACGAACTCGAGCTGCTAATGTGTGGCCTCCAAAAAATCGATGTGAAAGATTGGAAAGCGAACACGATCTACAAAGGCGGATATGGTCCAAGCTCGCAAGTTGTTCACAATTTCTGGAAATGCATTTTGAGCTTCGACAATGAGATGAGAGCTCGTGTATTGCAATTTGTATCAGGAACATCGCGGGTTCCGATGAATGGATTCAGAGAATTGTATGGATCGAATGGTCTGCAGAAGTTTACGATTGAACGATGGGGAAGTCCCGATATGTTGCCGAGAGCTCATACATGGTGAGGAATAGTGGGGAAATTTGAAATTTTCATGAAATTTTGACCTTGGCAGTGGTTTTCGGGGCTCAAAATGCTCATTTTTGAGGTTTTGCTCGAATTTTAGGCCGGGGAACGTTTTTCTGGCTTCAGAAGGGCTGTTTTTCGGCTCTGAAGAGCTTGGGGACTAGAAATCCAACTCTGTGGCCTAGAAATCCAATTTTTCGGTTTTCTATGTCAGTTTTTGAGCCCAGGAGCGTTTTTCTGGCTTCAAAAGGGCTGTTTTTGGTCCTAAAAACATCGAGGGACTAGAAATCCAATATTTGTGGTTTTCTAGGTCATTTTTTCGAATTAGGCTTAAATTTTGATCTTGGGAGCATTTTTCTGGGCTCAAAATGCTCTTTTTTGGCTCTGAAGAGCTTGGGGACTAGAAATCCAACTCTGTGGCCTAGAAATCCAATTTTCCGTTTTCTAAGTCAGTTTTTGAGCCTGGGAGCATTTTTCCAGGCTCAAAATGCTCTGAAAACTTTGGGGGACTAGAAATCCAACTCTGTGGCCTAGAAATCCAATTATTTGGTTTTTTTGCAGCTTCAATCGCTTGGATTTGCCACCGTACACAACATTCCCCGAACTTCGTCAAAAATTAATAACTGCTATCGAGAATTCGGAAATTTTCAGTGGAGTTGATTAATTTTGTCTTAGGACCTTAATTAGGGCCTTAATTAAGACCCTAATTAACATTCCCTAATTTTAGATTTCATATTTTTTGTGGTATTTTTCAAATGTGATTCGATTTGTTTCCTTTCGTTTTTATTTCTGATGCCAGAGATTTTTCCAGAATTTTCAGTTTTTTTTTGTCTGAAAATCTCCTGAATACCGGTTTTTTTGAAATTATGATAATTTTCTTTTTAACCCTACTTACGATAAATTTTCGAAAAACAATGTTCCCCTTCACCCGGTCCCACCAAATTGGCGAAACGATATTATGATCTCTAACCTGGTGGAAAAAGTTCCCCACCCATGGGGCTTACTAAAAAAAATTGGGCCGATTCTGAGATCATTACTTTTTTGTCCGAGCCTCTGTTGTAAAGTTTACGTTTTTACAAATAGTGTCTTTTAAATTCAAGGTTTTCCTGATTAAAATCTTGAAAACTCTTGATTTTATCAGGTTTTTATTTGAATTTCAACGGGGTTTCAATCAAAACTTGGAATTTTCAGGTGATTTCTGCAATAAACATAGTCAGGAAAGTTATTGTTCAAGATTTGATGTCGTTGTTGGTAAGTTTTTGAATTTTAATGAAAACTTGCATGAATTTCTGGAATTGTGATTTGAAACTAATAAAATTTCTATTTTTCTTGATTTTCTTTGTGAAAATCTTGAAAAATTGATGATTTTATGAGTTACAAATTGGAATTTCAGCGGAGATGCGGAAGCTATGCCCAATTTTTGAATTTTTAGAGAAAAACTTTGAATTTTCGAATAAATTAAGTGAAGTGAACCTTTTTTCAGATCAATATGAACAATTCAAAGTATTCGAGCAACAATTCAAAGTTATTGTTCAAGATTTGATTTCGTTGTTGGTAAGTTTTTGAATTTTAATGTTTCAGTCAGTTGGTGGACGACTAGATTGTAAGTGATCCCTAGGGTCCCTAAGGTTTCTTAGAAAATTCTAACTAACCTTGTCCTTTCCAACGGAGTTTTGACACTTGTCTGTAGGAGGCTATGGGGCGAATTGGGCGAAAAGCTTTGCTTTATAGAAGCTAACCAAGGTTGAGTATTCTGAAATCAATACAATTTTGATCGGTGTCGAGACAATTGAAGTACGGTAACGAAGAATAATTAACGGAGTGAAACAATCAAGCAAAGAGAGGTACAAGATATGTAAGAGAAATAAACGGATGTCAAGATTGCGATGGGAAATCGGCTGGATCAAAGACGAAGACACTTGACGGATGTCATTAAGAATTATCGATATGAGTTCGATTCATTAGTATTTCGGAGTCACAGTTTGTGGTTTATTGACGTCAGAATTTCCCTGGATTCGGCTGACTCGATGTCAAACCTTGTTGGTTCTCAATATTCCACGTGGGCCGAGGCTGAGTCAGAGCAGCTGGTCCCTTCTGGCCTTGTAGCTATCCTAGGTTTAGGTACTAGAGAGTTGGGATAGATATACAGTCGCGAGCTGTATCTCTATCAGAGTACAAATGAACTTCTTAGAGTGGTGTTCAACAAAAGAAAATTAACGTATCTTATCTCCCTAGGTGTTAGGTATACTCCTAGACAGATGTGGATGTCAAGTGGATTCTGCTGTCCTCCAACATCTGTCTCTACTAATGTGAGACTTTACTAAGTTTAGAATTTTAACAAGAGAATTTTTATGTTCCGTAAAAACGGACATTCAATTTTTGAAAATTATTTTTATTTTATAAAGCCTCACGGGAAGAATTCGCTTCAAATGATGTGACGATGGTGGTGGTTCGTGGAGCTCACATGGAATTCGTGGCACATGGCTCTTTTAAGTGGGCATACGTGGGTGGCGCCATTACGGACGGAAGTTGCACATCCACTGAAAGTTCAGTATTTTATTTAATTGTTTTAAGTTGTTTGAAAAGTTGACTTACGCGCAATGTCCCTTCAACTCCATGTGCCACTTGCGCAAAGCGCTATACGGATAAAATGGGCAAAGTCGGGTTGGATGCGAAGTCTTTGAGCACACTTGGCAATTCAATACGGAATCTCTTGGATTTCGCAGAGTAGGTGGATGTAGAATATGTTGTCATCTTTCTCCTTTTGTTCTAGTAATCCATATTGGTTGTTGATCATACGGACGATTTTGGAGTATTCATTTTCTCGCACTTGATCTGACAAGTCCATTATTTCAAGTGTGTATTCGGATCTACGGAGGTCGTACTTGTTGATGGTGTTTTCGATCGCTTGTTGAGTTACTGTTTCTCTTTCATGTCTCGGCATTTCTTGGTAGAGATCGACTATTTCTTTCATTCCAGTTGTTGTGGAGTACGGAGTTTGTGTGAGAATGTTTTCGACGCAGTGTGCCATTTCTCCCTCCAGCCAGTTTCTGTAAAAGGTAAATTAGGAGTGAGTTGGTGGTTCAGTGGTAGGTTTTTTGAAGTTTATAAAGAAATATTGAGAGTGAAAAAGAGTTTTGATCTTTCAAGTAAAGTTTACCTTCTCCAATCATACGGACGAGTGTCTTGCAAGCTGGCTGAATCAAATCGATCCGACATGTTGAGTACGGACTAATTCACACGCGAATTTTCGAATAATCAAACAATGAACTCGGAATCAACAAGAAGTTTTATTGACTCATCCAAACACCAATAAACATTAACAATTTTCGAAGTGCAAAACAATACAACAATCGGTGAACAACAAATAATGAAGAAATTTAGGCGAGCGAGAGAATTGTTGTAGGAGAGTGGGCGTGGCTTTGTGTGTTTGTGTGTCTCGACGCGACAAGGCGGCCAGGCGGCGATTCAAATGTGGGGGCGATTCAAATTGTGTTTTTTCTTCTTCTCCGCTACATTTGTCCATTTCTCCACAATATAACGAGCAAAGAAGGAGTTGTTAGATTCTTGATATTGTTGTGTGGCTTCATAGTGTTGTTTTGATTGATGTTTTGTGGGTTGTCGGTGTTTTGGTGATGATGAGAGCAATGAATTTGGTTGAAAATGCATAGCATTTTTGACAGAAACTGATAAAATTTCTATTTTTCTTGATTTTTTTGTTGAAAATCTTGAAAAATTGATGATTTTATGAGTTACAAATTGGAATTTCAGCGGAGATACGGAAGCTATGTCCAATTTTTGAATTTTTAGAGAAAAACTTTGAATTTTCGAATAAATTAAGTGAAGTGAACCTTTTTTCAGATCAATATGAACAATTCAAAGTATTCGAGCAACAATTCAAAGTTATTATTCAAGATTTGTTGGTAAGTTTTTGAATTTTAATGAAAACTGACATGAATTTTCTGGAATTGTAATTTGAAACTAATAAAATTTCTATTTTTGTTGATTTTCTTTGTGAAAATCTTGAAAAATTGATGATTTTATCAGTTACAAATTGGAATTTCAGCGGAGATGCGGAAGCTATGCCCAATTTTTGAATTTTTATCCAAATCTAGAATAATGTGAAAACTTTTTCCAAATATCAAGATTTTATTCAAATCTTCTCAAGTTTTCTTCGATGCGGTTTTGTGATCTTGTTGAGTCTTGCTCTTTCGACTCGAAGATTCGCTGAGTGTCGACTTCTTTTTCTTCTCTTTCATCAAACCTGGTGATTGTGGTGAAGCTCCAGATACAGGTTCAGTAGATTTTCCAGTCGGCTTCTTGGATTTCTGTTTTTCACAATCTCCATTGCTCTTCTTCTCCTTCTTATTCTTCTTCCTTTTCCGACAAATACAGAACAATGTGAGACCAACAATCGCAAGAATCACAAGAATCACAACAACAACACCTCCAATAATCACATAAATCCATGGAAATTCTTCTTCTTCTTTTGGTGGAGTTGGTGTTGTTAATGATGGAAGTGGATCTGTTGTTCGTGGGCGACCCAAGATATCATCCATGCTGAAATCAATTCAGATTCTTGATTAAATCGATGGATTTTCACTTACAAGCTTCTAGTGGCTAGGCGGAGTTTGTCGGAAGCAATTGCTGCAAGATTTACAGGGTGACACATAATTTTTGTCGCAACTTTGAACCTCTGTAGGTAGAGCAAGATTTCGAATTTTAACAATGTTACTCGGAAAATCCGGAAAATGATCTTTGGTAGTAATATTTACAATTTTGCCTAAAATTTGGGAAATTTTCTCAGTTTATGATAGAAAAAATGAAATTTTTTGAATTTTTTTTTTCAATTTTTCAAATTTTTTCGAACGTCAAACGTCTCAAATAGTTACTAAATTACCTGTGAATAGAAGAATTGTAGATAAAAAAAAGTTTTAGTATAAGTTCAAATAAGTTCAACTCACGCGACAATAATTATGGGTCACCCTGTAGACTATTATTTCATTAGGATTAATGCAAAATCTCACCTTCATCCAAATTCATCTGACCAATGCTGTCAATATTAAGTGATGGATATATCATATTCGCGGCATTCATACGGATGAGTGAGAATGTGAATCTAGCATCGAACTGAGAGTTAAGGAACAAGTCATAATAAGAAATAAAAAAGTCGACTTTCCGCTGTTGAGCAATGATGATAATTTTCTCGAATCCTTTAAACGTGCTGTTAAGAGTTTTCAAAGTTTCAATATCTTTCTGGAATGTTCCAAGATCTCGTTGATGATTCGAATCAGCAAATTTCTTCAATGAGTTCCGGGTTTCATTGAAATGTTGTGAGTCTTGAATATCGATTGTAGCGTGACCAGCCGGAAAAACAGCCGCACTTGCTCCCGCAACCGTTGGAAGCCAGCAAGTAGTTTGTTTCAAAGCATAGAATACTTTTTGTGTCTGAAAGATTTTTCCAGTTGAAATTACTAAACACAAAAACACAACTCACCTCATCCTTATCACCAAATCCAATCATGAAAATGAAAAGAACCCCTCCAGTAGGAACATCGGTGTTCCGCGGTGTTTCCTGGCATACCGGGTTATCAAAACTGCCAGCATTAGTGAATGAAACGAGTGTTAGAAGAAGAATTGTTGAAACAGTTGCAGTTTTCATTCGATTCCACTGGTTTGTTTTCAAGACCAATACGATTAAGAAATAGCGGGGCTGTTTTTGGATTTTTTTTCGTTTTTTTTTCGGGTTTACGTGACGTGAATTTGATATTTTTAATGTGGAGCACATTTTTTTTAATAACTCTAATGCGGCGTCCAAAAATGAAAAAAAGAGACAATTTCCTGTCCAAAAAACCGAAGCGCAGTACGGTAGAGAGACATGCATATCTAACTCGAGAAGAAATTGGGCAGGAACCCAACAAAAATGGTCGAGGTGAACGCGTTAGATACGCAGGCGATACGGAATTTTTTTTTTGCGGCTTCAGCTTCCAAAAACACATAAAATGTGGCAATATCGATAAAACATTTGCGGGAATTTACGGTCGCATAAAACAGAATTGTGCCAAATCGTTTTCCCCTACGCTGAAAACAAGATTTTTATGAGCGCTCAAACATTTTTTGCATAAAAGCCAGCCTCAAACATCAGCAAACATCAGAAATGCTTCTGAAGGTCTTGTCACTTTTCCTATGTCTTCAATTGGTGGATTCTTGTCGTTTGAGATGTCGAAACCGAACCCAATGTGATGATGGTTGGACCTATTACAAAAGAAATACAACTGGATGGTGTATGAAGATGATGAGAGCAGAATCAGAAGATTTGAACAAAACAAGCGCTGAAAATGTTTGTAAAGCATCCGGAGCGGTTTTATCCTCAATCGATAATATGGACATGTTTAATGTGGTTTTGGGTTTGAGAGAAGGGCCATTTGATGGGTTCTTTTGGATTGGTGCAGAATTGAAGGCAGATTGTGAATGCGGAAATATGAAATGTATATGGAAACCCGAATGTGAATTAGTAGGATATATTTGGACTGATGGATTCAGTTTAACAACTCCTATCAACTCACTTGATTCAATCGAAGAAATTAACACAGAGATCGAAAATGGATATATCTATGTTGCCAGTTATATTGTTGTATTTTGGAATGGTAGTGAGTTTGAGAACCAATTTACTACATAATTATGTGAGAACTTATGAATTCAGGTGTTAGAACAATGGCTTCTTTCATGATGACGAACCGGATGCTTTGCGGAAAACAATCTAATTATTGAGTATTGGGTTTGGTTCAATAAACAATTCATTCGAAATTTTTTCTAAATAAAAAACATTCTTTCAGAATTTTATATTTATTGAAGAAGGTTTGTGTGCAAGATCTGAAAAAAAACTCACAAATGAATATTTATGTATAGAAAAATCTAAATACAAATCAAAATCTTTCAATTATAATAACTCTCGTTTCACAAAAATATTTACACCGGAATTTTTCAAATGGTATTGTTATAAATGCATAAATTTCAGATAATTTCTCATTGGCAGTCAATCGATATTGCGCACATAAATAATAACACATAAAACAATGAGATGCTGCATTGATCATTGACATGTATGCCAAAATATATGGCATAATTATCAATGAACTGTACGAATAGGTAAAATAATCAAATGAGAGATAAATAATATATGACAGTACTCGTCGAAATTCAGATGTTGTTAACCCAATAGACATAAAAATCACAAGTTTTGTGATTTGATTTGATTTTACTGTAAAAGACATCCGTGATCTTCGATTATTGACGTCTTTTAATTTCATAACAAGAATCAATGCAGCAATAGGTATAATAATTACCGGTAATATGTGTGTAAAAATTATTCGAAAAACGTCAAAAACCATATTAGCTTTATGCTCTGTTTCATACATCACAAAACTTGAAGTTGTTATATTTTCATTACTTAAAGGACATCTGAAATACACCATTATTTTTTCTAGATACGTTTTCGCGTACATTTTTTTAAATTCTTTCTGATTATCCAGGCGAGTTATTCTAGCTAACAAAGTATGCCAACAGAAAAACGATGATAATAGAATGCAACAAATTATTATTTTATAACTAACAGATGGATTGGTTGAATTAATTGAACTTTTACTTCTAACCATAAAAACTCGAAGAACACTCAAAGATACTGTTAGAAATATAGTTGAATAATCAGATAGTTCTGCAATTGCCGTCATTAACCAATCGAAAAATATATGAAAACCATATTTTCCTATAGTACATCCATAAATAGTTCTACCATTTATGAAATATATATAATACATCATATTCCACAGATAGTAAAGACCATCAGAAGCAGAAATAGCAATTAATAAAATATTAATTGAATTATTCCGAAGTTGTTTTGAAGATAAAACACAAATATGAAAAAGTAGTATTATAACTATGATTCCCTCCAGAAATAAGTAAAAATGTAAAAAATAACGATCATATTTAATTAGGAATGGTACTGAAGTGTCGCCCATATTGAAAATAGAAATAAATGCATTGTGGAAACTATATGGATTGTTTATATCAAATAAACTATCACTTTGTTTATTTTGAAAAAAACGGGGTTCAAGACGTATACTAAAAGGTATCCGAGCGCACAGTTTTACAACAACAATATCGGGAATTTGATGACGTGACGATTGCTTGAGATACATATTTTATTTTTGTGGGTTACTGTAGATTCTCGATAATAAAACGGGTGGAAATAGATAAAACATTTGCGGGAATTTACGGTCGCATAAAATTCATGCGTGACAAATCGTTTTCCAGCCCGTGAAAAAATGTTTTTATGGCAAAATAGGAGAGGCGGGGCTTCTTACCACTGTTTTTTGCTGGAAATTTTTTGCATAAAAGCCAGACCCTCCACATCAGAAAGTATCGAATCGTATCAGAAATGATTTTGAAAGTGTTGATGTTGTTGGTGTGTGTTGAATTGGTGGATTTATGTAATGTTCGACCAGAAGGAACATGTGAAGCTGGATGGACTTATTATAAGAGAGAAAAAACTGGATGGTGTATGAAACTTGTCGCTCAAAATAATTTGAACAAAACCGATGCTGAACAAATTTGTAATAACTTGGGAGCTGTTATCTCATCAATCGATAATATGGCCATGTACAATTTCACTTTTAGTCTTTCAAATGATACATCGCTACAAGCTTGGCTTGGTGCCAAACTAATAGCTAAATGTGATTGTGGGATGGCTGTATGCCCTTGGATTGATGGATGTGATGAAACTGGATATGAATGGACTGATGGTTTCAGTTTAACAACTCCATCTAATTCGATTGATAAAATTATTGCGTATGGTCCAGGCATTTCAGCGAATGGGACAAAAACCTATAATCGACTTGACTCACTTTGTTTCAACTTTGATTGGTGTGAGTTTAAAAAATACTATTGAATATACCATAAAACCGTATCTTCAGTTGCTCAAACATGTAACTCTGATTGGCTATTGACTTCTGTGATTTGTGGAAAACCGGTTTAATGATTGAAACTTGAATTTTCTTAATAAATATGTTAAAGGGTTTGTGTTCTCCTGGTGAAAAAATAGTCTACAAAAAGGTGTCACAGTGTTATTTTCAAAGTTGTGTGCAAACACACGCACGAAAATTCGAAAAACAAGTTGTGCGCTAGAACTAATTTTCTTTTTTTATTTGGTAGGTTTCAACTCGCTGGTGTTTTTGAGGTAAAACATATGCTGGATTAATACTAGATTGTTTTCTAAAACTGGAACCTTCCAGGAGAACCTTATTCCTATATAAACCAAGGAAGATTCCTTGGCGGTACACCAACCCTTTAATTGCAAACTTCTTCACAGCGAAATATGTAATCTATTGTTTTGTTCTGTTCATATCCCTTTTTCGTCTCGCGCCCTCTTCTGCACTCACACGCTAATTTTTTATCTCTCGTTTTCTCTCACGTGAAATTATGGATGTATAAATACAGTAATAGACTTTTTGAACTTATTATGCTTTCATTATTCAGATTTAACCTCCCCAAAATATATAACAAAACCATTATTGATGCTCAATTAGACGCTGATCTCCCACAAATCACCGAATCCATACTGGCATTGAGAATAGCAGATATATCGAGTTCTGAAAATAATAGTCGATTCAATATATGTATATTCCAACTAACCACCCAAATGAGAAATAATCAGTCCCTCTTTTGTCAACCAAACTATTTGACCATCGGTTATACTACTCGTCACATTCAGATTATTTTTGATGTAATCATTAGAAGTTGTGTAACCATCAGTCCAATAATAACCTTTTGGACCACATTCATTATTTGGGTCTGCGCAAAGAGCTTCTCCACATCGGCATTCGGATTTTAATTTTGCACCAAGCCAAGTAAGTTTAGCATTTTGAGCACTAATCAAACTCAAAATCACATTTTGCATTGCCAAGTCATCGATTGATGATAGAACAGCTCCATTTTCATCACAATAAGATTCAGCTGTTGTCTTAGCCATCAATCCTTCAACAAAAACTTTCATACACCATCCAGTTGTTTTTCGCTCATAATACGTCCATCCATCTTCACAAGTTCCCTTCAGACGAACATAACAAGAATCCACCAAAGGGAATTGAAGAAAGGTGAAGAATATCAAGACCTTTAGAATCATCATCTGAGTCGTTTTCTGATGTGGAGGTTGACTTTTATGCGAAAAGTTTCCTCCGCCTCTTCAATTTTCGCCGTAAAAATCCCATTTTCAACGGGAACGGCACAATTTTATTTTATGCGACCGTAAATTCCCGCAAATGTTTTATCTATGTCGGGGCATTCGATTATCGAGAATCTACAGGAAGCTTTATTACACTTGCCACTTCATCAAAAACCCTCTTTCATTTTGCACACAGTATTTCAATCGGCGTCTTTTTAGTGTGTGCCACTAAGCTCGGTTCTTTGTGGAAAAGTTGCTAAGTATTGAACATTGGGTTTGGTTTAATAAATATTTCATTCACAGTTCTTTTGTCACGTTGTAATAACACGCTCCGCACGCACGCTAACAGTTCAAGAAATACTTTTTTTAACACCTCCTCGTTCTCTAGACCTTCGCTTTCTGTCTCATTGTAAGTCTTTCCTCTCGTTCTCTGATTTTTTCCGTCTGCACACTGAAAAGACGCTGATTGAAATACGGTGTACATAGTTTTACAACAACAATATCGGGATTTTGATGACGTGACGATTGCTTGAGATACTGTAGCTTCTGGATAATAAATGCGGCAAAATAGATAAAACATTCGCGGGAATTTACGGTCACATAAAACAAGATTGTGCCATCAACATGATCACCATCAAAACAGTTTTTTATGGCGAAAATTGAAGAGGCGGAGGCTGCTTTTGCATAAAAGCCAGACCCTCCACATCAGAAAGTATCGAATCGTATCAGAAATGATTCTGAAAGTCTTGATGTTGTTGGTGTGTGTTGAATTGGTGGATTTATGTAATGTTCGACCAGAAGGAACATGTGAAGCTGGATGGACTTATTATAAGAGAGAAAAAACTGGATGGTGTATGAAACTGGTCGCTCAAAATAATTTGAACAAAACCGATGCTGAAAAAATTTGTAATAACTTAGGAGCTGTTATCTCATCAATCGATAATATGGCCATGTACAATTTCACTTTTAGTCTTTCAAATGATACATCGCTACAAGCTTGGCTTGGTGCAAAATTGATAGCTAAATGTGATTGTGGGATGGCTGTATGCCCTTGGATTGATGGATGTGATGAAACTGGATATATATGGACTGATGGTTTAAGTTTAACAACTCCATCTAATTCGATTGATAAAATTATTGCGTATGGTCCAGGCATTTCAGCGAATGGGACAAAAACCTATAATCGACTTGACTCACTTTGTTTCAACTTTGATTGGTGTGAGTTTAAAAAATACTATTGAATATACCATAAAACCGTATCTTCAGTTGCTCAAACATGTAACTCTGATTGGCTATTGACTTCTGTGATTTGTGGAAAACCGGTTTAATGATTGAAACTTGAATTTTCTTAATAAATATGTTAAAGGGTTTGTGTTCTCCTGGTGAAAAAATAGTCTACAAAAAGGTGTCACAGTGTTATTTTCAAAGTTGTGTGCAAACACACGCACGAAAATTCGAAAAACAAGTTGTGCGCTAGAGCGGATTTTCTTGTTTTATTTTGTAGGTTTTAACTCGCTTGTGTTTTGCACCAACCCTTTAATTGCAAACTTCTTCACAGCAAAATAATCTATTGTTTTGTTCAAAAACTATCGCCGCGGAAATTCAAACAAAAAAATATGCGGAGTCTGTTCATATCCCTTTTTCGTCTCGCGCCCTCTTCTGCACGCACACGCTAATTTTTTGTCTCTCGTTTTCTCTTACGTGAAATTATGGATGTATAAATACAGTAATAGACTTTTTTGACCTTATTATGCTTTTATTATTCAGATTTAACCTCCCCAAAATATATAACAAAACCATTATTCAACCCCTGATACTCAATTAGACGCTGGTTTCCCACAAATCACCGAATCCATACTGGCATTGAGAATAGCAGAAATATCGAGTTCTGAAAATGTTTGTCGATTCAATATATGTATATTCCAACTAACCACCCGAATAAGAAATAATCAGTCCCTCTTTTGTCAACCAAATTATTTGACCATCGGTTATACTACTCGTCACATTCAGATTATTTTTGATGTAATCATTAGAAGTTGTGTAACCATCAGTCCAATAATAACCTTTTGGACCACATTCATTATTTGGGTCTGCGCAAACATCTTCTCCACATCGGCATTCGGATTTTAATTTTGCACCAAGCCAGGTTAGTTTAGCATTTTGAGCACTAATCAAACTCAAAATCACATTTTGCATTGCCAAGTCATCGATTGATGATAGAACAGCTCCATTCTCATCACAATAAGATTCAGCTGTTGTCTTAGCCATCAATCTTTCAACAAACACTTTCATACACCATCCAGTTGTTTTTCTTTCGTAATACGCCCATCCATCTTCACAAGTTCCTTTCGGACGAACATAACAAGAATCCACCAAAGGGAATTGGAGAAAGGTGAAGAATATCAAGACCTTCATCTGAGTCGTTTTGATCTCATATTTTCTGATGTGGAGGTTGGCTTTTATGCAAAAATTCCCTCCGCCTCTTCAATTTTCGCCGTAAAAATCCTATTTTCAACCGGGAACGCCACATTTTCATTTTATGCGACCGTAAATTCCCGCGAATGTTTTATCTTTGTCGGGGCATTCGATTATCGAGAATCTACAGGAAGCTTTATTACACTTGCCACGTCATCAAAAACCCTCTTTCATTTTACACACAGTATTTCAATCGGCGTCTTTTTAGTGTGTGCAGACGGAAAAGGAAGGGTTAGAGAACAAGCGTATATAGTGTTTATATAATTGGTTTCTTTCAAAAACAAAAATTCATTAATTGATTATCACAATCACAAAACCGCATCAAATTTCCCATTAATCTCAAGAATCGTAAGTGTTTTCGCTTTTCCCTTATTATAAATCAACTTGCCGCCTTTCGTCAACACAACAAATTCATAATCTTTCATCAAATGAGCAATTGCTGGCATACTTCCCAAATGGAATTGTCGCAATTTGATGTAATATGTCCGTTGCAAGTGTTGTGCAGCAATCTCTTGTCGTTTCTCACTTTCCAATAAGTCTTCAAAATTCGCCATATAGTTTTTGTTGGTTTTTTGCAAATCGTTGTGGAATGCGATGGCTATTGACTTGAGCAAAGTGTTCGATTCGCCAAGAACATATTTCTGGAAAAAATGCATATTTTAGGGGGGGGGTCTCATAAGGGGGGGGTCCTTTTAAGAGAGAGGGGGGATCTCATAAGGGGGGGGTCCTTTTAAGGGAGGGGGGTCTCATAAGGGCGGGGGTCCTTTTAAGAGAGGGGGGATCTCATAAGGGGGAGGGGGTCCTTTTAAGGGAGGGAGGGGGGTCTCATAAGGAGGGGATATTTCAAAATCAGGAAAAATTCTTATTTCACTGAAAGCTTATCTGGAAACATTCCAACAATTTTCCAGCATTGCTCAGAGTATAAAAACTAACCTTAAAGATCTCCCTAATCTCAATTTGGATCCGGAATTTAAAATCAAACAAAAAACCATGATTCGTTTTTTGTAGCTCAATCAATTCATTGATAATATCACCCACATTGATTTTGTTGAGAACTTTGTTGAAGTAGCATTTTTTGCCATTGGGAAGGTTTGGATGGATTATTCTGGAAAAGAGCATTGCTCAGATTATACAAGAATTGCTCAGATTATACTCACGTGATATCAATAGGTGTCAAATCCTTATTCCCTTCAACATGCGATAAACTTTTCCTCAAAATCACATCAAAACACTTTGTCAAAATATCCGGCGGCAACCTTGGGAGTATTGCACTCTTCTGAATCTGCATCAACATCTGAAATCCACTCTTGTCCGAACTCTCCACTTCCACTTCCTCCATAAAATCTTCGAGTGTCTGCACTTCTTCGTATTTCACGTATTTGAGCTTGGCAATCTGCAGATATTTTGCGTACTGATTTTCCCAGTATGGAGATCTTTGATATTGGAAGTTGGTAGGAATTGGACATTGGATGAAGTGAAGTGGAGTTGTATCTAGATCTCTTTTCAGTGGTCGGGAAGTTTGATTTGGTGGTGGTTCATGGCTGGTTTGAGGTTGGTTTGGGCTCATTCTGAAAAAAAATCCCTATAAAACAAGCCTAAATAAGCCTGAGAAAGGCCTATTTAAGGCCCAAAAATCAAGAAAAATAGCAATAAAAAGGAACACCGCATGAACAAAAATAAAAAAATAGAAAAAGGAAAAAACTTCTGGCCTGTTTTGCATCTGGACGCCTTTCCCTATTTTTCTCTAATCCCTCTCGCTTTCTCACACTCTCTCCTCTTGTTTGCATACGAATACTCTTTGTTTCTTTGCACCCTCTTCACATCACACACTCTCTCCACGAAGAAACAGGAAGAGGAAATGAGAGAGTGGGGAGAGTTGAGAGAGAGAAAAGAAAGAAAGAGATAGAAATGAGGAGGTTTTCTCAATTACATACATATTATCGATCGGCGTCTTTTTAGTGTGTGCAGTCACAAAGTCAGTAAATTTCCTAGAATGATTTGACAATTGGAAAATAAAGCTTTGTTAGATTTATGGATACTGTAGCTTGAAAATAATAAAATGCGGCAAAATAGATAAAACATTCACGGGAATTTACGGTCACATAAAATTCATGCGTGCCAAATCGTTTTCCCCCGCTGAAAACATGATTTTTATGGCGAAAATTGAAATATTTTCGCATAAAAGTCAGCCTCGCACAATGAAAAATATCAAATCAGATCAAAAATGATTCTGAAAGTCTTGATGTTGTTGGTGTGTGTTCAATTGGTGGATTTGTGTCGTTTGAGATGTCGTGAAAGAGAAAAATGTGATGATGGCTGGACATATTACAAACGGAATACATCTGGATGGTGTATGAAAGTGTTTGGGGGAAGTTTGAACAGGACACAAGCTAAAGCAGTGTGTTCTGAAGTTGGAGCTGTTATGTCATCAATCGATAACTCGACAATGGCTAGTTTCATTAGAAATTTGACAAATTCGGTGAGTGCTAGCATGACTTGGCTTGGTGCAGAACTGAAATCTGAATGCCAATGTGGAGATTATGCCTGTCCAGGAACTAATGATTGCGGCCCAAATGGATATTATTGGACTGATGGTTTTACGACATCGAATGATTACATTACAAGTAATTTGATTCCAGCGACAGTACAATATTATTGGATACCGCTCGAAGGAGCCATTCTTATTAAATCAGGTAAGTAACAAAAAATGAGACATACTGAAATCACCGACATTTTTTTAGGGATGACCGCTTATGGTTCTGATGATATTGCAGATTCCGTGATTTGTGGAAAACAATATGTTAATTGAGAATTGTGTTTTCAAAAAAAAAAAATTTTATTCGCATTTTTTAAATAATTTTCATATGTTCCTTTCAGTCGAACACTACACAAATCCACCAAAAGGAATTGAAGAGAATGTCAAGCACAGGCAATAACGGAAGGATCCATAATGGATCCATTATGGATCCATCAAGTCCCCCGAGGTGATGGATCCATAAGGTGCACATAATGGATCCATCACACCGACCACTGATTGATCGTTGATGGATCGATGATTGATGCTTGATTTATTCAAAACTTTTAACACTTTTAAGACAAAAAAATTTATTGAAGCAAAAAAAAAAACAGTGATAGAAGAAAATAAAATAAAAATAATCCGAACTGCTAAAAGTCTACAACTATTTTTTTCTCAATATCAGGAATTTAGTTTCCTTTAGAAACTTTTGAATAAGTTTTTCTGACAAGGAAAGTGTTATGAGAACCCAGAGATTTTCAACGAGACATTTATGTTTCTGTACAGTTTTCCACGCTGTGAAAGATTCCGTTTTCAGATTTTGCCGAGCGACTCTCTGAAGACAACGAAAATTAGCCAAAAGTCCAGAATTTTGTGAAAATCCTGTTTTTTCCCTCTGAACATGAGCTATGCGCTCTAAAAAACACAATGTTCACAAAATTCTGAACTTATGGATCATCTTCGGGCTCTTCTTCAGATAGTCGCTCAGAAAAAACTGAAAACGGGATCTTTCTCAGCGTGAAAAACTGCACAGAAACATATGTGTCTCATTGAAAATCTCTGATGATTCATAACACACTTCCCTTGTGAGTAACAAAAACATTGCCTTGCTGAGTGTAGACTTCATACAGGTTGCGAATCTAACAAAAAATTAATAACTTATCTTATTATAAGGTAGTTGGCCGAGCTGCGCAGTCCTGACGTTGGCCTCCCAGTTGTTTGTCCATCGCTTCTGCAATCAGATTGAACTTATCGTGAAACATTGTAAATTTTTAGGAGAAACTTACAAGAACATCTCCATTTTCCGCTATGTTCGATCGCTCGAGCATTTTTGTGACGAATATACCTGAAAATATAGAGTTAGGCAGAAACTAAATCATATAATTACGATTTGAGAGAATGAGAAATACGAAAAATTAGGAGAAAATTAACTTAACACCATTATGTGATTAGTGAAGGGCAGAACCGATGATATGAGTTTAAAAAAAAATAATTTGAAGTGAAGTATAGTAAAAGTTGTAAGAACAAACGTGATAGGTTGAATTGATGACTAATAACATTCACTAGGTGTGATGTTCTCTCAATCGTCTAAGAAATTATAAAATTCAACCAGAAAATCTCAAATGAGCAGCTAAGGATAGTTCTAGGGACTGTTGAGCGGAGATAATCAGTCACCAAGTGAATTTCAAGCTTCCCAGGAGAAACTTGATGCTCCAAGCTGAAATGAGTTCTTCACACCAGGAGAAAATTATTTAAAAACTACAAATGAATGGCTCACACGCCTAAATATCTATGAAATACATGAAGAAAACACATTTTGGTCTAATTCAGGCGTTTGAAGAGGATTTCCAATGTCCCACTATAATTCCTCACTCGTCAATAGTCCGGAAAAGATTTTTCTATTCGTTCTTCGTCTCATAAGTTACTCATTGCCCCTCAAAAACAGAAAAAAACGAGAAAAAAGAAAAAAAAGAAAATTTCGAAATGCACACAAACGGCGTGCGCTGCGAGACCAACTCAAACAAATGTGTGCGCCTTTAACTGATTGTTTTCGCGCACCAATTAATCGAGTTTGGTGAAAAATGGTAAACACCATTCGATTCAGAATTTCACGCTGAGTAAAATGATATAAAAATCATCCCTCTCTGTGAAAGTTTTTGAGTTTACTTTTTTGGAAAAAATTGAATGATTTTTGGGCTACAAGTGTTATTTTTTAACACTTTGTAGTTATGACAACAATATTCTTTCAAAAAATAGTTAAAATAATTGTTCTTGGACCCAATACTTCTGACTTCTATAAACTCTTGTTCTTGATAAATCACGGATCAATCATGGATCAATCAAAATCACTGATTGATGCGAGATAGGTCTCTGATTGGTCTCAGATGGATCCAAGATGGGTCAAAATGGGTGATGGATCCATAATGGATCCATTATGGATCCTTCCGTTATTGCCTGTGAAGAACACGAGAATCTATTTCTGCGCTTCATTATTTAAAACAACTATGACACGTCATCGAAAACCCAGTACACATTATTTGAATCGGCGTCTTTTTATTATTTCCATTTTCACGTCATCAAAAATCCACTTTATTCCATTCTTCCTCCCCTTTTTTGTGTTGTGTGTGCACAGTATTTCAATCGGCGTCTTTTTTGTGTGTGCAGACGGAAAAGGAAGGGGTTAGAGACGGAGAGGAAACAGAAGAGGAAATTTGAATAAAATACATTTATGAGAACCGAATATGAAACTACATAATAAAAGTATGTGAAAATAAAATGGTGAGATAAAAAAGATAAAGAGGATGGCAGAATCTAGTGAAAATGGTCGTGTAGGGACAGGGGATATCGTACATAGAAGGGTATGACTGCGTTAGAGATCAGGACAATAAACTTCAGGAAATCTAGGATAACTTCTGGATAGGGTGGGGACTGTGCAATAAGACTATTAGGAAGCTTAGGGTCCAAGGCTTGGACCTCAAGGTACGACTTCTTCTAAAATGTTTGAGCTCGATCCTATCACAAGTTCACTTGGTTGAAGATCCTTGTAGTTTGAATTGACGCATTATCTGAAAATTTCCATATTTTTCAAAACTAAATCATACACTAGTTTAAAACTGACCTTATTGATTATCTGATCATCAACACTCCAGTGATCTGTGGCCTCCGAGCCAACACACAATCGATTTTGAAACTCTGAAAGAATAAATCGATAAGTTCAAAACAAGTTTTAATTTCTTACCTGGTTTTAAAATTCCATATTGAATTTTCCGAGCGTCGTCCAAATCCTTTCTTGTTTCTAGGAAGAACATCCTGATTTGTTGAATTGTTATCAACTTTTCCATCGCTGCTTTCATCGAATCCTGAAATTTTACAGTTTTTGAGTTCTGGATCATTTTCAGCGTGGTAGATTTGGTATATTTAACAATGCTTAATACATCCTTGTAACCCTTACCTTTGAAAAATCCAGGTAAATTTTGTCAACTTTTTCCAACTCGAATTCCAAGAGTTGCAGAAAGTGATTTTTGAGTTGATATACCGCAGTAGATTCCGCTGACATTTTACTCCAAATCGTTGAGTGATAATGATAATATATCTGAAATTATAGTTCTTAAAAAAACAGAAAAATAAAAAAAAAAACGCACCCAGATAAAGATGAAAAATAATAAAGTGCGCGTCCCTCCCTCTCCGTCTCTAACTCCCTTCCTTTTCCGTCTGCACACACAAAAAAGGACGCCGATTGAAATACTGTGCACACACAACAGAGGAAGAATGAAAATTTTTGATGACGTGTATACAGCTATGGAATTCCGGGGATACGGTAGTTTTGTTGAACGATGAAGCTGGAAAATAGATAAAATATCGGCGATTTACGGTCGCATAAAATCGAAATTGTGCCGTTCGGGATTTTTATGGGAAAATTGAAATATTTTTGCATAAAAGCAGGAGGCCTGTACATCAGAAAACATCAGAGATGATTCTGAAGGTCTTGGTGTTCTTCCTGTGTGTCCAATTGGTGGATTCGTGTCAAATAAGATGTCGAGCACGAGAATGTGATGCTGGTTGGTCGTACTACAAACGAAATACAACTGGATGGTGTATGAAAGTGTTTGTGGGAACTGTCAATATGACACGAGCTGAAGCAGTGTGTTCTGGAGTTGGAGCTGTGATGTCATCAATCGATGACGTGGATATGTACAATTTCACCGCAAAATTGCAAGCTTCTGCGAGTTCTAGCGTCTCCTGGCTTGGTGCATTATTGAACACTGATTGTGAATGTGGAGACTATGAATGTCCGGTAACTGATAGTTGTGGTCCGAATGGATATTATTGGACTGACGGCTACACAACTTCTAATGATTTCCTTTTGAAATATCTCGACGTGGCGCAAGAGGTTAAAAATGGCCAAGACCATTATTATTTTATTGGGGAAGGGGTGAATCTTTATTATTCGGGTGAGTTGAGAAATAACAGTTTTTTTTTTGATTTTCGAGAAGTTTTAGGAATCGAAGTGGCTTCTTCTTATGAAACTACCGATTCGGTGATTTGTGGGAAACAATCCAATAATTGAAAATTGGGGTTTTGTTGGGATAATAAAGGTTTCATTTGCAAGTTTTTTTTTGATTTTGAGTTTTTGATGAATAGCCCGCCAGCTCAATTACTTGAAGGTTCCAGAGCGAACAAAAACAGTGTTGTCACAATATCTACCACATAACTTATCGGTCTTGAATAAGCTGAAACATTGTTGAAAATTATTTTCACGCCCAAAACGAACCTGGAGTTAAAGGCGGTCAGACAGCTATTCCGGTTGACGGAGACCACCCACGAAGCCTCTGACTTTAACCGGGCTGAACTTGAACCAAACAAAAGATAGAGATTGTGAAAATATGAGACTTCAAATCTTCCTGTGCAAAAGTGCGTCGCGGTGTTTGCACACACACACACACACAAATCCGCTGGACGTGGGGGCAATTTGAAATTTTGAAAACACAAGATTTTCTCAGCTCGTATTAACTTTCATGATTTCGGAATTTTTTCACTGGTTCGTTTCATAATAAACTATTTTTGACACTAAGCTTTGAGGAAAACCGGAATAATTGTCTAACTGTCTTTAATCTTCCTTTCTCTGGAAAATGGTTACTGTGTAGCCATGAATTCATCGTTCTATGAAGCCAGTTTGATTCAGACATGAATTTCACCGGTTACTGTAGCTTCCGAATAATAAAAACAGACAGAAATAGATAAAACATTCGCGGGAATTTACGGTCGCATAAAAAATTGTGCCAAATCGTGAAAACATGATTTTTTATGGCGAAAATTGAAGAGACGGAGCTGGTTTTGCATAAAAGCCAGGCCTCCACATTAGAAAATATCACATAAAAAATGATTGTGAAGGTGTTGATGTTGTTGTTGGGTCTTCAATTCACCTCCGTGGATTCATGCGCTGCTCGACCAGAAGGAACATGTGAAGTTGGGTGGATGAAATTCAGTCGAAAGTATGTTGAGTGGTGTGTCAAATTTGTCTATGAAAAAAACATAAACAAAACAAGGGCTGAAAGTATCTGTGATGGTTTCGGAGCTGAGTTATCATCGATTGAAGATACGGACATGAGGTATGAGTTTAAATCGGCAATGTCGGATTCTGGAATAACCGGACGGGGTGCTTGGGTTGGAATAGCTGAATGCAATTGTGGAGCGGCCATCTGCTTGAAGTTATCTGGATGTGGTAGTGGAAGCTACTATTGGACCGATGCATATTCTTACCCAAATGATTTGCTAGATACTAAATGGTTCAGTGGACTCAGCGCATATGTACCTGATTCAGGAGTGCTTATGGCTGAGGGTGGTGAGTAGAAAAGACTGGATAACGTTTCCAAGTTTTGATTACTAAAGGAGACCACACGGTGATCCCATTTAGTAATTATCTTCTTTAAGGGGGGTTAGACGACAAAAAAATTTGTCGCAAAGTTAAAGGCAAAAAAAAAATCATATTTTTAGATATCTGGGCGGTTTGGAGAAATAACACAGAAAAAGCAGATGGTGTGTTCTGTGGGAAAGAAGCGACTTATTAAAACTTGTGCATTCTGTTGCTTGATAAACTTGTTGTTTGCATTTTTGTTCGTATTAAGTGCAATATAAAAAAAAATATTTTTAACACACAAACCGGAAAAATATTCTTTCAAAATTCGATTCTTTGACCGTAGAACAAGAAAAACAAACAATTACGAAATTCACGGCATTTTATTATGAATAAAACCAAATTGTACCACTTTAATTAGAAAAAATGTAATAAAAATATTTGTATAAAAGCCAAATGAAAACTAACACAATACATCACACCAGAGATGGTTAGAAAATTCTTGATATTCTTGTTGTGCTTGCACTTTCCATCGTATGTGGAATCTTGTGGAGGTCAATCTTGTGAAGATGGCTGGACATATTACAAAAGAAATACAACTGGATGGTGTATGAAAGTCGTGGCTCAACAAAATATCAACAAAGCCGAGGCCAAGAAGGTTTGCAGTGATTTGGGAGCTGTGATTTCATCAATTGATGATTCGGCAATGAACGACAGGCTGTTGAATTTGAAAAGTATTACGGGTGCCACAAAAATTTGGCTTGGTGCAGATATGAAATCTGAATGCCTATGTGGAGAGGAACTCTGTCTCACTACACCCGATTGTCCGAATGGATATTATTGGAGTGATGGCTACACGACTTCCAATGACTACATCTCTAATAATCTGATTATGTTTTCATTAGACATTAATATCAATAATGTGTATGTAATGAAGTATTATCCATCTGATGGACTTATTATGAATTCGATTCCGGGTAAGTGAAAAAAAATGAAATTAACAAAATCACGAACACTTTTAGAACTCGAAAATGTTCAATCGACTGGCTCCTATGACTCCGTTATTTGTGGAAAAATTTCTAATTTTTAAAGGTTTCATTTGGATATTCAAAATTAAGGCACATAAAAAATCATTTTTAAAAGGTTCAAAAAACGCAAAAGATTGTGTCACACACAGGCTTCTTTGGTTACTGTGAAACAAAAACATAAAATAAATTATCGTTTTATGACCACGAGTCAGTTCCGATTCAGTTATAGATATCTTTGGTTACTGTAGCTTCCAAATAATAAAACAGACAAAAATAGATAAAACATTCACGGCGATTTATGGTTCCATAAAATAAAATTGTGCCATTAACCCGAACATCATCGAAACAGTTTGCTGCTTTTGCATAAAAGCCAGACCTGCACATCAGAAAATATCAAAACAAAAATGATTATGAAGATGTTGATGTTGTTGATGTGTCTTCAATTCGCCATGGTGGACTCGTGTAATGTTCGACCAGAAGGAACATGTGAAGTTGGGTGGATGAAATTCAGTCGAAAGTATGTTGAGTGGTGTGTCAAATTTGTCTATGAAAAAAACATAAATAAAACAAGGGCTGAAAGTATCTGTGCTGGTTTCGGAGCTGAGTTATCATCCATTGAAAATACGGATATGAGCCATGAGTTCACATCGGCAATGTCGGAATATGGAGGGACCGGATGGGGTGCTTGGATCGGAATAGCTGACGCTTGTGTGAAGTTATCTGGATGTGGTAGTGGATGGTACTATTGGATTCTCTTACCCGAATGACTTTCTTAATGCTGGAGGGTTCAGTGGAATCAGCACAGATGTCCCTGATTCAGCGGTGCTTATGGTTGAGGGTGGTAAGTAGGAAAGACTGGATAACGTTCCCAAGGTTTTCAAATTTATAAATTATATGTTTAGATTTCTGGGCGGTTTGGAGAAATGAGACAGAATTAGCAGATGGTGTGTTCTGTGGGAAAGAAGCGACTTTTTAAAACTTTTTGTTGCTTGATAAACTTGTTGTTTGCATTTTTGTTCTCGTTAAAGACACAAGAAACACTGGAAACAACAGATTTCCCGCATTTATTTTCAAACTACAAAACCAGCATATGCGCTCTAGCGACACACTGTGTGCAAACACTTTCGAAATTTCCGTCGAGCGACTTCAAAAACAATTATTTTATTTTTTCAAGACTCACATTAATTATTTTCGACAATTTAGACATTTTTTTAACAGAAAGTATCATATTTTTCTATACTATTTTGAATTTTGAATGTATGAAAGACTGTTGGAAATAATAATTCCTTGAACCATCTTATCATTTGATTTTTTCATCTTCTTATAATTTATATCTTATAATATATTATTATGATTGAACCGATTTTTTTTCCACAAATCGCACGCTAAAGATAAACGGGTTAGTTTCAGATAAAGAAACGACTTTATTGCTTTATATTTTTTTGTTAGTTTTATTCAGGTATGGTTAGATTTATCATTATTATCGCAGCTATTCTTGTATTCCCTGTTGATTTGTGTTTTCCTACTAGAAGCACTCAAATAATTTTGCCACAGTTGGAAATATCTGACGAATTGGAGCCGAGGAATCAAATCGAATTGGAGCAGGAAAATCAGATGGTTTCTACTGATTCAAAATCAACTTCAATTACACCAAAGTATCCACCGGTAAGGTGCAAACAGCGTGTTATAGGTATAAAAACACAGCATTTCAGCCCTATTATGCTTCAACAGTGACAACAGAAATTCCAATAACACAATGTGACGATGGATGGTCGTATTACGAAAGAGCAACAACTGGATGGTGTATGAAAGTCGTAGCTCAACAAAATATCAACAAAGCCCAAGCCGAGAAGGTTTGCAGTGATTTGGGAGCGGTGATCTCATCAATCGATGATTCGGCAATGAACGACAGGTTGTTGAATTTGAAAAGTATTGCGGGTGCCACGAATACTTGGCTTGGTGCAGATATGAAATCTGAATGTATATGTGGAGAGAAACTCTGTGTTCTAACTGAGGATTGTGGTCCGAACGGGTATTATTGGACTGATGGCTACACTACTTCAAATGACTACATCTCTAATAATCTGGTTATGTTTACATTACTCACGAATGACAATAATGTAGAAGTAGAGAAGTATGTTTCATCTGATGGACTTATTATGGATTCGATTCCGAGTGAGTGAAAAAAAAATGAAATTAATGATGTCACGAACATTTTTAGAACTCGAAAATGTTCAATCGACTGACTTCTATGATTCGGTTATTTGTGGGAAAATTTCTAATTTTTAAAGGTTCCATTTGCATTCTTCAAAATTAACACAAATAAAAAAGCATTTTTAAAAGGTTCAAGGAACGCAAAAGATTGTGTCACACATAGGCTTCTTTTGTTACTGGAAAACAAAAAAATTAAATTAAAACTTTCGTTTTATGATGACGTGTCAGTTCCGATTAAGACATAGATTTCTCTGGTTACTGTGGCTTTCAAATAATAAAATTCGACAAAATAGATAAAACATTTGCGGGAATTTACGGTCGCATAAAGCAAAATTGTGCCAAATCGTTTTTCCGCCCCGTAAACATGATTTTTATGGCAAAAATTGAAATATTTTTGCATAAAAGCCAGGGCTGAACATCAGAAAACATCGAATCGTATCAGAAATGATTCTGAAGGTTTTGATGGCGTTGTTGTGTCTTCAATTCGAACCAGTGGGTTTGTGCAACGTTCGACCCGAAATACGATGTGAAGATGGCTGGACATATTACAAACGGAATACAACTGGATGGTGTATGAAAGTTTTGGTGGGAAGTGTGAACTTGGCACGAGCTAAAGTAGTGTGTTCTGGAGTTGGAGCTGTTATGTCATCAATCGATGACGTGGAGATGTACAATTCCGCTGCGAATTTGCTAGCTTCTACGAGTTCTAGATTTTCTTGGCTCGGTGCAGAGTTGAAATCTGAATGCAATTGTGGAGCAAATTCATGTCCTGTAACTGATAATTGTGGTCGAAATGGATATTATTGGACTGACGGCTACACGACTTCTAATGATTTCATTCTGACTCATCTTAGCGTGGTGCAAGAACTTATAAATGGCCAAGAGCATTATACAAAAGCGGAAGGAGTGGTTCTTAGTCGTACCGGTGAGTCGGAGGAGAGGCATGATCTTTAAATTTAGGAAAAGTTTTAGGAATCCAAGTTGGATCTGCGTTGTATAATGCCGGTTCGGTGCTTTGTGGGAAACAATCCAATAATTGAGAATTGGGTTTTTGTTGGGATAATAAAGGTTTCATTTGCAAATTTTTTTGAATTTTGAGTTTTTGATGAACATTGAAGATGCGGAAAAGTATATATCTTTCAATTAATCGAAACAAAAAAATGCAAATAACAACTTTATGAAAAGAATGTTCCAGTTTTGTTAAGTCGCCTCTTTTCCACAGAATACACCACCTTCTATAGCATCGGTACTCCAAACCGCATGAAATTCTAAACATATAATTATACTAAATCGACCAAATCATTTCAAATTGAAAGTTGTATCAGAAACACAAACAAAATATTTTTGATGTAGTCATGGTTCTATTTAGAATTTTTTTGTTTTCTACTCACCACCAGATATAAGCAATCCTGAATCAAATGGTACTACATTCGAGCCGGTAGAAGTTTCATTGACTCCACTCACATAATCAAGCAAGTCATTTGGATACGTATATTTATCGGTCCAATAGTATCCTCCAGAGCCACATCCAGGAACGTACAAGCAACTGTCAGCTCCACAATTGCATTCAGGTTTTAAAGCTATGCCAACCCAAGCAACACTCTCTAAATAACTACTCATCACCGTGCTGAACAAATTCTTCATTTCCATGTTATCGATGGATGATATTTCAGCTCCTAAACCAGCACAAATGTTTTCAGCCGTTGTTTTGTTCATATTTGGATAAATATAATACATGAAACACCACTCAACTATTACTCGATCGAATTTCGTCCATCCCGCTTCGCATGTTTTTCTAGGTCGAACATTACACGAGTCGACGTTGGCGAATTGAAGACACACCAACAACATCAACACCTTCACAATCATTTCTGATTCGATTTGATCTCATATTTTGTGATGTGCAGGCCTGGCTTTTATGTGAAAATATTTCAGCAGAAACAGGGGGAAGAAGCACCGCCTCTTCGATTTTCGCCATGAAAATCATGTTTTCAAACGATTTGGCACAATTCTATTTTATTGGACCGTAAATTCCCGCAAATGTTTTATCTATTTTGCCGCATTTTATTATTCGGAAGCTACAGTAACCAAAGAAATCTATAGGTGAATCAAAACTGAAACATTATCGTAAGACAATATTATAAATTTTAATTAGTGTGTTTACAGACGGAAAAGGAGAGGTTAGAGAGCGAGAGGACATCTCTGCACGAGTATCACTTCCATATTTTTTTGTTTTTCTTACTTTAAGGTCAAAGATTCAAATATTGAAAAAGCATTTTTCATGAATCAATAATTTACCCGATTTTTGATGACATAGCAGTTGAAGATGTCTTCGGTTACTGTAGCTTCCAAATAATAAAATTCGGCAAAATAGATAAAAAATTTGCGGGAATTTACGGTCGCATAAAACAAAATTGTGCCAAATCGTTTTTTCCGCCCCGTGAAAACATGATTTTTATGGCAAAAATTGAAATATTTTTGCATAAAAGCCAAGCCTGAACATCAAAAAATATCACATCAAAAATGATTCTGAAGGTCTTGATGTCGTTGTTGTGTCTTCAATTCAAATCCGTGATATCGTGCAATGTTCGACCCGAAATACGATGTGAAGATGGTTGGACATATTACAAAAGAAAAACAACTGGATGGTGTATGAAAGTTGTGGTGACAAAAGAAATCATGACACAAACAGATGGTGCAGCGGCTTGTGCTGAATTGGGAGCTGTTCTAACATCAATCGACAATTCGGAAATGAAAGATGTGATTAATAGTTTGAGAGCCGCGAAAAATGTTCTTATTAGTGGAAAAACTTGGATTGGTGGTGAATTAAAATCTGAGTGCACATCTTCTAATTGTGGAGAGAAAAATGACATGGATCATTGTAAACTAACTGAAACATGTGGAAATAATCGATATGAATGGACTGATGGTTTCACAACTTCATCTTCTAATCAATTTCTTATTGATGAAATGACGAATACAAGTTGGTTGGGCGTCATGGAGGGTTATTATATACCAGATCCCATTATGAGTATGTCTAATACAGGTGAATAAAACATACACAAGCTTGATTGTGAGTAATTAATCGTGTTTAGGATTTGGGAATTTAGCATCCCAACCCCCGAAATCGGCAATTTGCGGTAAGGAATCAATTGAAGATTCGAGCTATGAAAGTGAATCGATTGAAATCTTCGGATTTTAAATATTTTATTTGTTTCCATAAATGGTTTGCTGTCAGTTTTCAGAACATCAAATTCGCATTTAGAATAGCTATCAAAGCTTGTTTGGTGAACCAATGTAAAACCTCAGATTTTCCGATTTCCCCAATCAATTTCTCTTTCCCCCCAAACTCCTCAACAATTTCGGGTAAATCAACACCAGCGCGACTAAAAATGATTCGAATCAATCGACGTTCCCCAATCATAGCACGATAATCTTCACCATCCAAACTTCTCCTCATCAAACTCACAAAATACCCCGTCGGATTTCGAATCGCTTCAACGTATCGATGAAAAAATTCTTTTGTAGTATATGAATATTCTCCATCGATCATCTCATGAATTGTTCGTCTTTTCATAGCAATACCAGTAGGTGAGGTATATTGAAATTTGGGAAACATCTTAAACATCAATCGAAGTTGATTGTAGTTTCGTTTCAAAAAAAATTCGATTTATCTCATCTTCATCTGTCCCAAAATGATCGTTTATAGCATAATCGTATATATATTTACAATCTTTTTCAGCTACTCTTTCATCCGCATATTCAGATTCATCTCTATCAGCTGTACAAAGCGCTAAAACAATATCTTCCAAATCACCCATCGTGTACGTTTCCATTCGATCACATAAATCAGAATCCTCCAAATCCCTATAAGCTTTTCTGATCTTCCTGCTGTTCTTGTTGCCAAAAAGGATCTAGATCATAATCAATACCAGTTAATGCGAAAACCAATACTTTAGCGTCATAATAGGTTGGAGTATTATCAATTATTCCCATTGTTAGTTCCCTTGGTGCCAAGGAATCTAACCTATCCCATAACTCTTCATACATCTCTTCACCATATAATCTTTCAAAAATCTTTATCAATTTGTGTCGTTCACCGTACTTCTTCTCATAAATAATTGTGATTAGAGATGATAGATTGTGACCTGGTGTGTTGAGAAGACATTGATACAACATTTCAGCCTCGTAGTAGTAATCGATAGAAGTTGAAATATTTTTGAGCAGAAAAATCAGAAAAATTTTGAACATTTTTGAATATCTGCTTTGGTTGGCGGTTTTTATGAACACTTTTTTCTCACGTTTTTTAATGACCTTGACTTTTTGAACTGTTCGAATAATTTGGGACATGTTTTTTGTACAGTGGAAAGTGTATATTTTTGGTTTTCAGAATTTTAATAAGCAATAAACCAAAGAAAATCCATGGGAAACAAATTTTTTCATAAAAACTGCCTGCGTTATACGATTTCAAGAATGTTTAGAATTTTATTTCTGAACGCCCTCAATATTCTATCAATTTTTGGATCAAGTGAATCAGAAGAAACGAAAAAAGAACGATTTTTGCCCGAAAATTTGCTGTACAATCTAGTTTATGGAATTCCATATCACGAATTAAGATTATTTATATATATTTTTGGCAAAACCCACGAGAACCGAATTGAGATGATCAAAAAATATCGACAAAAATATGATGAAGAGGGATATAATACATTATTGCTCAGATTAAGTGTTGCCCCAGATGTTCTTACAATGCAAATCAATAGAACTATAGCATATTATGATGCTGCATTATTAAATATCGCACTTGGACCTTATGGTGATAATCCTTTGAAGTTATGGTAACAAGAACAAGAAATGAGAGAAATCAAAAAGGCTTATGAAAAATTATATCATACTGATCTATGTGAAACTATCAAACGTAAAAAATATGGAGAATTCAAGGATATACTTCTAGCACTTTGTGCAGCTGACAGAGATGAATCTGATGTTGTTAATGAATTGTTAGCAGAACAAGATTGTAATAGTATTTATCTTTATGGTCCAGCTAAGATTCCTGGGACTGATGATGCGGGCATTAATTCGATCTTGTTTAAAAGGAACTATAATCAACTTCGACGGATGTTTGAGATGTTTCCCAAGTTTATATTCACAATATCTCCGACGGAATATATGGAAAGGAGAACAATTGAAGCAGTGATTGACGAGGAATATTCAGCTACAGCTAATAGTGCGCTCCTTCAATATATTGAAGCTGTCAAAAATCTACCGGAGTATTTTGCAAATTTACTTGCCAAGGCTTTAAGAGGTATACGATTACATACCCTGACAAATCTAACTGCACATAAATTTCAGTTTCCGATGAAGATCAATTGATTCGTATCATTTTGAGTCGCGGTGGTATTGATTTAGTGGAAATTGTCAAATCGTATGGTGAACGATTCAAATTGATGGGGCACATTGATGATGCTGATTTTATCACTGAGCACACTAGAATGGCTTTGAAACATTTTTTGAAAGTGCATCTATCTCTGAGTTAATTTTTAGAATAAATACAATCTAACCCTTCCTGTTCCGTCTGCAAACACTGTGAAATACAGTGCATAAGAATTTTTGATGACGTGTCATTTGGAAAAAATCCAAGCAATTAAAAAATAAACGTGAGAAAAAAATTTGTTATAAAAACCGCCCGCAATAGTTTGAATTCAAAAAATGTTTCCCCTGTTCCTGTTCGTCATTCCATCAATCCTAGGATCAGAGGAATCTGATGCAGATTCTTTGAAACGAGCAGTTCTAGGATTACCATTCAATGAATCAACTCTAATTTCAGTTATTTATGAGAAAACCTACCCAGAAAGACAGAAAATGGTGGAAACTTTTCGAAATAAATATGGTGAAGAGATATATAAAGAATTATGGAATAAATTATATTATGCTCCACGGGAACTTACAGCCGGGATAAAATTTAATACCACAGCATTTTACGACGCGAAACTGTTAAGTTTCGCGCTAACCGGTATTCATTTTGATGAAGATGTTTTGATTGAAATAATGGTGACAAGAACAACTCAAGAGATGAGAGAAATCAAAAAAGCTTATCGGAAATTAGAAAAATCTGATTTATGTGAAGATATTGAATCGGATGTAATGGGCGATTTGGAAGGAGTTCTTTTAGCACTTTGTGCAGCTGATAAAGATGAACCTAACGTTATTGTTGATCAAAATATAGCAAAACAAGATATTGAGACACTTTACTATTATGGTCCGGATAGTCATTTTCGAACTGATGAAGATGTATACAATCAAATATTGTTTAAACGAAACGATAAACAACTTCGACGAATGTTTGCGATGTTTACCGATTATCAATATTATACTAAGCTCTTAAAAATTCCGATAAGAAAACGAACATTTGAGGATTTGATTGAACAAGAATATTCGTTTGCCACAGAACGTGCACTTCAACGATACATTAAAACTGTCAAAAATCGCGCGGGGTATTTTGCAAGCATGATTAGCGATAGTTTAAAAGGTATTTTGAGAGGTTCATCGCCGCAAATATTCACATTTTTCAGATAAATATGACGGGGAACGTCGCTTGATTCGAATTATTTTTGGACGCGCTGGTGTCGATTTACCGGACATTGTTGGAGTTTTTGGTGGAAAGAAGAAACTGATCAGGGAAATTAGGAAAACTTCGTTTCTATCTGGGTTTACTAAACAAGCTTTGATAGCTATTCTGAAAACGAATTGTTAAAGTTTTTTGTAATGTTGGACATCCCTACGTGATTTGTTCAAAAAATCAAAAATCTAAAAATAAAATTCAACAGTTTAATATCCTGAGAACCAAAATGTTATATAAAAACCACTTGCGTTATTCAAAAATCTCAAAAAAATGTTTCTTCTATTTCTGATTCCATCAATTCTTGGATCACCTGAATCTGATGCTAAGGCTCTAAATGAAGCACTCAATGGGATACCGGATGGATTCAATGAATCAACATTGATCACGGTGATTTATGAGAAAAAATACCTACGTAGGCAGAAAATGGTAGAAACTTTTCGAAGAGTTTATGGTGAAGATCAATATTCAAATTTATGGAACAAAATCTCATATGCTCCAGACGATATTCGGATGGGAATAATCGATAATAGTTCAGCATTTTATGATGCAAAAGTATTGATTCATGCAATGCGTGGTCGTTCATATAAAAAAAAACCTATCATAGAAGTTATGGTGTCAAGAACATCGAAAGAAATGAAAAAAATCAAAGAGGCAAGTCTAGCATTAGGCACTGATTTATGTGATCAAATGGACTGTGAATTAGGATTTGGAGATTTTAAAGATGTTATGTTAGAACTATGTAAAGCTGACAGAAATGAAGACGATTGGTATGATGTAGATTTAGCACTAAAAGACTGTGATAAGCTTTATCAATTTGGTCCGCGTAGAATGTTAGATACTGATGAATATGGGATTAATAAGATTTTGTTCAAACGAAACTATGAACAACTTCGAGTGATGTTTAGGGTTTTCTCGAATTATGTATTCACATATTTATGGAAAGATGAATATATAACTTTGGAGAAGCGATCGATTGAAACTATGATTGATGAGGAATATTCTTTGTCTACGAAAGATGCACTTCTAGAATATGTGAAAGCTGTTAAGAACCGTATTGGATATTTTGTAAATCTTATTAAGAATGGTTTGACAGGTAGGTTTATCTCAAATTTTTTTTCCAAAAATTCAATTGATTACAGATGGCGCTGGATCCAATGGCGAACGACAAGTGATTCGAACAATCTTTGGTCGCACTGGTATCGATTTACCCGAAATTGTCAAGGAGTTTGGTGGAAAGGATAAACTTGTGGAGAGCATCAGAAAATCTGTGGATTTATATTGGTTTACTAAACAAGCTTTGATCGCTATTCTGAATGCGAATTGTGAAGAATGTTAATAAAATTTTTAATCAGCAAAACATTTTTTCTTAAGCCAAGATTCTGCTGATTTTTTTTTCAAATTCGAAGTTTTAATGGGCTATAAAAATGTCATGAGAACCAGAATTTTATATAAAAACCACCTGTGTTATTCAAAAATCTAAGAAAAATGTTTCTTCTATTTCTGATTCCATCAATTCTTGGATCACCTGAATCTGATGCCAAAGATCTGAATGAAGCATTCAATTATTCAACTCTGATTACGGTAATTTATGAGAAAAAATACCTGGAAAGACAGAAAATGATGGAAACTTTTCGAAGAGTTTATGGTGAAGAAGCATATTTCAATTTATGGAACAAATTGGGCGATCTCCCAAAGGAACTTTCGATAGGAATAATCGATAATCAAGCATTCTATGATGCAAAATTATTAAATCTTGGTCTAACTCGCTCTTTTTACGATGAAGATACGTTAAGCGAACTAATGCTAACAAGAACATCTCAAGAAATTAGGACCATCAAAAAGGCGTATAAGCGATTAGATCATCGTGATTTATGCGATGATATTGATGGAAGATCATCAGGGGATTTGAAAGGAGTTCTGTTAGCACTTTGTGCAGCTGATAGAGATGAATCTGAAGTTGTTGATGAGAAATTGGCATTGGAAGATTGTCAAAATTTATATGCTTATGGTCCATATAATTATCGAATTGATAAAGATGGAATCAATTCGATTTTGTTCAACCGAAACTATAATCAACTTCGAAGAATGTTCGAGATATTCTCCGAATTCGAATATATCACACCAATACAAACGGTTATGAACAAGCGTACGATTGAGGATATGATTGAACAAGAGTACTCTTTTTCGGCAGAGCGTGCACTTCAACAATACATCAAGACTATGAAACATCGAGCGGGTTATTTTGCAAGCCTTATTGAAGGAGGCTTGAGAGGAGTCAGTGGTGAGCGACAAGTGATTCGAACAATTTTTGGACGCGCTGGTGTCGATTTATCAGAAATTGTTAAAGCGTTTGGTGGAAAGGATAAACTTGTGGAGAGCATCAGAAAATCTCAAAATCTAACTCGGATTACTAAACAAGCTTTGATAGCTATTCTGAATGCAAATGAGAATGTTTGAATAAACCTGTATTTTTTTTTAAACAAAACAATGTGAGAAAAAATTCATCATTAACATTTTTCGCAATTCGCATTCAAAATAGCGATCAAAGCTTGTTTAGTGAACCCTAATAAATCCGTAGAATTTGTGATGCTCTCCACAAGTTTATCCTTTCCACCAAACTCCTTGACAATTTCGGGTAAATCGTTACCAGCGCGACTAAAAATCGTTCGAATTACACGACGTTCACCCTTGGCTCCATCTGAAATGATGTCAAGTAGAACATTTATCCGGAATTAACTAATCTATGTACCTGTCAGCCCCTCTCTAATCAAATCCGCAAAATAACCCGCTCGATTTTTGACAGCTTTGATATACATTTGAAGTATATCTTCTTCTTCATATGAATATTCACTGCTAATCACAGTTTCAATCGTTCGTGTTTCCAACGTCGCTAATCTAGCGTGCATTCGATATTCGGAAAAGATCTCAAACATTAGTTGAAGTTGTTTGTAGTTTCTTTTAAACAAAATCGAATTAATGCCCTCCTCATCAGTTCCAAAAATATAGGTTGGACCATATTCATAAATTAGGCAACAATCCCGCAATGCCAATTTTTCATCAACCCGATCACTTTCATCTCGGTCAGCTTCACAAAGAGCTAAAAGAATATCTTCTAAATCTCCAGATGTAACTGTTTCGATATCACCACATAAATCCATACCATCTTTGTTTATTATATCGTATGCTTTTTTGATTTCTCTCATTTCTTGAGATGTTCTTGTTACCATTATTTCGAACAAAACATGTTCGTCATAGTATAAAAAACCCATCGCTAAAAATAACATTTTCGCATCATAATACGCTGAGCTATTATCCATTATTCCTCTTCTAAGTTCCGTTGGAGGATATGAGATTTTATTCCATAATTGATTATAAGCTTCTTCCCCATAAGTTTTTCGAAAAACTTCAATCATCTTGTATCTTTGCTCGTATGTTTTTTCATAAAGAACTGTAATCAGAACTGATTCATTGTAACCATTCGGTATTCCATTTAGTGCTTCATTCAGATCTTTGGCATCAGATTCAGGTGATCCAAGAATTGATGGAAGATAGTTGACGGACAGAAATATCAGGACAAATCTCAACATTTTTTGAATTGATATTATTTAACAATGCGGGTGGTTTTTATACAAACCTTTGTTTCTCAAACATTGAACTGTTGATTTCTCTTAGTTTTATTGCACATTAAAATTCTGAAAAACAAAAATTAAATGTTGAAAATAAACGTGCGAATCAAGATTTGCCTAATCTCGTTTGTTAATAAAATTTTCATTTTTCTTCATGAATGCATTTTGTAAAACTAAAAGTTTATTGCCTCTCAAAATCTTTCAATTATAATCACTCGTGTCTCACAGAAATACTTATACACAAGTTTTTTGAATGGTCTTCTGATAAACTTGAATATTTTGAATAACATCTCATTGGCAATTATCCGATATTGTGAACATAAATAATAACACATGAAACAATGAGATGCTGAATTGATAACAAATAAAAAATAAACGCAGAAACGAATGGATAATATGAAAGCATCACGAGTATTTAGTTCAAAAAATAACTTGTGATAGGTAGAAATAACACGAGGTATTTCAGTAATCGCAGAGCTCATAGATGTTATTATCACAAGTTTTGTAATTCTAGATTTTCGTAATCGATGTCTAGAAAATTGGTTAAGGCGTTGAGATTCTCTTAATTGCATGATCAGAGAATATGTGGATGATGGAATAATCAAAATTGGAACAATTTCAAAAATCAGATTGATCAAAAACTCGTATATCACATTTGTTCTAACCGGTACATAATATGTGAGTAATACTGGAAATGTGACAGTGATATTTTCACCAGGACATCTGAAAACCAGGTATGCATCTGTAGTGATAAATAATTTTTCTCACCTACATCACATCAATTTCTTGCTGGTTCCGGAAATATCCAATATGCATTGTTTCATAATAAAAAAGAAAAGACAACGATAAAATAATACAGATAACCGATATTTTGTACCCCGTTGATGCTGATGTATACTTTTTTGAATTTTTACTTCGAACAGTTAAAGCTCGAAGAACTCCAAGAGAAACAGACAGCAAAAATGATGCGATTTTACTCAGAATTGAAATCCAATATAACACCAATTCAAATATCAAATGAAACCAATATGATTCAAAAACACAATCGACAAATGTTCTACCAGAAATGCGAGCTAAATATTTATAAATGCTCCAAGAAAATACAAAAAAATCAAAAATGGCTAGACTAATAAGTATAATATTGATAGAATTTTTCCGAAGTTTTTTATGGGAAAGAATTTTTATATGGAATACTAGGATGAAGATAGCAATCGCCTCGAGAACAAATAAGAAGTTATCATCAGCAAAAACAGATGAGAATAAAAATTTAGAAATTCTCCATAGTATATCATTTTCATCACTTTCGTTCATATTAGACCTAAATGGAACTTCATATTATTTGTTTATATAGTATAAACAAACTATCTTCATACTCCATTTCACAACTGTATCTACATTCTTTTTCAAAACTGAAAACAAGCGCGCCATTTTTCAGGGGTTTGCGCATTTTTTATCTGCCTGGGTGGTGAATAATCACAGTTTTTTTTAAAGAATGTAATACGTTGTTTCAGCACCAAAAAACCAAACAAAAAACGAGTTAAAAAAAACAATTTATAGAATATAAACAATTGATATACAGTACCGTGCATAAAGATACACAATTTAGGTTTTTTGTCAATTTTGGCCTAAAAAATATGAAAATTGTCTGAAAACATTTTTAGGGTTATTTTTTATGCTGATTCTGACCTTATTCACTATTTCATTTGATTTCATCTCGATTCCTGAAGTTTTATGAACCGATGATCAAAATTCGATTTTTGGATATTTTCACAAATTTCTGAAAACCGTTGAGAAAAAATATTTTTCGATTCAATTATCATTAATTTGTGTTCTCATGTCCTACAGGAGAATGTTAGCTCTTGATTCCGACCTCAAACTAAGGATTTCATTGTCTACAAGGCTCATATTGAGAACTCCAGTAAAACCATCCAGAAAATCTGAAAATGCACAAATCTGGAATTTCAATGAAATTTTATCGTTGAATATTGTTCAAAACACTCTAATTACATCATTTGAACCATTCTACACAAAATTCCAATCGAATTTCAAAGTTTTGACTCGATTCGGACATTACTGGATTTCCGATGTTTCTCTAGATCCTTGATTCTACAACATCAAGAACATCAAATATGACTTTTCATTGTTCTAACTTATTCTTTAGATGTATTTTCATGTATATCAAGTGTCATGAATGTGCTACCAGTCGTAAATTGAGATTGCTAGGAGCTCAAAGTTGACCTCTATGAAAATCCTTAATTTTCCATTGGTTTTCTTTATGAAATTACCCTATTCTGGTAGTTCGATGTTTATCGATCTGATATCGAGCCGGTGCATGGTTTGAGCTTGGAGAATTAATAAAATAGTGTTCACAACTGTTATGAAAATAAAATTCAGCAATGAAAAGTCATATTTGATGTTCTTGATGTTGTAGAATCAAAGATCTAGAGAAACATCGGAAATCCAGTAATGTCCGAATCGAGTCAAAACTTTGAAATTCGATTGGAATTTTGTGTAGAATGGTTCAAATGATGTAATTAGAGTGTTTTGAACAATATTCAACGATAAAATTTCATTGAAATTCCAGATTTGTGCATTTTCAGATTTTCTGGATGGTTTTACTGGAGTTCTCAATATGAGCCTTGTAGACAATGAAATCCTTAGTTTGAGGTCGGAATCAAGAGCTAACATTCTCCTGTAGGACATGAGAACACAAATTAATGATAATTGAATCGAAAAATATTTTTTCTCAACGGTTTTCAGAAATTTGTGAAAATATCCAAAAATCGAATTTTGATCATCGGTTCATAAAACTTCAGGAATCGAGATGAAATCAAATGAAATAGTGAATAAGGTCAGAATTAGCATAAAAAATAACCCTAAGAATGTTTTCAGACAATTTTCATATTTTTTAGGCCAAAATTGACAAAAAACCTAAATTGTGTATCTTTATGCACGGTACTGTACCTCTTCCTGTATTGTTGATAATTTATTATGAATTCCACTGTTAAATATGAATCTCTATGGAAAGCTGCTTATTTTATATTTAATTCGTTTTTACTCGATGAATTGTTTATAGATATACTTCAGATCATTGCTAGTTTCATACTTGTATTTCATATCGTAACACTCACAAATGTGAAACTTCGGAGCAATTCAATCAACATTATTCTTATTAGCATTGCTGTTGGTGATTTATCAATGTTTTTCTTTAATATTTATCGTGGCATTCTCATGCTCTTTGGTAGAATATTTTTTTCTGGATGTTTTTTCGAGTCGCATTGGCTTCATTTGATTTTCGAATTCGTTTCGCATTTCATGTGGGCGCTAAGCTCTCATTCTTATTTTCTTTTATACGTTTCGCTTGGAGTTCTTCGAGCTTTCACTGTTCGAAGTACACATGCAAAAAAATACACATCAGCCTCGACGGGAATAAAAATATCATTTATTAGTATTGTTTTCGCACTCCCTTGTTCTTTGTCGTTCAGAACATTGAATATTGGCTACTTTGAAAATCAACAAGAACTGGAAAAAATGTATGCGGTAGCATACACGAGTAGTCTAGTAAAATGATTTTTGCAGATGTCCCGATGAGAATATAACTGTCAAATTTCCAGTGCTTCTCACATATTTCGATAGATTGCAGATAGGTGCAGTTCATCAATTTTCCATAAATCTCATTTTTGAAACTCTGCCAATTTTTATTCTTTCACTTTCTACATATATTCTGATAAACGAATTGAAAAGTTCTCAACGACTTAGCACATTTTCTCGAAGTAAATTGCGTGCAACTCGGATCACAAAATTAGTTATAATTATGTCTATTAGTTTTATGATTGATCAAATAATACGCGTTACTCCTATTATCTACAATCTACTTATAGGCGCTGATGGTTTGTGGGCTTTCATGATATCGCTTTGGTATGCCTCCTTTATACTGAAAGTTGTCAATTCAGCATCTCATTGTTTTGTGTGTTATTATTTATGTTCACAATATCGATTGATTGCCAATGAGAATTTGTTAAAAATATTAAAATGTATTCGGAAACCATTCAAAAATACGAAGAATACCTACTATTGTGAAACAAATGATATAATAATTGAACGATTTTGAATAAGAATTTTTTCTTCTCATGTACTCTTTTTCTTTTTCCGCTCCCTCTCTAATTGTTTTTCTACAGTTTCTCTGCCGCATTTTTCAAAGAGCAATAAAACTGTATCATAAATACTAACCCAAAACACTTATCTGCATTCAATAATCCAAGCAACACCGCATAACCCGCAACTTCGTAGCCTCTTTCAATTTCGAAAATCTCGAATCTCCTTTCCAGACTTCAAAGCTTCGATAAACATCTAATGTTGAAATGTTTTTAAAGTTCCATTTCAAGGTGTTCCCAAAGCTTCAAACAGGAAACATTCTGTAAAAATAATCAAGGATTTATGAGTGTGTTAGATTTGAGGTAACTTTACATGGGATTTGAAACCCAAAAACAAAAAAAATTTAAATTTAAAAAACTATTGATTCATTTAACAAAATACCAAAAAAAAAAGTTAACTGTATTTTAAAAGTTAGAAAAAATCCAAGCATAAATAAAAAGTTAGAAAAAATCCAAGCAACGTCGCATAACCCGCAACTTCGTAGCCTCTTCCAATTCCGAAAATCTCGGATCAACTTGAAGATTCTTGATCTCCATTCCAGATTTCAAAGATTCGATACACTTTCTCATCAACATCTCATAACCATTTTCCTCGGCTAGTTTGATTTTTTCAATAGTTTTCAATGTTTTGTTTTTTGTGATGAGATATTGCTCGACTGATTGATGAAGTGATGGAACATCGAAAATTTTTGCGATTTCAATGAGATTCTCATAAGTTTCATCGCGAACTGTATTGAAAACTGGGTTGAATGGAATTAGAATATAGCATAAGTCTTTTGCAGTCAGGTTATCAAATTTGATGATACTTTCAGTGTATTTTCCATCAACAATATTATGATAAAAATACTCCGACTTCGAGCACAAAACCTGAAAATAATTAAATACTTTAATAATTACTGTTAAAAATGCTCGACATACCCCTTTATTCAAATAAAAATCCGTATTTTCAACATTGACAATAATATCCGTATAGTTCTTGATTTCCTTTGAAAAATCATAATATAAAAAACTGAGATCAATCTCAACAACAATTGAATCATTCAATTTGTACTTGTTGTTCTGAAGATCATAATAAAGCGCAAACTTTGGATATCCCCAAGTAAACTTCGATGCATGGTAAGTATCTGAATTCGTTCGCTCAATATTTTCACCTTCGCCGACTTGTTTCAACAATTTGAAAGTAGTCTCAGTTTCGCAAATCCAATTTTTTTCATTCTTGTTTTGAGAATCATAGTAAAGTCGAATTGCCAAATATAAATTGTTCAGTTTGAAAACAGCAATTTTCCATTCTGTTTCACCAATCGAAAAAACATCACTGAATCTTTCTTCTTTCGTCAATGCTGAAATGTTTTCAAACTTCCATTTCAAGGTGTTTCCGAAGCTTTGTAAAGGAAACATTCTGAAAATAAAATAAAACATGACCTTTTTTCTTTTATAATTATTTTCTATCAATTTTGGCTCATTTCACACTATTCAATTTCTACTAACTAGATGGTTGGATATTCAAAAACAACGTCGATTTATGTGAGTTCAAGAATGGGATTTTAGATATATTTGGGAAATTTGAACCCAAAAAAAATTAAAAAAAAATTGATAAGCTTAGCAAATAACAACAACTTCATTCAACAAAAACAGAAAACAAAAATCAATAAAAATTCAACAAACGATCCATAATTCTAACTTTCGTAGAATCTTTCAAATCCATAAAACCTCGATCATCATGCAAATTTTTGACATCTCCAGCAGTTTCCAGCGAGTCAATGCATTTTTCCATGAGTTCTTCATAGCCGTTTTCTTCAGCAAGTTTGATTTTCTGAACAATTTCAAGTGCACATTTTTTGGACATCAGAAATTCTTCGCATTTTTTGTGAAGTGAAGGAACACCGAATTGTTTCGCAGCTTTCATCAAATCCTCGAAATGACGTTCTGAAACAAGAGATTTATGTATGCATAACTAAAATTTAGAAGAAGTTTTTTTTTACCTAAATTAGTATGTGAGAATGGATAAAACGAAGCAAGCATATAACAAAAAAGTTTCGAGGTGATTCCTTCAATTTTGCATTGTTTCAAATCATTTGGCTTGGTTTTCATAATCAGTTCTCGAAAATACTCGGATCTTGAGCCAAGAGCCCATTTATTCAGATGAAATTCAGTTCCTTCAACAACAACAATCATATCCGTCTCATTATCGATTTTCTTTGAGAAATCGAACAATCGGAAATTGAAATTGACATCAATCGAAATCGAATCATTTTTGATACAACCACTGGTTAACAAATCGGACCATTTTACAAGTTTATTTCCCCAAATTAGATGAGTGTCTGCATGATAACATTGTTCAAAACCGAGCCTCCTTGGAGGCCCAATTCCGCCCAATAATTTAATATCGATTTTTATTTCACAAATCCAATTTTTGGCGGCTACGTTTTCCGAACCGAATTCCAAATATGCACTCAAATATTTGACCTTGTTCGATACCTCCGTTCTGATTTTGAGAATCCTAAAAGCAAAAATTGAGAATTATTCTAATTTTCAAAATTATTTACCAATCAACATTTCCAATTGTTAATTTATCACTTCGAACAAATTCCTCGGTCAAATTCTTGATGTTCTCGAATTTCAAACGTAACTTATTGCCATTATGAACATCCGGATTCATTCTGAACAATTCAAAAAATGTAGAGTTCTAATTAACTTCAGGTAATTAACATCATCTTGGGCAAGAAACCCTTTTCAAAAAAATTTAAACAAAAGCTCAAATAGTAAACTTTCATTCAAAATAACATTCACAGTAAAATAGTAGAAAAATAAAATACGAAGTTAGAAAAAATCCAGCAAACGATTCATGATTCTCAACTTTGTAGCTTCTTTCAATCCAACAAATCTCGCATCGGCTTGCAAATTTTTGATTTTAACTCCGGTTTCCAAAGACTCGATGCACGTAGTCTGAAATAAAAAATTGGAGTAATCAGAGAAAAACTTTGATGAAGTTTCAAAACATCAAAAAACGTGGTACAAAATGCCGCAAAACTTAATTTGTGTTTAGTGTGAAACAAGTTTCTTGACGTTTCGAAACTTCGTGAATTGTCCCATAAACATACCATAAGTTCTTCGTAATCATTTGCATCTGCATATTTTAATTTTTCAATCAATTCAAGCTTCGGTTTTTTCGAGATCAAATATTGTTCGCATTTTTGATGAAGTGATGGAACACCGTATTTTTTCGCGAGTTCGATCAAATCCATGTTTTGTGCATCAAGTTTAACATCAAGATAGTCACCATAAAATCGGGATGTGTTTGCGACAATATTGCAAAATTCAAAAGTTGTCAGATCAGACAACTCAATAGAACTTTCTTGACATCTCTTATCGACCAATAAATCATAAAAATAATGGGATTTTGAACAGAGAAGCTAAATAAAAACATCCCTTTATGATTGATTTACGAATAAAACTGTTACCCCTTTATTAACATGAAAATCGGTTTTATCAACGTTGACAATGATATCAGTAAAACCATCGATTCTTTTGGAAAAATCAAAATAACGAGCATTAAACTCGACTTCAACAATAATCGAATCATTTTTGATAAATCCATTTCCGTCTGATAGCAAATCAGCCCATTTCAAAATATCAGAACCATATGACAAAAATAAGCCCTTGTGATAACACGTTTCTAACTTTCCGATTTTATGTTCTCCAGCTCCATCTTGTTTGAGTAACTTGAATCTTCCATCTACTTGACATAACCAATTTTTATCATTTTTGTTAGCTGAAATGAAATGAAGATAAGCAGAAAGATGTTCGACTTCATTCGTGACTTCTTTCGCCACTTTGATAATCCTGAAATCAACTTCAGAAATGTTGCAACTTAAGAAGTTTTGAAACTCACCAATCAACAGGACCAATCGTGAATTTATCACTTACAAAATATTTTTCAGTCAAACTCTTGATATCATCAAACTTCCATCTAATTTTATTCGCATTATTGACAACTGGGTCCATTCTGCAATAAAAAAATATTTTCGAATATGAGATATTGAAAACTTTGAGATAATTATACCGGGTAAAGAACCCTTTTAAAATTATCGAATAAAACGAAGATGTAAAAAATAAACTTTATTTCAGAACAACATTAACATTTAAAAATAACGGTAAGAGGAAGTTAGAAAAAGTCCAACAAGCGATTCATGATTCTCCACTTTGTAGTTTCTTTCAATTGATGAAACATCTCGTCAGTTTGCAAATTTTTGATAGAAACTCCGGTTTTCAATGATTCGATGCATTTTTCCTGAAAATATGACTTAAGAATTTGAGTCTTTACAAAAATGTTGCCTACCATAAGTTCTTCATAGTCATTTTCATCAGCATATTTGATTTTCTCAATCAACTTTAATTTGGTATCGCTCAACAAATATTGCTCGATTTTTTGATGAAGTGAAGGAACACCAAATTTTCGAGCAACTTCCATCATAGTTATGTGATATTTGCCTGTACGAATGGAAATTTAAAAAAAATCCTCAACCTAAGAAGAATCTGGAAAATATTACCAGACACAATATTGAAGAATGGGTAGAATGATGCCAACAGCAAACAGAATTGGCCAGTTGTGATATCTTCCAGTTTTACTTTTTCCATTGCAGCTGGTTTCGTGTTCATAATTAGATTTTGAAAATAATCTGATCTTGAGGCCATCGCCCATTTATTCAGATGAAATTCTGTATCATTCACAGTTACAATCATATCAGTAATGTTTTCAATGTTCTTAGAGAAATCATAATATCGAAAGTTGAAGTCGATTTCAACAATAACTGCATTATCTTTAATGTATGATTCTGATTCGGATAAAAAATCTTTCCATTTTATCATCCTTAATCCGTGTGAAATGAACATTTCTTTGTGATAGCACGCTTCATTCTTACGGCTCAAATGATTTCCAGCTCCAGATTGTCTCAAAATTTTATATTGTCCTTTCATTTCACAAATCCAATTTGCATCATTCTTGTTTTCTGAATCGTATGCCAATCGAACTGTTAACGATTCAACATTTTTAAATGTAGTCAAACAAATCTTAATAACCCAATCAACTGGTCCAATTGTGAATTTATTACTTAAAACTGTCTCTTCAGTCAAATTCTTGATATCTTCAAACTTCCAGCGTAGCTTGTTACCATTAAACACAAGCGGATTCATTCTGAAATTGTTTTAATTGTTTAATTTTTCAAAAAAAATCGAGATAATCGTTGAGGCCAGAAGACCATAATCAACATAAGAAATTGAACAAAGTAAAAAGAAAAAATTTAATTTTAAACAACATTCACAATAACCCATCAAAAATAAATAAAATATAATAAAAAAATTAAACAAAATCCAACAATCGATTCATGATTCTCAATTTTGTAGTATCTTTCAAAGCCATGAATTCTCTATCAGCTTGCAGAAATTTGATCTCGAGACCAGTTTTCAGCGAATCAATGGATTGTTCCTAAAAATAATTTATTATTTTTCAGCTAACCAACTCATTTTTTCCAAAAACAAAACCAACCATAAGATTCTCATAGCCATATTTCTCCGCATATTTGATTTTCTCAATAACGTTCAACTCGGTGTCCACCAACAAATATTGCTCAATTTTTTGATGAAGTGAAGGAACACCATAGAATTCAGCGACTTCGAGAAGATCAGGATAATAAAGTTCTAGAAAAGTATAATAATTTCAAGCAAACTTATATTTTTAGAAAAATTACCTAGATTAGTTTCAAAGAATGGATAAAACGATGCTAACATCAAACAAAAATGATGTTCGGTGATATTTTCGAGTTTGACATTTTTGGTTTCGCCAGGCAAATTATTGATGATAAGATCTTGAAAATACTTTGATCTTGAGCCAAGAGCCCATTTATTGAGATGAAATTCAGTATCGTTCACAGTTACAATCATATCAGTAATATTTTCAATATGTTTCGAAAAATCATAGTAGTTGAAATTGAAATCAATCTCAACATAAACTTGGTCGTCTAAGATCAGCGATTCATTTTTCAACAATAAATAATACCATTTAATAACCCGTGCACTTGGAGAAGTTCCCAATCCTGCGTGATAACACCCACGAGATATTGTAATGATATGCTTGCCATCTCCCGAATGTTTCAACAAACGGAACTTCCCACTCATTTCACAAATCCAGTTTTTCTCCATTTCATTTTCTGAAGTGCATTTCAAATCAATCATCATATAATCGTATTGATGAGAAATATTGATGATCCTGGAACCAATTTTATATAATTGATGCGTAAGCATTTTTGAACTTACCAATCAATATGACCTATTTTGAATTTCTCACTCATAAAGCCTTCCTTACTCAACCCCCAAATATTTCCGAACTTCCATCGTAACTTGTTACCATTGAAAACTATCGGGTTCATTATCTGTGAAAAATTTTAATCAATTTTCAAAAGAAATAAAAATATATTGAAATTGGGTCGATCTGAACCCATAACAAATAACAATTTCGAAAAAAAAACGAAAAAATTTATTCAAATAACAAAATTCAAAAATTAACAAACATTCAAAATTACATGCATGTTCAATAAAAATCTAACAACTTATTCATTATTTTCAATTTCGTATCATCTTTCAATTCATCAAATCTTGGATCAGTATTCAAGTTCTTGATTTCAGTTGGAGATTTGAACTTCTCGATGCAGGTCTCTAATAACTTTGCATAACCATTATCCTCCGCAAATTTTATTTTTTTCATAATTCCCATCTCCTCATTAGAAATCAAATATTTCTCACAGGTGTCATGAAGTGATTGAACACCGTAATTATTAGCAACTTCAATGAATTTATTATAAAAGTCCTCTGGAAAATTATAGATTTTTAACCAGAACCATCAAAGTTTGTGAATTGAAAACTTACCAAAGACTGGATCAATAAAAGAATAGGGAACGAGAATTATACTGAATTCATCCGCAGTAATATCAAGCAACTTTTTGGAAGTCTCCGTGTATTTATCATTGACAAATAAATTGTAGAAATACTCCGATTTCGAGCAAAGTATCTGAAAAACCAAAGATTGTATGAATATTAGAACGAAAAACTTACTCCTTTATTCAAATAAAAATCAGTATTTTCGACATTGATTCGAATATCAGTGAAATTTTCGATATTTTTCGAAAAATCATGATACTTGAAACTTAAATCTATCTCAATAATCAGCGAATCTTCTTTCATAAAACCACTAGATCTATCCCAAACCTTCACCATCTGCAACATATGTGCTCCCCAAATCATACGTCTTCCATGATAGCGAATCTCGAAATCTTGCGATGTATGTTTTCCAGACCCGCGTTGCTTCAATAATTTGAATTTTCCTTTGGCATCACAAACCCAATTATCCTGAGCTTTGTTCGCTGAATCATATCTCAACCAGACTGTCAGAAACTTCACATTGTCCGTAGTTTCCGAAGAGATATCGATGACCCTGAAAACTATCAATCAGGATTGTTTTTTCGCGGAAAAAATGGGAAACTAACCAATCAACCGGTCCAATTGTGAATTTATCACTAGACAATTTATTTTCGCCCAAATTTTTGATATTGCCAAACTTCCATTTCAATTTGTTACCATTACAAACAATCGGATGCATTCTAAACTTTTAAAATTGATCTAAAAAAATTTAACTTTAAAATAAACAGATTAAGGATCAAGGAGACCCATTTAGGTACATTTTCAAAATATATAAAACAAAAAATTTATTTACGTAACAAAATTCAAAGGTTAACAAGATAATTAATGAAAAAACAGATTAAAACATGTCCAACAAACGATTCATGATTTTCAATTTTATGTCATCTTTCAATTTATCAAATCTTGGATCAGTGTGTAATTTCTTGATTTCTACTGGGGATTTGAGTTTTTCGATGCAATCCTCTAACACTTTTTCATATCCATTATCCTCTACATATTTGATTTTATCCATTATTTCCATATTATTATTAGAAATCAAATATTTTTCACAGGTATCATGAAGTGATGGAACACCGTATGTGTTAGCGGTCTCAATGTAATCATCAAGAAATTTTTCTTTAAAAATATTTTGTATTTAAACCAGTTGACTAAAAACAAACCGAACAATGGATCAACACAAGGATAAGACACGAGAATACAACACAATTCCTCTGCAGTAACATCCTCCAATTTTTTTGAAGTCTCGGTGTATTTATTATTGACGAATAAATCGTAGAAATATTCAGATTTCGAGCTGAGAACCTGAATACATTTGTATGAGTTGAATTAATACAACTAATAACTCACTCCTTTATTCAGATAAAAATCTGTATCTTGGACATTGATTTTGATATCAGTAAAGTTTTCTACGTTTTTTGAGAAATCATGATACTTGAAATTGAATTCTATCTCAACAACCACAGAATCTTCTATCATGAAACCACTTGAACTGTCCAAAACCTTTCTCATCTGCAACATATCTGCACCCCAAATTTCACGTACTCCTTGATACCGAATTTCTAAATCTTCCACTTCATGTTTTCCAAGCCCATTCTGTTTCAATAATTTGAATTTTCCTCTGGCATCGCAAACCCAATTATGCTGATCTTTGTTAGCTGAATCATATCTCAACCAAATTACCAGACACTTCACATTGTTATTGTTCGGTCCCGCAGAAATATCGATGACCCTGAAAATTATCAATTAGAATGGGAATAATGACTATTTTTGAGAAAATGGTAAACTAACCAATCAACAGGTCCAATTGTGAATTTATCACTAGAAAATCTATCTTCGCCCAAATTTTTGATATTGTCAAACTTCCATTTCAATTTGTTACCATTACAAACAATCGGATGCATTCTAAACTTTCAAAACTGATTTGAAAAATAATAACTTTAAAAATATATAATTAAAGGATCAATGGACCAGTTAAGTAACATTTTCAAAAATTATAAAACAAACAATTTATTCAACAACAACATTCAAAAAATAACAAGTCAGCTTAACAATGAGTTAAAATATTACAACATGTCCAACAAACGATTCATGATTTTCCATTTTGTGACATCCTTCAACTTCTCAAATCTTATATCAGTGTGCAAATTCTTTATTTCGACTGGAGATTTGAACATTTTAATGCATTTTTCGAGAAGCTTCTCATAATCATTCTCATCTGCATACTTGATTTTTTCCATTATTCCAATCTTTTGATTAGAAATCAAATATTTCTCGCAGGTGTCATGAAGTGATAGAACTCCGTATGTTTTAGCAATTTCAATGTATGTATCATAACAATCCCCTTTAAAAAAATAATATTTTATACCGGAACTAGATAACTCGAAACAAACCAAAAAATGGGTCAACCGAAGTAAAAGGCACTAGAATACAACATAAATCAAAAGCATCAATGTCCTCCAAAATTTTGAAAGTTTCTGTGTATTTACTATCGGCGAATAATTTGTAGAAATATTCCGACTTCGAGCTAAGAACCTGAACCCATTTCTATGAGTGAAACTAATACTACAACCAAAAACTCACTCCTTTATTTAAATAAAAATCGGTATCTTCGACATTGATTCGAATATCAGTAAGGTTTTCAATACTTTTTGAGAAATCATGATACTTGAAGCTGAAATCTATCTCAATAACCAGCGAATCTTCTTTCATAAAACCACTCGATCTTTCCCAAACCTTCGCCATCTCCAAAATATCGGATCCCCAATTGTTTCGTACTCCGTGATACCGAATTTCCAAACCATTCACTTCATGTTTTCCAGCCCCAACTTGCTTCAACAATTTCAATTTTCCTTTGGCATCACAAATCCAATTTTTCTGATCTTTGTTCATTGAATCATATCTCAACCGAACTGTCAAGAACTTCACATTATTCGTAGTCTCGGAAGAAATATCGATGACCCTGAAAAATTCCGATTAGGTTATAAAAATAGAAAATTGATTTTCAGGAAAAGACTCGGAAACTAACCAATCAACAGGTCCAATTGTGAATTTATCACTCGAAAAGTCATCTTCGCCCAGGTTTTTGATATTGTCAAACTTCCATTTCAATTTGTTACCATTACAAACAATTGTGTTCATCTTTAAAATTTAGAAATTGATCTAAAAAAAATTTAACTTAAAAAATAGATTAAGGATCAAGGAACCCGCTAAAAGACATTTTCAAAATATATAAAACAAACAATTTATTCAAATAACAACACTAACAAAAGTGACAACAAACAAATTTGAAAAGTTCACCGATTAGAAAAAATCCAAAAATCGTGCCATGATTCCAAGTTTTGTGGTATCGTTTAGTTTCGAAAATCTCTCATCAGATTGCAAATTCTTGACCTCGATTCCAGTTTTCAACGAACCAATGCATTTTTTCTGTAAATATTGTTTTAATAGCAAACATTCTGGAAGTGTCTCCAAACTAACCATCAGTTGTTCATACTCATTTTCCTCCGCATATTTGATTTTCTCGATAACTTCGAGCTTTGTGTCAGTCAACAAATATTGCTCAATTTTGTGATGAAGTGATGGAACTTTGTATTTCTTGGCAACTTCGATGAGACTGATGTAGTGATTCTCTGAAAGTTGGAAACTTTTTGGAGCTTGCAATTGACAAGGAAAGGTTTTCAATGTTCCCCCAAGGAAAAAATCGAAAGTATGTGGAATGTTGAGGGTTCCCATGGGTAAGAAAAACCCTGACGGGAATAAGGAGAAAAATGCCTTGTTTTAGAAAATTTTGGTGTTATTGATTTTTGCGATGAAATTTTTTAGAAAAATCGAAACTTTTTTCAAAATTGATGAAAAATGTCAGTCTAAAAATCCATTTGTAGCGCAAACGGCGTACTTTAGTATTACTTCGACTAAAATTAGGAATAAAATAATTTTGGTCCCAAAAGTCCACTAAATCAAATTTCTAGTTTGAAAAATTCATAGAAAATCAACGTTTTCGTTGTGAAGGAGAAGTTTGTGTGAATCGAGACTATGATTTTTGGATTCTACGGACCAAATTACGTCTGTTGACCGTCATAAATTTTTCAAGTTCCGTTCATTTGAAAATGGAAAAAATTATTTTTTGTGTTTTTTGGTGACCATTTGATCAGAAAAACCCCGACTAAAAAAACCAAATTTCAAAAAATGTCTAATTTTTTGATAAAAAGTTTCACAAACACGTAATCGACCATTCTGAACAACTTCCACGACTCAAAAGTTCATGAAATAGATTCAAAATCGAGTTACAGATGCTCTAAAAATCAAAAAATGGTGTAAAAATCGACCTAAAATACATTTTTTCTCGAGAATAAGGCATTTTTCTCCTTATTCCCGTTAGGGTTTTTCTTACCCACGGGAACCCTCAACATTCCACATACTCTCGATTTTGTCCTTGGGGGAACATTGAAAACCATTCCTTGTGAGACTACAGCTAACCTAAATTAGTATCGAAGAATGGATAAAACGATGCCAACATCAAACAGAAATCTTTGGTAGTGATGTCATCCAGTTTCACATTTTTGATATCATTCGGCTTGGTGTTGAGAATCAGATGTTGAAAATATTCAGCTCTTGAGGCCAGAGCCCACTTATTCAGATGAAATTCGGTATCTTCAACATTTACAATCATATCAGTAACATGTTCAATTTTTTTCGAAAAATCATAATATCGAAAGCTCAAGTCGATTTCAACAATCAATGAATTATTTTTCAAAAATCCATTGGCATCCGATATTAAGTCCGAGAACTTCATCATTTTGATCCCCCAAACTAGAAGTATATTATGATTGTAGCAAGTCTTCACATCACCAGATAAGTGATTTCCACCACCAGATTGTCTGAACAATGTGTATGTGCTTTTTGTTTCACAAATCCAATTTTGATGTCCGCTGTTATTTGAGTCATATCTAAGTAATATTGTGAAATAATCTTGTTCTTCACACTTAAGAACACAGACTTCGATGACCCTGGAAACATACACTCAGATTATACTTTTGAAAAAACAGTTTTTTTTCACAAAAACTTGCCAATCAACAGCTCCAATTGTAAATTTATCGCTTCGAACTGGATCTTTGGTCAAATCTTTGATATTGTTAAATTTCCATCGCAACTTGTTACCATTACAAACCACCGGATTCATCCTTAAAATGTTGAAATTGATCTAAAAAAATTTAACTTTAAAAATATAGATTCAGGATCAATGAACACGTTAAGCTACATTTTTCAATTATAAAAAAACAAACAATTCATAAAAAAAACAACATTCACAAAAGTAACAACAAAAAATAGTTTAAAAGTTTAACAATCAGAAAAAATCCAACGATCGAGCCATAATTCCAAGTTTAGTACTATCCTTCAAATTCAAAAATCTCTCATCAGTTTGCAAATTCTTCACCTCGCTTCCAGTTTTCAACGAACCAACGCATTTTTTCTACAAAATTTTTTTTTATAGCAAACATTCTGGAAGTGTCTCATAACTAACCATCAGTTGTTCATACTCATTCTCCTCTGCATACTTGATTTTCTCAATAACTTCGAGCTTTGTGTCAGTCAACAAATATTGCTCAATTTTGTGATGAAGTGATGGAACTTTGTATTTCTTGGCAACTTCGATGAGAGTGATGTAGTGATTCTCTGAAAGTTGGAAACTTTAAGAGTGAGATTAAAGTTGAAATTACAGCTAACCTAAATTAGTATCAAAAAATGGATAAAACGATGCCAACATCAAACAAAAATCTTTGGTAGTGATGTCATCCAGTTTCATATTTTTAACATCGTTCGGCTTGGTGTTGAGAATCAGATGTTGAAAATATTCAGCTCTTGAGGCCAGGGCCCATTTGTTCAAATGAAATTCGGTATCTTCAACATTTACAATCATATCAGTAACATGTTCAATTTTCTTTGAAAAATCATAATATCGAAAGCTCAAGTCGATTTCAACAATCACTGAATTATTTTTCAAAAATCCCTTGGCATCCGATACAAAATCCGCAAACTTTATCATTGGTACGCCCCATGCTAAAAACGTATTTTTATGATAGCAAACATTATAGTCAGAAGAAATGTTTTTTCCAGAACCGCATTGTCTCAACACCTTATAGGTACTTGTTGTGTCACAAATCCAATTCAAATCTTCTCTATTATTCGAGGCATATTCAAGATAAATTGTGAAACAATCGTGATTCTCAACAGTGCGAATAATCGCTGTGATAACCCTGAAAGCAAGACAAAAATTAAAGTTATTTACGTAAGGTTCATTTTAAAAAAATTACCAATCAACAGGGCCAATTGTAAATTTATCGCTTCGAACAGGATCTTTGGTCAAATCTTTGATATTGTTAAACTTCCATCGCAACTTGTTACCATTACAAACCACCGGATTCATCCTTAAAATTTTGAAATTGATCTAAAAAATTTTAACTCAAAAAATAGATTCAGGATCAATGAACCCATCAAGCTACATTTTTCAATTGAAAAAAAAACAAACAATTCATAAAAAAAACAACATTCACAAAAGTAACAACAAAAAATTTGAAAGAAAAAGTTCAACAAATGATTAGAAAAAATCCAACAATCGAGCCATAATTCCAAGCTTCGTAGTATCCTTGAGTTTTGAAAACATCTCATTAGTTTGCAAATTCTTGACCTCGATTCCAGTTTTCAACGAACCAATGCACTTTTTCTGAAAACAAAATTTTTTCTAAAAATAGTTTTTGAAATTTTCCAACTAACCATAAGTTCTTCATAACCATTTTCATCTGCATATTTGATTTTCTCAATCAACTTCAACTTGGTTTCACTCAACAAATATTGCTCAATTTTGTGGTGGAGTGATGGAACACCGTATTTTCTAGCAACTTCAATGAGACTGATGTAGTGTTTCTCTGCAAGTTGAAAAATGTTATCGCAAAGTTGAAGATACCCCTAGAGTAGTAGCAAATGAAATTTTGTCGTCTTCTCCCCTCCCCTTTTTTTAACCTAACCTAAATCAGTATCGAAGAATGGATAAAACGATGCCAACATCAAACAGAAATCTTTGGTAGTAATATCTTCCAGTTTCACATTTTTAATATCATTCGGCTTGGTGTTGAGAATAAGATTTTGAAAATACTCAGATCTCGAGCCCAATGCCCATTTGTTCAAATGAAATTCGGTATCTTGAACATTAACAATCATATCGGTAAAATTTTCGATATGTTTCCAAAAATCATAATATCGAAAACTCAAGTCGATCTCAACAATCACTGAATTATCTATGACATATCCATTGGCATCCGATACAAAATCCGCAAACTTCATCAAACATACTCCCCATAAAAAGAAATTATTTTTATTATAGAAACCATTATTATCAAAAGATAAGTGTTTCCCAGCACCAACTTGTCTGAGCACCTTGTATGTGCTTTTTGCTTCACAAATCCAATTCTGATTTAAGCTGTTGTTCGAGGCATATTCAAGATAAACAGTGAAATAATCTTGATTTTCGCGAGTGTAAACACAGACTTTTATGATCCTGAAAATAAAAGATATTTGATACATGAACGAAAATGTTTTATCATCATTTACCAATCAACAGGGCCAATTGTAAATTTATCGCTTCGAACTGGATCTTTGGTCAAATCTTTGATATTATCAAATTTCCATCTCAATTTGTTACCATTACAAACAACCGGATTCATTATCTGCAAGAAAATCTATCTGTAATTCTGGATTTTGAAAAATTGTCTGAAAATATTTTATTGGTCTCGATCGAACCATTTCAAGGAAAACTATAACGAACAAGTCATTCAAAATCAAATTACTTTATTTTACGCAAAAAAGAATACCATAATTTATCAGGATTTGATTATTTACATGAATTATGAAAGTTCTGGGTTGAAATAGGTTTGGGGATAGAAAAAATATAAGAAAACCTTACTATATATACTACTAAAAGGAAAAGTACATGAAATGGTTGGTGAAATTTATAAAAGAACCATACCACGCCCAGGGTGAGGCATATGCACGGTGCCAATAAAAAATTACGGAAATTCACCTCACCAATTTGAGATTTTCATGAAAAACAGCAAATTTTTGCTTTTTTTCCTTTAAAAAGTGTTATTTTTCAGTCAAATTTTATAAAAAAAACAGAAAAAAATATAATAAAAAACAAGAAAACAAATATTAAAACAAAAAAACATGCACACTTTCAGAGATTTGAGCTTTAATTCGATTGATTTGTAATATTCAGTCACACTTTCGATTGATATATCACTTAGGACTATTTTCGTCAGAAAAATCCCATTTTTTTTCACGTTTCCCCACCATCCCAACCATTTTTCTTCAAAATTTGTTGATTTTCAGCATTCCTACGCTGAAAATCAGCTCTAAAGCTTGAAAATTTCAAATTTTTCTTTAAATTTCAAAGTAAAATCTTGAAATGAGAAATCTAAACTGCCACGTGGCAGTTCACGTTTTAATATCTAAATTTTCACGTTTTTTTCACAGAAATTATCAATTTTTCATCGAAAATCCAATTTTTATCATAATTTTAAACCCCAGCCCCACGAAATGTGAAAATAAACTAACTTGAAATCTGGCATTGCTCATATCAATCCCCATTTCCAAGTGAAATCGTTGATTTTCGTCCGTTTCCTCGCATTTCCATGATATCTGTAAAATTATTGATTTTTCAGTTTAATTTATAGTTTCATGACAAAAATCCCATGTTTTTGGTCAGAAAACATCGCCCTTTCACCATTTTCAAGCCAAATTCAGCATTTTTCAACTTTATCCCTCAATTTTTCAATGAAAATCCACGGAAACTCACCTCATATCGCCCAAAAATCGATAATCTTCCCAGCAAGTTGTCAGAAATCCCATTTCCAGCCTTGAAATCTGAAAATTCATGGATTTTTCAGCAAAAAACCCTGAAAAACACAAAAACACAAAAAAAACATTTTTGAATTTGAGCGGAATTGTGTGCAAACACTTTTGCGTACTCGGCATTTTATTTGACGCGCACGTATTTTTTTTTTCGGGAAATTTTTTATGTTTCCTTGAAATCACTAGATTCCTGTGGTTTTTTTGAATAATTGAATGAACACGTGGAACGGAAATTCAAAAAAGTTTATTCATAGAAAGACAAAATTCAAAAGAAACAATTTTCAACAGAAATTAAAATTAGACAAAATCCAAGCAACGTAACATGATTCTTAGCTTCGTTTCATCTTTCAATCCCAAAAATCTGACATCTGATTGTAGTTGTTTGATTTGCACACCACTTAACAATCCATAAATCGTTGAATCCTGAAATATTGATTGAATTTACTTTTTATCAAAAAAAATCGCCAAACATACCATCAAATCATCATAACCATTTTCCTCAGCATATTTGATTTTCGCCAAAACATCCATCTCACTTCCTTCCATCAAATACGCTTCACAAAAATAATGAAGCGTTGGGACTCCGTAGAATTTTGCAACATTGATAAGATTCATCTGATCATCTTCTGTAATCATAGAATTGTTATTTGAATTCTCTAGAACTTCAAACATACCAAGATAAAAATTGAATTTATTATCGAAAGTTGCGAGAAGTATACAAAACTCTCCAGGAGACAAGTTATCCAATCTGATATTTTCGTCCAAACATTTTTTGTTCACAAATAAATCGTAGAAATACTCCGAATGCAAGGACAGAGCCTGAAAAGAAGTCTCAATGTCTTTGGGCGCGTGCGGTTTGCAACGCGGCTCCGAAACCACGCGCTCCACCGAAATAAACACGCAACGCAGACCGCGCCGCGCCACAACACACACAAAAAAGGGAGGCAATTTGAATCGTTCCCCTATTTGTGTGTGTTGTGGCGCGGCGCGATCTGCGTTGCGTGTTTATTTCGGTGGAGCTTGAATCCCAAGCCGTTATTTTTTGCCACGTACCCCCTTATTCAAATGAAAATCCGTTTCTCCAACATTGACAATGATATCGGTGAAATTATCGATTTTTTTCGAATAATCATAGTGGCGAAAATTGAATTCGATTTCGGCAATAATCTCGTTTTGCTTCAAAAATTCACAATCCTCTGATAAAAGTTGGGACCATTCTAAAAGCTCGCAGCTTTCGAAGCTAGACGGTGCATCTTCTCGAAAACAGTGCTCAAAATAGTAAATACGATTCTCGTTTTCGCCCCAAAGATCCAGTAACTTCATTTTTCCCGCAGCTGCACACATCCAATTTTTATGTTGATTTTCAGCAGAAACACATGTTAGCACTATTTCCAGATATTTTATCTCTTCTTCGATTTCGGTAACAATTTCGATCATCCTGAAAATGGTTTTTTCTCTCAACAATAAAAAAAATCAAAAATTACCACTCAGCTGGACCGATTTTGAATGAATCACTTTGAAGTGGAAATTCTGTCAATTCGTTGATATTTCCAAACTTCCAGCGAATCTTATTACCATTGTACACAATCGGCTTCATTGTCAAGTTGTCTGAAATCACAAGAAATTTGAAAATTTATGGATTTTTCAGCAATCCTTTTTTGAAAAAAAAAAGAAAATAAATGCGCGTCAGGTTAAATGTGTTGTGTGTAATGACTTGAGTGTTTGCACACATCTGCAGCTACAGTAAGAAATACTTGGGCGGTCGACTTTCGAAAATTTTTTTTTTGCTTTTTCAGGCCCGAAATTCTTGGTTTTAAGTTGAAAAACATTTTTCTTGCTTCGAAAAAAAAAAGAAAAATAATAAGCCTTTTTTGAGTTTGACGTGACCTCATTTCTAGAATTTTTTAAATCAGTTTTCATTTCGAAATTCTTCAACTTCTGATTTTTCTGCAGAAAAATGCTGAATTTGTGGCGTGAACCTCGCTCGACCCGGCCCCACGGCCCCGTTTCGTTGGAACAAATGACGTGGCGTAATTTGCTGGCGACCTCGAAAAAAATGGTATAAAACGGGCTGAAAATCCGAGAGAAGATTCATACAATTTCGCAGCCATGAAATTTATTAAAAATCTTCTGCTGTTATTGGTTTTCATAAAATGCTCGCTGCAACAGATTCAGGATCCAAGCTTTCAAAGATATTGCCAACGTTTCAATCAACCTCTAACCAGATATGAAATCAGAAGCGAAGGAGAAGCAATTCCCAATCCTGTTGGTGACAGATGCACTGTTTCGATGGATTTTCCCGCGAGAGATGACGTAAGTCGCCCTCTGTATCAAAACTCCAAAATGATTAGATAATTTTCAGAAAGAAGCTGAAATCTATTGTGAAAGATGGGGAATGTTTGTGTTGGTTGAGGCAAAAGCTGATGGAAATCGTGTGTCTTGCACATATGAAAATGTCTATGAATGCAAAGATAATTTCGATCAAATTCGTGGAATGTGCTATAAAAAGTTTCACACACTTCAAAATTACACCGAAGCCGAGGAAGAATGCAAGAAATCTCACGCGGGAGCAGAGATCCTGAAATTGCATTCAAAACATCAATCGGAATTGTTGGAAGCGTTTTTTGGCGACACCCTAAAAATGTATTTTCTACAACCGGATAAAACACTCGAACAATCTTCGCAATTTGTTGCTGATGAATCAAATGATCCAAATTCGAATTATGTGATTACTTATACTTATAGTATTCATTATGATGTTGGGCCGAATACAATTTTGAAATTGAATGAAAATGTGAAAGCATTTGCGATGTGTATGTACCAACCACCGGAAACGATTCTTAGTTTTGCGGTGAAAGCTAAAAAACTTGCGAAGTATTATTATCCTACACAATTGGTTGGTGCAATGGGTGTATGGAGAACTTCTTCGCATTATACACCAACGTAAGTTTTGACAAATGAGAATTCGAGTTGTCTCAGACCTGTGTATCCTATGAATTCGATTAAAATCCCATATTTCAACCTCAATTTCTAGGAATGTCATCAAGATTTTTAATGAGATATATGTTTTCTAGTAGTTTTCGTCCCGCTGATCACGATCCCGCTATCTAAAAACTGCAAAGCTGAACTTCTAACATGAGTTATGACGTGGCAAAGTTGGAAAATTGGAACTTTGAAGGGTCCGAACTCGCCTTCAAAATTATTTTCATGAAAATCTGTTGGTTGTTCAGAAAGTTCGATAATGTAATTGAGACTCCTGAACAACGCTATGCCATCAGATTTTCATTAAAATAGTTTTGAAGGCGAGTTCGGACCTTTCAAAGTCCTAATTTTCCAACTTTGCCACGTCATAACTCATGTTAGAAGTTCAGCTGTGCAGTTTTAGACAGCGGGATCGTGATCAGCGGGACGGAAACTACTACAGTGCGTCCAATAAAGATAGGACCCCCCCATAATTTGATGGTTTGGGAAAAACGGTAGGTGCTATGGAAAATCTGGCAACGTATATCAATTTCTGGTATCAAAAAACCCCAGAAAACTGATTTTAGTGAATACCACCCAACTCCTTCCATACACACCATGAAATGGGCGAAAATCGAGCGTCCAATAAAGATAGGACCCCCCTGTTGATTTTCCAGATGGAGCGTTCGACAAAGGATTTATGATGCCAAATTAAAGTTCTAGACCCTTTCTAATCATAGTCCAACCATAAAAAAGAATGTTCACTTTTCCCGATGTTCTGAAACCCTGATCTTTGTTCTGATCTTCTTTCGTTTTTGCATCACACAGGTTCACCATCCATTTTTGGTGGGATATCAATTGGAATCAGCTGAAAACTGTTAAATTGGATTATTTTCATCTTTCTGAGCCACCAACTCGAGTAACAACTCTTGGTGTCGCCATCAACACCATCTCAAAACATAAGACAAAACTGTTTTGATCCAAAAAAACACGAAAATTTCATAAAAAACAGAAAAATTTACACAAAGATCAAGAAAAAACATGCAATATATCAATATTTAGTCTCACCGCCATTTTTTTGAATCACTTCCATCATTCTATCCTTCATACTATCCACTAATTTCTCGAGTTCACTTGGTGGAATCGCATCCCAAGCAGCAATGATGGCATCTTTCAATTCTTGTTGAGTTTTGAATGGAACACCAGTTTTATAAACTCGACGGGCCAAAAAACCCCAAATATTCTCGATTGGGTTCAAATCAGGGGAACAAGCCGGCCATTTCATATCCTTGATCCTATTCTTGGCTAGAAAATCGAGCGTTGACCGGCTTTTATGAATGCTGGCATTGTCTTGTTGAAATATGTGTGTGTTTCGACGGTTGCGGAAAAAAGGAACAATAGTTTTCTTCAGAACCTCTTGGTAATCATTGGAATTCATCTTAGTCGAAATAAACTGAAGCTGAAGCTTCTTCTTTCCACAGAAAGCACCCCAGATCATTAGAGAACCTCCTCCAAAGTTTCGTCTAGAAAATAATCTCGGATCCTTTCTCAAATCTCTCCAATAGGATCTAAATCCATCTGGTCCGTCCAGATTCCACTTTTTCTCATCCGAGAACACCACCTTAATGTATTAACTTATTGAAATCAGGAACTTTCGCAAACTCACCTTGTTCCAATCAGTGGCAAGATTATTCCGAACAAAGTCGAGTCGAAATTCTTTATGCCGATCAGTCATTGACGGAGTTTTCGCCATCTTCTGGTGAACCATGACACCACTTCTATGAATCGTATTGATCACAGTATTCTTGCATACATCAAGTTTCAACTCGGTTCTCACATCATTCGCACTCGTTACTGAATTTGAAACCATTCGGAGGATGTTTCGTTCATCTCTTGTTGAAACTTTTCGTGGCCTTCCTGGTGATTTTTTGGTACCGTAACCATCGACGTCTTGAATATAACGGCGCACTACATTCCGGCTTCTACGAATTCGCTTTGACATCTGGTGAATCGAGAGCTTCAAGTCTTTGAGAACATCTAATTGAGCCTTCTCAGACGAAGAAAGGCATTTTGCACGGCCCATTTCGATTGAATACCAGATATTTGAATAGAATACGTATAGAAATGCAATTGGATTTAAATGAACTGAATTCGGCTGGAATCCTACTTTCAGTAGAGGCGCCATAATCTACAGTAAGCCTGTATTACTGTACATGAGTATCTTAGGTTTAATTTTGTTTCAAAGAATAAGTTTTGAGATCTCTAAACCAAAATACATTTTCATTGTGGGGTTCGATCTTGGATTACTCCGATCAAAAAGCAAGAACACAACCACTGCGCCACATTATCGCAGAAAAAATATTCTTCAAATCTATTGAACTCACGGCAAAACATATTTTTGGCAATTTTTTTTGAAATTTTGCATGACCTAAAAGAACTTGTTCGCAATGTAATTGGTGTTGATGGCGACACCAAGAGTTGTTACTCGAGTTGGTGGCTCAGAAAGATGAAAATAATCCAATTTAACAGTTTTCAGCTGATTCCAATTGATATCCCACCAAAAATGGATGGTGAACCTGTGTGATGCAAAAACGAAAGAAGATCAGAACAAAGATCAGGGTTTCAGAACATCGGGAAAAGTGAACATTCTTTTTTATGGTTGGACTATGATTAGAAAGGGTCTAGAACTTTAATTTGGCATCATAAATCCTTTGTCGAACGCTCCATCTGGAAAATCAACAGGGGGGTCCTATCTTTATTGGACGCTCGATTTTCGCCCATTTCATGGTGTGTATGGAAGGAGTTGGGTGGTATTCACTAAAATCAGTTTTCTGGGGTTTTTTGATACCAGAAATTGATATACGTTGCCAGATTTTCCATAGCACCTACCGTTTTTCCCAAACCATCAAATTATGGGGGGGTCCTATCTTTATTGGACGCACTGTAGAAAACATATATCTCATTAAAAATCTCGATTGCAAGTTGAAACAGTTCCCTTGTTAGTCGATCAATAATTTATATCAAATTAATATTATAATTTTTCCAGAGAAGTCGCAAAATCCCAACTAGATGTTTGCGAAAAATCAATGAAAGCAATTCTTGGAACCAGTGATGGAACATTGTTGAATTTGAAACCAGCAAACACCAAATTGTTCAGTGATGACGTCAAAAAATCATTCAATCGCGCATTTGGACCATTTGTATATTGTAGTTATACCGATTCTCGCGGATTCGAAATTCGTCATATATACTTTTCAAACAAACAAACTGTAAGTGCACATGTTCTATAATTCTATCAAGACATCAAATTTTTGAAAATTTCAGAAAAACAAAAAATGTTCGGAGCAAGCCAATTTGAAGGACAGTGATTACAATGCGAATTTCATGCGGGATTTAGATCGATACAAATATTCTTTTGTTTTTTATCCGGAAAAAACAGAGTGAGTTTGAGATAAATTAGAAACAAATGATATTGTTTTTGCAGAAATAGTTTGAGTTTCGAAGCATCGCTTTTTTCTCTCCATTCACCACTTCTTTGCGGTTTACATTATGAGAAAGATGTTCATCGTCCATATGAAATTTGCCCTGACGGTTGGAGTCCTTGGCGTCGATCAACTGGAACTATTTGTCATAAATATTTTTCACTTGACCAATATGGAGATAAAAAAGTAAGTAATTATTAGGGCTGATTCACGAACGAAAAAAATGTTTAAAAATGTTTTTTTTTTAACATCGAAAGATCAATTGACGAAAAGTCAAAAAATGTCGAAAAAACATTGTAGATCAAAATTACTGTAGTTTTTTCGAGTTTTTCAGCCAAAAATGATGACAAATCAATATTTTTTAAGCTTCTGGAGTAATTTCTGATTGAAATTGACCTTGGAATTCACTTTCCAGAAGGTTTTGTTGATTTTTCGTAAAATAAATTTTTTTTATTAATTTTGATGAATTTCGAAAAAATTCATAAAATAAATCAAAATAGGGTTCTCGAAGCTTATTTTCATCAGAAGCTACTCCAGAAGCTTAAAAAATATCGATTTGTCATCATTTTTGGCTGAAAAACTCGAAAAACTAATTTTGACCTACAATGTTTTTTTGACTTTTCTTGAATTGATCTTTCGATGTTAAAAAAAACATTTTTTTTCGTTCGTGAATCAGCCCTATTGGATATCTTTACCAAAACTACATGTGATTTTTTTTAAATTCCAGCACAAGTATTTTGATGAAGCTCGTCAATTTTGTTATGATCAAGAAGCTGATATGTCAAGATGGGATAATTATGGAGAGTATGAATTTGTACAATCCCTACGTGACGTCAAAAAATGTGGTGGTTCATGTGATGCGTGGGTGAAGTGTTATGATAAGCATGGGGTGAGAATATTTTTTTCACCGAAGAGAAAGGAAACGTTTTATTACAGTGCAATGATGTAGAGACAATGATAGAGGACGGAGAGATTAATTGGCCTGATCTTCGATTATCTTGGCTTACATGGTATGATGTGAATGAGCAAAGTGTAATGTGTGAAAAGGCGTCGAATAGGTGAATCCACCGAATCTATGTGTTTTTTTTTGGTTTTCCGAAACACAACCGACTCGTTTGTTTTTTGTTTTATCTTGTTTTTTGATCATAAACTTGAATTTCAAATGTTGTTTTGAAAACGGTAAAATTTCGTGAAATAACTTCCAGAAGCATTTTTGACCATAGCTGAAGTTTTCCTGTGACAGAATCGAATGAAGAAAATACATAATTTAAATCATTTATTAAAATTTTCTTTGGACCTTGCTGCCAAGTAACTATGGATCTTCAACATTGATTTTTCGATTGTTTTTCTTCACCAGTACTATTGGGGCTGAAAAATATAAATTTTTATTTAAATTCGAAAAAAGTTAGGCTAACTCACCAAAAATATAGCATTAAATTGTGTATTTCAATTGGAAAAGTGTAGATTTTCCAGTGGAATTTTAGGCCATTTTATATTCTTCGGATCTTGATATTAACTAACTATTGATCTTCAAAACATTGATTTTCTATTGGCTTTTGGCTACTGATAATTTTGGAGCTGAAAAAATCCAGAATTCTGATAAAAATTTGAAAAAAGTTAGGATAACTCACCAAAAAATATTGCAAAATATTGTGTAGTTTAATTGGAAAAGTGTAGATTTTCCAGTGGAATTTCAGACCATTTTATATTTTAGGATCTGAAAAAATCTTGTCTGAAATTTTTTGGTTCAAAAAAAATCTGAAACTCACTAATTATCCCGTAATTTGTGTAGTTTAATTGGAAAAGTTTAGATTTTCCATTGGAAAAATAACATGAGCAATAAATATGAGAGAAATGGGAAAAGGACGCCGTTTTTGTGTGTAGAGGCGAGAGATTGAGAGAGTGCAGAGAAATAGAGTGATCGACTTTTTTTTCTTTGAATGTTTTGAATTTCAGAAGGAAAATCTAAATTTTTCCAAAAAAATTGGAAAAATGTAGATTTTGTTCCATTTTTGATAAGAAATTCTTATCAACAAATTTTTGAGCAAACAAAAATGTTCTTCTAAAGTACTGTAGCTATGGTAAGCTTTTAAGAAACTCTACAGTACCCCGAGCGCCTTTAAATGTACCTACTGTATTTTAAAGGGACATACACTCGCTTCGCTCGAGCCGCTTGCGCGGAATTTTGATCTACACTCGCGCTAAAGGCGCTCGGGGTACTGTAGACCGCTCAAAGGATCATACAGTACCCCGAGCGCCTGTGGCGCGAGTGTAGATCAAAATTCCGCACAAGCGGCTCAAGCGAAGCGAGTGTATGTCCCTTTAGATTACTGTAGGTACATCTAAAGGCGCCTACAGTATCCCAGTCTACGTCCCTTTAGAATACTGTATTCAAGATACTGTAGATCACTGGTCCTCTTGAAAATTCACCTTAATCTCGAGTGTATGTCCCTTTGAACTACTGTAGAGGGCTCAAGGTACTGTAGATCATAGAGGCTACAGTATTTCAAAGGAACATATTAAAGTTCAAAATAATTTATTCAATGTCAAGTTTGGGATAAACAATCTGCCGTCTTTCATACAAATCAATAATCGACAATAATCGATCAGCCGAAAATCGTAAAAATCGATCGGGTTCAAGTGCACTATACAATAAATCAACATAGAGAACGAGAAGTTCATTTGAGATGCCGGAAGTTGAGAATTTTCCAGAATCCGGGGGCCGACCTGAAATTAATTTTAGGTTATTACGTTAAAGAATAGCGTTAAAAACTCACAAAAGCACACGGAATCCACGTTTCCATGTCCAATTTCTGCGCATTTTTCGCACGCTTTTCGGGGGAAATCGAGAATTTTGGCTGCGAATTTGTGGACGCTCTCAAAACCGAAGCGAAGGCAGAGGATTAGTTGACAAAAATCGGTGGGATTTCGATGTTCGGATATTGTGACACGAAGACCTTCGCGTTCACCAATCTGCAACGTAATTTTGAATTTTTCGCTGACTCGAGCGAAGCGAGTGTATGTCCCTTTAGATTACTGTAGAGGACTTAAGGTACTGTAGTTCATAGTTCATAGAGGCTACAGTATTTCAAAGCGACATACACTCGCTTCGCTCGAGCCGCTTGCGCGGGATTTTGATCTACACTCGCGCTAAATGCGCTCGGGATACCGTAGACCGCCCAAAGGATCATACAGTACCCCCGAGCGCCTCTGGCGCGAGTGTAGATCAAAATTCCGCGTAAGCGGCTCGAGCGGAGCGAGTGTATGTCCCTTTAGATTACTGTAGCAGATAACTTGAGGCCACAGTATTTCAAAGGGGCATACACTCGCTTCGCTCGAGCGGAATTTTGATCTACACTCGCGCTAAATGCGCTCGGGGTACTGTAGACCGCCCAAAGGATCATACAGTACCCCGAGCGCCTCTGGCGCGAGTGTAGATCAAGATTCCGCGCAAGCGGTTCGAGCGAAGCGAGTGTATGTCCCTTCAGATTACTGTAGTAGATCACTTGAGGCCACATTATTTCAAAGGGACATACACTCGCTTCGCTCGAGCGGAATTTTGATCTACACTCGCGCTAAAGACGCTCGGGGTACTGTAGACCGCCCAAAGGATCATACAGTACTCCGAGCGCCTCTGGCGCGAGTGTAGATCAAGATTCCGCGCAAGCGGTTCGAGCGAAGCGAGTGTATGTCCCTTTAGATTACTGTAGTAAATCACTTGAGGCCACATTATTTCAAAGGGACATTTGCCACGTCATAGCTCGTTTTCTGCGGCTCAAAATGTACCTTTTCCATAATATCACTACCCAGCAAACACGCCAAATCCATAATATTTTCCGTCTCATCTTTGGGCATAAAAAATGGATGTTTCAGTGTGACGAGAGATAAGAGACACAGACCAGCCGAGAAAATATCGACAGCCGGTGAGCACACGCCAACACCGAAGAGCAATTCGGGTGCACGGACTCCTGGTGTGCCGACCACGTGATACGATTCACGTTTCGGCCGGCTTTTACACGTCATACATGGGTTGGGTGATTTGGCGCATATTTGACATTGGGTGGAGGTGGTGGCGGGTTGGGGAAGTTCAGTGGAACTGCGATCGATTGTGGCGAGACCGAAATCGACGAGACGGAAGCTGGAAAATTGGAAAAATCATGATTTTTTGATCTGGAAGCTGAAAAACTGCAATTTTCTGCTGAAAATTTGACAATTTCAAGTTCCAGGGCTGAAAAAACTGTATTTTTCAGCACCAGAACATGAAAAATATGCATTTTTGATCCTAGAGCTCAAAATTTCATGATTTTTCGTTCCAGGAGCTGAAAATATGCGATTTCTAGCTCAAACAGCTGAAAATATGCAATTTTCTGCTGAAAATTTAACAATTTCAAGGCCCAGGGCTGAAAAACTGTATTTTTCAGCACCAGAACATGAAAAATATGCATTTTTTATCCTAGAGCTCAAAATTTCATGATTTTTCGTTCCTGGAGCTGGAAATATGAGATTTCTAGCTCAAACAGCTGAAAATATGCAATTTCCTGCTCTTGAAGCTGAAAATTTAACAATTTCAAGTCCCAGGGCAGAAAAAATGTAATTTTCAGCACCTGGACATGAAAAATATGCATTTTTGATCCCGGAGCTCAAAATGTCATGCTTTTTTGGTCTGGAAGCTGAAAAATTAGCTTTTCTGGCTCTAACAGCTGAAAAACTGCAATTTTCTACTGAAAATTTAACAATTTCAAGTCCCAGAGCTGAAAAAATGTATTTTTCAGCACCAGAACATGAAAAATATGCATTTTTGATCCTAGAGCTCAAAATTTCATGATTTTTCGTTCCAGGAGCTGAAAATATGCGATTTCTAGCTCAAACAGCTGAAAATATGCAATTTTCTGCTGAAAATTTAACAATTTCAAGGCCCAGGGCTGAAAAACTGTATTTTTCAGCACCAGAACATGAAAAATATGCATTTTTTATCCTAGAGCTCAAAATTTCATGATTTTTCGTTCCTGGAGCTGGAAATATGAGATTTCTAGCTCAAACAGCTGAAAATATGCAATTTCCTGCTCTTGAAGCTGAAAATTTAACAATTTCAAGTCCCAGGGCAGAAAAAATGTAATTTTCAGCACCTGGACATGAAAAATATGCATTTTTGATCCCGGAGCTCAAAATGTCATGCTTTTTTGGTCTGGAAGCTGAAAAATTAGCTTTTCTGGCTCTAACAGCTGAAAAACTGCAATTTTCTACTGAAAATTTAACAATTTCAAGTCCCAGGGCTGAAAAAATGTAATTTTCAGCACCAGAACACGAAAAATATGCATTTTTGATCCTAGAGCTCAAAATTTCATGATTTTTCGTTCCAGGAGCTGAAAATATGCGATTTCTAGCTCAAACAGCTGAAAATATGCAATTTTCTGCTGAAAATTTAACAATTTCAAGGCCCAGGGCTGAAAAACTGTATTTTTCAGCACCAGAACATGAAAAATATGCATTTTTTATCCTAGAGCTCAAAATTTCATGATTTTTCGTTCCTGGAGCTGGAAATATGAGATTTCTAGCTCAAACAGCTGAAAATATGCAATTTCCTGCTCTTGAAGCTGAAAATTTAACAATTTCAAGTCCCAGGGCAGAAAAAATGTAATTTTCAGCACCTGGACATGAAAAATATGCATTTTTGATCCCGGAGCTCAAAATGTCATGCTTTTTTGGTCTGGAAGCTGAAAAATTAGCTTTTCTGGCTCTAACAGCTGAAAAACTGCAATTTTCTACTGAAAATTTAACAATTTCAAGTCCCAGAGCTGAAAAAATGTATTTTTCAGCACTAGGACATGAAAAATATGCATTTTTGATCCTAGAGCTCAAAATTCCATGATTTTTCGTTTCAGGAACTGAAAATATACAAATTCTAGCTGAAAATTAATAGATTTCCGGTCTCGGAGCTGAAATTATGAGATTTTCCGCTTCGAGACCCAGAAAAACCAAAAATACGTGAACTATTTATGACGCGGCAAATCTTCCTGGTTTATTTTTCCTTTCAGTCATTTCTAAACTATGTATGTTTCTAGAATGAATATCAAAATTGCAATATTTTTATTGGAAATCCTAAATTTATCAAATTCTTCAAAATCTGCTGGAAAATTCGACGAATTTCTGATATTATCTGAATTATCCGAGAATGCCACAAGACTTTGTGTGGAATTTTTTGAATCTGATAAATATCGATTTTTCGAGGATATACAATCTGAAGCAATTAATCAATTAAGATTTGAGAATCAATTGAAATTTGGGAAAAATATTGAGGAAGGTGATGAGATTTATATCGCTTTTGAAATGTGAGTTGATAAGAAAATCTAGAATTTGAAAATTTAATTTTTTTGATTTTCCAGACAAAATCTGACAATTCCATCTTCAATTCAATTTCCAGTATTATCAAATGATAAATATTTTGCAAAAATCGAAATATCAGATTTAAATATTGAATTATCAAGTTATGTTGATATAAAAGTTCCATCAAAAAACATCAAATTCGAATCGAATTCTTTGAATTTTTATGAATTTAATATTCGATTTTCCGATGGCAAAATATATTTATCAAATATTGAAAGCGGCAAAAAAATATTGAAATCTGAAGTTGATCTATCAATCAAACCACAATATTCTTCAAATACTGTGAAAATTCAGAATTTATTCATTTTCGATATTATTTATCATAATGGCTGTAATATAAATGGAACTTATTATAGAAATCTTGAAAAATATCGGAATTTTAGTCGAGAAACGCGAAAATTTGAGAGATCAGTGTTGGAAGGTTTGGGAATATTATCTGGTAGAACTGGAGTTCATAATATTTCTCTAGCTTCAAAATCTGATTGGTCCGAAGAATTTATGTTTCATTTACTATTTGGAAATTCCAAAGAGAATCCATCATTTTTTCAAATTCAGTATAAAAATGACGAGGAAATTGCTTATGATTATAAAATCGAAAATAATACATTGAAAATTGGATATCTTGAAAAACATTGGAAAGTTTATGTTGTGAGTGCTAGTTGGGAAAGTGAATTTCTACATGAAACACCAGAAAATGTATCAGATTTAGACGAAGGATTGAGTCTAGTCTTTAATGATACAAAATCAAGAAGTTATCCGGTTCAAAGAAGTGTTTTGGAGGGTTCAAAAGATCAAATTATTATTATGGAACATTCACATCCTTGTAAAGATGGATATAATTGTAAATATGCGAAAAATGAAATAAAAATAAAAATTGAATCAAATTCAATTTTTGGATTTCGATATTTGGACAAGAAAGATTATCTAATCAATTTCTGCTTCATTTCTGATTTCAAAAATCGAAATGAAAAATCTTTGCCTTTTTATAAAAATTGCAAATCAATCGATAATCCTTTGTATTTCGATTCTGAATCGAAATCAGTTATTGGGGGAATAATATCGAAAAAAATATCCAAAAAATCTTCAAAAATAATGGAATTTTCGAATATTCAGGTTGAATCGAAGGAAATCGATATGATTCTGAAGAAAAGAAATGAAAAATCAGAATCTATCAAAGATTGTAGGTTGATTTATGGAGTTTTGAATTCCAGAATCAATATTTTGCAGATTCCGTGATTTTGAGTGTTCTTGGAAGTTTGACAGTGATCACAATCATTATTCAAATCTTCAATTTCATAATTATGCATACTTTTTTGTTCTCATTGAAAGGAAAATAAAGAAATTTTTCTCTCGAAATCATTTTTTTCAGAAAAAAATGAGGATTTCCAGGGTTTTTTTTTGATCTTGCAGGTCAGCTTTGAGCTCGAAAATGTGGATTTTCTGCGGGGAAAAATCAAGGTTTTTAGGGAAATTTTATGATTTTCTGGGTCTCGAAGCGAAAAATCACTATTTATTCAATCTTAGAGCTGAATATTTGAATTTCCAGGCGAAAAAATGTGATTTTTAGTGTCCCGAAGCAAAATTTTGTGATTATTTGGGTCTTGAAGCGAAAAAATGTGATTTTTAGTGTCCTGAAGCAAAATTTTGTGATTATTTGGGTCTCGAAGCAAAATTTTGTAATTTTTTGGGTCTTGAAGCAAAATTTTGTGAATTTTAGGGTCCGGAAGCGGAAAATCTCATAATTTCAGCTCCAAGACCAGAAATCTTTCAGTTTTCAGCTAAAAATTGCATATTTTCAGTTCCTGGAACGAAAAATCATGGAATTTTGAGCTCTAGGATCAAAAATTCGAATTTTTCATGTCCTGGTGCTGAAAAATACAATTTTCCAGCTCCGAGAGCAAATAAATCTCTTTTTTCAGCCCTGGGACTTGAATTTGTTCAATTTTCAGCTTCAAGAGCAGAAAATTGCAGTTTTTCAGCTTCCGGACCAAAAAATCATGATTTTCCACGTTTCCACCCCAAAAAACTCACCAATTCCTCTGCGGCGAATACAAAAAATTGGACAATTTGATATCACGATGTACATAATTATTCAGGTGTAAATAGGCGATAGCAATCAACAGGTTTTTAAAATACAGTAGGCCGAAACTCGGGTCCCGACGCGAAAACATCACAAGTTCCTGTAACTCGAGAAGCTTATTCTAATTCAAGAAAGGAAAGACTTACGCCAACTGAGCAATGTGGAAAATGCTCCATCACAATGGCCACAGAGCCTAAGACATGATAAAAATCATAAAATTTAACAATATTAAAATGTCCGCCGAGTTCGGCTAACAATTCGAGCTCAATTGAGAGCATTGATACTTTTTCTATTCTTCGAATCGCTTTTATCGCACGATTTTCCTTGGAAGTTTTGCATTTTGCAGTGATAACTGTGCCAAATGATCCTTCCCCAATTATTTCAGGTTGTAAGGTGTATTTTGAGCGAAAACGCACGTCTCGTAGTACAGAACAATTCCGTTCCCATTTTTCGATTCGATTCATATCATAAATATAGGTTTCTGTCGCGGAAAACACAGTTAAAACGAAAAAAAAAAAGAAATGAAAATTAATTATTTTTGAATTTTGCGCCAGTGCAAACACGTTGCGTACCGTGCATTTTAAATGACGCGCATTTATTTTTATTTTTCGAAAAAATTCATTTCGCGTTTTTTCGCTTGCCAAACTGGTTTTCCTGGTTTATCTTGTGATTTTTCAGTGCTAAACTGGTAGTTTTGATTGCAAAGAATGTGGGGGACACTGGGAAGCTTGGGGAAATCTTGAAAATCGCGGGGAAAATCAGAAAAAATGGTTATGATGACGTAGACTTACGGGGCTTGAAAAATGCCAATTTCTTGTCGAAAATAGAAATTTTTGGCTTGAAAATTATGTTTTTTTTCATTAAAAACCAAAAATTCATCGTAATTCGTCTGAAAATCATATTATTTCGCTTCTAGACCTCGAAAATCAACTAATTTTGCTCCGAGACTAGAGAAATCATTATTTTTGCGTACTGTGACCTTGAAAGCTCAGATTTCGATGTTCCAATGACAGAAAATGTGATCTTTTGCTTTATTTTTCGATTTCTTTCTAAAATTGAAACCATATGCTTTTCCCAAACCAAAATTTCCCTAAAATCATCGATTTTCCCATGAAAATCTGCTCTAATCTCTCCAAATTATCAATAAATCCCACTAATTTTCCAATTTCCTCCGCTTTTCGCCCTTCTTCATTTGCTCTCCGCTCTCCTTTTCCGTTCCCCCTTTTAATACACATACACAAATTTTTTTCGGTCAGAATGTATGAATCAATGTCTGCGTGTCTGACGCGTCTATCTCAACATACTCAGTGTGTGACCCCTTTTTCTCTGCGCTCTGACCGCTTTGCGTTTAGTGGTTTTTTGTTTTGTTTTTTTTAATTTTTGCTGGAATTTTCGGGGAATTTTTATAGTGTGTTTATTTTTGCTGGAATTTTGTATTCAAAATTTAGAATTATTGATTTTCTGTCCTAAGTCTATGGGTTATTGCAAAAAGTCAAAGTTTTTATGTCAACAACACTCAAACGTTCTTTTTCGTTGTCCCACTTACTGATAACAAAATTGATTTTCCTCAAAAACCTTATTTTTTTTGCCTTTCAGCCTGAAATTGTGAAAAATGTCGGAGAAACGGAATCTTCTTCAAATTTCGCCGGCTAGAGAATTGCTCTTCACTGGTAGGTTTTCCCTCAAAAAACCATTTTCAAGCGATTTTTGCAGGCCCATTCACAGATGTTGTGACAAGTGTGATGACTTTGAAGAATCCGACGTCGGAAGCAGTGTGTTTCAAAGTCAAAACGACGGCGCCGAAACAATATTGTGTTAGACCGAATTCTGGTGAGTGTTTGAGGTGAAAATCACCTAGGAGACCGTGCAAAATTTTGAGTTTTTTGGGGGGAAAAATGACGAAAAACTTGATTGCGAAGAGATAGTGGATGTAGGGGACTAGAATTCCAACACCTGGAATTCTAGTCCCCGGAAAATTTTGTGAAAAAACGTTAGGAGCATGAAAATCACGTTTTTTTGGGGTCTAACACTGGAAGAACGTGATTTTAAGCTTCGATGCCCAGAATATCATGGTTTTCTGCGTTCAGACCATTAAAATCACAGATTTTTCGGTCCAGAGCTCGAAAATGTCTGATTTTCTGCTCTAAGGAGCGTTTAACCTTGATTGCATGATATTAATGTCATTTTCAACTTCGGAACCGAGAAATCTGTGGTTTTTCAGTTCCAGGACGTAAAAATAGTCATTTTTGTTTCAAGTTTCCAAAAAATCATAATTTTTCACGTTGGTACCATGAAAACTTTGCTTTTCTTTCTCCAGAGCCCGAAACTTCATGATTTTTTGCTCCAATGCCCATTTTAGCTTCCGAACCCAGAAAATCATCGTTTTTCTTGTCTAGTTCAAGAAATCTCGATTTTTTTCGCTCCACGGCTCTGAAATTTCGAATTTTTCACCAGCTTTCAGCTGAAATTATAAAATAACCTCATTATTTGCAGGTCTCCTCCAACCAGGCGACACAAAAGAAGTGACAGTAATGCTTCAACCATTAGACGGAATTCCAAGCGACGCGAACCGTCACAAATTCATGGTACAAGCCTGTATAGCTCCATCGGCAGACTTATCGGATCTCGAATCCGTCTGGAAAATGCCAAATCCACCAGAAACCACCTATAACAAACTGATGGTTGTGTTTGTTGATAAAGAGGGAAATCATGAGAATCGAAGTAGTGTAACATCTGGTGGACAAGTTGAGGATACTTATACTAGTGTTCAAACACAGTGAGTTGTTTTTTCGATGTTGTTGAAAAAGACATTCTGAGCTATGGTTGGACATCGACTAAATGACATTTTCAGGTTTTTTAAGCAAGTGAGTTGAAATATTATGTTCTAATGTTATTCATATGATAGAATGGTCTAAGACGAACAGAATGATATAAATTTTGATGACTTTACGTTATCCATAAGTGATTTAGCGACTTATCGACTAAATATCGACTAAACGTCGCTAAATCACTTATGGATAACGTAAGGCGATGTTGCAGATGAGTTTCTCCTCCGAGGAGAAATGGGGCGAAATTCGAAAATTACATTGTTTCGCCTCCACGTGCAACACGTTTCTCCTCTTTCTCCTCAATTAGCTCGGGGGAGAAACTAATCTGCATCATCGCCTAAAGTCATCAAAATTTATATCATTCTGTTTGTCTTAGACCATTCTATCATATGAATAACATTAGAACCCGATATTTCAACTCATTTACTTAAAAAACCTGAAAACGTCATTTAGTCGATGTCCAATCATATTCTGAGCTCGACACTGACTCAAAACCACGTTTTGTGATCCGAAACGTTAAGAAGCCCAGAAATTGACTCAAAGCCTTGATTTTGAAGCTTCAAGTGTGATTTTTGTTCAAATCTATGGGTTTTTGTGGAATCGTGTGTTTTTGATTATCCCAAAGGCTCTAAAAAGGAATTTTTGCATCAAAAACTGGATCCAATCATATTTTTAGGTACTGAAATGGATTTGGATCCTGAAATTGTCCTAAAATTAGGTTCTAATTAAAAAATTAGGTAATTTTGGGGAATAAATACCTGAAATTTCTGAAAATTTCGACTATCAACCTAAAACTCTCTGAAATTCTTCCAGAGATCTTCACGCAACTCATTCCTCATCCAACGATTCTGGAACAGTCGCCTCATTGCGTAAATCGCTGAAAACTGCGGTCGAAGAGAAGGATGGTCTTTTGAAACAGGTGCAAAATTTGCAACAAGAAGTTGAGGTTCTATTAAAGGTACATATAAGCACGAAAAAATACGGAAAAATGAGAAATTATTTCAGAAAAATCGCAATTTGCAAATGTCGCAAGGTGATGCGGCCGGAGCTAGTGCTAACACATTTCCAACTTTGCAAGTGAGTTTTTTTGGTGGGTGGGAGACTAAAAATTGAGGAAAATGCAAATTTTTGATGCAAATATCGATTTTGAGTATGAAAATCGACTATTAAGCTAATTTTCTATGTTAAAAACGTTCCAGAGCTCAATTTGGAGCGAAAATCACATAACTAGTATACAAATTGACGTCAGAGCTCAATTCTGGCTCCAACAACAATCCAAGAGCCATTTTTGTATCAAAAAATATGTCAAAACTCGATTTTCAAGCTGATTTTTGTCAAAACTGTAGCTAAAAATGAGTTCTGACGTCAATTTTAATAGTAAAAATGTGATTTTTGCTTCAAATTGAGCTCTGAAACGTTTTTAACATAGAAAATTAGCTTCAAAATCAATTTTCATAGTCAAAATCGAAATTTCGGGGCTCCTTGATCATTTTTTTTGCGCCAAAATCGATATTTGCATCAAAATTTGACTCATAGGTCATTTTTGGCACCAAAAATCACTATATTCCCAATTTTTGACGGAAAATTCGATTTTCTGGTCAAAATTTGACCTCTGATGTCAAAAATATGCCAAAACTAAATTTTCAAGCTGATTTTTTCTCAAAACTGATGCTAAAAATGAGCTCCGTACCCAATTTCGTCTGAAAATTCGATTTTTGACACAAAAATGGCTCTTGGACTGTTGTTGGAGCCAAAATTGAGCTCTAGGACGTTTTTAACATAGAAAAGTCGATTTTGATGCTCAAAATCGAAATTTCGGTCGAAAATGGGCTAATAGATCATTTTTGACCCCCGAAAATCACTATATTCCTAATTTTTGACGGAAAATTCGATTTTCTGGTCAAAATTTGACGTCTGGATGCTGTCTGGCACCAAAAACCCCATGTTTTTGCAGCAAATTCTCCTGGCCTTTGCAATTTTGCTGATCGGCCTCATTTTCGGAAGGATCCTCTAGAAAATCTCTTCATCAAAAACTACAGTAACTCTCTCTTGGTCATCTACAGTACCCCCCGAATTTATTGATTTTTTCGTCTGTTTTCCGCGTCATCCCATACCTAACTTCCCAAAATTCCCCCGAATTTTTTCCCGCCCCAAACATTTTTTTTTGTCAAAAATTCTATTATTATTTCTAGGTTTATGTACCCGGTTTCTTCCATTTTTGTCCATATTTCTTCCCCATTTCTGATATATATCTATTTATTATTATTGATTTTTCTCTTCCCCAATGAGGCACATACACAAATGAATTTCTATCCATTTTTGTTTGTGAGCTCCCCGATTTTTTTTCGTGCTGAAAATCCGTTTTTGAACGGTGAAAATATCTGTTTTTGCTCAAATTTTGAGCTTTTTTGACCCCAGGAGCCCAAAAATGCTCCAAATTGAGCCATTTTTGACCTCCAAAACCCCAAAATATCGATTTTTCTAGAAGCAACTGGTTTTTGAGCACAATGGCTGCTAAAAAGAATGACGATTTGTCGGCGGTGGAATTCGAGTCGAGCGAAGAGGTGAATGTTGTGCCGACTTTTGACAAAATGGGATTGAGGTAAGGGTTTTTGGGTGAAAATTTGGGATTCTCCGGGAAATTTGGAGCAAAATGAGCCAAATCTTGGTTTTTGAGCTGGAAAACTGGATTTTCAGCCAGATTTGATGGAAAATGAGCTTAAACTTGATCTTTGAGCTGGAAAACTGGATGTTCAGCCAGGTTTGATGGAAAATGAACCAGAATTTGGTTTTCTAGCTCAAAAACTGAATTTTCAGCCAGATTTGATAAAAAATGAGCCTAAGCTTGGTTTTTGAGTTCCGAAACTGGATTTTCAGCCAGATTTGATAAAAAATGAGCCTAAGCTTGGTTTTTGAGTTCCGAAACTGGATTTTCAGCCAGATTTGATGGGAAATGAGCCAGAATTTGGTTTTTGAGCTGAAAATTTGAGATTTTCAGCCAGATTTGATGGAAATTGAGCCGAAACTTGGTTTTTAAGCTCAAATTCGGCATTTTTAGCCAGATTTGATGGAAAATGAGTCAGAATTTGGTTTTCTAGCTCAAAATTTGAGATTTTCACTGTATTTCAGCCCTGAAAATGTTCTGGAATTACATTTTTAAGCTGATTTTTGCATTTTAAAGCTTCACGGCTCAATTTCAGCTGAAAAATTGAGATTTGGCTCAAAAATCAAAATTTTAAAGCGAATTTTAAGCTTCTGTAGTGTAGAGCTCAATTTCAGCCGAAAAGTTTGAATTTTCCAAGTTTCTAGCTGTAAATCTTTGATTTTTAACCCATTTTTGTTTGCAGAGAAGAATTGTTGCGTGGAATCTACTCGTATGGTTTCGAAAAACCATCAGCCATTCAACAACGAGCAATTTTGCCGGTTTTGAAAGGACGTGATGTTATTGCACAAGCGCAATCTGGTGAGTTTGGGATTTGGGGCTGAAAATGATGATTTTTAGCCTGAAAATGAGCTGAAAATCACTATTTTCAGTGAAAATTGACCTAAGAAGACGGCGAAAATCATGATTTTCATCCCATTTTTCTTCCAGGTACCGGTAAAACGGCGACTTTCTCCATCTCTGTCCTCCAACAAATCGACACACAAGTTCGTGAAACTCAAGCGCTCATTCTCTCGCCAACTCGCGAATTGGCCACACAAATCCAGAAGGTCGTGTTGGCGCTGGGCGATTATATGAATGTTCAATGTCATGCTTGTATTGGTGGAACGAATTTGGGAGAGGATATCAGGAAGTTGGATTATGGACAACATGTGGTTTCGGGTGAGTGTTTTGAGCCTAAATTCGAAAAATTTGATGAAAAATTGATGATTTTGACCTAAAATTCATGGAAAATCAAGTTTTTTGAGCCAGAATTCAAATTTTTCTCAAAAATTCAAGAAAATTTGTTGATTTTCACCCAGAAATCGATTTTTGAGCTCAAAAATTCGGAAAACTTTGAAGAAAATTGCGAAACTATAATTTTTTCATCAATTTTTGGTCAAAAACTCTGAAAATGCCTTCAAAATTGAGCTGAAATTAATTTTTAATGAAAATTAAGCTAACATGAGTAATTTTGAACCAAGAAATGCAAAATTTTGTTTTCTGACAGAAAAATTCTGTATTTTCAACTCTTTTCACTCAGAAAATCAAATATTTCTATAAAATAGCCAATTTTTGACTGAAAGTGCTCAAAAAATTAATTTTTTTCAATTAGAAACCTTGAAATCACCCAAAAATTCATAATTTTCAACTAAAATTTCTCAAAAATTAATTTTTTGCAATCAGAAACTTTGAAATCACCCAAAATTCATAATTTTCAACAAAAATTTCTCAAAAATTAATTTTTTTTCAATCAGAAACCTTGAAATCACCCAAAATGTATAATTTTCAACCAAAAATCAATAAATTTGTTCTCGAGGAACCCCTAGCCGTGTTTTCGACTGAAAAATCACTGAAAATTGCTCAAAAATTGATTTTTCTAGTCAGAAACCTTGGAAATCACTATTTTTACCTTGAAAATCAACAAAAATCCCTCTAAATTCATAATTTTCAACCAAAAATCAATAAATTTTTCCAGGAACCCCAGGTCGTGTTTTCGACTGAAAAATCACTGAAAATTGATAAAAAGTTGATTTTTTCAATCATGGGGCTATTCATGTATTTTCTCAGCATGTTGAGAAAACAGGAGAAATGCGGAGGAAATACATTTTCTCCGCTTTTTTCGTATTTTCTCAGCCTACCTGAATAGGTTTTCTCCGCTTTTCTCCCGTTTTCTCAGCGTTGAAAAATAACATGAATAGCCCCATCAGAAACCTTGAAATCACCCAAAATTCATAATTTTCAACCAAAAATCAATAAATTTGTTCTCCAGGAACCCCTGGCCGTGTTTTCGACATGATTCGCCGCCGAAATCTTCGAACTCGCTCCATCAAAATGCTCGTTTTAGACGAAGCCGACGAAATGTTGAACAAGGGATTCAAAGAGCAACTCTATGACATCTACAGATATTTGCCGCCAGGAGCACAAGTTGTTTTGCTCTCTGCCACACTTCCCCATGAGATTTTGGAGATGACTAGCAAATTTATGACTGATCCTATTCGTATTTTGGTCAAGAGAGATGAATTGACTTTGGAGGGAATTAAACAGGTAGGAAACTTGTTTTGGGACGCGAAAATTGAGAAAATCCGAGATTTTTGAGCCTGGGAGGTGAAATCCGCTAAGATTTTGGTCAACTAGGTAATTTACGATGATTTTTTCGACATCTAGGCGAAATTTGGTGATTTTTGCAGCCCTGTAGGCAAATTCCTCTGGTTTTTTCGACATGTAGGTCAAAAACTGTGAAATTTCTGTCGAGTAGGTAATTTACGATGATTTTTTCGACGTGTAGGTCAAAAACAGTTAAATTTCTGTCTAGTAGGTGATTTCCGGTGATTTTTTCGACATCTAGGTGAAATTTGGTGATTTTTGCAGTCTTGTAGGCAAATTCCGTTAGTTTTTTCGACATGTAGGTCAAAAACAGTGAAATTTCTGTCAAGTAGGAGTTTTCCGGTGATTTTTTCGACATCTAGGGGAAATTTGGTGATTTTTGAAGCCCGTAGGCAAATTCCGTTAGTTTTTTCAACGTGTAGGTCAAAAATAGTGAAATTTCTGTCTAGTAGGTGATTTCCGATGATTTTTTCGACATCCACGTGAAATTTGGTGATTTTTGCAGCCTTGTAGGCAAATTCCGTTAGTTTTTTCAACGTGTAGGTCAAAAATAGTGAAATTTATGTCTAGTAGGTGATTTCCGATGATTTTTTCGACATCCACGTGAAATTTGGTGATTTTTGCAGCCTTGTAGGCAAATTCCGTTAGTTTTTTCAACGTGTAGGTCAAAAATAGTGAAATTTCTGTCAAGTAGGAGTTTTCCGGTGATTTTTTCGACATCTAGGCGAAATTTGGTGATTTATATGCCTGGAAGGTGATTTATCGTAAAATTTAACTCTGGTAGGCGAAATCCGCTAAGATTTTAGTCAAGTAGGCAAATTCCGCTAGTTTTTACGTCGGGTAGATAAAAAATAATGACATTTCTGTCAGGTAGGCAAAATATGACAGAATTTCGGCCTAATAGTGAAAATCCGCTAAGATTTCGGTTTGATAGTTGAAAAACAGTGATATTTCTGTCTAGTAGGGAAAATCCGCTAGTTTTTCGGCTAGGTAGGCGAAATCTGTCAAGATTTTGAACAAGTAGGGATTTTCTGGTGATTTTTAACGTCGAAAATGAAATAAAATTGATTTTTAATGCAGAATTTTCAAATTTTCATGGAAAATCATTTTTTTTTTGTTCAAAAAGTCTGGAATTATTGACCGAAACGCTGTGAAAATGGCTAGAAATTCAAAAGTTGCATGAAAAATCGTCATTTTGCACCCAAAATCTAGAATTTTTGACCATGGAGCTCTAAAAAATCGCTATAAGTTCAATTTTTCAACCTAGAACCTAGAAATCCTCAATTTTTATCCTAAAAACCCCCTAAACCCCCTAATTTTATCATTTTTTCAGTTTTTCGTGGCAGTTGATCGTGAAGAATGGAAATTCGACACATTGGTTGATCTCTATGATACTCTTACAATCACACAAGCTGTTCTTTTCTGTAATACTCGTAGAAAGGTCGATTGGTTGACTGACAAAATGAAAGAAGCAAATTTCACAGTCTCATCGATGCACGGAGATATGGAGCAAAAAGATCGAGAGCAAATTATGAAGGATTTTCGAGCTGGCAATTCGAGAGTATTGATTTCGACTGATGTTTGGGCGAGAGGATTGGATGTTCCACAAGTTTCATTGGTAAGGACACTTTTTGGGACGAAAAATGGGTTTTTTTGAGCTAGAAATCATAAAATTTGGAGCATTTTGAGCTAGAAATCATGAAAAATGAATCTGAAATTGATTTTTGAACCAGAAATCATGAAATTTGGAGCATTTTGAGCCAGAAATCTTGAAAATTGCTCAAAATCTGAAATTTTCAGCCAAAAACAGATTCTTGAACTGAAAATGATGATTTTCACTCAGAAATCGATAAAATCGACCTGACATTTTATTTTTGAACCAGAAATCATAAAATTTGGAGCATTTTGAGCTAGAAATCATGAAAATGCTCAAAATCTGAAATTTTCAACCAAAACCAGATTTGCGAACTGAAAATTGATGAATTTTGATCTTGAAAACTTGAAAATTCGCCATTTTTATACCTTGAAGGTTAAATTTGGTGATTTTTTGGTCCAGTAGGAGATTTCCGCTAATTTTTCCGTATTTTTCGAAAAAGTAGGCAGAAAATGGTGGGTTTTTGGTTGAATTTGAAAAATCTGAGCTTTTTTCTCAAGTTTTTCCAACAAAAATCCTGATTTTTGCGAAATTTGACGGAAATAATGGCGGAAAACCCCTACTTGATAGAAATCACGCTGTTTTTGACCTGAATGTCGGAAAAACTGGCGGATTTTCACTACAATGTTAAAATTATGCGAAAATCATCATTTTTCACTTAAAATCACCTGAAAGTTAGCCTAACTTCCCGAATTTTGCAGGTAATCAACTACGATTTGCCAAACAATCGTGAATTGTACATTCACAGAATCGGTCGATCCGGTCGTTTTGGTCGCAAAGGAGTTGCCATCAATTTTGTGAAACAAGACGATGTTCGAATTTTGAGAGACATTGAACAATACTATTCGACACAAATCGATGAAATGCCAATGAATATTGCGGATATGCTCTAAGGAGAAGGTAATTTTTGAATTTGCGCGAGAAAATGATGGATTTTAAGCTAAAATTTGGGAAATTTGATGAAAAATGAGCTGAAATTGATTTTTAAAGGGTTTTTGAGCTCAAAAATCGAGAAATTTCGAAATTTTCAGTCAAAAGTAGCTCTAAAGCTGAAAATTTGAAGAAATATCAGTTTTCTATGGTTTTTGAGCTCAAAATTCAAGAAATTTTGAAATTTTCAGTCAAAAATAGCTCTGAATCTGAAAATTTGAAGAAAATCTGATGAAATATCATTTTTCTATGGTTTTTGAGCTAGAAATTGACCTGAAATTAAATTTTGAGCTCAAAAATCCGGAAAATTCGAAATTTTCAGTCAAAAATAGCTCTGAATCTGAAAATTCGAAGAATTATCATTTTTCTATGGTTTTTGAGCTAAAAATTGACCTGAAATTGATTTTTGAGCTCAAAAGTAGCTCTGAATCTGAAATTTTGAAGAAAATCTGATGAAATATCATTTTTCCATGGTTTTTGAGCTAAAAATTGACCTGAAATTGATTTTTGAGCTCAAAAATCCAGAAATTTTGAAATTTTCAGTCAAAAATAGTTCTGAATTTAAAAATTTGAAGAAAATCTGATGAAATATCATTTTTCTATAGTTTTTGAGCTGGAAATTGGCCTGAAATTCATTTTTGAGCTCAAAAATCCACAAATTTCGAAATTTTCAGTCAAAAATAGCTCTGAATTTGAAATTTTGATGAAATATCATTTTTCTATAGTTTTTGAGCTAGAAATTAAACTAGAATTGATTTTTGAGCTCAAAAATTCGGAAAATTTGAAATTTTCAGTTAAAAATAGCTCTAAAGCTGAAAATTTGAAGAAAATGACCTGAAATTAATTTTTGAAACCCAAAAATTTTCATTTTTTTCAGAATCTTCATCCAATTTTCAAACTCGACCTGGAATTTTTCCAAAAAATTCGACTTTTTTTTTCATTTTTATTTTCAAATCCCCCAATTAATCTGTTATTTTACCCGTTTTTTTCTCAATTTTTCCATGTTTTATCCACACATAATTTAATTATTTTCTCTGTTTTCTGACTGAAAATCGAGCTGAAATTCCACACATTTTCAGCCAGATCTCTTCTCGTTTTTTTTTGGTCCAAAAAATCCCAATTTTTCCCGTTTTTCCATTGTTGAAATAAATGAGTTTTCGAGATTTTTTTGTCGATTTTTGTGAGCAAAAAATGTGTTTACCCATCATTTTTGTGGTATTTTTGAGTGTTTTCAGATTTTTTTTTTGGTTCCTATGGAAACCCACCCTGGTTTGTTTTTATTTTTTCGAGTTTTATTGATTTTTGAGCCGTTTTTCGGTCAAGTAGGTGAAATCCGCCAAAATTTTGGTCCAGTAGGAATTTTCCAATGATTTTTTCGACATCCCGGTGAAATTTGGTGATTTTTGAGCCCTGTAGGCAAATTCCGCTAGTTTTTTCGACATGTAGGTCAAAAACAGTGAAATTTCTGTCAAGTAGGTGATTTCCGATGATTTTTTCGACCTTCAGGTGATTTTTCATGCCTTGTAGGTCAAAAATCATGAAATTTCACTCTGGGTAGGCAAATTCCGTTAGTTTTTACGCCGAGTAGGCGAAAAATGGTGTGATTTTCGACAAATTAGGGAAATTTGAGCTTTTCTGTTTTTCTCTGCGTCTCTTCAGGCGAGAGAGAGAGAAAAAGACGGAACTTGAGCTTTTTCTCAAGTTTTTCGACGAAATTTTGTGTTTTTTTCAATTTTGACAAAAATATTAGCGGATTTCTCCTACTTGACTAAAATTACACTATTTTTGAGCTACCCGATGTAAAAACTAGCGGATTTTGCCTACCAAACCGAAATCTTAGCGGAATTTGCCTACCTAACCGAAAAACTTGCGGAATCGCCCTACTTGACTGAAATTACACCATTTTTCACCTACTAGACATAGAAAATCACGGTTTTTCACCTATTTTACATAAAAAATAGCGGATTTCCCCTACCCGTTCAAAATCCCACCATTTTTTGCCTACTCAACACGCATTTAAATATGCAAATGAATTGAGTCCTTTTTTTTTGTCTTTTTCCCTTTTTTTCTCAAAAAATTATCGATTTTTTGCAGGCGCCCAGCTTTAATGAGGAATTTGGGAGGAAGAAAACAAGAGAAGAGGGAAAATTGAGCAAGAATGTGAGTTTTTGGGGATTTTGAGCCTGAAAGTGGAAAAAGAGCTTAAACTGCACATTTTGAGCTGAAAATTTGAGAAAATCGGAGAATTTTGAGCCAGAAAGTCTGAAAATGCTGTTTTTCATGAAAAAATGCACATTTTGACCTAAAATTTCAAAAATTACATCAAAATTTCAGTTTTCTCACCAAAAATGCCGATTTTCCAGCTCAAAATTGAGCAAAATTCAAAAATAACCCAAAATTAATTGCAGATGTCCGAAAAAACGCAATGTTGTGGTAGAAAATGGTGTGTTGGAGATCCGTGTGGAATTGTATGCGCTGTTATTACTTGGTGAGTGTTTTCGATCGGAAATTGACTGAAAATGCTATTTTTTGAGCTGATGAAGTTTGGGCTCCAGAACCAAAAATTCATGAAAAATGCGATTTTCTGGGTCAAAATTCATGAAATTTGGCTTCTGGAGCTCGAAATATCGGAAAATCTTTATTTTTGAGCCAAAGTTCATAAAATTTGGCTCCAGGAGCCCAAAATTCATGAAAAATTCGATTTTCTGGGTGAAAATTGATGAAATTTGGGCCCTGGAGCTTAAAATATCGGAAAATCTTAGTTTTTGATAAGAAATATGTTAAGACTATTCAAAATTCATGAAATTTGGCTCCAGGAGCTCAAAATATCGAAAAATGCAATTTTCTGGGTCAAAATTCATGAAATTTGGGCTCCTGGAGTTTAAAATATCAAAAAAATTTTAATTTTTGACCTGAATCACTTTGAAATTATCAAAAATTCATGAAATTTGGCTCCTGAAGCTCAAAATTCATGAAAAATCTAAATTTTTGATCTAAAATTCATGAAATTTACCTTAAAAACCCCCTAAACCCCCTAAAAATTCCCCTAATTTTACAGGCTTCTAATATTCTATGGTCAAGTTTGTATAGCTCTCGTAATGCTGCAATCATTTCAAGACTATCCAATTCACACCACAATCAATTTATTGATTTTCGAAACATTTACAATATTGGCTGTCATATCGCATTTGAAAACAATGTTAACTGATCCGGGAGCTGTTCCCAAAGGAGATGCAACTGAAGAAATGATTGAGAGATTGCAGGCGATTAGTGATAATTCAGTAAGCGCGTTTTTGGGCTGGAAATTTGGCTGAAAATGAGCTAGAAATTGTGAAAATTGAGGTTTTTTGACCCAAAAATCATGAAAAATGAGCAAAAATAACGTGTTTTGACCCAAAATTCGAGAAATTACAAGAAAATACACGAAATTACAAGAAATACTCAAAATTAATTAGAACTGACCTAAATTCAGGTTTTTTGGTTCAAATCGTGCTGAAAATCATGACGATCTAGGTTTTGTGACTCAAAAATCGATTTTTCCTTGAAAAATGAGCGAAAATGAAGGTTTTTGACCCAAAATTCGAGAAATTACAAGAAATACTCAAAATTCATGAAAATTAAGCCAGAAATATTGAAAAACAAGCAAAAATGAAGGGTTTTGACCCAAAATTCGAGAAATTACAAGAAATACTCAAAATTCATGAAAAATGAGCCAGAAATTTTGAAAAACCAGTGAAAATAAAGGTTTTTGACCTAAAATTCGAGAAATTACAAGAAATACTCAAAATTCATGAAAAATGAGCCAGAAATTTCGAAAAACCAGTGAAAATAAAGGTTTTTGATCTGAAATTCGAGAAATTACAAGAAAATACACGAAATTCATGAAAAATCAGCCAGAAATTGTGAAAAACCAGCAAAATGAGAGGTTTCAACCTGAAAATCCAGAAATTACAAGAAATTACACAAAATTACAAACAATTACAAAAAATGCGACGAGAAATCACCAACAAATACACGAAATACCCTAAAATCACATTCCTAGCTCAAAAAATATCAATTTTCCACCTAGAAACCCGAAAACCTCTATTTTCTTCCAGGTGATCTACAAATGTTAGAAAAATACGAGAAAATACAGAAAATTACGAGAAATTACAAGAAAAACCCAATTTTCACGCTAAAAACCTGAAATTTCTTCCAGGTAATCTACAAATGTCAAAAATACGAGAAAATACAGAAAATTACAAACAATTACAAGAAATACCCAATTTTCACGCTAAAACCCTGAAATTAATTTCAGGTGATCTACAAATGTCAAAAATACGAGAAAATTACGAGAAATTACAAGAAATACCCATTTTTCACGCTAAAAACTTGAAATTTCTTCCAGGTAATCTTCAAATGTCAAAAAAATACAAGAAAATACAGAAAATTACAAAAAATACCCAAAAACACTTAATTTTCACGCGAAAAACCTGAAATTAATTCCAGGTAATCTACAAATGTTAAAAAATACGAGAAAATACAGAAAATTACAAGAAATTACAAGAAATACCCAATTTTCACGCTAAAAACCTGAAATTTCTTCCAGGTAATCTACAAATGTCAAAAATGCTGTAGCATAAAACCCGACCGAGCCCATCATTGCTCAGTTTGCGAGCGTTGTATTCGTCGAATGGACCATCATTGTCCGTGGGTCAATAATTGTGTGGGCGAATCGAATCAGAAGTTTTTTGTGCTCTTCACAATGTATATAGCTCTTTTATCCTGCCATGCTCTTTATTGGGGAATTTGGCAATTTGTGAAATGTGTGGGAGTGGAATGGCAAGGTTGCTCGGCACTTGGACCACCTGGAACCACTTTGATGTTGGTGAGTGGATTTTGAGAGGATTTGGGAAGTGGGAATGGGTTCTACGTAGAGTTTGAGGCATTTTGACACCAAACACGATGGGATTCGGTGAATTTTGAGAATTTCAGATCCCAGAAATTTTCAGATTGAAAGTTCTAGGGATTCCTGAAGGTTAAAGATAATTTTTTCGTGTTTTTCATGAAATTTGACGATTTTAGACACCCATCTTGATATTGTTTGGTTAAATTTTGAAAATCGGACCATCTGGAGGTCAAGAAGGTCCAATTTTCGAAATTTCACAAAAATATATCAAGTTTGGGCTCAAAACGCTCCGAATAACCTCGGGAATTAGGGAAAATCATATAAACTTCAAGAAAACCCCGGATTATCTTGGATTTTGAGAATTCCGGTATTTTTCAGACCCCAGAAATGTTGAAATTGAGAGTTCTGGAATTTTTCAGAGGTTCTGAGTAGTTTTTTCGTGTTTTTCATGAAATTTGACGATTTTAGACACCCATATTGATATATTTTGGTGATTTTTGAAAATGGGACCATCTGGAGGTCAAGAAGGTCCAATTTTCAAAAATTCACCAAAATATATCGTGTTTGGGCTCAAAATGCTCCGAATAACCTGAGGAATTGGGGAAAATCATATAATATTCAAGAAAACCTCGGATTATCTTTGATTTTGAGAATTTCGGGATTTTTCAGACCTCAGAAATGTTGAAATTGAGAGTTATGGAATTTTTCAGATGCTCTCACTCATATTTTTGCACTCCCCATGAAATTTGAGAATTTTAGACACCCATCTTGATATTGTTTTGTGAAATTTTGAAAATCGGACCATCTGGAGGTCAAGAAGGTCCAATTTTCAAAATTTCACCAAAATATATCGTGTTTGGGCTCAAAACGCTCCAAACATCGTGGAGAATCTGAAAAAAACACCCAATCTCCAGGAAATCCTGAAAATCTTAATATTTCAAAGATCCGAAATTTTTTCAAAAATCAAAAATTTTCAATTTGGGATTTCTAGAGGTTTTCAAAGCTTTCTAATGACTTTTTTGGACTCTCCATTGGATTTGGAGCATTTTGAGCCTAAACATGATATGTTTTGGTGAATTTTCGAAAATCGGACCATCTGGAGGTCAAAAAGGTCCTTTCACCAAAATATACCATGTTTGGGCTCAAAATGCTCCAAATCACCTGAAAAAATCGAATTTCAGATTTTCCTGCTCTTCGAATCAATACTCTTCGCAATTTTCACATCAGTCATGTTTGGCACACAAATTTCATCGATTTATAGCGATGAAACGACGATTGAATCGCTGAAAAGGTGAGTTTTGACCAATTTTGGCTGAAAATCCCAAATTTCCCGTGAAAAATCTGAAATTTTCAGCCGAAACTTTGATATGGAGGAAAATGAACGTGAGAAGAATGATGGCTGGAAAAATTTGCAAATGGTATTCGGCGGACCTTTCAGTATAAAATGGATGAATCCGCTGGCGGACCCCTTTTTGTCAAGGCCCACTTTTGAGTATTCTGTGTAGTTTGGTCTGTGTTTTTGGCGGGAAATTTGAATTTTTCGAGAAATTTTGAGCTAGAAACGAGGTTTTGACTGAAAATTTGCATTTTTAGCTGATTTCCAGCCAAAAATTCGATTTTCTAGCTGATTTTCGAAAAATTTCACTGGAAAACCTGATTTTCAGTTCAAATTTCAGATTTCCAGCTAAAATCCTGAATTTTCGCTCAAAAATTCGATTTTCTAGCTGATTTTCTGAAAATTTCATTGAAAATTTTGATTTTCAGCTCAAATTTCAGATTTCCAGCTAAAATCCTGAATTTTCGCTCAAAAATTCGATTTTCTAGCCAATTTTCTGAAAATTTCATTGAAAATCTTGATTTTCAGCTCAAATTTCAAATTTCCAGCCAAAAATCCTGAATTTTTGCTCAAAAATTCGATTTTCTAGCTGATTTTTTGAAAATTTCACTGGAAAACCTGATTTTCAGTTCAAATTTCAGATTTCCAGCTAAAATCATGAATTTTTGTTCAAAAATTCGATTTTTTAGCTGATTTTCTGAAAATTTCATTGAAAATTTTGATTTTCAGCTCAAATTTCAAATTTTCAGCCAAAAATCCCTGAAAATGTGATTTTTATTTTTTTTTCATATATATTTATGTATTTTTACCCATTTTCCTTTTTTTCTCAAAATTTCAGAAAATCAAAACGTTTTTTTTTTCAAAAATTAATTTTTTCCGGGTATTTTTTTAATTATTTTTAATTGTCATTTCTTCATGTGTACTTATTTATTTATTGATTTTTTCATAAAAATTTAATTTTTCTCCCCAAATTTTTCGAGAATTTCTAGCTAGATTTGTTGAAAATTGTGCAAATTTTGATATTTTTTTCACCCAAAACCAAAAATTTCAGCCAGATTTTCAGATGAATTTTGTGCTCGTCGAAGGTGGCGGCGTCGAAACGCCGCCGATTTTACGCAAAATTTTGAGGCTTCGAAAAATCGCGCTGATTTTGGCCGGAATCGCCGCCTGGTATTATGCTAGTGTGGTTTTGAATCCCGAAAATATGGAGAATACTAGGTGAGGGGGGTTTTGGGAGGAAATTTTAAGATTTTTGACTGAAAATCTGGAATTTTCAGCTAAAATTGATCGAAAATCATGAAAATTGAGCAATTTTAAGAAGATTTTTGGCTAAAAATTTGAATTTTTCCTGGAAATTGACATAACTTTGATAAATAACTGAAATTTTCAGCTAAAATTTGATCAAAATGTTGAAAATTTGCAGTTTCGACTGAAAATTATCAAAATTTGTTAAAAACGATGCAATTTTCAAAATATTTCATGTTCGGGCTCAAAATGCTCCAAATAACCTGGAGAATCTGAAAAACACAGTCTTTCTGAATTTTCCACAAAATTTGGAGCATTTTGAGCTCAAACACGGTGTATTTTGGTAGAATTTTGAAAATGGGACCATCTGGAGGCCAAGAAGGTCCAATTTTCAAAAATTCACCAAAATATATCAAGTTTGGGCTCAAAATGCTCCAAATAACCTGGAGAATCTGAAAAACACAGTCTTCCTGAATTTTCCACAAAATTTGGAGCATTTTGAGCTCAAACACGGTGTATTTTGGTTAATTTTTGAAAATGGGACCATCTGTAGGTCAAGAAGGTCCAATTTTCAAAATTCTACCAAAACACACCGTGTTTGGGATCAAAATGCTCCAAATAACCTGGAGAATATGAAAAACACAGTCTTCCTGAATTTTCCACATAATTTGGAGCATTTTGAGCCCAAACACGGTGTATTTTTGCTCCAAATGGCCCAAAATTCAAAAATCCTCCAAAACATATCATGTTCGGGCTCAAAATGCTCCAAATAACCTGGAGAATCTGAAAATCTATATTTTTCGGGCTTTAAAACGAGCAATTTTGTGATTTTTTTCCAAAAAAATCAATTGTCTCTGTGAACTTGTGTCTGTGAGAAAATCATCATTTTCGGCTCAAAAAATCGCGTTTCATTCCAATTTTTCGAAAATTCGAGAATGCCCAGATCATTCGCGATCTTCTTCCTGATCTTCCAAATCGCAACATCATCTTCCCCCCTCAACATCCAAGAAAGCGCCTCAGATCTCATGAACCGCTACAAAACTGCGATCCTGGAGAAAAATGCGAAAAAGCTGGAACTCATCACAGATCCAACATTCTACATAGATCCATGTGATCGCAAATCAAATCGAATGAATCGCGAATATTTGATGACTGATCTATCGCGATTCAGTTGGCAATACTTTAAAATCGGAAAATTGGACTACCGCTCGCAATCGGTGGTTTTTGAAGAGGGAATTCTGAAAATCACTGCGAAAATGACGAATGGAGAAGCCATTTTTCACGCCAAAAAATTACAGAATAATTCATTTAAAATGATTATGGAAAAACAGTACAATTGTAGGGGAAAAGTTACGGGAAGTTTGGTTGTTGATTATGATAATTCCAAGGAATTTAAAGGGGGACAATTGGGTAATTAATAAAGGTTTTTAATTGGCAACGTTGAATATTAGAGATTTTTCCGAACTCTCCAGGTTATTTGGAGCATTTTGAGCCCAAACATGATATGTTTTGGAGGATTTTTGAAAATGGGACCATCTGGTGGTCAAGAAGGTCCAATTTCCAAAATTCTACCAAAACACATCGTATTTGGACTCAAAATGCTCCAAATTTTGTGGAAAATTCAGGAAGACTGTGTTTTTTAGATTCTCTACGGTGTTTGGAGCATTTTGAGCCCAAACATGATATGTTTTGGTGAAAATTTGAAAATTGGAGCAAGAATGGTCCGATTTTCAAAATTTTACCAAAACACACCGTGTTTGGGCTCAAAATGCTCCAAATAACGTGGAGAATTCATTTTTCCATGAATTTTCTATTCCTGAAATTAATTTCAGATCAAAAATCTGAAAATTTCAAGAATTTTCAATATTTTAAGCCAAATCCCCAAATGTTTTTCCAGAATCTCCGAACATTCTCTGATGCCTGGTCTCGTCACTGCAAAATTCGACAAGACCTCAATGATTGCACAAATTTTCAGCGATTTGTCTGAAAATCCAAAGTGAGTCCCTTTTCATTGAGAAAAAAACAACATTTTTGAAAAATCCTGAAAAAATGCGATTTTTTTGTCATTTTCCCATAAAAATCCGTAATGTCAACAATAAAAATTCCAATTTTTCGAAAAAAAAAAACATTTTGAACGAAGAAAATCCATTATTAATCCGCTAGAGAATTGGTTTTGGATTTCAATGGGAAAATTTTTTTTCAGAAAAAAAAAACAAAAATTTTTTTCTAGAGGTTTTCAGAAGCTCTAGATGATTTTTCTGGATTTTTCAGGTAATTTCTGGATTTTTGAGCCCAAACATGATGTATTTTGGTTAGATTTTGAAAATGGGACCATCTGGAGGCCAAGAAGGTCCGATTTTCAAAATTTCACCAAAATATATCATGTTTGGGCTCAAAATGCTCCAAATAACCTGGAGAATCTGAGAAAAACACTGAAACTCCAGGAAATCCCAAAAATCTCGATATTTCAAAGATCCAAAATTTTTTCAAAAATCGAAAATTTTCAATTTGGGTTTTCTAGAGGTTTTCAGAGCTTCTCACTGGGGTTTTCAGATTTTTCACTAAATTTGGAGCATTTTGAGCCCAAACATGATATATTTTGAAAATGGGACCATCTGGAGGCCAAGAAGGTCCGATTTTCAAAAATTCACCAAAATGTACCATGTTTGGGCTCAAAATGCTCCAAATTTGATGAGGAATCCGGGAAAAACATCCAGAACTCATGAAACCTCCAAAATTCACCGTGTTTGGGCTCAAAATGCTCCATTTTTTCGCAGAAATATCCAAAAAACCATCTGTGGCTATTTCCACAAATGGGATCTATCATGTCACTCGCAAAAATTCCGCTCAAACGTGCCAGGAATCCAAATTTCGGGCGAAAATGTTTATGCGTGGATTCGAGGTTCGCGAAATGACGGAGGAGAAGCTCAATTGATTGGTGTCAAAATTGGTGGAGGCCGAAAAAAAAGCGAGGCGGAATTGAGGAATTTGATCATTGCTCAGGTTATGGCGTTTGCTTATTATGCTAAAGGTAAGGTTTTGGGGTACTGTAGGGTTACTGTAGGGGTTTTTTGACGTTAAAAATCTTGAAAATTTGAAAAATATTGATCATTGCTCAGATTAGGCGCAAAAAATACAGTAATCTAGGATTTTTTCCATCTACAGTAATCTTTCAAAAATGTTGTTTATTGCTCAGATCTGGATTACTGTAGAGGTTTTTTAGGGCAAAAATCTAGAAATTTGAGCATTGCTCAGGTTATACCTACAGTAATCCTATTTTTGGTCCCTTAAAATACGAAAATTTCTTTAAAAAATATTTTTTTCCCAAAAAAAATGAAAAAAATTCCGATTTTGTAGTGGTCACTATAGCATTTTCTTCATTTTACGAAAAAAATTTGTTTTTTTTTGCAAAAATCAAAAAAAAATCCGTATAGAATATTAGTTAGTACAACTACAAATTTTGTTTAACCAGAAATTGGGTTACTGTAGGTTTTCGGGGCGCCAAAATTTGATCTACTGCAATTTTTTGCGCGCGAAATTTGAGTTCTGGAAGAGTATCCCTATATCTACAGTACCCCTACAGTAACCCTGGGCATGTTTGGTGTCAAAATGAAGCCAATAACTAACTACAGTACCCTATCATGTCTACAGTATCCCTAGACCTACAGTACCCTTACAGTACGCCCACATTTTTCCAGATCAAGTTTATTGGTCTCGCGACATTTTGTTCGTTTTCATCGATGCCACGTCAAATTCGGATGACTCGACAAATTTCGCATTTGACGCATTCTTGCAAGAATATCACTTGACACACTCAAACTACAGTACCCCAACTACAGTAATCCACGCGGAACAATTAAAGGAACAATGTGGATTATTGATTGCTGGAATTGTATATGAACCTGTGAAATGGCCGAGAAAATCCAAAAAGGATACGAGAATTGTAAGCGGGAATTTTGGCGCCAAAAATTACAGTAATCCGGGTTTTTGGCGCGAAATTTGAATTTTTTTAAATTTTGGTTTTTTGGCGCCAAAAGTTACAGTAATCCTTGAATTTTCCTGCAAAAATTTAAAAGAAGCAAATTTATTTTTTTTTAAATATTTTTGGCGCCAAAAATTACAGTAATCCCCTTCGGATTACTATGTATTATTCTGAAGAATTGAAAGGAATTTCAATTTCCGCTCCCAATTCCATCGGTGCTGAAATTATAGCCCAGAAATTCACGAAAAATATGAGAATCGATAGAAAATTCAACATTTTATGAGTCTACACTCTCAAAATTTGAATTTATAGTGTTTTTTGAGAGAACTGGAGACGCAGAGAGAGAAATATTGATTTTTTTGAAATCCTAGGGGAATTTGGAGCATTTTGAGTCCAAACACGGTGTATTTTGGAGAATTTTTGAAAATGGGACCATCTGGTGGTCAAGAAGGTCCGATTTTCGAAATTGCGCCAAAATATATTGTGTTTGGGCTCAAAATGCTCCAAATTACCCCAGGGTTCCGAAAAACCTAACGAAAACCCGAGAAAACTTAAAAATTCTATAAATTTCGATTTTTTGAAATCCCAAATTTTTCGAAACGGAAGTTCTAGCTGTTTTCAGTAGTGCTAAATGATTTTTCTCTATTTTTCAAGGAATTTGGAGCATTTTGAGCCCAAACACGGTGTATTTTGGAGAATTTTCAAAAATGGGACCTTCTTGACCTCCAGATGGTCCCATTTTCAAAAATCCTTTGAAATATATCATGTTTGGGCTCAAAATGCTCCAAATTCTATGGAAAATCCAAAAATCCATAATTTTTCAGATGTCAGCTGCGATGAACGGAATCAACGGTCAACAGGCAAATCTGGACCTCTTCAATTCGGCCGCCAAAATTGCTCATCAAAAATTGAGCGCCGGAATGGCGCTTTTTGGAATTTATCAGGATCCCGTGAGTTTTTTCGACCTGAAATTAATTTCAGACGTCAAAAATCAATATTTTTGACGTGAAATCAATTTTTTACAGCACAGCTACAGTACCCAGGCTTGGCCATATTTGATTCCGCTTCGAGCAATTTATGGACAAGGATTTGTGGCGGTTGAGGGGCTGCACAGTGTTTTGGGAAAATATTCGGTGCCGGTAGGGATTTTTGGGCGGAAAATTTGGGATTTTGGGGAAATTTGAGTCCAGAAATCGATTTCTAGCTAAAATTTGAGATCCTGAAATTAAATTCAGGCCAGAAAACCTGAATTTTAGGTCTATACCCAAATTTTTCATGAAAAAATCGATTTTCTAACAAATTTTGAGGCATTGCTCATGTTAGAAATCGATTTCTAGCTCAAATTTGGTATCCTAAAATTAATTTCAGATCAGAAAACCTGAATTTTAGATCTATACCTAAAAAAGCCCGTTTTCCTCGAATTTTTTAAGAAAAAATCGATTTTCTAACAAATTTTGAGACATTGCTCATGTTAGAAATCGATTTCTAGCTCAAATTTGATATCCTGAAATTAAATTTAGGTCAGAAAACCTGAAATTTGGGTCTATACTCAAATTTTTCATGAAAGAATCGATTTTCTAACAAATTTTGAGACATTGCTCATATTAGAAATCGATTTCGAGCTCAAATTTGGTTTTGAAATTAAATTCAGGTCAGAAAACTTGAATTTTAGATCTATACTCAAAAAACCCCATTTTTCCTCAAATTTTTCATGAAAAACATCGATTTTCTGACAATTTTGAGGCATTGCTCATATTAGGCCGTTATTTTAGGCCCTAACAATCGGCCTGGACCACACAATGGGCCCGGAAAATGGAATTTTCATCGAATCGATGTGTCGAATGCTCAATAATGCTTTGGAACGACTTCATCAAAGTTATTTCATGTACATTTTGGGAGACGATATGCATTTCGCATCGATCGCCTATTATTTGCCGATTTTGGGCATTATTTCGGCACCTCTGCTCATTTCGGTTGGTTTTTTTCGGGTTTCGGCATGGTTTTGGGGGCGTGGATTGCGAAAATTTGATGGAAAATGATGGATTTTGAGCGAAAATTGGTTGGGGCACGGTTTTGTGGGCGGAGCTTAGAGAAATTAGTTGCGGCATGGTTTTGGGGGCGTGGCTTGCGAAAATTTGGTGGAAAATAATGGATTTTGAGCGAAAATTGGTTGGGGCACGGTTTTGTGGGCGGAGCTTTGGGTCTTTGACTGAAACGTTCAAGCTCCGCCCACAAAACCGTGCCTTAACCAATTTTCGCTCAAAATCCATCATTTCCCATCAACTTTTCGCAAGCTCCGCCCCTAAAACCATGCCGCAACTCCCAATTTTTGCTAGGCTTACGCAGAATGGCGTGAAATTCAACAAATCCGCCTCTCGCCCTTCATCTACATTGCTCATATTATCGGAGCCCTCCAATTCACCGGTGCCACGTATGCCTATGCGAATTTTGGCGCCAAAATTTTCGACACCAACTTAGCGCAACTCTTCATCCTATCCTCTATCATTCCTTTCGGTTTAATCTACAATTTTGTGGTTTTGGCGCGAAAATCTGCTGAAAATCAAGCTGAAATTCGTTTTACACGATTATTTTTGCAATTGTTGACGTGTTTGATGTTGGGATGTTTGGGATTGGTCAATTTTGGATTGGCACTTTTTGGCGCGATTTTTGCAGTCCCCCTGGTTTTTGTGATGACTTTTGAGTCGACATCGAGGTTTGTGGGCTTTTTTGGGCCGAAAATCTTGAAAATTGGCCTTTTTTAGGCCTAGAAACGGGCCACGGCCCTAATTTAGAGAAAAATGGGCCTAGATTGAATTTTTTAAGCCGAAAATCTTGAAAATTGGCCCTTTTTGAGCCTAGGAATGACCCAAAGCCTTTTTCGGCCTGAATCTGAAGAAAATCGGCCTTTTTTGAGCCTAGAAATGGGCCTTAGGCCCGAAAAATTGGAATTTTCAGATGAATTTAACCTTCAGGCTCTTTAAAATGGAAAAATGAGGCCCTAGCGTTCTTCAGGCCCAAAAACTAGGCTTCTGGCCTAAAAAATCCCAAATTTCTTACAGAGCCCGCTCCTATATCCGCACAATTTTCCTATTTTTCGCCAATCCCATTTTCTTGCTCACATTTTCCGCCATCAATTTGCAACAATATTTGGAATATCCGCAAAAAGTTGGAGAAAATGCAATTTTTGACTTGAATTTGGTGAGTTATAAAATGAGCAATTAAATTTTCAGCGAAATTCTAAGGTTCAGATCTAAAAATAGCTTAATTTGGAGCTTCAGGCTTGAAAAATGATGTTTTTGAGCTCTGAGAGCAAAAATAGCCTAATTTTAAGCTTCAGGGCTAAATTTAGCCTAAATTTGAGCTCCACACTCAAATTTAGCCTATTTACGAGCGCCAGGCCTGAAAATAGCCTATTTTTGAGCTCCAGGGCTAAATTTAACCTAAATTCAAGCTCCATACTCAAATTTAGCCTATTTTTGAGTTCGAGCCCTGAAATTAGCCTAAATTCAAGCTCCACACTCAAATTCAGCCTGTTTTTGAGCTCCAGGCCTGAAATTAGCCTAAATTCAAGGTCCACACTCAAATTTAGCCTATTTTCGAGCTCCAGGCTCAAAAATAGGTTACTTTTAAGCTCCAGGCCTAAATCCAGGCAAAAATCCCCATTTGCAGGCCGAAAATTTGATCTACCGCGCAATTCGCGAACATTTGCTCTTCGGCTCCGCCCACTTTGCTCTTTTCTGCCTTTTCGCTCAACCCGTCTGGAATTTGTTGTTTTTGACGGCCATTTCGACAACAAATAATGAAATTGATGATGAAAAAATGAAAAAAGAGTAATTTTAATTTTTGGGCTTGTTTTTGATGTAAAAATACTGGTTTATACTATATTTATTTATTTATTGTCTCGGTTTAATTAATTTTTTTTGTGATGAAAAATGTGTAATGAATGATGGTTTTTTGCTTTTTTTGACAAATTTGAAGCGAAATTGGCAAATTTCGAGATTTTTCTCGAAATTTTAAGCCTTGTTAGACGAAATTTGACCAAAAATCATGAAAGTTCCAGAATTTTTGAGGTATTTGACTGAAAATCTCGAAAAATCGATAGTTTCAGCCCCATTCGAGCTCTGAAGCTGAAATTTCATTGAAAATCGAGTTTTTCATAGGAAAATACAGGTTTACTTGTGTTTTCACATGAAAAATCGAGATTTTCAGTAAAATTTGAGCTATACAACTGAAAATTGTCGTTTTCCTGCTGAAAATCTGAAATTTCAGATTTTCAGCAAGAAATCGACTGCGATGCGGAAGCTATGCCCAAATTTTGCCTGAAAATTCAGATTTTCAGCTCTACAGCTCGAAATTTGGCTGGAAATCTGGATTTTTAGTCAGGTTTGATCTTTGAAGCGGAAATTCAGCTGAAAATCCCAGTTTTCAGTCAAATTCAAGCGCTAAAGCTGAAATTTAGCTGAAAATCCGCAATTTTCACATGAAAATCGAGATTTTCAGCCAAATTTCAGATTTCTAGTCACATCCCCACCTCAAAAATACAACACTATTGTTTTGTTTTGTTTTTCCCCCCAACGCGCTATTATTTTCAGATAGCTTTCAGCTTTTTCAGAAATAATTACAGATTGTCACCTATTGTTATATTTTTGTGTGTCGAAAATGCTCAAAATAGCCAAAAACACATCATTTTTCCCACAAAATCCATTAAAAAACGCCCAATATATTCGGTTACCAAATAGAGAAAAAAGGCCCAAAATAGGCTCCGCCCACTTCGCAAAAAACAGGGGGCGGAGCCTAATTTGTTTCTTTCACTTATATAGTGCATCTCCATCCTGGTTTAGTTCATTTTCTCGATTTTCAGCTCTAGAGCTCAAAATTGGCTGAAAATCCTGATTTCAGTCAAAATTTGAGCATAGCTTCCGCGTCTTTGCCATTTTCTTGCTGAAAATCCTCATCTTCTGTGAGAAGTTCAAGATTTTCAGCAGGAAAAAGGCAATTTTCAGCTCCAGAGCTCAAATTTAGCTGAAAATCCTGATTTCCAGCAAAATTTGAGCATAGCTTCCGCGCTTTTGCCATTTTCTTGCTGAAAATCTGAATTCTCGAAGAAATTCTAGATTTTCAGCAGGAAAAAGGCAATTTTCAGCTCCAGAGCTCAAATTTGGCTGAAAATCTCGAATTTTCATGTGAAAACACAAGTAAACCTGCATTTTCCTATGAAAATCGCGATTTCCAGCCAAATTTCCCACATTTTCAGTCTCAAATGTCAAAATTCGTGCAATTTTTCGCGTGGTTGGCAATTTTCCAACTTTTCGCACACTGCTATGTGCCTTTAAGGACGTTTGTGAGTTTTTTAGCCGAAGGTTCTTCTAATTATTGATTTTTTCTAGATGTCAAGTCAAAACGACGTGATTTATCCGCTTGGAGCGAATTTGCGATTGGGAGATGGAAATGCGTACTATCAGGATGAAAATCGGTGAGTTTAGCTGGAAATTTGGCTGAAAATTGGGAATTTCAGCTCAATTTCAGCTTCAAAGATCAAACCTGACTAAAAATCCAGATTTTCCATCAAATTTCGAGCTGCAGAGCTCAAATTTGACCGAAAATCTGAAAATTTGGGCATAGCTTCCGCGTCCCAGCCGATTTCCTGCTGAAAATCTGAAATTAAATCGAAATTCCAGATTTTCAGCAGGAAAACGACAATTTTCAGTTGTATAGCTCGAATTTGACTGAAAATCTCGATTCTTCATGTGAAAACACAAGTAAACTTGCATTTTCCTATGAAAATTGAGATTTTCAGTGAAATCTTCACGTCATTTTACAAGAAAAATGTGACTAAGCACTTGAATTTCATTTTCAAGATGTTTCTCATAAAAAAATCCAATTTTTCATCGAAAATTTCGAATTTCGAGCCAAAACACTACATTTCAAGTGTTTGTTTTGGCTCGAAAACCAAAAATTTCATCAAAATTTATTTTTTTTTTCCCAAAAATCTCCTGAATTTCAGATCAAAACGTGGATTCGACATGCTGAAAAGACGATCTGAAATCATCGAAAGAAATCGTTGTTTTTTCAATCCAGTCTCTTGCTATTAATTAATTAATTAATTACCTAATTAATTGCAGTAATTAAAAATAATTGCAAAAATTTTGGAATTTTGAACATTTTTTGGATCTCGGCGTGTTTTTTCTTGGGCAAATAAAGTATTTCTGTGTTTTTTACCTGATTTTTGGCTGAAAAAATCGATTTCCAGCAAAATTTGGGCAAACATGCTGAAAATCTGAATTTCCAAAGATTTTCAGCAGAAAAACGACAAGTTTCATCTTCAAGGCTCAAATTTAGCTGAAAATCTAGATTCTTCATGTGAAAACACAAGTAAACTTGTATTTTCCTATGAAAAACTTGATTTTCAGCTAAATTTGGGCATAGCTTCCACGTCTTTGCCATTTTCTTGCTGAAAATCTGAATTTCCATAGATAATCAAGATTTTCAGCAGGAAAACGACAAATGCCATTTTCAAGGCTCAAATTTAGCTGAAAATCTCGATTTTTCATGTGAAAACACAAGTAAACCTGTATTTTCCTATGAAAATCTTGATTTTCAGCTTAACTTCACCAAAACACGCCATACAACTGCAAAACTTCTTGATTTTCGCAAATTTCGAATCCAAGTCATATTTTTTTTGGATAATAATAATAATGAAAACCACATCATCTTGCGTAGAACAACTACAAATTTTTCAAGTCAACAACTTTTTTTGTATTTATTTATTACGAAACAAGTCATTGGTTTAGAGATTTTTAATTGAAAAATGGGAATTTTGAACGAAAGACACAGTTTTCTTTCCGGTCTCCAAAAGAGTTCCAAAAATCTCTGCATAATTCGTAATTTTCAGTCAAACTTGAAATTAAAAATGGGAAAATTTCGAAAAATGAAAAGAAATTTTCGAAATGCCGCCACTGCTGGCCGAATTCCTCACGAGACCCAAACAGCAACGCGCGTGCGTGTGCCTTTATTTCGTTTTTTTATTTTTTTCGCAAAATTCTTTTTTTTTGTGTTTTCAACTTTAAAATCCACTTCAAACTTGAGAAAAAAAAATGATTTTTTCTCAATTTTTTTTAAACCTTACCACGTCATAACTTTGCATTTATTAAAAAAAAAGCTTAAAATTTCTTTTTGAAGTCCTGATGAATTTTCATACACAAAAATGTGTAATTGAACGATAATTAACAAATGAGCATACGAATAATAAGTACAAAAAATTCAAACAAAATCCAAAACTTTAGTCATAATCAAATGCTTGGTTGATTCTTTGAATTTATAAAATTCATCCGATTTCCGAATATTCTTGATTTTTTGAATTGTATCCAAAGTTTTGATGCATTGTTTCTAGAATTATATTATATTTGGTTAAATAAGTACGCGATTTTCAACAATCCTTACCATTAAATCATTATAGTCATATTTGTCCGCATATTCAAACTTCTTTTCCACACAAATTTTGACATCTTTCAACAAATAATTCTCACAATTTTTGTGTAAAGTTGAAACTTTGTATTTATCCGCCAATTCGATAAGTTTCGAATAATTTTTCTTTTGAATGCTTTCGAAAAATGGATAAAATGATGCCAAAAAGAATCGGAAATCATCCAATTCAACATCTTTGATTTCAACCACATTTTCATTGTAGTTTTGCTTGATGAATAAATCATAAAAGTATTCAGATTTCATACACAAAATCTGAAGAATGTTCGATAAAATCAAAAAGTAGTTTTTGAAACTAACCCCTTTATTTGTGTAAAATTCCGTATCTTTGACTTTGAGAATAGTATCAGTGAGATTCAGAACATTCTTTGAGAAATCATAATATTTGAAGCTCAAATCAACTTCAATAATAATCAAATCATACTTCATATATCCATATTTCAACAAATCATCCCATTTATAAAATTGACTCCATCCCCAATCATTAAAATTGTTTGAATAACTAATCGAAGTATTTTTAGATACATCAATTCCATTTTCATTTTGATTAACCAATGTTATTGTTCGATCAGTTTGACAAATCCAATTTTTATCTATTACATCATTTTCTACGTAATATAAGTACACGGATAAATATTTCACATCATTCTCCATATATGTTAGAACATTAATCTTCCTGGAAAAAAGTAGCACTCTAAATTTTGAATTCATATAAAATAACAAACCATTTAGTTGGTCCGATCTTGAATTCCTCACTATCTTTTCCATTTTCATCCAAATCTTTCACATTTTCAAACATCCATTTCAATGTATTTCCATTGCTAACAAATGGATTCATCGCAAACAAAAATATTAGATATTGTTCAAAATATTTTTCTATTTATTAGTATGAATAAAAAGTTGTTGGGTTGTTTAAAACTTTTATCATAAAAAAATCAAGTTCACGTTATCAGCTCGTTTTTCAAGTGTTTAGGGAGAGCAACTGAATACGTTGAAGTCGACGTTCGAAGTTGTTTGGGGAAAAGTTGTTGCTCATCAATTCAGCAGGATGAACAATAGCAAAAATAATCTATCTTTATTTGAAAAATAATCAAACCGTTACATCCTTGTGGTTCGGGTTTAGCCGTAGCGGAATTGGGAGTCTATGGGCTCCGGACGGATGTAAAGGCCTTGAACTTTTAGGCCTCGGTAGACAAAGAATAACAGGTTTTGATTACATCTTTATTACTATCAACGAACGTCCGCGTAGCGCGGGGCGTGCTAGGCTAGATGCCTAAGAACTAACATGATCTTGTCGGCGCGGCGCGAACCTTTTATAGGTGTTCGCGCCCCGCCCACGAGCCGTGTAACGAAACGAAATCCAAAACTCTTAATAGAATCATTCGTTTAGTGGAATCTTTGAACTTATAGAACTCATATGATTTGCAAATATTTTTGATTCTTCGAGCATTGTTCAGAGAATTGATTGATTGTTTCTGAAATTAAATTAAATTTTTTAGACGATTTCTTTCATTTTCAATAAACCTAACCATCAAATCATAATAGTCATATTTGTCAGCATACTCCAATTTCTTTTCCACTGGCATTCCTGTATTTTTCATCAAATAATTCTCACAATTTGTGTGCAAAGTAACAACTTTGTATTTTTCAGCCAATTCGATGAGTTTTTCATAGTTTGTGTATTCAACACCATCAAAAAATGAATAAAATGATGCTAAAAACAAGCGGAACTCATTCAATTCAATATCTTTGATTTCTATGACCTGTTTGTCATGATTTTTATTGATGAATAAGTCGTAAAAATATTCTGACTGTATGCACAAAATCTGTAAATACTTCCCAGATCATCTGATAATCAGATTCCGATTTATTTATCGAAACAAACCCCTTTGTTAGTGTAGAATTCAGTATCTTCGACTTTGAAAGAAACGTCAGTTAGATTCGGAATATTCTTTGAAAAATCGTAATATTTTAAATTAAAATCGACTTCAATAATAATTGAATCATTCTTCATATATCCATTGTTGTCCAAATCATCCCATTTATAAAATTGAGGCCATCCAAAATGATTAGAATTGTTTGAATACTTAATCAAAATAGTTTTAGATACATCATTTCCATTTTCATTTTGACAAATCAATTTCATTGTCGAATCCACTTGACAAATCCATTGTTCTTCGTTTTCATTATCTCCGGCATAATATAAGAATATTGCTAAATATTTCACATCCTTTGTCATTTTTGTTAGAACTTCAATCTTCCTGCAAAAAAGTAGCACTCTAAATTTCGAATTCATATAAAATTACAAACCATTTAGTTGGTCCAATTATGAATACATCACTAAGAATTCCGATTTCATCCAAATCCTTCACATTTTCAAATCTCCATCTCAATTTATTTCCATTACTCACAAATGGATTCATCTGAAAGGTAGGAAAATTTGGAAAGAAAAAAACATGGTTTTCAATATATGTATGTAGTTGAAAAATTACTCAAAATGTTATCAGTTGAACTGCAGTGATTTTATCAGTAATTTTTCAAAAAAAAATTTTTTCTGCATTTGAAACTCTAAAAACCTTTCAAAACAATTGAAAATTCATTGCTACAATTATTCGACAAAAAACTTGATAATACAACTATCCTTCTAATTCTTCATAACATTTGATCAAAATATGACATTGAGAATCTCCGAATTGCTGAAAAACTTCAATAATTCCATTTTCAATGACATTCGATTTTAATCTAAATGTCAGAGTTTCACGATTTTCCTCGATTCTCCACAAAGTACCAAATTCACGAATGTCCATATTTTCCTGTTTTATAAGGTTGAATCGAATCTTTTTCAAGTTTCTGTGAATTCTTCCGTTTTTCAGCATATTCAAATAGTTTTTGAAATTATTCTTGTTTTCCATATCATGACATTGAATTTCAGCAGTTTCAATGTCCAATTCAAGAACTTGTTCGAATGACAAAACAGCACGGTGAAGAAATACGTGTTTGCATTTACGAATCTGATTTGAAACAATAAAAATTGAATTGGTTTTGTCTAAAATAATCTTACCAATTTCCAATCCAAGTAACCAAGTTTCAAATAATCTGAAGATTCATCCGTATCATCCTTAATATATATTTTCTCGAGATTTCCAAGATTGTTGAGATTGTTTGAGATTTCTTGAAGAAGAATCGTTTCGCTCTGCAAAAATTATTCAATTTACTATCTATGCACAAAAAAGCTCAACCAACATGAAAATATTTGATAACTTTTTCATATTTCGATAGATATTCCTTGAGATATTTCAATCGAACTTCGTATGGTTTACCACTCTCAATCTTTGTCCATTTAATGAATTCTTCACCATTTTTCCAAGTTTTATACAAAACAATTGTCTGATTGTTATAACTATATTCATCCATAAATTCAAACCAAAAATCTTTGTCGGAATTCTCGCTGAATGCAAATTGCAACTCTGAACACCATTCGGAATTATCCAAGACTCCAATTTTGTACAAATAGTTCTTCGATCTTTTCGCTTCTTTTTCTGATTTCTTTGAGCATTGTGCAAATTTACATCTACTTTTCACATCCATTTGATAAATTACATTTTCTTGAATGTGTAATGGTAATTGCGGCCAATAAATGCATTGATCCAACTTCTCAAATATTTCGACAGCTAGAAAATGTTGTTTCACAATTTTATTTGAAAAAACAAACTCACTTTCAATTTCTAAAAATGATTCGTGCCAAGTTACTGAATATTTTCTATATTCAGATGAAAAATCGAAAGAGCAACTCTCATCGTCCTCATTTATCGCATATTCTGACTTGATGTTGCTGAAATCGACTTGAAGAATTGGCTCATAAATTTCAGCACATTCCACAGTAATCTGCCCATTTTTTAACATTTCCAGATATTTTTTAAAATTATCCTTGTTGAAATCATCGATGGAAACAGACACATGTTTCCCTTTGAAATCGAATAAATCATTTGATTTGAAATTGATGCCCGGTGCTAGGTCAATTTTGTCGATACTCAAAAGCTAAAAAAAAACTTACTTATTATCGAAAACCGAAATAAACACGCAACGCAGACCGCGCCGCGCCACAACACACACACAAAAATGGAGGGAATTTGAATCGTTCCCTTATTTGTGTGTTGTGGCGCGACGCGGTCTGCGTTGCGTGTTTATTTCGGTGCAGCGCGTGGTACCGCTTCGATAATAGATACTGATTACTAACCTGATGTTTATCAATGAATGGAAGATCATCAGATATACAGGAAATCACAATTTCCTTCAAATTTTCCAAATGCATCAATGTGAAATCGAAATTTTCAATACATGGCGTTAAACTCAAATCGACATAAAAATATTGAAGTTGTTTTTTATATTTTTCCAAATAGTTTCTCAAATATCTCAATCTGACTTTTTCGATGTTTCCATTTTCAAGAGTTGTCGAGATAAGCCTCCATTTTTCCAGCTTTTAAACTGAAAATTGTCATTTTTTTACATAAAAACAAAATCCAAAATCTTACCATTTGCAAACTACAATAGTTTGAGATGTTTTCCCATTTATGAATTCCAACCGATATCCATTACCAGATTCATCATACATAACTTCTAACAATCTTCGATAAGAAGAACCATACATAGAACCATACGTTACAGATAATCCATAAATATAGAATTTCGATTTGTTGGCTTCATCATTGCATATTTTTGAACATCTTGAAAATAAACAGCGAGTTACCGCATCCATTTTATCGATAATAATTTCGCGAAATTTATAAGGAATATCAAACCATGACAATTTGGATGGTGGATTTAGTGTAAGTCGTTCAAGTGGTATCATGTTGTATATCTGAAAATTATTTGTTGTCGTAAAACACTATATTTTCCCCGACTCAGAAAAAGTTGGGCGATTTATCGTGTAACAAATTAAAGACCCCCAATTTTCCCGGAATTTTGCTCACCTTTTAATATTTTAAGAATGCCAAAAATCTGTTCTCATTTTTTTGACGTTTTATTATTTATTTTCAAAGTTCACGTTTCTTTTTCATTTTCATTCCCGTTGTTTGTTTAAAAAAAATTAAATTGCAAATTAGTAATGAAAATGGATGAAAAACCATGATTAAAAAAAATGAAAGTCAAAAATTATTATTTTTAAAAACAACAACAATTTATTGAAACAGAAAAAAGTTAACAAAATTTAAAAAATTTAACAAAAAATCCAAAACTCTTTTCATAATCATATATTTGGTTGATTCTTTGAATTTTTTGAAATTCATCGGTTTTTTGAAGATTTTTGATTTTTCGAGCATCATCCAAAGATTGGATGCAGTGTTTCTGAAAAAAAAATACAAATTACTTTTGATCTAATTCTTCCAAGAAAACTAACCAATAAATCATAATAATCATACTTTTCCGCATATTCCAATTTCTTTTCCACCGATATTCCTGTATTTTTCATCAAATAATTCTCACAATTTTTATGCAATCTCGAAACTTCGTATTTTTCAGCCAATTTGATGAGTTCGAAATAATTAAATTGTTCACAACTCTCGAAAAATGCATAAAATGAAGCCAGGAAATATCGAAAATCATCCAATTCAATATCACCGATTTCAATCACAGTTTCTCTACACTTTTTGTTGATAAATAAATCATAAAAGTATTCCGATTGCATGCACAAAATCTGGATTTTTTTCTTTGAATTTTTCAGAAAAAAATTGAAAAAACTAACCGCTTTGCTTGTGTGAAATACAGTATTATCAACCATAAAGACAATATCATTGAGATTCGGAATATTCTTCGAAAAATCATAATATTTGAAACTAAAATCAACTTCAATAATGATCGAACTATTTTTCATATATCCATCTGTGATCAAATCATTCCAAGTATACAATTTATTCCATCCCCAACCAGAAAAACTGTTTGAATAACAACTAGAATTCGTTGAATTCACATCTTTTCCATTTTCCATTTGATTAATCAATGTAATTGATTTATCCATCTGACAAATCCAATTTTTCTGGCTCACATTATCTCCAGAATAATATAAGTAAACTGCTAGATATTTCTCATCATTTGTGATTTCTTTTCGAATTTTAATTTTCCTGCAAAAAATTGTATCGGAATACACAGACTTACAAAAAAAAACAAACCATTTAGTTGGCCCAATTTTGGACTCATCACTATAAATTCCAGAAAATTCCAGATTTTTTGCATTTTCGAATTTTAATCTCAACTTATTATTACCATTACTCACAAATGGATTCATCTGAAAAAAATTCTAAATAAAATAAATGTTCTGAATTCAAATTTTTGCACTAGAAATAATGAAAATGGATAAAAAACCATGATTTTAGAGAAAAGAAAGTCAAAAATTAATATTTTTAAAAACAACAACAATTTATTGAAACATAAAAAAGTTAACAACATTTAAAAATTTAACAACAAAAATTCAATAAAAATCCAAAATTCTGGTCATAATCATAAGCTTTGTGGATTCTTTGAAATTGTGGAATTCGACCGATTTTTGAATATTCTTGATTTTTTGAGCATTGTCCAAGGATTGAATGCAGTGTTTCTAAAAAATCCATTTTAAATTAACTGATTTATTTTTTTAAAGAAAACTAACCATCAAATCATAATAATCATATTTGTCAGCATATTCCAATTTCTTTTCGAGTGAAATTTTGACATCTTTCAACAAATATTGCTCACAATTTTTATGCAAAGTTGGAACTTTGTATTTCTCGGCCAATTCGATCAGTTTTCCATAGTTTTTGTCTTCAACACTCTCGAATAATGGATAAAATGAAGCCAAAAAGAAACGAAAATCATCCAAATTAACATCTTCGATTTCAATGACAGTTTCTTCGTGTTTTTTGTTGATGAACAAGTCATAGAAGTATTCAGATTGCATGCACAAAACCTGCAAATATTTTTTAGATTTTTCAAAAGTATTTTCAAAACTAACCGCTTTGCTTGTGTGAAATTCAATATCTTCAACTTTGAAAGTGATATCAGTCAAATTTGGAATATTTTTCGAAAAATCATAATATTTGAAGCTGAAATCAACATCAATAATAATTGAATCATTTTTCATATATCCATCTTTCATCAAATCATCCCATTTATACAATTTTGGGTATCCCCACGTATCAGAATTATTCGAATAACACATCGAAGAAGTGGCAAATACATCTTTTCCATTTTCACTTTGATTTATCAATTTCATTGTTCGATTCGTTTGACAAATCCATTGTTTTTCGTTTGCATTATCTCCGGCATAATAAAAGAATACTGCTAAATATTTCACATCATTCTCCATATTTTTTCGAACATTAATTTTCCTGCAAAAAGTAGCACTCTGAAGTTTGAATTTATATAAATTAAAAAACCATTTAGTCGGTCTAATTTCGAATTTATCACTGAATCTTCCATTTTCATCCAATTCCTTCACGTTTTCGAACTTCCATTTTAATTTATTTCCATTGCTCACAAATGGATTCATCCTGGAAATTCAATAGAAGTTGAATTGAAGAAAATTCTATTTTTTATCACAGAGTTTTTTACTTATTGTCATTCCGAAAATAAAAGAATTCCCGTTTGAATTGGCGCTCACGTACAGTAGACTAAAAATGACGTGACACATGCACATCAAACTGGTTGGCAAATAGCCAACGTGTAAATTTCGCATTTTATTTTTCAAATAGACTCCAAAATTTCGCGAAGTCTACTGTAGTCTTGGTTTCCTAGGCCATTTCGGTTCTCTTCCAACGTTCTTTTTTTTTCGGAAGGACAATAACAATTGGGTTGCTCATGTTAACAAAATCTTTAAAAGATAAGAAATTTTCCAGAGCATTGCTCATATTAAAGAAAATCCTGTAATTTTCAAAAAAAGACACAAAATTCTAAGAACTTCTGGAAGAAAAAATTTAGAAAATAAGAGAAATAATAAACATGGATGAAAAACCATGAATTTCGGGAAAATCAAATCGATAAAATGAGTATTTAAAAAAACAACAAAAATTCATTGAAACAGAAAAAAGTTAACAACATTTAAAAATTTAACAAAAATCCAAAACTCTTTTCATAATCATGAGTTTTGTGGATTCTTTGAATTTGTGGAATTCGACCGATTTTTGAATATTTTTGATTTTTTGAGCATTATCCAAGGATTTGACGCAGTGTTTCTGAGAAATCCATTTTAAATTCATTGGTTTATTTTTAAAGAAAACTAACCAACAAATCATAATAATCATATTTGTCAGCATATTCCAATTTCTTTTCCACTGAAATTTTGACATTTTTCAACAAATATTGCTCACAATTTTTATGCAAAGTTGGAACTTTGTATTTTTCAGCCAATTCGATGAGTTTCTCATAATTTTTTTCTTCGATAGTGTTGAAAAAAAGATAAAATGATGCCATAAAAAATCTAAAATCATCCAATTCAACATCTTTGATTTCCAACACAGTTTCTTCGTGTTTTTTATTGATGAACAAATCATAGAAATATTCAGATTGCATGCACAAAATCTGAAGAAATTCTAGAAAATGGAAAATAATTTATTTAAACTGACCGCTTTGCTTGTGTAAAATTCAACATCTTCAACTTTGAAAGTGATATCAGTGAGATTTAGAATATTCTTTGAGAAATCATAATATTTGAAGCTTAAATCAATGTCAATAATAATTGAATCATTCTTCATATATTCATCTGTGATCAAATCATCCCATTTCGAAAATTGACTCCATCCCCAACTCTTTATGGCATTTGAATAACACATCGAAGAAGTGGCAAATACATCTTGTCCATTTTCATTTTGACAAATCAATTTCATTGTCCAATCCGTAGAACAATCCATTGTTTTTCGTTTTCATTATCTCCGGCATAAAATAAGTATGCTGCTAACCATTTCACAGCATTCGCCATTAATGTTCTAACATTAATCATCCTGGAAAAAAGTAGTACACTAAATTTTGAATAAGTTATTTTATATGATATCAAAATTTATTTTAAACAACAAACCATTTAGTTGGTCCAATTATGAATACATCACTATCTTTTCCAATCATACCACGCCCAGCTTCGTGCATGTTAACTTTGAAAATTGGCGGTGTGGGTTTTGAAATTTTTTGGCGAGGTGAAAACAACCTTTTCGACTGAAAAATACTACTTTTTAACGGAAAAAAAGCAAAAATTTGCTGTTTTTCAAGAAAATCTCAAATAATCTCAAACGAGGTGAATTTCCGTAAATTTTTATTGGCACCGTGCATATGCCTCACCCTGGGCGTGGTATGTTTCGACCTGAATCACCCCATCACATTTCAAAATTAAGATGAGCAATATTTCGAAATTTCTAAACACACAAATTGACGCGCAATTGCGGACTCCTTTTTTTGTACACGAAAAATATTTTTAATTTTTCTGAAAATCTTTAATTTTCATTGGAGCACATTTGAAAAATCACCTGGCAATTCCCAAAAAAAAATACAAAATTCTCAGAAATTCAACTCAAAAAACATCAAAATTCGGTCAATTTTTCACAAAATGTTCATTTTCTCAACAAAAATAATCAAAAAAAACCGGGGGAAAAATTGAAAACGGGGGGCTGAAAATCGAATAAAAACCGTATAATTTCGTAAATTTCACCAAAAAACAAAAAATAGATAAATAAATAGAAGAAAATAGAGAAAATCGGCGGGGAAAATGAGATTTTTTAGTGCTAAATATGAAGAAGAAGAAAATAGTGGGTAAAACATGGAGGGAAAAAGGCATTTTTGGGAAAATTTCAGAGGAGAGTTAGGAAAATTAACAAAAAAAATGAATTGGGCGCAATTTTTTTGGGGAGAAAAAAATGGATACGGTAGTTTGTTGAAGACAAAAAATTCGGGCGGGAAAGCACATGACTCGTAAAAATTAGACGAAAAATTGGGTTTTGGGGAGACAATTTAGCGATTGAAGTTGAATGTTGGATCCGTTTTTGAGAACTGCAAAAAAATTCAGATTTTTTAGCTGAAAATCTGGATTTTTCCGGAAAATATGAGCTAAAAACCAAAAATTTAAATTTTCAGATTAAAAAGTGAGTTTAGAATTTTTTTCAGATTTTTGGCTGAAATTTGAGCCAGAGCTCAGAAATTCGGATTTTTCTGAAAATTTTGAGCCGAAAATCAGATATTTGAAGAATTTTAATACCTTGGTTGAAAATTTTTCTTGAAATTCTAGGTCTAAGCTGAAAATTCATGATTTTTGGCTCAAAAACTTCAAATTTCATCAATTTTGGTCAACGTTTTGGCCAAAAACTTGAAAGTTCCAGAAAATTTCAAATGTTTCGCTGAAAAACCAATTTTCAGATTTTTTGGCTGAAAATTTATAGTTTTCTTGAAATTTTAAGCTCAAAATTCAGGTTTCTTGACTTTAACTCCAAATTTCAGCAAATTTTTAGTCAAAATTTCAAATATTTTCCCCTCAAAACCCTACCCGTTTAATTTCTTTCGTCGCCCAAGTCGCCATCGATTTCGTCTTTGATTTTTTCGATTTTCGAGCTTTTGCCAACATTGAAATCACCTGAAAAAAAAGCAAATTTGGATCAAATCTTAACATGAGCAATGGGGGATTTGATTGAAATTTCGATAAAAATCTGAGCATTCCATAATATGAGCAATCATCACTTTTAATTAAAAAAATTTTATAATTAGAGCAATTCCTATTTTTTTTGAAGTTTAGCTCAAAATGCTCCAAAATCTCATATTTAATTTCAGATCTGAATTATAATATGAGCAATGCTCCAAATTTCATGAATTTCGGCTCAAAATGCTCCAAATTTCATGATTTTTGGCTCAAAATGCTCCAAATTTCATGATTTTTAGCTCAAAATGCTCCAAATTTCATGAATTTTAGCTTAAAAATGCTCCAAATTTCATGATTTTCGGGTCAAAATGCTCCAAATTTCATAAATTTTAGCTCAAAATGCTCCAAATTTCATAAATTTTAGCTCAAAATGCTCCAAATTTCATAAATTTTAGCTCAAAATGCTCCAAATTTCATAAATTTTAGCTCAAAATGCTCCAAATTTCATAAATTTTAGCTCAAAATGCTTCAAATTTCATTAATTTTAGCTCAAAATGCTCCAAATTTCATGATTTTCGGCTCAAAATGCTCACCGGTTCAACATTCAACATTGGCACAATTTGTTGTTCATATAAATTGACCAAATCTCCAATTAGACCAGCAGTTGTTGCCATCAAAGAATCCGATGGTGGAATTGGTTGAAGTTGACTTGATACTAATATTAATTCAATCATTGGTTTGATGAAACGACCAATTGAGTCACGTGAAGCTTGAATCTGAAAATATTCAATTTCAGGTGGGGAAAATTTGAATTTTGGTGGGAAAATTGATGAAACTCGATATTTTTTTATCCTAAAATCATAATTTTTAGCTTAACATGAGCAATGCGAAATTTCGGGCATTTTCTAACATGAGCAATGCTTCAAAAACAGTGAATTTTAGGTTAAAATTGATGAAAAATGGCCAGAAATCCAGTTTTCCAGCTCATTTTCAGATTTTTGGGTCAAATTCCACGTGAAATTTCCCAAAAACTCACATTTTCCACTTTGAAACCTTGGAAAATTCCGGTATATGAATTGAGGCAAGCGTCTCGCAATTTATCCACATAATCCACTTGATCCAAATCGTTCTGGAAGAAAAATTGTTTCTAATATGAGCAATGCTTCAAAAATCAAATTTTCAGCTAATCTGAGCAATTCGGGCTCAAAATTCAAGGTTTTTCCGACCAAAAATCACATTTTTAACTAATCTGAGCAATCTGGACCCAAAAAACTCACGGGATCAACAACAATCGCAGCTCCTTGTGCTTCTGTCAAAATTTGCACGACCATTTGCAAATATCGCTCGAAATTCGTTTCAATTGCCATTGCAATGTCGGAAAATGTGCCAATTATAATCACTTTTACGTTACGATCCAATTTAGGCGACTGGAAAAGGGAAAATTGGATTTTTAACATGAGCAATACTGAATTTTTAGCTAAAAATCATCATTTTCAACCAATTTTTATAATTTTCAGCTTAAAATATGTTTTTTTGGGATTTTTAACATGAGCAATGCTGAATTTTTGAGCTAAAAATCATCATTTTCAAGATTTAAAGCTTAAAAATGTTTTTTTTAGAATTTTACCATGAGCAATGATAATTTTTCACCAAAATTAACCTAAAGCCTCATTTTCACCCTATTTTTAAAATTTCAGCTGTAAATATGTTTTTTGGGATTTTTAACATAAGCAATGCTGAATTTCGAGCCAAAAATCATCATTCTCAGCCAATTTTCAAGATTTACATCTTAAAAACGTTTTTTGGAATTTTTAACATGAGCAATGCTGAATTTCGAGCCAAAAATCATCATTTTCAGCCAATTTTCAAGATTTCCAGCTTAAAAATGCTTTTTTTTGAGAATTTTACCATGAGCAATGCTAATTTTTCATCAAAATTAACCCAACGCCTTCATTTTCAACCAATATTTATAATTTCAGCTGAAAATGCTAAATTTTGAGCTAGAAATCATCATTTTTCACAATTTCTGGCTCAAAATTCATCATTTTCAGCCAATTTTCAAAATTTTCAGCCCAAAAAGTGCCTACCTGAATACATTTAATCAACAATTCGACAATTTCATCCAAATACGGTGCAATCGCTTTTTCGATGGCTCGACTCAAATCGGTGACAGCTCCAACAGCAGCAGCACAAACCTAGAAGAAATTGGTGTAAAAATGGCTGAAAATCTGGAATTTTCAGCGAAAATCCAACATTTCCAGATAAAAAATGCTGAAAATCCAACATTTCCAGGTAAAATTGGCTGAAAATCTGGAATTTCCAGGTGAAAAATGCTGAAAATTCCAATTTTCAGCCAAAAAAATAGTTACCTGAGCTTCTTCAACATTCGACAATCCTTGTAATAGATACGGTTTCAGCACATCCATGTAGACAATGAAGTTTTTGCCAAGATCTAAAAAAATAGAGGGTTTAAGGGTGAATTAAGGTATAACTTCAATTCTCCTAATATGAGCAATGACTCAAAAAATTAAATTTTTCAGCTAACATGAGCAATCTGGGCTCAAAATGCATTGAAAAACAGGGTTTTCTGACCAAAAATTTTCATTTTTCAACTAACATGAGCAATCCTGGCTCAAAATTCATAGAGCAAAAGATTTTGCTGACCAAAAATCACATTTTCCAGCTAACATGAGCAATCCGGGCTCAAAATTTATAAAGAAAAGGTTTTTCTGATCAAAATTCACATTTTTCAACTAACATGAGCAATTCGGGCTCAAAATTCCTCAAAAATCACGATTTCTGGCTCGAAATTCATCAAAAATCACGATTTCTGGCTCATTTTCCCCTAAAAATCTCAAATTTTTTCCCAAAATCCCACTTACGTTCAGCCAAACACGACACAGCCAACAGTGCTTCTTCCATAACCGTCGTACTTTTTGTTATCGATGCTCGTTGCATAATTTGCAGCAATCCTTTCATAATATGCTCACCGACTTGCGGTAAGTCGGAATCGGCCAGTTTTCGAGTCACCGATTGAATTGTTGCACACAACATTGCTTGAAGATCTCGAACTTGTGCTTTATCTGATTCACTTGTCGCTTGTTCTTCCATTTGTAATAGGGTTTCGAGTTTCTGAGCAAAAATTGAATTATTTGGGGTCAAATTAAGGTTATGAGCTCCAAAAATGCTCCAAAAAATCCCACCTTCAAAATAACAACAGTTGTATTTCGAACAGCCTGATAGCAATCTTTTGGCGAATGTTTGATCAATTCCATGAGAGCCTCGTAGGCGGTGATTCGAAGATTTGATTGATTTCCGTCTGGTCTGCAAACAAAATTATTTCAGGTAAAAATTCAAAATTTGGGCATAGCTTCCGCTTCTCCGCCAAATCCAAAACTGAAAAATTGTCTGAAAATCACAAGATTCCAGGGGAATCAGGGGATTTTCAGCTTTTGCAATGTTTCAGTCAAGAAAATTACAATTTGAAGTAAAACTAGCAATTTTAGACCAAAAATCTTGAATTTCTCGTTTCTAGCCTCAAATTCATCAAAATTTTATTTGAAAATTCAAAATTTGGGCATAGCTTCCGCATCTCCGCCAAATCCAAAACTGAAAAATTGTCTGAAAATCACAAGATTCCAGGGGAATCTAGGGATTTTCAGCTTTTGCAATGTTTCAGTCAAGGAAATGACAATTTCAAGATTTTTGGGGGAAGGACAGTTTTGTTTGATAAAAACTGTCGAAAAATCCATTTTAGATTGAGAGTTTCAGTTTTCTAGGGTGAAAACTGTCAAAAAACCTCTCAGATTCAAAATTTTCAGTTTTTCATGGCAAAAACTGTAGGGGAAAAGCCTTTCAGTCAGTTTTGTTAGGCAAAAACTGTCAAAAATCCCTTTCAGCAGTTTTTCAGGGTAAAAACTGCCCAAAAACCCAATTTTCATCAAATTTTCAACACATTTCAGGTAAAAATCATACCTTTCCGTGATTTTGAGCAATTCCTGAATCATTGCATCAAAAACAGCCGAAAGTGCAAATGTATCCGGTTGTCCGGAAGCGTCAGTTCCATTCGAAACAGCCAATTCGTAACAGGCTTTGACCAATGAGACGAGGGTCTGGAAAATAGAGAATTTAACATGAGCAATGCTGATTTTCAGCTTAAAATTGAGCTTAAAATTTCAGGTCAAAACCCTCACCCAGCAAACATTATTGGCAACTCTTGGCTCCTGATGTAATCCACTCGACAGGGCCGGCAGGACTTTTTGCAACAATTCCGCGTTGGCAACGACTTCGGGACACGTGTCAATGACGCGTCCGAGCGCCCACGCGGCAGTGTCGCGGACCGATACATTTTTATCGCACATTGCTTCGACGATGGCCGGAAGAGCTTCTTGAGCCAATGGCATCAGTTTTTTCGGGTCCGGACCATCCAAAATTGAGCCGAACGCCATGATTGCGGCTTCCTGGAAAACATTGGGGGAATTTTTCAGATTTTCATGTTACCAAGATCAAAATTTAATGAAAAATTGGATTTTTCGAATTTCAGAATGTTGATTTTCAGATTTTCATGATCCAGGTGTCAAATTTGAACTAGAAATCCAATTTTCTCCATCCCTGGTTGAAAAATCAAGAAAAATTACATTCTCAAGGTCGTGGGATCAATATTTCATGAAAAATCTAATTTTCGAGGTTCCAGACTCGAAATTCCATGAAAAACTATAATTTTTGAATTTCAGGCTGATATTTTCAGATTTTCATGGTCCAGGTGTCAAAAAATCCAATTTTCTTGATCCCGGGTGGAAAAATCCAAAAAAATCCCATTCTTAAGGTCACGGGATCAAAATTTCATGAAAAATTTAATTTCCGAGGTCCCAGGCTCGAAATTTCATGAAAAACTAAAATTTTTGAAGTTCAAGCTGATATTTTCAGATTTTCAAGATTCCAGATTCGAAATTCTCACTAGAAATCCAATTTTCAAGATCCTGGGGTCTAAAAATGCAATTTTCAACGTTCAAGAGTGGGAAAATCCGATTTACAAGGTCTCAGCTTCAAAAACTTCAATTTTCAAGGTCCCGAGGTCAAAAAATGCAATTTTGATAGTCCAAAGATCAACATTTCATGAAAATCCAAGTGTCAAGGTTCAGAAATCGAAAAATATATAATTTTCAAGGTCCCGATGACCAAAAACCTAAAAATTTCAAGATTCAAGGTTCAGAAGTCGGAAAATCTGATTTTTAAAGTCCCAGGATGAAATTCTCATGAAAAATCTGATTTTGAAAGTCTCAGGCACAAAATCTCGGGAAAAATAATAAAAATTTTCAATTTTTATCGAAAAAACTCACCTTAAACTTCCAATCCTGACTAGTAAAATGGACAAAAAATGGCATAACATAGTTAACAATATCATCTTTAACACATTGTGCAGTCAACATCAAACAAATGCCAGCAGCTTTTGATGGTGTCCAATCATCTTCATCATCACAATCATCATGATGTGCCATTGCATTTAATAAAACCGGTACATAATGTGAGGCGGCTTGTTCAACAAAACGCTGTGATTTATTTCGATATGCTTGATTGCCTCTTTCCAATTCTTCTTCATAAACTAGTGTTAATTCGAATTCCTCTTCAGCTACTGTTGACCAGAATTCCATTCCTTGCATTGCAACTTCGGCTTCTTCTGAACGCATTGCGTGGAGGGTTATCTGGAAAAGAATTTTTCATAGTTTTTAACTTGAAATTCATCAAACTTCAAAATGTTATATAAAAAATTGAAAATTTGGGCATGGCTTCCGCATCTCCGCCATTTCCAAAACTGAAAAATTGTTTGAAAATCACAAGATTCCCTGGGAACCTAAGGATTTTCAGTTTTTGCAATGTTTCAGTCAAGGAAATGACAATTTTTAGTAGAAGATTAATTTTGTTAAAAACTAGGAAGAAAGTTTTATGGTGGAAATTTTTTTGGACCAAGTTATAAATTTTTTTTTGGACCAAGTTATAAATTTTCATGATTTTAAGCTCGAAAACTAGAAAAATTCAAAATTTGTGCATAGCTTCCGCATCTCCGCCATTTCCAAAACTGAAAAATTGTCTGAAAATCCCAAGATTCCCTGGGAACCTAAGGATTTTCAGTTTTTGCAATGTTTCAGTCAAGGAAGTGACAATTTCAAGTAAAACTAGCAATTTTAGACCAAAAATCTTGAATTTCTAGTTTCTAGCCTAAATAAAATTCATCAAAATTTCATATAAAAATTGAAAATTTGGGCATAGCTTCCGCATCTCCGCCATTTCAAAAACTGAAAAATTGTCTGAAAATCACAAGATTCCAGAGGAATCAGGGAATTTTCAGCTTTTGCAATGTTTCAGTCAAGGAAATGGCAATTTTTAGTAGAAGATTAACTTTGTTAAAAACTAGCACGAAAGTTTTTTTGGTTGAAATTTTCAGTTTTTGGACCAAGTTATAAATTTTCATAATTTTCAGCTCGAGAACTAGAAAAATTCAAAATTTGGGCATAGCTTCCGCATCTCCGCCAATTCCAAAACTGAAAAATTGTCTGAAAATCACAAGATTCCGGGGGAATTTCGGGATTTTCAGCTTTTGCAATGTTTCAGTCAAGGAAATGACAATTTCAAGATTTTTGAGGAAAGGACAGTTTTGTTGGGTAAAAACTGACAAAAATCCATTTTAGATTGAAATTTTCAGATTTCTAGGGTGAAAACTGTCAAAAAACCTCTCAGATTCAAAATTTTCAGTTTTTCTGGCAAAAACTGCAGGGAAAAAGCCTTTCAGTCAGTTTTGTTAGGTAAAAACTGTGGAAAAATCCTTGTTTGGTACATTTTCATCGTCTTTTACCTGAAACAGCGCATTAGCCATATAATTCAACATATAATCATAATACAATTGCATAATTCGAACCAAACATTGAAGTGAGGCAACTTTGCATCGTTGATCTGGATTATTTGTCGATTCGCATACGACTTGCATTATAATATTTCGCTCTTGCTGAAAAAAAAAAACCAATTAATATGAGCAATATAACAATTTTGGGCTCATTTTCCCAACCTCAGCCTCAAAATTCTTATTGGTAAACTCGAGCGAATTCAACAATGCATTAGTTGCAGCCAATCGAACATGTACAGATGTTTCACCAGCTCGCATTCCATGAACAATTGCAATCAAAATATCATTTGCACGCACTTCCAACACTTTTGAATCGATATCGTGGCAGATATATCCGAGGGTTTCGAGTGAGGATTCTTTCAACATTTCACCGCTTTGTTGATTTGTTACATTGTCCATTAGGCGAGAGATTACTTCGGGCCATAACTGCAAGAATTTAGGGGTTTTTGGAATAGAAATGGAGGTTTTGGGTAGCTTTTGGGTTTTTCTAGGAGATTTTCTGAATAAAAATCATAGAAATCCATAAATTTGGTCAAAATTGGTGGTTTTTGATAAATTCAGTTAATTTTTTTCAGATTTTTTTTTTACAGAGAATACTATCTAGTTAGTGAGATTTTGAGATTTTCATCAAAAACGTTTCACTAAAATCTGGCTTAAAATTCATCAAATTTTCATAGAAAAATTGAAAATTTGGGCATAGCTTTCGCATCTCCGCCATTTCCAAAACTGAAAAATTGTCTGAAAATCACAAGATTCCAGGGGAATTCTGGGATTTTCAGCTTTTCCAATGTTTCAGTCAAGGAAATGACAATTTCAAGTAAAACTAGCAATTTTTCATTTTTTAATTGAATTCATGATTTCTTACTATTGTCGAAATTGAAAAATGTGGCCGCCGTAAAAAATGAAAACCAGTGCAGAACTGAATAAATGAAAACAACTGGACTTCGTCAGTCGCGTGCGGCTGTGCGGCGCGGTCGGAAAAGAAAGGAAAAAAATGAATCATTGATTGTTTTTCGACCGCGCCGCACAGCCGCACGCGACTGACGAAGTCCAGTTGTTTTCATTCATTCAGTGCTGCACTGGTTTTCATTTTTTACGGCGGCCATATTTTTCAATTTCGACAATAAAAATCTTGAATTTCTTGTTTCTAGCCTAAAATTCATCAATTTTCATATAAAAAAATGAAAATTTGGGCATATCTTTCGCATCTCCGCCATTTCCAAAACTGAAAAATTGTCTGAAAATCCCAAGATTCCCTGGGAATCTAGGGATTTTCAGCTTTTGCAATGCTTCAGTCAAGGAAATGACAATTTCAAGATATTTGGGGAAATATGTAGTCAGTTTTGTTAGGTAAAACTGTCAAAAATCCGTTTTAGATTGAAATTTTCAGTTTTCTAGGGTAAAAACTGACAAAAACCTTTCTTTTTCAAAATACTCACTTTCGCCCAGCATTTTCTAACTCAGAAATGACTGAATTTTAATTTTTTGAATAAGGATAACACGTGGTTTTTTCAGTTCACGGTAAATTTAATTTTAACAGAAGCGTGAGCATTTTTTGTGCTCAAATTCTGACAAAAAAAAACTCATTTTGGGTCAAAATTCTGTGATTTTCTGGTTAAGAAGCCCAGATTTGTACGAGAAATCTCAAATTGTCATATTTTTTGTGTCAAATATCAGCCCTGGATCAAATTTTGGGCTCTCAATACATTTTCAGCTTAAAAAATTAGCTCCAGAGCTCAAATTTTCACCACAAAATCGATTTTTTGCTCAAAACAAAGCTCTAGAGCTCAAATTTTCATCACAAAATCGATTTTTTGCTCAAAACAAAGCTCCAGAGCTCAAATTTCTCCCCCAGAACCCGATTTTCCGCAATCCCTTACATTATGCGGTAATTCAGCACAAGCAATCGCCGCAACACATTGTGCAGCAATCGAAGGTCTCGATGGTTCGGTTCCCAATGTTCCCGTCACATTTTGTTTAACATCTTGTCGACTTGGCTCATCTAATTGTAGCCATCTTTGCAAATATTGTGATTTTGTCTCGATATCTTTCGAATATAGCACATTTTTCAATTGGAGACCGGCGGCTTGTCGAACATATGATTGACATTGTTCAGATCGAAGGATTAGACTCAGACATTTGACAAACATTGGAAAATCACGTTGACACGTGGCACTGATATAATCCATTGCTTGTTTTTGATCATTTGGATCTGAAAATCAACATTTGGAGGATTTTGGGTCAAAATTTCAGATTTCTTGATGAAAATTTGAAATTTTTTCCTACACACGGCTACATTTTCAGATTTTTCAGGCTGGGAAAGTAGCCTTGACGGAATTTGAAAACTAAAAAATCTTTGAGAAACCCCTGGATCCTTCTCCAATATCAAAATTTATAGACTTTCCAGAAATTTTTGAAAAAATTAGTTTTTATTCAATTTTTCAGAAAAATTCGAATTTTCGCCAAAAATTCAGATTCCAGGACCTTCAAAACGTAACCTTATTCCATCCTTTCAAATCAAAATTCGAAATTTTCATTTCGAAATCTCATTTTCAACCGCAAAACCAAATTTTTCCCCAAAATCTCCCATTTTCCCACCCAAATTCACTCACTTTGCGAAACTGTCGTCTCGAGGACAGTCAGCATTTGCTGAGCTGCTTGTTCCACTGTCATTTTTGCAAACGAACTGGGGGACACCTGAAAAATCCAAGATTTTCGAAAATCTTTGAACCTCAAAAACCGTGATGTGCTCGCGCTTTCAACGTTGAAAACAATTTTAAATCGTGAAATTCGCGAATTTCCCGCAAATCCACCCGGAAACCCCGAAAAATCCCCGAAAAAACCTCAAAAAACGAGCGATTTCAAAAATTCCGGGAAAAATCTCTCGCCCGAAGAGACGCAGACACTCAAAGTTTGAAGGCACACGACTCTTCGTCGCAAGACTCCGACATTTGAAAAACTGGCTATTTGCCAGATTGGCAATGGGGCGAACTTCCATTCTTACTTTTATTTTTTTCTGTTTTTTTTTATTTTTTTGTTTTCACACGGGAAATGAGGAATTCACTGGTTGCTATCGGTTTGAGTCAATATGGGATAAGTGTGTTGAATGTGAGGAAAAAAATAAAAGTGAAATCTAAAAAGAAAAGAGATTTTTGCAGAGTTTATTCATGTTTTATTATGTAAAAGTGTATATAAATGAATTTCACATCAATATTTGGTGGTTCGGAGTTGCACAAACACTATTCGCTATATGGAACACGTTGAATGATCCGCTCTTCGGATATTTGCAAGAAATCCGCTCGAGCTGGTTTCACAATCGATTTTTGGTGATCAAAACCTTCTCGATTTTCCTGGCCGCCAGTTTTGTGTTTATGTGGATTCCGTGGAATAAGGAGGGTGAAGATAGCGAAGGAATCCATCTGATTTTGTCGCTTTTTCTCTTTGACGCCTTTTTCAGGTGAATTTCAGAGGGTTTGGGTAGTTTTTCACCAAAAATTTCAAATTTTCAGCGCGATCGGAGTTGCCTGGGGTGCATTATTTGCTGAAACGACCAAAGGAAACCCCAAAAATCGAGTAAAAGCTCTGAAAATCTCGCAAATCGCTATACTTTTATCAGTTTTAGCCATCCCGTTCATGGAATATTTTAGCGCGAGTTTGAAGAATTTCGAAAATTTTCAAATTGCCGCCTTCGGATTTGCGTTAATTTCAGCAATTTGTCTGTTTTCAGTCAAAGGGAATTCGGAAATGGAAAAGGAGGAATTATTGATTGAAAAAAATGATGAGGAAGAAGAGGAAAATGATGAGAAGAAGGAATTGTAAGCTTTTGGGATAGCGATTTTTGAAATCACCGTGAAATTTGGGTCTAGGGGGTGTTTTTTTTGGAAAAAATACACCGGAAACGCGTCAGCACCTGAAATGCGTCAGCGAATAGTTTTGAAGGCCTGGGATTATCAAAATAGTGATTAACACGGTGAGCACGTTATTTTGCGCTCAAGAACGACTAGTTTTAGCGATGCACCAAAAACGCGTCAGCAAATGGTATAGGGTTTGCTGACGCATTTTTGGTGCAACTCCGAAATGGCTCGTGTTTGGGCTCAAAATGATGTACAAGGCTTGTTGTTGATGGTAGAATCATTCAAAAAGCATAAAAATTACTCATTGCACCACAAATGCGTCAGCAAGGGTTGCTGACGCATTTCTGGTGCAACTCCGAAATGGCCCGTGTTTGGGCTCAAAATGATCCATAGAATTCGCTGATGATGATAGGAGTGATGAAAATTCAAGAAATTTTCATTGACGTGTTTTCGGTGCTGGCGCATTTCTGGTGCATCGTCAAAATATGTCATGTTTGGGCTCAAAATGATCCTTATAGCCTGCCAAAACCGAATTTTCCAGAAATCTCCGACAAATCCTTCAAAATTCCCTCCAAATAACCCGCCAAATCCTGCGCCAACCCCAATTCTTCGCCATCGTTTTCACCAATTTCCTGCAAACCGCTCGAAGTATTTTGCATTTGAATTTCGCCGCAATCATCACCGAACTATTGATTTCTCAAGACATTTTGCCATCCGGAAGTCTGAAATTATCGATTTTCTTCGCAATTCTCATAATTGCACCACAAATTCTATTGATTTTCGCGCTGAAAAATGAGCGATTTTTGGCTGAAATTGGAGCCGTCAGAATTGTCAAAATCAGCTTTTTGGTGTCGATTTCCAGTGGATTTTTGTGGTATTTTTCAGCCAATTCGTATTTTGTTATGGCATTTATGCTCATTGATTGGTGAGTTTTTTTCTATAAAAATTTTCATGGCGATTTTCAAAATCAGCGTAAAATTTGGGTCTAGACAAACGTTTTCTAGAGCTCTGGGGGTATTTTTTGGAAAAATGCACCGGAAACGCGCCAGCACTCAAAATACGCCAGCAAGTGATTTGAAGGCTTTGCAAATATCAAAATAATATTCAGCATTGTCTCCCTATTATTTTGCACCCAAAAACGAGCAGATTCAGACTTGCACCAAAAATGCGTCAACAAGGGGTTTAGGGGTTGCTGACGCATTTCTGGTGCAACTCCGAAATGGCTCGTGTTTGAGCTCAAAATGATCCATAGAATTCGCTGATGATGATAGAAGTGTTGAAAATTCAAGAAATATTGATTGACGTGTTTTTGGTGCTGACGCTTTTCTGGTGCAACTCTAAAATAGATCATGTTTGGGCTCGAAATGCTCCTTAGAGCTTGCTGATGATGAATTTCCACACCCTGAGCTGAAATTCCAGATTTCCAGCCAAAAAAATCTGAAAATTTCAGCCTAACCGTACATTCAATTGCTCCGCTCTTCAATATAATTCTATCGGATTTTGTCGATGAAGATGCGAGGAAAAATCATCGAAAGTGAGTTTTTCGCCGAAAAATAGCTGAAATTCAGCGATTTTCAGCCAATTTTGGCTGAAAATCCCACATTTTTCACCAAAAAACCCTAAATTTAATTTCAGATCCGGTGTCGCCTCAATAATTTTCAGTCTCAACGCAGTTTTCATCAAACCCGCCCAATCGTTGGCTCCAATTTGCGCGGTTCTAATTCTCAACTCATTTGGCTATCAAAAATATCTCGAAACGAAATTGGCTACAGTAGTCCTGAAGAATGCGGCTGCCCGTATTCTATTTTTGACGCCTGTTATTTTGGGAACCGCCCAATTTTGGATTTTACATTGGTTTTCGGGGAAAAGAGGAAAATTGGCAAGGAATTTGGATGTTTGAGAGAAAATTTGTATATAGATTATAATTTATTGATTTTTTTGTTGAGAAAATGAAGATTTTGTGGAAATTTGACCAAATTTTGATGTTTTTTGAGTTGAAATTCTGAGAATTTTATATTTTTTGCTATTTTTTGAAAATTTCAGATTTTGTTGATATGAGCAATGGTTTGGCTGAAACGCGCTATATATATATATATCATTTTATGCCCCCGATTCGGGATTTTTCAAAAAAAAATTATTGAGAAAATAATAAAAAAAATTTTTTTTATCTACCCGCGAAAATTAAAAGAATTGCAAGTACTGTTCAGAAAAATTGGCGAAAAAATCATTCTAATTTTTAAAGCGTTTTTTTTTTAAATGTGGGGGCCTCAACTAAAACAATTTTGGGGGGCTTGTAACGTTCGTGGATCAGCCCTTTCCAAAGTTTAAGAATTTAAAAAAAGAGTTGACAATGAGCTTTTTTCCAGAATGAATCCATTTGTGAGTAATGGCAATAAATTGAGATGGAGATTCGAAAATGTGAAAGATTTGGATGAAAATGGAAAATATAGTGAGACATTCGAAATTGGACCAACTAAATGGTTTGTTATTTGGATAACTTCGAAATAACAAATTTCATTCGTTTTAGGAAAATATTTATTCGAACAGAACTGGTGGGCACTGTTAATTATTTGGCAGTATTCTCATATTATGCCGGAGATAATGAAAACGAAAAACAATGGATTTGTCATACTCATCGAACAATAAAATTGATAAATCAAAATGAAAATGGAATTGATGTATCTGACACTTTTTCGATTTGTTATTCAAATTCCAGAAAGATTTGGGAATGGCCTTATTTGGATAAATGGGATAATTCGATGAAAGATGGATATATGAAAAATGATTCGATTATCATTGACATTGATTTAAGCTTCAAATATTATGATTTTTCGAAGAATATTCCAAATCTGACCGATATTATTCTCAAAGTTGAAGATATTGAATTTCACACAAGCAAGGCGGTTAGTTTTTGAAATACTTTAAAAAAAATATAAAAATATTTGCAGATTTTGTGCATGCAATCTGAATACTTCTATGATTTATTCATCAACAAAAATCATAAAGAGACTGTCATTGAAATCAAAAATGTTGAATTGAGGGATTTTCGATTCTTTTTGGCATCATTTTATCCATTATTCGAGAGTGTTGAAAACAAAAACTACGAAAAACTCATCGAATTGGCTGAAAAATACAAAGTTCCAACTTTGCATAAAAATTGTGAGCAATTTTTGTTGAAATATGTCAACATTACATTGGAAAAGAAATTGGAATATGCTGACAAATATGATTATTATGATTTGTTGGTTAGTTTTTTGTTGAAAAATAAACCAATTAATTTAAAATTGATTTCTCAGAAACACTGCGTCAAATCTTTGGATACTGCTCAAAAAATCAAGAATATTCAAAAATCAGTCGAATTCCACAAATTCAAAGAATCCACAAAGCTTATGATTATGACTAGAATTTTGGATTTTTATTGAATTTTTTGTTGTTAAATTTTTAAATTTTGTTAACTTTTTCCTGTTTCAATAAATTGTTGTTGTTTTTTGAAATAATAATTTTTTACTTTCTTTTCTCCAAAATCATGGTTTTTCATCCATCTTCATTACTTCTATTATAATTTGTTCTAAGAAGGAAAGTATTTTGATGTTCCCCCCTCGCGTGGAATTCAGCCAGCGGCGGAATTTCGAAATATTATGATTTCTCAAAAAATTGACGAATTTCAGTGATATTATCATCAATGTTGAAGACACCGAATTCCATTTGAATAAATTTCAACTTTCTGGACACTCGGATCACTTTTTCTACCTTTTTGTCAATCGAAAAATCGAGGAAAATCGAAAATATCAATGCAAAAGACTTTTCTCGCTTCTCTCGATCCATTTTTCGATGGAATTAATGCGAAGAATTATATGGATTTGGTGAAAGTCGCAAAGTTTTTCGGTGTTCGAGCAATGCATTTCAAAATTCAAGAATTATTGATGGTTTCGACGAAAGTTGCTTTGATTGATAAGATTGAGTATGCGGATGAGAATGGTTATGAGAAATTGATGGTGATTTTTGAAATTATATTCATTTTTGAAGCCTAAAATCATAATATTTTTCCAGAAATCCTCAATCGAAAGATTGAAAACCGGCGCGGACATCAAAAATCTTCATGGGTGTTTGAAATTCGCCACTTTGAAAGAAACCACAAAATTGCGAATTATGCAGAGATTTTTGGATATTTATTGATTTTTTTCAAAGTATGTTTTTACTTTCTTCAAAATACTCGTTTTCTAATGAAACATCGTTTTTAAATGAAACATTTTTGTATCGAAAAATAGCCCCCGAAAAATGTACGTTTCTATCATTTTTAAACCAAAAATTTGAAAAACTGGAAAGCGTTAAAAGAAAATGTTCCGATTGAATTTTTCGTCTTCAAACCCTTTTTTTCTCTCGCAGAGGAACCTAATTTTTTTTTCAATTTTTTATCAGTGAATGTATTTACGTGACCAATTAACGGAGATGCAATATAATCTTTTAATTTTTTCAAGTTCTTATCAGCAAATTTTGCGAAAAAACATTTTAAAAATGATCTTCATTACAAAAAACGCTCAAGCATCATAATATCTAGCCGTGAATCCGAATTGCGCCGGATAACTTCCATACGAGGAGAATCGCACCATCATCGAAGTTTGCAGCGATGTTGTAACTGTCTTATTGACCCCACTTCCACTAATGGTTGAGATGGCGTTCGATGGAGTATTACCCTCAAAAACATAGATGTAGTCACCCAAAGCCAAGTAGTATTCATCGAATCGGATTTGAACTCTGTAATGAACGTCTCTCCACGTGTATGTATTATTCCAAAATTAACGTACTTACCTTTTATTGCTCTTACTTGTGATATAATAGTCACAAGTATATTGTTTTGGATATGCCGCCGGATAATTTGGCGATGTAAAATGTCCTGGTGTCGAATGACTCGCAGTTCCGCAAACATTCGGATTCGTTGGTTGGAATTCCGCCTTCCAACTATAAACCGCTGATGTGCTGTTGCAATCGGTGGTTTTGTCGTTGAAAACTAGTTTGATAAGATTGCTAGGGGAGCTGTACCATTTGAAACTTCCACTTGAGCTTGTTTTGGTCAATGTTTGGAATGGTGTGGTATCGTCGAATGAGGAGTAAAGATCGATTGTTGAGTTCTGAAATTGAAATAAGGTTTACTTGGGATTTGGCAGCCACAGTTTTTGAAAATGAGGCGATTCGCCAAATCAAAAAAGTGTTTTTTTTTTCATTTCGTAAACGCTCTCAATCCCAATACCTTACCGCATCCAAATTGAAAACCGGGAATCGTATATTCAAAGTTGTATTATGCAACCCAGTCAAAACATAATAACAAGGTCCGACTGGATTTGTACAATATGGATATGGATAATTTGGAGATTCAACCAAACTCGCATTTGTTGAGCTTAAATATGTTGGCGTTGTGCATTGTGTTGGTGTATCGGGTGTTGGAGCACAGGTAGCAGTCGCCAGACGCTTGCAGAATGAGGGCAATTGATGTGAGCAATCCGAACTTATCCATTTACCCTGAGCAACTTCTTGATCTTTCATTGAGATACTATAGCACGATCCGACGTCTGAATTTTGATATCCGATGTTTGAATAATCCCAAGTTGAATTATCGATCCAAGAATTCAAATTGTTACTAGATAATTGCGCTCCAATTCGAACATATCGCAAAGTTCCATCATTATAACGCATTACGTTGTAGTATAAGTTTTGATTCTCATAATAATTATGAATAGAGACAATTTGACCGCCGCAAGTTTTAGCGCAAGCATTCACAGCTTCATCTTTCGTCAGTTCCCCAATTGTCCAATAACAATACTCATTATTTTGATTCGCGCAAGTTCCAACAACATTAGTTTCACAAATATAACTCGTTTTTGTTTGATTACAATCACCGTTGAACCAATTTCCTTGATTAGCGATTTGATTTGACATATAAACACATGAACCGTGAGTTGAGTTCGGGTAATTTTGATAGAAGTTTGTGTAACTAACATACGAATAATCTGCCCAATTACAACTATAATCATAGAGAGTTGCACCATTTGTACATTTTATTCCCAACCAAACTGGGGAGTTGCTAGAAATTGCCATCTTGAAGATTGCATTGTTGTCCTAAAATTGATAACTAGAAAGATCTGTGAGGGAAAAACTCACAATCTGATTATTGATCGTCACCAAATGTCCACCCATCAAATTGCATTCTCGTCTCGCTGCATCCCGTGTTGCATGATCTGTCACCAATTTAACACATTTCGCACCATTCACCAATACAAAACCATCAATACAACTTGTAGCATCGATAGAATCGAGGGTCGCCAACGAAAAAATGAGAATTAGAAGAGGAGAAAAATGCATTTTCACCCGAATTGTTTTATCAAAATTGTTGATTTCGTTTGAGTTTTTATAGTGGAAAATTGAGATAAGGAATAAACCTATATACGAAATTCGTCATTTGATTGAGCATTTCGAGAATTGCAGAATTTTTAAAGCGACACAGATGTATGAGCGTTGGTCTCCGCCACGCTGTGTACTTCTCTTGGAGGATTGTTTCTTCAAGTGTTTATTTTTATTTTATATCAGTGAATGATGAATCCCTTCTCATAGAGGAGCAATTTTTCTTTTTTCTAGTTGTTATCAGCGAAAGTATCAATAAATGACGATTTTCGTTTCGTTTCATCGTCGTTTGTGAAAAAAGAGTTCGTTATCTGCTCAATATAAAAAAAGCCTTTTGAAAAAAGCATGAAAATTTCGAAAAAAAACACCACAAAAAATTGACAACGATACTCCGACACTACGGCGTGCCTGCAGTTTAGCGCAATATTTTTCTTTTTCTTTTTTTTCGCGTTTCTCAAGTGAAATTTGAGTTTTGACGTTGAAATTAGTCTCTACTCACGATATTTAACCATATTTTGTCTAGTTTACGTCTAGTTCATCGATTTTTGTATGATTTTCAAAGTTTTGCCAATTTAAATCAAAGGTTTTTCGGTGTATCCAAAAGTCCTCTCGATATTTAATCAAAATGATTTGCATGAATATTTATTTCGTTATCAAAAAATTGACCAATTGTCAATTCAAAATTGTTGTCGATGGTTGAAATTGTGCTTGCCAACGATAAATTGCTGTTGTGCTATTGCAATCAGTGGTTAGATCATTGAAAACAAGTTTGATAAAATTGCTTGGCGAGATGTACCAAGTGGCTGCTCCGTTGTAGTTTGATTGTGACAATGTTTTGAAGGGCGCACTTTCATCAAACGATGAAAATAGTTGAATCGTTGAGTTCTGTAATATTCATGAGATTCCAATTTCAAAAATTTAATCTGATTTAAATTTAAAGGCGGTCAGACAGCTATTCCGGTTGACGGAGACCACCCACGAAGCCTCTGACTTTAACCGGGCTAAACTTGAACCAAACAAAAGATAGAGATGAAATATTGTGAAAATATGAAACTTCAAATCTTCCTGTGCAAAAGTGCGTCGCGGTGTTTGCACATACACAAATCCGCTGGACGTGGGGGCAATTTGAAATTTTGAAAACACAAGATTTTCTCTTTCGCCTTTAAAGGCATTTAAACAATTATTCCGGTTTTCCTCAAAGCTTAGTGCCAAAAATAGTTTATTATGAAACGAACCAGTGAAAAAATTCCGAAATCATCAAAGTTAATACGAGCTGAGAAAATCTTGTGTTTTCAAAATTTCAAATTGCCCCCACGTCCAGCGGATTTGTGTGTGTGCAAACACTGCGACGCACTTTTGCACAGGAAGATTTGAAGTATCATATTTTCACAATATTTCATCTCTATCTTTTGTTTGGTTCAAGTTTAGCCCGGTTAAAGTCAGAGGCTTCGTGGGTGGTCTCCGTCAACCGGAATAGCTGTCTGACCGCCTTTAAATCTCAAAAGACGAATTCTAGTTCTTACCGTATCCAGATTGAAGACCGGGAATCTTATATTCATTGATGTACCTTGTGGTCCAGTCAAAACATAAAAGCAAGGTTGAATTGGATTTGTACAATATGGATATGGATAATTTGGAGATTCGACCACACTCGCATTTGTTGTGCTCAAATAGGTTGGCGTTGTGCATTGCGTTGGTGTATCGGGTGTTGGTGAACATGTGTCAATTAGTGGTCGTTTACATATCGTTGGCAATTGATACGAGCAATCTGCACTTAACCATTTACCCCGTGCAACTTCTTGATTTTGCAGTGAAATACTATAGCACGATCCGACGCTAAGACTTTGAAATCCGATGTTTGAATAATCCCAAGTTGAATTATCAATCCAATAATTTAAATTATGTGAAGATAATTGTGCACCAATACGGAAATATGGTACCAATCCACTAGAATAAAAATAATTATTGTACACGATTTGATTTTCATAATCGTTATGAATTGAAATGATTTGACCACTACAATATTTTCCACACGCATTCACAGCTTCATCTTTTGTAAGCTCACCAATTGCCCAATAACAATATGGATTATTTGCAATTTTGCAATTTCCGATAGGTTCTGTTTCACAAATATAACTTGCTGTTGTTTTATCACAGTCTGTGTTATACCAATTTCCTTGGTTAGAGATTTGATGTGACATATAAAGACATTGTCCTCCGACTGTGAAATTAGGGTAATTAGTATAAAAATAATTGTAATTATGACTGGTGTAATCATCCCAAACACAAGAATATTCATAATACTGTTGACCATTTTGGCATTTTGCTCCAATCCAAATTGGTGCTTGATTCGATATTACCATTTTGTAGATTGCATTATTGTCCTATGTACAAATCTTGATTAAAATATACTAGTTTAAAAAAGCTCACAATCTGATTATCCGGTGTTATCAAATGTCCACCCAACAAATTACATTCTCGTCTCGCTACATCCCGTGTCACTTGATCCGTCACCACTTTCACACATTTCGCTCCATTCAACAACACGAATCCATCCATACAACTTGTAGCATCGATAGAATCGAGGGTCGCCAATGAAAAAATGAGAATTAGAAGAGGAGAAAATCGCATTCTCGATTTTCAATGAGAAGTGTGTTGATTTCGTATGGCTTTTATAGCAACAGTGGTTTTGATAAGAAAGACTGAACATCCTTTGTTGCGAAATAGGGAGCAGTGAAAAACGCCCAACCTCTTCTCTTAATCTGTTTACAAAAATGAACGAAGAAAAGTACACCTGATTATTCCATTTTCTAACCACGTCAGTTAAAGGTGGGTTCTGAATCGATTTGTTTTAACAAATGTAATTGACAAACTCGGTCAGAAAACGGCGAGGTCGCTACACGTTACGGGGAACCAGGGGTGGGGAACCTGGCCTCATGTTGGCTTTGGTGGTAAGGACATGAGACATGACATGTTCGCGTGCAAAAATTAATTTTTGTTCGCACGAGGACAGGTTGGGAACATGGTTTTAGGACAGGTTGAAGCCATGTTCGAGCCAGGACAAGTTTAGGCCATATTCAAGGACAGGACAACACGAGGCCATGACAGTTTCCCCACCCTTGCGGGGAACTGAAAACGTGTAGCGACTCCGCCCCGATCGGTAGCAACATCATAACTTTTCATTTTTCTTAGACGTGTAGTCTTCACTTATTATCCTAGCTCTTGTTTCCACTCGAAAGTCGAAATGCAACATTATTCATTTCCTTTCTTCGTGATAAAGCGAAGTAGACATCTATGTAATTTGTTACTAATCGTCTTACCGTATTTACCTATTTACCACGTCTTCTGATCAAAAGTCATGTGTGCATTTTGATAAAGGGTGTGACCATGACAAATTTTTGATGTGTTTCTCAGGATGGGGTTTCTTATCATTTCCTACAAGGAAACCTTTTTTACTCAACACTTCAAACCTTTATGAAAATTTGTCTATAGACAGCTTTTGGGGTCATAAGAACACCCTAAAAATTTTAGGACCTCTGAGCCAAGTTCTGGGCTCTCAAGAGTTCAAAAATTGCCAAAAAATAAAAAAACTTCAAAATTTTTCGAAAAAATATTTTTATTTATGTATTTTTAGTAAATCGACTATGCTCATCAATATCTGAAACTTTATTTCTCCCAAAAAATTATTTTGAAATGGAGTTATGATGAGAAATTTTCGAACTTTTGAGAGCCCAGAACTTGGCTCAGAGGTCCTGAAATTTTTAGAATGTTCTATGACCCCAAAAGCTGTCCATTGACAAAATTTCATCAAGATTTGAAGTGTTGAGTAAAAAGGTTCCCTTGTAAGAAGGAAAAAACTTTTTTCGGGTTCGCAAGAAAATTTATATTTTCGTTAACAAACAGCGAATTACAAATATCCACGTGTCAATTCAAGACTGTTGTAGTCGATGTTTGAAATTCCGCCTTCCAACTATAAATCGCCGTGGTGCTGTTACATTCAATTGTTCGATCATTGAACACAATTTTGATAATATTGCTCGGCGAATTGTACCAAGTAGAAGTTCCATCAAAGTTTGAGCTTGACAAAATTTTGAATGGTGGAGCATCGCTTAATGATGAATAGAGTGAAATTGTTGAGTTCTGAAAAAAATATAATTTTTTTTCGAAATTTGAAATTTGGCCAAGCTCTTACCGTATCCAAGTTGAAAATTGGGAAGCGTAGACTCAAATTTGTGTTACTAGGCCCAGATAATACATAATAACAAGGTCCGACTGGATTTGTGCAATATGGATATGGATAATTTGGAGATTCAACAGAAGTTGAGTTTGCTGTGCTCAAATATGTTGGTGTTGTGCATTGCGAAGGTGTAATTGGACATTTCGCATCTGATCTTCTTCTACATACTGTAGGCATTTGATAATCACAATCTGCACTTATCCATCTACCCCGTGCAACTTCTTGATCTCTCAATGAGATACTATAGCACGATCCGACGTGTGAATTTTGATATCCGATGTTTGAAAAATCCCAAGTTGAATTATCGATCCAAGAATTCAAATTGTTACTAGATAATTGTGCTCCAATTCGAGCATAACCTATAGGTCCGTGATCTCCATTAGGACCAAACGCACCATAAGAAGTCATGGTATTTTCAGCATCGTTATGAATTGATGCGATTTGTCCACCGCAAGTTTTAGCGCATGCATTTACAGCTTCATCTTTTGTCAAGTCTCCGATTGCCCAATAACAATATCCTTTCAATGTATCCTCAACGCAAGTGTCAACGGGATCTATTTCACAAATATATCCAGCTTTCGGTTGTTCGCAATCAACGCTGTACCAGAAACCTTTAACGGAAGCTTCATTTGGCATAAGAACACACTGTCCGTCAGTTATGTTGGGCAAATAATCAAAGTTGGTCCAAGAATAGTGTAACGATAATCTGCATTCGTCCAAGCGTAGGTTCCGTCTAGCCTTTTTTCGCTCACCAATCCTAACCAAATTTGTGTGTTAGCTGACATTACCATCTTGAAGATCGCGTTGTTTTCCTGAAATTGTGATTGAGGATTTTTCAGTTTTATTATAATGCCTGACTATGTCTAAGCCTAAATGTCCAACTAAGCCCAGACCTGCATATCTAACATAACACAAAATTCCTAAACGTAGGCCTGCATACCCAAGCCTAAAACCTATGTTTAATAAAAGCCTGTATACCCAAGCATAAAATCTAAGTTTAAGCCTGTATACCCAAGCCTGAAACCTAAGTTTAAGCCTGTATACCCAAGCCTAAACCCTGAGTTTAATCCTGTATACCCAAGCCTAATACCTAAGTTTAATAAAAGCCTGTATACCCAAGCCTAAAACCTAAGTTTAATAAGCCTGTATACCCAAGCCTGAAACCTAAGTTTAAGCATGTATACCGAAGCCTAAAACATAAGTTTAAGCCTGTATACCCAAACCTAAAACCTGAGTTTAAGCCTGTATACCCAAAGCCTGTAAATACCTAAGTTTAAGCCTGTATACCCTAACCTAAGTTTAAGCCTGTGTGTATACCCAAGCCTAAAACCTAAGTTCAAGCCTAAAACCTAAGTTTAATAAAAGCCTGTATACTCAAGCCTAAACCCTGAGTTCAAGCCTGTGTGTATACCCAATCCTAAAACCTGAGTTTAAGCCTGTATACCCTAACCTAAGTTTAAGCCTGTATACCCAAGCCTAGACCCTAAGCGTAAGCCCGCGCTAAACTCACAATCTGATTTTCAATCGTCACCAAATGTGCACCCATCAAATTGCATTCTCGTCTTGCCACATCTCGTGTCACTTGATCCGTCACCAATTTAACACACATCGCATCATTCACCAAATCGAATCCATCAATACAACTTGCGGCCTTAACAGACCCAAAGGTCGCTGACGAAAAAACGAGAATCGAGAGGAGGAATCGCATTTCTCTTCGATGTTGGTTTGTTGATTCCACCTCGACTTTTATAGTATCGGGTTCTGATAAGGAGGAGGGTTCAAGAGAAGCATTGAGCAGTTTTGAGAGGACATTCCTAATCTTTACGTTATTTTTTATTACTTTTCTGATAAAATTCAGGAATTTTGGTACTCTTCTGAGAGAAGTCCACAGTTTTTATTGACCTATAAAATGCGAAATGATCGGAATGATTCTTATCGCAAAAGTTCCGCCGTGAAAAAATTCCACGAATTCCACGGACTTTTGATTTTTCATTTAAAATACATTGAGCTACCAACAATAAGTTACTGCTCATGTTAAACACAGAATTTTCTCATAACATCCCAAGTTCCGCGAAATCCACGCCGTTTCGACACGTGGCTAATATGAGCAATGCTTGGAGAATGTTTTTTTTTCTTTGTCTAGAACTAATAGTCTGTGGGAAACATCAACACAGTATTTTAAAAAAGGCTCTCTCCCAAATTTCATTTTCATTTTCATTTTTCAAAAAATGTCATTGAAATCTCTGATCTTCTTCCTCACATTCCTCAACTTTGCCACGTGTCATCGTGATCAACGCAAGTTGAACTTTGCTGGAATCGGATGTGCTCATTGTCTGAAATCAATCGGAAAATTGGACGGAAACATGGCTTTGAAAAATGAGATGTTGGGTGTGTGTGAGAAGGATTACCCGCAGATTTCTGTGGTTCAGTCAAATTTTGCGCGCGAACATTGTAAGGCTACGGTTTTGCATTTGATGAAGGAGGCGCGGAAAGTTCGGAATCATGGAGATCCGACGGTTTTTTGTAGAGAAGCTGGGATTTGTCCATCGCCGGGTAGACTGATTGATCCAATCGGAGCACATCAATCAAGTCATGCAGGCGGTTCAGGACATCCAGGTCATTCTAGCGGCCCAAGACGCCCAAGCAATTCAGGCCGTCAGATTCGTCATAACGGACCAACTTTTACTCCTCCTCGTCCAATTCGAATTTCGAATTTTTAATTAAGCTTCATAATTTTTTCTGGGGTTATTTTTTGAAGTAAATTTTTATTTTTCAAGATTTTTTTGATAATTCAGAGGAGTTGCTCATGTTAATGGCGAACTTCTATTATCGAACATTTCATCGGTACCATGCGCTCCACCGAAATAAACACGCAACGCAGACCGCGCCGCGCCGCGCCACAACACACACAGAATCGTTCCCCTATTTGTATGTGTGTTGTGGCGCGGCGCGGTCTGCGTTGCGTGTTTATTTCGGTGGAGCGCGTGGTACTTATACCAAAAAATCCACGTCACCTTAGCTATGAACAGTCTGAAACTAATAAAATCTGTGGGAAACATAAATCAAAAAAAATATTTTTTTCAAAAACATTTAAAAATTTCTATAGAAAATGTTGTTCTTCTTTAAAATTCTGGTGTTCTCCGCATTGCTCATATTATTAGCCACGTGTCGACGAATCGAAGATTTTTCCGGAATCGGATGCGCGTATTGTAAAGCGATCATCTTCCGTCGAAGCGGAGTGGCTAGTCTGCGCAATCAAATGTACGAGTTGTGTAAACGTAAATATCCCGCTAGTGGTGTGTCAAATCCGAGACAGCAGAATTGCCGCAAATCCGCTGCAAAACAGCTGGAAAAAGCTGAAAAGGAGATGATGAATGGCAGCCGAAATGCTGAGAAAGTTTGTCGTGTGGCTGGAGTTTGTCTAAGTTCAAGTCGTGCAGTTTTTCCAACACCTCCAACTCGTCCACGTGGATAACTAACTAATTGCTTTTGAATAAAAAAGTTTGAAGCTTCTTTTGCCCCTCTCAAATTCGCACGCTCTCTAATTGTAAAAGAAACGCGGGGAAAAACAATTGACAACGACACTCCGCGCTCCCGCTTGCACGCAGTTTAGCAGAAATATTGTTTATTAAAGAATTTTTTTTTAAAATTCTTAAAAAATTTTTTCTGACAGAAAAATGATCGGGTTTTCCAGAAAACCTTATCAAAAATCGATTTATCATCTCAGTAAACTATAATTTAAAGAGAAACCTTTTAACACTTGTCTTCATTTTTAAGTGATATGAAACTTGTTTGGCTAATATTTCTACTTTTTTTGATTTTCGTTAGATTTGGAGTTGGAGAAGATCAGGAAGAAGATCAAGAAGATCCAGATTTTCTAATACAGGTCTCCAATGAGACTGTAGAGTATGAGCGGAATTCAACTTATCCAGATATTCGAATGGTTATGGTGGATAAATTTATGGAGGATTTGTTTAAAGGATATGATAAGGAAGCGGCGCCGATTTCAGAGAGTGAGAAGTTTTTTTTTGAAAAAAATTTGAAAAAAAAAAAAATTTTATTAAATTTTTATTTTTTTTAATTTTAAAATTCAGGTTGGAGATCTGAAAAAATGGGTCGTCCAAAATTTCAAATCCCAAAAATCCCCGCCGATTTTCAGACCGTAAACACCAATGGCCGTTCGAGTACGAAATCTCGGTGCTCCGCTTCAAATTGATCGATGTGGACGAGCCGAAAGAGCAGGTGACTGTGGTTATGGAAATTCAGCAAGCGTGGCCGGATGACAGGCTTACTTGGGATCCCGAGGAGCACGACAATGTCACAGCGGTCTATTTGCGTTTAGAGAAATTGTGGTCGCCGCCGATTACGGTTTTTTTTGCGTGAGCATTTTTTGGGCAAATGGGACCCCAAATGACTGAATGGTCCCCCGGTGTTTAAAATTCGTCGTGATGAATGGAACCGCAAAATAATAAAATGGGAACACAGCATTTTTTTGAATTGTCTGAATGGGACCCCGCAAAAAAAGGGACCCCGTTGAATTTTTGTATTTGTACGAATGGGACCCCACTGAAATTTTATACTGAAAGGGATACAAAATTTGATGCCTAAGCCTAAGCCTGAAATCTTAACAAAGCCTAAGCCTGAAATCCGAACTAAGCTTAACCCTGAAATTCTAACTAAGCCTAAGCCTAAAATCTTAACTAAGCCTAAGCCTATACCTAACCCCAGTGCTGAGGATACGTCTAAGTTTAAGCCTACCTGTGGTCCCATTCTGAAAAAATTTCAATGGGGTCCCTTTTTTTGCGGGGTCCCATGCAGACAATTCAAAAAAATGCTGTGGTCCCATTTTTATATTTTGGGGTCCCATTCATCACGACGATTTTTTTAAAAACACCGGATTCCCATTCAGTCATTCGGGGTCCCTCTTGGGGTCCCATTCATTATGTACCCAAAATCTTCAATCCTCAATTCCTTTGCAGAAGTGAAGTCACCGAACAACGCGATCAAAACTTCCGAATGGCAAAAGCCATCTACAACGGCTACAAAGTCACGCACGTGCCCATGAAAATCACATTTAATTGCAAATTGCAAATGCACAATTTCCCATTCGATACTCAGATTTGCGAAATTCGCATGGGACTTCCATCGGTGAAAACCAAATTGTTCTTCATCCGAATGATTCTCTCGCAAAATCTTCAGAAGAATCTATGCTCGCTGGGAAATTCAGCATGGGATATTGTAAATATCACAGCAGGTTCTGAAAATGTGAAATCATTGGATTTCAGCTATGATAGTCTGAAGATGGGGGTGATGAAAATCCACTTGAAACGAAATCCCACATTTTATCTCTATATGATAGTCTTACCTACATTTATTATAAATTCAATCTCAATTGCGGGAGTTTTTCTGAAAAACACTGATAAAATTGATCGATTAACAATTGGTCTAACTCATATTATGACAATGACTTTTATTTTGGGAATTATTGCGGATAAATTGCCCAAAACTGAGCATGTTCCCTTGTTGGGACAATATATCATTTTTGGACTGTGCACTATGATCGTAGCTATGACGTTTTCCACGTACCTCAAGAAGATATCGGAGAACTTGTCGGTTAGGTTGATGAGATCGCGCAGCGGGTTTTGGTGAGGATTTTTTTTGGGGGGAGGGGGATTTTTGACGGTAAATAATGAATGGGACCCCAAAAGGGACCCCGAATGACTGAATGGGACCCCGGTGTTTAAAAATCGTCGTGATGAATGGGACCCCAAAATAATAAAATGTGGGACCACAGCATTTTTTTGAATTGTCTGAATGGGACCCTGCAAAAAAAGGGACCCCGTTGAATTTTTGTATTTGTACGAATGGGACCCCACTGAGATTTGAAATTTTTTCAGAATGGGACCACAGGTAGGCTTAAACTTAGACGTATCCTCAGCACTGGGGTTAGGTATAGGCTTGGGCTTAGTTAGGATTTCAGGCTTAGGCTTAGGCTTCAACTTGTTATCCCTTTCAGTATAAAATTTCAATGGGGTCCCATTCGTACTGATACAAAAATTCAACGGGGTCCCTTTTTTGCGGGGTCCCATTCAGACAATTCAAAAAAATGCTGTGGTCCCATCACGACGATTTTTAAACACCGGGGGACCATTCAGTTATTTGGGGTCCCTTTTGGGGTCCCATTCATTATTTGCCATTTTTGACCCTGCCAAACGTCTTGTACAGCAAAATATATCATATTTGATCTCAAAAATCCGAAATTTTCCAGTCAGAAACTTCGAAAATTCATCGGAAAACCTCTACGAGTTCTATCCATCATATTTTTTCAAATCATCAACATCATAGCCGTTGTCTACATTCTCTCAAGGTACATCCATTTCGAGAACAAATATGGGTTTGAAACACCGTGCACAGCCGCTGCGCATTTTAAAGATATGGAATTTCATAGCGATGATATTGGAGAGGATGATTGTGGGTGTTATTAGGGAGCGAAAAGTTTTACTTATGAATATTTTTAGAGCTAAGACATTTTGAAATTCAAAATTTTCAGAAAAATTTCAGAAATTTCTTCTCACGCTCTCTGAAAAAAAGAGAAAAGAGAAAAAACAATTTACAACGATACTCCACGCTCCCGCTTGCACGCAGTTTAGCAGAAAATTTTTTTATTTATTTTTTTTGAAATTTTTTTTTTTTGAGTTTTCTATCGAAAAGGGGTTTATTTTGAACTAGATTTTGATGAGTTAGCCTAACTTTTTTCAATTTTTCCATTTCTCGAGTTCATTTCTCAAAAAAGCTTTTTTTTTTCGAAGAAAAAGCTAGAAAAAATCCGGAAAACTTTGAAAGTTTAGGGTGTCAAATGCAAAAATTAGTGGTCGATTCACCCGAATTTTTTGGCCAATCGCCAAAAAACACTTTTTTTTCTTCTTTCTCAGTTAGTGGCGAGGGAAAATTCTCTTGGGACTCGGAAAAAATTGGAGATTTTTGCTCTTTTTTGGTGTGTAGAGAGGGTGTATTATATACACAAACATTTTTTGGAAAGCCGAAAGGCTGTGACACTTTTATGATGTTTTTTGTTGCTCCGGGAGCTGATTTGAGCATTTTGGCGGCAAATTCAAATTTTTTTGTAGCCGTGAAAAATTCCCCGAAAATTATACGTTTCAAAATTTTTTCAAAAAAAAATTTTTCTCGAAATTTTTTCTCAAGTACAGAATATTATGTTACCCGTGAAATTTCATTGTTTCAAAAAAAAAAATTTTTTTTCTGGCTTCTCCAAAAAAAAATGTGCTCATGTGTTCGATTTTCCAACTTGAGCCAGGAAAAAAAAGTTTTTTATGATGAGCTGAGCCACCACAGTAATCTGGAGCAGCACTTTTTCTGAAGAGCTCTCGAAAAATGTGTGTTCTTGGAGCACCACAATTTTTGGAGCACTAGAGTAATTTGCATTTTTTTGCGGTGCTCACAAATTTCAAATTTTCCCCCCGGGACCCATTCATTTTTTTCACCACCACCACCAAAAATTCTAGGTTTCTCATTTTTGCAACTTTTTTCACATATTTTTTCCTTGAAAAAATTTTTTTCAGGAAATGCTGAAAATGTCTGGCTGCTGAAAAAGAAAACTTGATCAAAAATGTCGATTTTGACGTGTTGCGGACTGTATTTGGTGAGTTTTTTTGGAGGCGGGAAAAAAAAAGTAAAAAAAAAAGTTCGCATGCGAGAGGGATCGAACTCGCCACCCTCAGATTCAAAATCCAGCGCGCTACCACTAAACTATTTGCACTTTTATTTGCATACCACAAAATGTTCAATAAATAATTGGCAGTCCAAAAATAAATTTGGGAGTGCTTATTTATTTTTCTTTGAAAAATTGCACCTTTCAATTTTCAAATTTCAAATTTTCGCGTGGATTGTTTCCCCTGAAAAAAACGTGGAAATTTGCGCGCGAAAATTTTTTTTTTGAATTTTACAGAAATTTGAAAATTAATTTTTTTCGGGAAATTCGAATTTTTCAAGTTCCCGGGGCTAAAATTATCGATTTTTCATGAAAAATAGCGCAAAAATTGTGATTTTCAAAGCATTGCTCATGTTAAAATCCGTGATTTTTTCAAAATTCATTTTTCAAAATTCAAATTCTCAAAAATTTTCGCGCTCTCCCCAATTATTCAAAGATTTATGTGCTGTGAAAATTTCCCTTTCGCCAAAAAAAAAAAAATTTTTTTTTTCGAAAAGCCGCGAGCAAAAAAAAAGTGATTGGTGCTTGACAGCTGCTACTTTTTTCTCCGCGGGAAAATAAGCCACACCCCTCTTTTTTGGCGCCAAAAAAATTCATTTTTATACTTTTTTTCTAACTTCAAAAAATGATTACTACAACTTCTGAAGAAACTTCCTCATCTTCTTCTGAAGAAGAAGAGGAGACTGAGGAAATTCTGAATTCTGATGAGATTTCGAAGCATCATCCGACGGATTCGGATCTGCTTCGCGCATTTTTGGACGAGGATTTCAATTCGGCGCATTATGATAGTGTTTGGCAGGTTTGGATGGGTAGAAACTACGTAGCTCCGCGTTTACGCGGTGAAAATGATGCAATTTTGATTCAAAAACATCTTATGTTTGTGTAAACTACGAAGCTCCGCGTTTACGCGGTGAAAATGATGCAATTTTGATTCAAAAACATCTTATGTTTGTGTAAACTACGAAGCTCCGCGTTTACGCGGTGAAAATGATGCAATTTTGATTCAAAAACATCTTATGTTTGTGTAAACTACGAAGCTCCGCGTTTACGCGTTGAAAATGATGCAATTTTTATTTAAAAACATCAAGCATAGGGTTTTCTTTGTGTAAACTACGAAGCTCCGCGTTTACGCGGTTAAAATGATGCAATTTTGATTCAAAAACATCAAGCATAGTCTTTTGTTTGTGTAAACTACGAAGCTCCGCGTTTACGCGGTGAAAATCTTGAAAATTTGAATCAAAAACATCAAGCACAGTCTTTTGTTTGTGTAAACTACGAAGCTTTCAGAGCTTCAGAATGTGTGTGCGAAGGTTTTCTAGCTACGATACTCCGCTTTTACGCGGTAATATTGAGCATTTTCTAGGGTGTAAATGCGGAGTATCGTTGTAAATCTGAATTTTTGCAGTGTCTTCAACACAATAAACGAGCCATCGCCGTCAATGGATTCATCATCATTTTTCTGATCTTCTACACAACACTCGGCGGTTTCGCATTTCTCCATTTCGAAGCCAATTATCAACAATTTTTGAAGCGAAATGCGACGAAGGAGAAAATGGCGTGTATTGAGATGTTGTTGAATAGGTGAGCAGAGGTTTCGGAGGGCAAATGCGCTCTATTGAACTATTGATTTTTCGGAGAAAGTGCGCTCTACGGAAAGCCACGTGGATTTTCTGAAATTTCAAAAAAAAAATTCAAACTTGAAGAAGAAAGTGCGCTCTATGGAAAGCCACGTGGATTTTCTCAATTTTTAAATTTAAAAATTTGCAGAGACAATCGATTGCGTGAAACGCGCGCCTCCGACATTGCACACGTAATTGCGGAGCGTTGTTTGACGGAAAAAGTGAACGATGATCGAATGCAATGGTCGTTCAAATCGTCAGCATTGTATTCGTTGGGAATTTTGACGACGCTGGGTAGGTTCTTGAATTCCAGCTTGACCTTCGGAAGCTTCAGAACTTATTTAAGATCCATCTAGACCTTCAGAACCTGAATATCCTGAAATCAGGAGGTTCTAGATTGACCTTCGGAAGATCCAGGATACCTAGCTTAACCTGAAGATTGACCCTCGGAAGCTTCTGATCTTCCAGATCTTATCTAGATGTCTGAGATCTGAGTTTCCAGCCTGATCCTTTTTTTTCCTGTTTTTTTCCAAAAAAAAAAAATAAAAATTCCAATGTTTATACAATTTGGGATTAACTTTGTTTTGGTTTTCCCAAAAAAAAATGCAAAAATTTTTTTTTGCTCAACTTTTTCTCGTCGAGCGGTCAAAAACAATCTCTTGGGGCGGCACTGAAAAATATTTGAGTGAGTGAGAGCAAAAAGTTTGTAGCCCGAAAAAAAGCTCAAATTTTCACGTTGAGAAAAAATATTCAGGAAGATCTGAAGCTTCCGAAGGTCAAGCTGGAAGTTCTAGACCTCCTGATTTTAAATATCCAAGTTCGAAAAATCGAGTTGAACAATCTAGAGCTTATCTAGGTTAAGCTAGAGATCCAAAACCTAGTTAGGGATCTCAAATATATCCAGGAAGATCAGAAGCTTCCGAAGATCAAGCTGGAAGTTCAGGGAGATCTGAGGGTCAAGCTGGGAATCCTGATTTTGGATATCCAGGTTCTGAAGGTCTAGATGGATCTTCTGAAGGTCTAGATCGATCTAAAACCTCCAGAAAATCTCAAATTTCTTCCAGGCTACGGTAAAATCGAGCCGCAAACTATCAACGGTCGAATTTTCACAGTGATCTACGGTTTTGTGGGAATCCCGCTTACCGTAATTCTTCTCACAAATTTCGGACGATATCTCGAAGCGATGGCGACGAGATTAAGGCGCTGTCTAACTTGCAAGGTACTGTAGGAGGCGCGAAAAAATCCGAATTCAAATTTTCTTCAGAAAAAACGTCACGACGACGAAGATGACGTGGTTTCCGGTAGCACGTTGCTATTCATCGTAGTACTGTATTTGGTAGGTCAAAAAATTGCCGCCAAAAAATTCAAATTCAAATTTTTTTTTGAATTTCAGGGAGTTGGCGCCATAATTATTCCACTAATGGGCGGTCAATTCGATTTTTTCAACGGAATTTATTATGCGTTCATTTGTTTGACTGCGATTGAGTATGGAGATATTGTGCCGCAAAAGTGAGTGTTGGTGGCCTAGAAAACCAAGATTCTATTCTGGATTTCTAGGCCATGGGGTAGATTTTGAGCTGAAATATCAGGATTTGGGTTTTTCTCTAGAATCTCTCAAAATACATAGTCTCTAGGATGTGGCCTAGAAAACCAAGATTTCGGATTTCTAGGCCACGGGGTAGATTTTGAGATGAAATATCAAAGGATTTAGGATTTTCTCTAGAATCTCTAAAAATACATAGTCTCTATCACGTGGCCTAGAAAACCAAGTGTTGGATTTCTAGGCCACGAAAACCAAATTTTGGATTTCTAGGCCACGGGGTAGATTTTGAGCTATAACATCAGGATTTAGGATTTTCTCTAGAATCTCTCAAAATACCGTGTTCATATAATGTGGCCTAGAAAACCAAGATTTTGGATTTCTAGGCCACGGGGCTGATTTTGAGCTGAAATATCAAAGGATTTAGGATTTTCTCTAGAATCTCTCAAATTACCGTGTTCTTATAATATGGCCTAGAAAACCGAGATGTTGGATTTCTAGGCCACGGGTAGATTTTTTGAGCTGAATTATCAGATGATTCAAAATTTTAAGTTTTTCTCTAAAAATACCGTGTTCTTATAATGTGGCCTAGAAAACCAAGATTTTTGGATTTCTAGGCCACGAAAAACCAGGATTTTGGATTTCTAGGCCACGAAAACCAATTTTTGGATTTCTAGGCCACGAAAAAGCATTGCTCATATTAAACTCTGAAATTCAGAAAAATTCAAATTTTTTCAGGAAATCCAAGCATTGCTCATTTTAAACTCTGAAATTTAGAAAAATTCAAATTTTTTTTCCGGTGTCAAAGCGGAGTCTCGTAGTTTAAAAAGCGACCAAAATTGCCACGTCATAGCTCACAAATATCTTTCGAAACTACGACACTCCGCTTTGACAAGGGCAGACTCCGCGTTTCGTTTTTTTGCTTGTAACTACGACACTCCACGTTGACACCCCTCAATTAATTTCCAGCAATTGGTTCGTGCCGATCAGTGTTTTCTACATGTGCACAGGTTTGGCGATTTCCACAATTGCACTTGACATCGGATCAATCTACGTGCGAAAATTGCACTTTATCGGAAAAAAGATCAAGAATATTGCGAATATTCGAATTTGGTTTGGCGCCAGAAAGTGAGTCGTGTAAACGCGGAGCATCGTTGTTTCTTCTTCATTTACACTTTGAAACGTAAAAATCCCAGATCCTTCCAGCTAGGATTTCAGATAAACAACGATGCTCCGCGTTTACACTGATCTTTTCAGCTTGGAAGTTCGAGAGCTGATCACAGCCGTCGGTCAAAACATCGGTATCGATCAGAATGTGATAGCCGACATTGATATCGATACATTGGTCAAGACTGCGATTCAAGTGAAATTGGGAAGATTGTCACGAGTTCCGCAAACTCATATGATTGTTGAGGGAATTTGGCCGCCTGAATTGGTTCCGTTGTTTATGAAGGTAGGCGTGGAATTGCGGAGCATCGTTGTAGTTTCCCTTTTCAGGACGGACAATTCCCACTGTTCGTCGATTCGGAAGATGATCTTCGAGATCTCAAACAACCACCGCCACCCAAAAAGTTCTCGGTTCGATTTGAAGATGAAGATGAATATTCGGATGATCGAGAAGATCAGCAGAAACATCAAGATGATGATGAGATCGATGAATGTCCGACAGAATCCGAAATGGTCACAAATTCCCGAATTTCCAGCTGCAAGGAGGAGGATTTTTAAATTTTTCAATCAATAAATTTTATGACTGGCACACAATTTGTAGGGGCTCAAGATTGACGCAATTTTTGTAGATCCCTGGCACACAATTTGTAGCCGAAAATGCGTCAACAAAAATTTTTGAATTTCAACAAAATTCCACGTGTAAAAGCGGAGTGTCGTAGTTTTTTGATTTTTTGCAGTTCGGAATACTGTAAAAACTTTATATCACCAAAACTTTCTTCTAAACTCTTCAGGTACAAAATCACACAAATCTTCCGAACATCTTGAGAATCGAATCGTATTTTCACCATCACCACCACCAAATTCCACAACACATGCCTGATTTTCGTTGGGCAAAAAATCGGAGAGTTGTGTGAGAACTTGAGAGATCAGTCGAATTGCGGCTCCACCGTACCATTGTGATTGTTTTTGGAGTTGGGCGGTTTGAATTGAGGAGACCTGCGAATTTTGAAATTTTTAAAATTCCCGCCAAAAACACACCCAAAAATCCACGTGTAAAAGCGGAGTATCGTTGTTTTTTTTCGAATTTCAAATTTTTTTAAAATTCCCGCCAAAAACACACACAAAAATCCACGTGTAAATGTGGAGTGTCGTAGTTTTTGCTCACCCTCGTCACAATTCCGTGATCATCTCGATGTCCGACCACTAAATAATCGATAGCCACCAAAAAACTCTGCAACCACCACTTCAGACTTTTTGCACCAGCCGTCCAAAACCATCCACGTAAATCGCCTTTGTTGGTTTTGAGTTCCACATATTTGCCATCTCGATCCAAACAATCGATTTCGGCTGAGTAGAAGAGTTCGAGAGGTTGACGACGATTGGATTGAGAACATTCCAGGGTGGTTCGGATGACGGTGGCGAATTCTTCGCGTGTTGAAACTGGTTGAGTTGTATCGGGAAGGTCCTGGAAAATTGGGGGTGTAAAGGCGGAGTGTTGTAGTTTTTGTCTACAATTTGAGACGGTGTAAAGGCGGAGTATCGTTAATTTTTTGCTATAAATAAGCATGAGCAATGAAAATTATCATCAAAAAATGAATTTGATAAGGATTTTTTTGACTAGAGTGTAGTTTAGGAACATTTCAAATGTTTTTAAGTTCAAACTAGACTAGATGAAGGCAAACTAGAGTTCAGACTAGACTATAGTTTCGTTTCACGTTCAAAATAAACAGCGTAAACGCGGAGCATCGTAGTTTTCCTTAAAATCAGTCAAAAATCACCGCGTAAACGCGGAGCGTCGTAGTTTTCATCAAAATTGAGAGAAAATCACCGCGTAAACGCGGAGCATCGTAGTTTTCGCCCCAAAATCACTCAAAAATCACCGCGTAAACGCGGAGCATCGTAGTTTTCCTTAAAATCAGTCAAAAATCACCGCGTAAACGCGGAGCGTCGTAGTTTTCATCAAAATTGAGAGAAAATCACCGCGTAAACGCGGAGCATCGTAGTTTTCATCAAAATCACTCAAAAATCACCGCGTAAACGCGGAGCGTCGTAGTTTTCGCTCACCATTCCATCATCCAACGTCATATACTGCTCAAATTTGTGTCCCCAATACGTCATATGTTTTTCCCTGTCCGTCTGCGCCTCCATTTTCCGCGTCTTGTCTTCCGTCTCCTCTTCGCACATAAAAACGACGCCATGAATGCGGAACGCGCGGAAACGCCACGTGTCACCGCTTGCCGCGTAGACGGCGGCACCGATTTTGGTGAGCAATCCGCGCCACGTGAAAAATTCCGCACCGTGGAGAAGTTTCCGCAACCTTCCGCCTGCCGGCGCCATTTTTTCACACCATTTTTGGAGGATTTCGAGACGTTCCCCTGGATCTTTGGGGTCGAATGCGGAAAATCCCGCGTCGAGATCGAAGTTGGGCGCGGAAACGCCGCGCGGATTCCGCAGCGGAGTGTCGTTGAGATTTTTCGCCGCCATTCGACCGATTTGAATTGATCTGGAATGAAAATTTGTAAAATTTTCCATGTGGCACAATATTTTCCAGCATTGCTCATATTAAAATCTGAAATTTACGAAAAAAATTCAAATTTCTTCATGAAAATCCAAGCATTGCTCATATTAAACTCAAAAAATTCAGAATTTCTTCAGAAAATCCAAGCATTGCTCATATTAAACTCAAAAATCGAAATTTTCAGGTTAAAAACCTTGAAATTTCCGGTTTTTTCATCAGAAAATCATGAATTTTTCAAATTTTGGCGCCAAATTTTGCCACGTGGCACTAATTTCGCAGAATTTCCTCACTCACCTATCTTTGTTCACAAAATACTCGCCAATTATTTGGGGTTTCGAAAAATAGGGAAATTTTTGCGCGGTCAAAAATTGTTTATCGATTTTCAGCTCAATTGTGTTGCTCTCTGTGCTCATCTGGAAAAAAATGCTGAAATTTTCAGATTTTTTTTTTGAAAAAAAAATCCACTGAAATTTCAGACTGAAAAAAAATCTCAAAAATCAAACGGTCCAATTTTCAACCAAATGTTCCAAATCCAAAAAAAAAAATTTCAGAAAAATTCATTTTTTCACACAAAAAAAAATCAATAAAAAAATTTTTGAAAGCAAATAAAATTGGGAAAATTCGTGGGGGGGAGGCTCTGATTTTAACATGAGCAATACCCGGAAAAAATCAATAATATTTATAGGAGAGGAGGAAAAAAAGAAAAAATAGATGCATAAAACAGGTTGGGAGAACATTTTCGGGCTAGAATTGGGGGCTTTTTTTTAGGCTTAGGTTTAGGCTTAGGGCCTAGTTGAAAGCTTAGGCTTAGCCTTATCTAAGGCCAAATTTAGGGCCTTAAAAATAGGGTAAAAATTAATGCATACAGGAAAGATTGGGGGTATTTTTTGATAAGAAGGCTTTTAGGCCTAAAGCCCAAAAAAGCCTGAATTCGGGCCTAGAGAAAATTTGTGAGAACATTGTATAAAAGGAAAGAAATAGGGGTATTCAAAAGATAAAAAAAACGAAAAATTGGATAAATTAGGCGTTCGGGCTTCGGGCTTCCGATGGTCCAGGTGAATTTATGGGCTTCGGTTCGATGGTCCAGGCCTCTCATCCCACGCCTTCATTTGTTCTAAAAAGCGGTTAAGTGGTGTGAGATAATGGATGGGATTTTTCTCATCGATGAACATGAGTTGGAGGTGTTTCAGATAGATTTCAGCCAGATTTTGGCTGAAAATTTTGGTGTGATAGGTGGAGATGAATTGGGTCATCATTGAGGATTTGCGAGTGGCTGAGGCTGGATTTGTGCGGTGACCGGCGTCGGCGTAGAAGCTGCAAGAAAAACTACGATGTTACGCGTTTACGCGGTGATTTTTAGCTTTAATTCTTTAAAAATCCAAGTTTTGAATAAGAAATTGCACCTTTCTGGGTGGTTTACTAAGCTTTTTGATGAAAACTACGATGATCCAGGTTTACAGGGTGGTTTTTGAGTGATTTTGGAGAAAACTACGATGCTCCAGGTTTACAGGGTGATTTTTGATGAAAACTACGATGATCCAGGTTTACAGGGTGATTTTTGATGAAAACTACGATGATCCAGGTTTACAGGGTGATTTTTGATGAAAACTACGATGATCCAGGTTTACAGGGTGATTTTTGATGAAAACTACGATGATCCAGGTTTACAGGGTGGTTTTTGAGTGATTTTGGAGAAAACTACGATGCTCCAGGTTTACAGGGCGATTTTTGGAGAAAACTACGATGCTCCGCGTTTACAGGGTGATTTTTAGCTTTAATTCTTTAAAAATCCAAGTTTTGAATAAGAAATTGCACCTTTTTGGGTGGTTTACTAAGCCTAAGCCTAATGAAAATGTTGAAATTCCAAAAATGCATATTTTCAGCCTAATTTCCAAAAATCTGTCACTAATAATTTTCTAAAAAATGAGAAAATTTCAAAAAATCACTCAAAAATCCCGAAAATCCATCTTTCTAGGGGGTTTACTAAGCCTAAGCCTAGTATTTGTGACTATTTAGCTTTTTCCAACTTTTCCAGCTTTTTTCGAATTTTCCCAAAATCTAAGCTCCGCCTTTTTTTCGCACCTTGACTTTGGCGGCGCCTTTGATGTAAAAAATTTCGGGTTTTGACTTGATTTTAGTCTCGTTGGAATCAGGAGAATGCGAGGAATCGATTGCACTATATATCGGCTGATTTGGTTGAGTTTGAAGGGTAGAAAGGGTTGATCAAAGTTATAGATACCCTTTTCAAAGGCGGTAGGGTTGTAAAAGTCGGTGAGAGTGGCATCGTAAAAAGAAGGTGTGAAAATAGATGAGAGAGTGTGTAGGATAGAGAGACGCAGAGATAGAGAGAGTGGAATATGGGAAGATGGGACGGAAACGGGGGAAGGGAGAGAGAGAGAGAGACGCAGACAGACATAGAAAAAGGGGGAAGGGGGAAGGGGGAATATGGTGAGAGTGGGGTGGTTGTAAATGACAGGTGTTAGGAGGAGAATATAGTTCCGATTTTCTATTTAACTTCTTTTTATTTTTTATTTATTTATTTTGTAGTTGAAATTGTGTTGAAGTTCTTAAAGATTTTGAAATAATATTAGAATTTTGGAAAAATTCACAAAATTTCTGATTTTTTGGTATATTTTTGATAAAATTTGGAAAATGTTGAAAATTTGCCAAATACAGTACCCTTTGCAGTCTGGCTACAGTATACCTTGCAGTTCTGGAGCTACAGTAACCCTCGGGCTACCGTAATCTTTGCAGTCTGGGAATTACAGTATCCCCTAGACTACAGTACACATTGCAGTCCAAAATAGCCTCGAGCTACCGTAACCCTAATGTTACAGTATCCTTTGTAGTCTGGGGCTGTCAACTACAGTAATCATTGCAGGCGGAGGTTGTCAACTACAGTATTCCTTTGAGTTTGAGGTACAGTAATCCTTGCAGCCCAGACTCTACAGTAAGCCTTAGGCTACAATAAACTTGTAGATACAGTAATCCTTGTAGTTTGAAATAGCCCCAGGCTACCGTAATCCTTGTAATTTTGAGGTACAGTAACCCTGTGGCTACCGTAATCCTTACAGTCTCAAATCTGAAAGTTAAAAAATCACAAGTTTGTTGCCAAAATATCCGATCCTCCTAACACATTCCCCCTTCCGAGAAATAGTATGTAAAAATGAGAGACACATACACCATAAAACAGTCTTTTGACACCTTGGCTCAAAAAACGAGATAGTATATGAAAATAGGAGAGTATGGTTGTAAACTGTCATCTCTCGACTTGATATTTTACCTAATTTTTGAGAAAAAACAAAAAAATAAAAATTAATGTTCGCATGTGGAATTGAACTTGTCACCTTGAGATTCAAAAACCGTACGCTTACCACTGAACTATGTGTCTTTTTATTTGCAGACCACAAAATGTCTAATAAATAATTTTGAACAAGCAGACCATATGGTCTGCTGCATGCCAATGTAAAAATAAAAAGCAGCAGACCATTTGGTCTGCTGATTAATTTAAAAGCTGATTTGCTTTTAAATTGTTTTTTCTTTTTTTTCAATCATTTTTATATGTAAATCGTTATATTTTCAATTTGTTCTGTTGATTTTCATAATTCACAACTAGGTTGTAAAACACTTTTCAATATGACAAGTTCACGTGACTACCTGCCATGTCATAAATCGGTTGTAAATCTAAATAACCAATGTGTCTGTCTTGTTGTTTTTTTTTGTCTATTTTCTTGTCAAAATATGACAATCTGTCGGTTGTAAATCAAGTTTGACCCTGTTCCAACATCATCCTATTTTTGCACAAAATACATGATTTACAACCTACCTGTCATCCGGTTTTTGATAGGTCAACTCTTATTCAACACTTTTTATTTACTTCAACTTTTATTAATTCACTTAATTCATCTTTTCCTTTTCAAAACCCTCGTTTTAATGCAAAAATTGCAAACAAAAATAAATATTTTCAAACACCCACGTTTTTTCAGTCCGCAATTGTGCGTCATATCACGTGTGTCGCCTGCCTGCCAACAATTATTTTTTCATTTTCGTTTTTTATGCGCCGCCCAACTCGTAAATGGTGCCAAATTGTGGCGATTTCGATGAAATCCGGTCAGTTTTTTAGGGTTTTCATGAAGTTTGAGTGAAATTTCACTAGATTTTATTGATTTTTCATGAAAATATCGATTTTTTCAGGTTATTTCCATCAAAAATCAATTTTTTGATGGAAAATCAACAATTCGATGGTGAAAGGAGCAATTTGATGTGAATAAAAGTAAGTTGAGATTATTTGAAAGTAGAAGAATATTGAATTCCAATGAAAGTTATTGATTTTTCCAGGTTTTTCCACCAAAAACCGATTTTTTGGTGGAAATCGATGATTTCTGGATATTCGACTTGAATTCCAATCATTAAAGTGAGTTAAAATAAAACAAAAAAATAGGAAGAAGAAGAAAAAGGGGGAGATGACCTAGGTCAATAACTTCCCAAAAACCCGACTTGTCACATGTCAATTTTTGGTAGTTAGGTCATCTCTCTAAACCACGCCCCCCTCTTCCCCCTTCCTCCCATTTTCTAGTCATTCTATTAATATTTCCCTTTTCACTATTCACTTTTCTATTTATTTTTTTTGCAGTTCAATCAATTGCATCAACATGATTGGGACAAATATGCAAATGTAAGTTCATTTTTCGAAATTTTTATTTAAAATTTAGAAGAAAACATGAATTTTTGCAGATTTCGATGGACAAAACAACAATTGGATGGATTGAACACGGGATTTTGAGGGAAATGTAAGTATTTTTGGGGTGGTTTAGGGGAAAAATCAAATAATATTATGAAAATCTGAAAGTTTCAGCTTTTCCTGAACCCGAAACCTTGAAATTTGAAAATTCAAGGTTTTGGGGGAGGGAAAAGCTGAAATTTCAGCTAAAAATCTAAAATTTTAAAGAAAACAAAACCTAGAACCTAGGTTTCAAGCCTGAATTTTGAGAAAAAGCTCAAATTTCAGGCCTGAAGCCTGAGAAATCTCAGATTTCAAGCCTGAAGCCTGAAAAACCTCAGGTTTCAGGTCTGGAATCTGGAAAATCTCAGAGATCAAGCCTGGAATTTGAGAAAAATCTCAAATTTCAGGCCTGAAGCCTGAAAATTCTGGAAGAAGCCCCAAATTTCTAGAAAAATCTAAATTTTTGGGCCCGAATTTGGCCTGAAGCCTGAAAAACCTCAAATTTCAAGTTTGAAGCCTGAGAAATCTCAGATTTTAGGCCTGAAATTAAAATTTTAGTAAAATTTAGTAGAAACATGAATTTTTGCAGATTTTCGGTGGACAAAACAACAATCGAATGAATTGGACACGGGATTTGGAGTGAAATGTAAGTATTTTGGGGTGGTTTTGGGCAAAAATTAAATAATATGG